TTGGTGGAATTGAGTGACTTGAAAGACCACTTGAGTGACTTACTGGTGCAATCGAGGAGCTTGAAGGACCCCAAGATGAAACAGTTGGGTGACTTGAAGGTCCAACAGACGAAGCTGTCGAGTGACTAGATGGTCCCAAGGAGGAAACAGTCGAATGGCTTGAATGTCCAACCGAGGAGACACTCGAGTGACTAGAAGGTCCCACAGACGAAGCTGTCGAGTGACTTGAAGGTCCAGAAGGAATCGTGTGACTAGATGGAGCAACCGAGGAGGCACTCGAGTGACTAGAAGGTCCAGAAGGAATCGAGTGACTAGATGGAGCAACCGAGGAGGCACTCGAGTGACTAGATGGTGCAACCGAGGAAACAGTCGAGTGACTAGAAGGTCCCACAGACGAACCAGTTGAGTGACTCGATGGAGCACTTGAGTGACTAACTGGCGCAATCGAAGAACTAGAAGGTCCTGAAGATGCGACGGTCGAGTGACTGGATGGTCCCCAAGACGAAACAGTCGAGTGACTTGATGGTCCCACAGATGAGGCACTCGAGTGGCTCACTGGAGCAATCGAGGAACTAGAAGGTGCAACAGAAGAACTGGATGCCTTCAAAGACGACGAAGAAGTCTCATCGCATGGCTCAGTAGTATGGCTCGAGGGTCCAGTGGGTGGAATTGTGTGACTTGAAAGATCACTTGAGTGGCTGACTGGTGCAATTGAAGAACTAGAAGGTCCCCAAGATGAAGCACTTGAGTGGCTCGAAGGTCCCCACGAGGAAACAGTCGAGTGACTAGATGGTGCAAACGAGGAGCCCCAGGAGCTAGAAGGTCCGCTTGGCGAAACAGATGAGGCACTCGAGTGACTAGAAGGTCCAGAAGGGATTGAGTGACTAGATGGAGCAACCGAGGAAACAGTCGAGTGACTCGATGGAGCACTTGAGTGACCAGATGGTGCAACTGAGGAGGCACTTGAGTGGCTAACTGGTGCAATCGATGAGCTCGAAGGTCCAGAGGAGCTGGATGCCTTCACAGACGACGAAGAAGTCTCATCGCATGGTTCAGTAGTATGGCTCGAAGGTCCAGTAGCTGGAATCGAGTGGCTGGAAGGTCCCCAAGACGAAATAGTCGAGTGAGATGAAACACCACTTGAGTGACTAACTGGCGCAATCGAAGAACTAGAAGGTCCCGCAGATGAGATTGTCGAGTGACTAGATGGTCCCCAAGACGAAGCGGTCGAGTGACTAGATGGTCCCCAGGAGGATACAGTCGAGTGACTTGAATGTCCAGCAGATGAAGCACTAGAGTGGCTCGAAGGTCCCACAGAAGAAGCACTCGAGTGGCTCACTGGTGCAATTGAGGAGCTCGAGGGTGCAGCAGAAGAGCCAGATACCTTAACAGAAGATGAAGTTTCATCGCATGGTTCAGTAGTATGGCTCGAAGGTCCAGTAGGTGGAACTGAGTGACTTGAAAGTGCACTTGAGTGACTTACTGGGGCAATTGAGGAGCTCGAAGGAACAACAGAAGAACTGGATACCTTCAAAGACGAAGAAGGTTCTTCACATGGCTCAGTCGAATGGGTAGAAGTTCCCACGGACGAAACAGTAGAGTGACTTACTGGTGGAACCGAAGAACTCCAGGAGCTAGAAGAAGGCTCGTCACATGGCTCAGTTGAGTGACCAGTTGGTCCAGTTGATATAACACTGGAGTGGCTAACTGGAGCAATCGAGGAACTAGAATGTCCAGCAGAAGAACTGGATACCTTGATGGATGACAAAGAAGTTTCATCACATGGTTCACCCTTGTGTCCACCATCTCCTTGGTGTCCCCCATGTCCTCCATGGTGATCACCTTTGTGTCCTCCGTGATGTTCACCTTTGTGTTCACCCTTGTGTCCACCCTTGTGTTCACCCTTGTGTTCACCCTTGTGTTCACCCTTATGTCCACCTTTGTGTTCATCAGGACAAGGCTCTTCATCATGGCCACCCTTGCCATGCTTACCGCCTTTACCACCTTTGTCGTGTTTGCCATGTTGCGGTTGTGGCCACCACCAGTGATTATTCTTCTCTTCCTTTCCTCTTTTGTCGTTCTCTCCGCCATGAGAAACGAACGGATTCTTATCATGGTGATCACCAGAACCAATCCATGGTATAAAGTGACCGTTGACAGCAACGACTAGACCAGTATAAGCAGCGATTGTGACGAACTTCATTGTCAGTTTGTTCTTCTTCTATGTCTGAAGAGAGCTCAACTATGAAGTTAGTTGGAGGTCTTTGCCGGGAGTCAATTGAGGATTCTCCACCTGCAAAAGTGTTTTATATATCAAAACACCTTTCACAGCCATGGAACTAATTGCATCTTCAACTGACACAACCTCGTGCTGCTCCAGTCCCAAAACGTAACACATTAAGCCAAATGAAACATTATTTGGGGACCCTGTGCAGCATCAAGGGGGAATTTTAACACAATTAATGCACTTTATCGCCAGTGATGATGTATCCTAACCATGAAGGAGAAGTTTCCAAAGGTTCTTTTTACCTCGTCGTGTAGCATGATAGCAATAGTGCATCCGAAACTCACTAGTAAAGATAGTGATTTTGCAGCCGTTAAGCCGTTTCAGAATCCTGCACGGGTCGACCTTGCAGCATGCATGGACGGGCGCTCAAAATTTATCCTAGTTTCACCACAAGGGGCGCCGCACCCACATGCATACTTCGATGCCTGTTAGCCGTTTAATGATTCCCGAAATGCTCCAAGATATTCATCTACCAAATATCAAACTTTGAAAATTGGATACAAAGATAGAGTATACCATTTGGGCAACTGATTGGCTGCGACTTATCACCCAAGATAAGCCCAAATAGCAGCCTCATTCAGAGCAAGCCACGACTAATTTAGACGAATCATGCAGCTCAGCTCGAAACGAAAATTCTGCCCCTTAACGTTTGGCAACGGTGTGCAGAACATTGGCTGCAACAACGCGCACATGGCATTGATTATCTCTATAGCCCAAACCGGTCAAATTGACGGGTTCGAGAACCAGAAAATGTTTGCAATTAAGGTTTAGCAAATAGTAAGTTCAACCGAACAGTCCGTAGTTGTCCGGATTTCATATTTAGACCGTACTTCATGAGGTCTAGTTTCAGGCTCTTCACATGATAGTGCGGCAATCGCAAATTTCACATCGACAAATTTCAAGGAATTGCTCTATGGATCTCCGATACGCCAAACTTCCAAGCCTATAATTTCGAATCGCGACTCCTTGGCATTTGGTCTTGAGCCACTGGCGTGGCTGGACCCACATAGAACCTCGTTACCGAAGGTTTCGCAATAAGCTGAAACACCGCTGCAGAGCAGTTTGTCGATCCATATGCCGTTGTGGCCATCGGACGACCCGATAGCAATGAATTGGCTATTGGAGTAAATAATATTATCGTTAATACCAGTGTAGACGAATGCCTTAAACCGCATGCTACCGTCTCCAGTACGTTCACATTTCCATAAAAAGCACTCCCCATTACCGTAGTACCGTTTGTGTTCCATCAATCGCAAATTCTCGTTGAGATAGCTCCCGAAGATTGCTCCCGTAGAGTCCTGAATCACCAAAACGTACCCTACTGGCCGTCTGATTTCATTGTGGTACTCATGGCTCCCCACCATGGAATTCACCACCAGACTGGCGTATCCTGCGTCTACGGTTTTCCGTTGACGTTTCACTTGTGCCACTTGCTGATCTCTATCATTGTTCCGGTAGAGCGAGCGAAGTGAAATTCCGTCCTGTTCCATCGAGTATACCAAATTCCATTCCGACGCCAATTGGAGACGTCGAGGCACAAGATTGCGGATATTATGTGCCAATTCGCCTCCTAGAAGCCGTCTGCGTGTGGTTTCTTTGTAACCGACAAGTTTCAAGTCGGAAAGTGGCGGCAACTCATCTTCTCTTTCTGGAGCTTGTGGGTTGCTATTTTCTTGTTCTTTGCTTTCGCTTCCTCTTCTCATTAAGCGATCCAAGAGCGATGGTCTCTTTTCTATCTGTTTCCGGGGCAAAGAACTAGAAGTTTCTATGTCCACTACTTCTTCTTTTTCGTTGTAAACACGTTGATCTTCAGGGTTGCTTGTCAATTTCTCTTCACTCATATTTGATCTGGATGTGAAAAAGTGTATTCTTGTTTCTTAGAGAAATGCTCTTTATGCTGGAAACGTTTCGATTGGTCAAAAACACTTCAGTATAATATTTAGTGTAGTAGGAGGGGTAGGGTATCTGTGACCTTTTAGAGTGAGGTACTGCAGACGGGCAGATGCCGATGGGTTGCAAAATATGGCCGTAAAAGTCTACGAAATTAAATAATTGAATGACATTGTAAACCTGGATTATTCACATCTCAACCACTGGCTTGCTACTCTCGTGCCTTGAATTGCATGAGACCTGTCAAAAAATCAACCCCTATTTTTACACTGTCTATGAATTGCAACGGAAACTTTTCCGCCAACTTTTTGTCAAGTCCGGCCATCCCCGCACACCCAAGAAGTACACAGTCAATTTCGTCATCCTTGTACTCATCCAAGAACCCACTGACCTTTTTTTCGATTTTGGCAAATTGTTCTGGATCACTGAGATTGGTGACATTGACATCCAACGCTCGAGTCTTCTGAAATTTGCCACTGGGGAACAGATCAGCCCCTACAAAGTCCACAATTGCTTTATCCAAAAGCGGGAGCCACTCGCTGACGCTTGTTAACACAAACAGCTTCCGAATTGTGCCGTTCAGCAATGCATAAAGAAGGGTAGCTTGCATGATTCCCATGACTGGGCAGTCCACCAACTTCGCCAATGAACGCACTAGCGGATGGTCTGAGTAGCAGCACACCAAGATGCCATCGTAGTTCAACTTCTTGTCTTTTAAGTCATCTAGAACAACTTTCTCCGATTGCTGAGAAGTTTCCTCTCCTGTTATCTCCTTGGGCGCCGAAGGTGGAGCCGTATAAAATGAGAGTTCCACTGTGCTCGGTGCCAACACCGTGTCACGCAAGTTATCTGTGACTTTCTGCGACGAATTTGGGTTCAAAACTAACACCTGGTACATTGCAAATGCCCAGTCGCAATCGTCGCTGATAACGATCTGGTGCACCGGTGTGTTCCGGAAAGGCGTCAGCTGATGCGCTACCCTGTGTGCAGCTCATTGTGCAACCACTTTGCATGTTTGTAGTGGTGTTAAAAGATGGCAAAAGTCGACGAATTTGGAGCCGGACAGTCTGTGCGTTGGCTGCTGTGTCTGAAGGTATCAAGTTTGTAATCAGTCAGCGCCAGCTTTCGATTTCGGCTATAAACGGCGCCAGAACAGCTCATGGCGAAATCGTCTTTGATCGGGATTTTTTTCATGATTTTTATGTCGACTTTGACCATGTCTTGAGAGACGGTTATGAAGCTGGTGATGGAATGGAGCGTCAGCATGAAGATGGACATCATAAGGAGATTGCAACGTACTCTTTTTTGGTTAATTCGAAGCATTTGGTGACGTTGTTTAAGACCCTCGATGTCAACGATTTAGAGTATATTTGCCTCAAGGTGTACTGGAATGAAGCCACAGTGGATGCTATGAAGTACAAGCTACTCATTGAGATCAAAACGAAGAAATTGGTGGTGAAAAAGTACCAAACCTCGTACCAGCCCGTAGTACGAAATCGGCTACTCGTGGCCGAAGAATACAAATGGCAGCTTCTGCAGAACAATGACGACATCACATTTTTGAAGATCGACCAGGTGATACCTAGGCAGTTTCTCGATATGATACCGACTGCTGTGGATGATTTTAAGCTTGAAGTGCGCAGCCACAAGGTGATGTTCAGCGGCATCAAGAAGGCAGTTGTCAAGGACCGTGATTACCTCAAACAGCCAATGGCGGTCACGGTGACTTTGGGGCTTCGTGACCTCATCGACACGAACTTACGGGAGGAAACCGACGAGTCCCGTAGAAAACTGATAGGGTTTCGGCTTCGTGACTTTAAGACATTCATGTCCTTGATATCTTCTTTGGGCTCCACCTCGGACGAAAATGGACCCGATTATGACCTGGACGAGGGACTTTCGATATACTTGAAGCAGCCAGGAGACCCAATAGTGTTTGAACTCTGCAACATAACAAACGTCAAGATACAGTTCGTCCAGATCACCAATACCGCATCCTCTGAAGAGGGCAAAGAGATTAAAATTCCGCACCATGTGGTACATGAAATCAACAAGGCACCAAGTACGGCTCCTCCAGCAAAACGTCACAAGAAAATGTTATTAATGAACCCAACTATTCCCTCACAAGAAACCGCTACTCAGTTTATGAACTCGGGTCGTTCATCTTCACCCGAGCCTCGAATTGCATACGACCTGGCGCTCCGAACTCGTTCCACGGACCAACTCTTCGTTGAAGAACACAGCCAGCCTCACTCTCGTGGTTCGGACTCGAGTAATGACTCCCATAGCGACCAGCCGTCGCAATACGGTCCCACCCAGCAAACCACCGTCAAGTCAATATTTGACTGAATTACAAAAAACCAAATTAGGTGCATTTATTCATAACTTTACACACTATCCACTCCGAACAACACTCACGTCCAACACCCACATCCAACTGACCCTATTTCGTCTCCGTGACAGCCTCGACAGCCTTCTTTGATGAACCGTAATGGTGATTCACCCACCTATAACCCTGACCCAATTGAGCCAATTCGTTCACAAAATGACATCCAAACAACAAGTAGTTTTGAGGAGTCACAGCCAATGAGTACCTCATGAATGTCAATGAGTATAAAATCAACGATCCGGTCATTGGTCCACTGATCAAATCAGGGTCTTTTTTCAAGTCCATGACGGCAGCGACAGGAATACCAAAGTTGGACACCGGTCCCCAGAAGTGAGTTGTACACACGTATCTCAACGATTGCTTGGAGAACAAAAAGTCTGTGAATTTCTTGAAACTAGACATCGCTCTTGTTCGCGGGAGTCTTTGCCGAAGATATACTCCGGCGAGGCTGTGTGCAGTACGTATATCGGTTCGGGTGTTGGTGAAGTACAGAGGAATCCAGAAATGTTCGAGCTATGAACTCACTTTGTTGTGCCTCGTAGTATTAGGAAAGTTGTTAGTATCGTTTTGGCTTCCTTAAACGAAAATTCTGGTGCAGTTCCTTACGTTTATATCATCGTTAAGAATTTGTGAATTTTTTGCGATTACTAGAAATCATTCAATTCATTAGAAACTTTGTACATATTCATTGATTTCCGTGATGACTAAAGCTAGGAAACAAATCAGCATCACTGCTCGGGTCATACCCAAAGGGAGGATTTATATATTCCTCCGATCCTCCTTCTTCAGCTTTTGGTTGTACCACTTGAGACTTGCCCTCTGGCGCGGAGGAGTCCATAAGCCAACTGCCCTCGCTACCAACTGATGGTTGCACGTGAAGGGGCCGCGGTTGCTCTAAATCACTAGAACTCGATTCGCCTTGCAGGTAGGTTGAACGCAATCCTTGTTGACCTCCATCGTCACTTGGTGAGCTCAAGTAGTAAGGCAAGTTTTCGGGATTAGTTAGCCAGAATGGGTCGCTGAGACTTATGTAGTAAGTATCGTCAAGTTGAGAGTCATCTTCCATCATCATCTGAGTATAGTCGCCGAATCTCTCGTTCAGAATTCTTTGCTGTCTTCGTTCTTGCATAACATTGATGAATCGTATGTTGTTGTTCATCAAGTACAAAATATTAGTCGACCAAAATTTGATGTTTTTTGAGACCTTGGCCAGCAAACGAGATTCAAATGAGTAGAGCAATTTGAGTTTCTCGTCAAGAACTATCAAAAACTTTTCATAGTCAATGACCAGCAGATTATCCGACAAGTTCATGACGCTTGGGGCCTCAATGAATTCCTTGAACTTGTAGTGCAAAAAGGTGAATATCACAACGAAACCTTGGTAAATGAACGAGTTTAAGAATGGAAAATAGGTTCGGAAAAGTTTTCCAAAATGCTTGTCTAGCAATGTGTTCGCACTGCCCGAAAGCTTCTCGCCAAAATCGTCGATGAAGTCTCCGATAAATTCAACGGAGTAGATTAAAAACCTGTCGAGAGAATTAATCAAAATCCTGACTACTTCATCGGCTTGTTCATGCATCCGAAATTTATCGACAAAGGGTTCAAATAATTTGGATCGATTGACGTAAAATATGATCAAATCATGCATCACAGCAGAGCGTCCAATCTTGGAGCGAGACAGAAGTTGGTCACTTGCGCTTTCAAATTGCAAATTCGTATCAGCATTCTTGTTGGTAAGAAGCATTTCCAATTGATTGATTTCAGTCTCGAACTTTCGGTTCAAATTGAATAGATCAGTAATTGTAAAATCGATCATGTAATTTTCAATTAACATCATGTTGGACAAACGAAGACACTCACTCAAACCAGACTTGAGGGCCACCTGAGTCTTTGTCTCCTTGAAATTAAGGCTATCTGACCTCGTGGTGCTTGTTGAACGATTAACGAACGAGTTGACTTGAATTGATATGGGATTTGGTCGACCAAGAATGGAGCATATTTGACCAGTGATATTCCGCAAAGCGAACCATACCACACACTTCTCCAAATCTTCCCTCTCGTCATCTTCATTTATAGTATCCTTATTATTATTGCCAAGTTTGAATCTGCTTAAAACGTGGAGACCTATCAGGTAGGCGACGGCGCTCACGTGAAAAACCATCGACCAGCACTCTTCGTATTTTTGGTCGACAAAATACCACTCACAACACAAGATATAAGCTTGAATGGTGACAATCGACTCGTTCAACAAGTTGTGGCGAAAGCTGACAAAAGAGTGGTGGAGAACATCCTTAGACAAATACGACTTGAATTTCGAAACTTCCAGTATCTTGTCTTGCGGAAGCAAGCCAAAATCCACAAACTGTGTTGGCGAAAGCCTTTGAACTGCAATCAATATGATCATATAGAGCAAGAGAAGGTCATCGTCGTTTTCCCATTCGCTGTCTTTGATGGACTCGTAAGAATCAAGAAACTGTCGCACGTTGCCTATGACAATAAACGAGGTATAGTAGGAATTTGTTGTGAAGAAAAACTCAATTAATCGCTGAATAACATCGATATTGCGTCGAATAACAACAGGGTCTTTCACGTTGAGGTGAGGATCCCCACCAAGTACGCACGGAAGGTTCTTTTTTTTGAGCGACATTCTCACCCGAGTGTCTTCAGGGTCCTCCTTGTGGGCTTCCTTGACCACCTTGGACTGTTTGGAGGTTTCAGCATCGTTTGTTGTATTATCTCGAAGATTATCCATCATATAGCTCGATGACTGGGGCCCATAGTACTTTTCACCTCCCTCAGAAGTCTCTCCGCTAACATGAATGGGATTTTTAGTCGAATGTTCACCAATAGCACTGGCGACATCCAGTACTGAATTACTACGGGTTTGTTGCGCCAACTTTTCGGTAAGTTTGCGGCTTCCCAACTCCAATCTGAAATTTTCCTCCAAAAGCCGTTGGTTGTGGCGCTTGATCAGCTCCAAGTCGTCGCCATATGACGACATGGTGAATTCTGAAGAGTCGGCCCCGCTGGAAGAAGATATCTCTGCCCGGGAAACCAAGGCAGATTGAGGGTCTAAATGTTCACCCTCATCGATTTTGATATTTCTAAAAGTGGAAGGAAATCTGCAAACGATGGACCTTCGTTCACACTGATTACAGGGCTTCTTTTTGTTACACTTGATCTTCTTGCGGCGACACGAGATACAGGATATGGGGAATGACTCTGTCATGATTAAACTTGGATTGGAACCGGAAATTTAGCGAGATGATGTACTTGGAACTTTAAAAGTAATCCCTAGTGAGTATGTGACTAGCAAAATGTAATTATACCTGTTGAAAGATTCTGGATAACTTCTCGCCTGACTCTCTGGTGAATTAAGGAAAGAAGATATTGCTGCAGGGAGCCACCCAAACTGAATATAGTCAAAGAAGTATTCCCGAAATCAAGTGCGGTACTACCGACGGTGTGCAGGTGCAGAGGTGCAGTCGATGGCGTGCAGGTTAAAATGGTTCACTTGAACCGTTACCTATATCTTCACGGCCCCAACTATGGCTCTTTGCTTTTCCTTGGTCACTCCACTAAAGCATAAAATTGGCCACTCCAATAGATTTGGCCATTATGTGGCGCTTCGACAGATTGGGTCGATGTCTTTTCTCCGGAACTCCGCACTAAGAGATCTCCGAAAAGTATAGAGGCAGGAACTACAGTGCGCGGTTAAAGTCAGTTCGAGGATTTTTAAACTTTATGTTCGCATATGCCGGAATTACTTTTTTCCGCGACCCGGCCACATTGTGGCCTGCGACTCTCCGCGCCACGCGCGCCGCCTAGTATTGTTGGCGCGCTGCATCTAATTTCGATTCCAAACTGATCACCACCGATTCCGCTTACATAAGCAGTTCTTATCAGGTCTCACTTTTGGTGATTTTTTGCGCCCATTTGTTTTCCTATTTATCTGTGGATGACAGATAAAGAGCCGTATTATCGGTCCAAGACCAGTATTAAGCCAGCTCCCGTGGCGCGGCCACGCTCGGTGTATGGTGACGCAGACGAATTGATGTTTAAACTTGCCAAAAACTCGGTTTTGGCTCCATCACTAAAACGTACTAAGCCTCCAATCGAACCTTATTTTGTTAAACAGCCAAACAGGCGTCGCTTGAGTGTTCCTGACGACTCTAGCTATAAGGGGGTTGCTTCGTACCCGTTCCAATGTGCTGATGAGTCGGCAATTGTGTCTGATGACGAGGATGATCTAGAGGACAATGTAATTCAAACCAAAGTGTCACGCCACGGTTCTATGGCCGAGCATAGTCGCCCACCAAGCTCCAGAAACTCGTTCCACCGCTCTGTGAGCGACAATTTTTCTCCAGCGTCATCTTGCTCAAACTCGACCAGCGAACTCACCATTAACAAAACCTTTGACAGGGCCAATTTTTCCATCACTAATCCACGTGTGGCCATCCAAAGACCAGAGTTATTGGAAGACGCTGACGAGTACGTCAACTCCTTGTTTATCAAGAGCAACTTGCCGTATATCGTTACTAACCCCCGCTCCAGAGCGTTGTCTTCGTCGCTCTTCCCGCCTCGAATGATGTCCACCTCGCTCACCAAAGACGACTTTGATGCGGTTACATGTTCTCCAAGCGTCCGAGACGACTTTGATACTGTTCCTAATCAATCGTTTATAGTCTAATTATTTTTTAGTGTGCAATGCGTCTAAGGCAATCATCATTACGCACGGAATCACCAAGTTATCGTTCAAGGTGCTCACACCTTCCAAGATACCTCCTATCAAGCAGCACACAAATACCGGTTCCCAGTCTGCAACTTGCCCGTTCAAGAGATACTGGTCTACCAAGAAAAGTCCACCAAAAGTTATCAATACGAACGCTACAGTTCCCTGGATTGATTTTGGGCCCCCTTTCCACTTGACAGAACCGAACCGCTTGCCAATAATCGATGCTGAGGAATCGCCCAAGCCCAACGAAATAACTCCGAGGAAAGACTTGATGGAAACTCGTTTATCGATACAGTAATCGAAGACCATAGGTAATGAAACCCCGGCTATAAGATATATGTACGACACGTTGAGGGGTCCTTTCAAGTCTTTGAAGTCTTGGAACACAAGCAAGCTTTTAGAAAGCCATTGGCCCACAAAAGTGAAGCGAGTAAACCGGATTATTTCGAGAATGACAAACACAACCGCCGATCCAAGCAAGGCAATTAGGGTGAACTGTGGTTGATCAACATAAGCCGGGTACGTCACCAAGCCCAAAATCACCCAGTGCCATACTTTTCGCCTCAAGTTTAAGCTTATGTGGGGAGCAAGAAAAAACACCAGTGGTATGACAACTGCAAGCACAGCTAACCAAGTGGACAAAATCGACTTGCGCTCGGCAGAGTCAATTATGTACAGCCAGAGCCAGCTGATAGCATTATTGTTTGGAAGGATGGAACTCAATTGGTAGTTTGTTAAGAACACAAACAACGCACCAGACACAACTGCACTTAGTATGCCCACCACAAAGTTTCGGGTGCTCGAGTACAAGAGGAACAAAGGGTACACAAGTGCACTGGTTGAGACGAGACTTATGACCAATTTTTGAAAAATAATCACTGGAAGATTGTACTGATTATTCAAGGCGGTGTAGTGGACGACGTTGCTGAGCAAAACGGAAAACAATTGAATCTCTGCCTGGCATAAACTTGTGTTTGTTCCCGCGCCTATAGGGCTGCTAGACTCTTTCGCCTGGGCCATTGCTTTGGTATCATCTTGCTGAAGGACTTCTTCAGGAATGTCCACCGATGTTCTATCGCTGCCTTTGTTGAAATAGTTCAACAGGTATTGAATACAAGCGTGGAACACAAATATTATTGCAATTGCTTGGGTTGGTGTATTGTCTTCTTCGTCACGATAAATGACAAAATACGCTATTGCCGACCCCAACCGAATAACAGGGTGAACATAGTCCACCACAAAGTAATTAAAGCACAAGTTGAGGTGCAAAGCGTCCGACTTGTAGAGAGCAGCGATGGCAGTGGGGATGAACACCGCATAGATCAAGTTGAATCCTGGAAGTTGGGGCAACGGAAAACGAGCAGGATTCTTCTTGTGGAGCCTCAGCCGGCTCCTATAGCTGAAAATGAACGCCATGCCAACACCAATAGCATTGAAACCAATTTTATACATATTTTCTTTGACGTATTCGGTATTGTACAAATAGAAAGCATGGCAAATAAACGCCAACATTACCAACTGGACAAACTTGGCAAAGTCCAATTCATCATTCAAGAAATCTTGAGCCCCATAGATCACCCTAAACACCACTGATTGACCAGCAATGTCGTCTTCAAGGTCTTTTTCACCGGTCAAAGCTGCCGGATTAGCGGTCAGATTAGCCATCAGTGTAGACAGTTCCACAGCAGTTGTGGAAGTTTCTGGTGGGTTACCCTCGCGAAAGATAGCAGCCGTGGACGCCGCCGTGGGACTTTGGGCCGTTTTGGGAGACGGCTTCTTTCTTGGTGGCATGGGTAGATTTCAAGAAACTGAGCCCGAAAACATAGATAAACTGCATAAAGAGCACTGCATACAGCTCGAGCCTCACTAAACGTAAAAATTTCGAGCGACTTCTTTCGTGCTGCAGATGGCCGTTTCTAGTAACGTCCGTGTAAAATCCTGCACAATCGCTCATTCTGCTGCCAGAGCAAACGTCTGCAAAATTGCTCTGGGGTACATATATAAGGAGCCCTATCCCATTTGTTCATCATTCAAAATGGTTAAAGCTTTAATTGCAGTTACCTCGTATAACGACGTCTTTTACGAAGACGGGGCAAAGACAGGATTGTTCCTTACTGAGGCCTTGCACCCATTTGAGGTGTTCAGAGCTCAAGGTTACGATGTGGATTTTGTGTCTGAAAATGGAACTTTTGGCTATGATGAGCACTCGTTAAGCCCAGATTTCTTGGATGGAGACGACAAGAACATTCATCTCAATGCTCACTCTGAATTCAACATTGGGTTGAAAAATATCAAAAAACCATCGCAAGTCGATGCTTCAGAATATTCCATTTTCTTTGCCTCGGCTGGCCACGGCACATTATTTGACTATCCAAAGGCCAGTGGCTTGCAAGAACTTGCTCAAAAAATATATGCCAAGGGTGGAGTTGTTGCTGCTGTTTGTCATGGACCTGCTATCTTTGCCAACTTGATTGACACCTCATCTGGCAGACCAATTGTTGAAGGCAAGACCGTTACTGGTTTCACCGACAAGGGAGAAGAACAGATGCAAGTCGACAAGATCATGAAGAGCAAGAACTTGGAATCAGTTGAAGAACTCTACAAAAGATTGGGTGCAAAATACTCGGCACCTAATGGACCATGGGATGACCATTCTGTTGTAGATGGCAGAGTTGTTACTGGTGTAAACCCACAATCAGCAAACTCCACAGCTAAGAAAGCGGTGCAAGTTTTGTCGGAAGTGAAGGGAATTGATAAGGTCACTGGTTAAAGAAGAGGAAATAATGAAAATTAAGCATTGAATAAACAGGTGATTGAACCAACTTGAGTGTAGTAACATGGTATTCTATGGATTGTAGTTGAATTGGTATTCTATGAGTCCTTAGTTATCAGCTCTTTTTTTCTTTTTTATTCATGGTTCATTGTCCAACCCAACAGACTTGGATCGAAGACTGCATTTTAACTTTGCAGCATTTTCAGATCTTTTTTCGCAACTATTCCTCTACGGCTTTTAGCTGCAAACTGGTCGATGAACGTCAAAGTAAAATGTCGGCCGGTGTCAATGCTAGTCACTATGAGCTGTAGCTGCTTTTAACTGTTTATTAATTTAAGAGTTTTACTCAAGTCTTCATAAAAACGAATTCTACTTTTGAATTCATACCCGTGCATACATTAAGAACCATTCAAGCAGTACATGTGAGTACAAACCACTGATAAAGCCAGCTGCCCGAGACTCATCTCCAATAACATAAGAAGCGGATTTGTTCCCGAGTTCATTCTGTGAAAGAAGTAGCACCATCTACCGCTGGGTTGTACCAATATTGTGTGTCAAACTACATCATTCAGTCTGATGCTAGTACGGTCACTTTCAACGCTATCGGTCGCTCTCAAGCGGCACGCTCTCTTAGAGCCTTTCCATCAGGATGTTTAGGGAGTGTATCGGTGCTCAGGGATTGTATCAGAAAGAGCACACTCCTCGTCGGAAAACACTATAAATACTCAAATCCCTCAACCGAAACATTCAATGTTCTTCACCTCAAGACCAGCTTTTGATCGAAGAAAAGTTGTACTGGGTAGTTATACTGGTACAGCTAAAAGTAGGCATTGGTATATGTGGAAACTCTGATAAGCCTATCAAATTGACGCAAACACCTCGAGTCTTTTGATGCGAGGAATATGATAGCATGGATATCTCTTCTAGTTTACTCCAGTCAGACAACAAGAAGGAAGACATGGAAGCACTGAGCCGACTTTTCATAAACATTATTTCACCATGATACTAAAGAGACTAATCTACATTCAAATACAATGTTTCCGCAAAAAGTTTGTTATTTTCAAATCTTTAGTAAAGAGAAGTGCTCACTTCTGCCCCACGTTGCGTTCGTTAACTCTTCCAGCATATGTTTCACTTCCTATCTATTCCCCACCTTTTTACCTGCAGGCCCGTCCCAACATCACCAAATTTCGCTAATTTTTTAAACTAAACCACCAATGGGTTCTGCTTTCAGTAGCTTGAAATTCTATTTCAAGTCTGTGGCTTTCGGCGTCTTAATATCTGTATGTGCCCTCTACGGAGTGTTCGCTTCAATCTTTCTTAGAATTATTGGAAAACCCCAATATGCTCAATACACTGTAGCAAGGGCATTTTATTATTCGTTTTCAACGGTTTTGGGGGTCAAAATAAACATCAAAAATGCCCACTATTTGAACGAGAAACCAGCAATTGTGATTTCTAATCACCAGTCAGCTTTGGACATTCTTGTTCTCGGCAAAACGTTTACTCCAGGAATGACTGTGACCGCCAAGAGAGCCTTGAAATTCTTTCCATTTTTAGGATGGTTTATGCTTGCGTCAGGCACCTTTTTCTTGGACAGAACTCGTGGAGAGAAAGCGAGAAAGGTATTGGATGGTGCTTTGGCCAGTTTGAAGAGGGACAACAGGGCTCTTTTCATATTCCCTGAAGGAACCAGATCAGGTACCACCAAATTGGATCTTCTTCCATTCAAAAAAGGTGCTTTCCACTTGGCCAAACAGGCCCAGATTCCTATTGTACCCTTTGTTGTTAGCAATACTTCGGGAATTTTCCATGCTTCAACTCGAACCTTTAATCGTGGAGAAATCACCATCGAGGTATTACCTCCCATGTCCACATCACACTTGGAAACTAACGAGCAATTGAATGACTTTGCTCTTGAAGTACATGATAAGATGAAGACCACGCTCCAGAATTTGGGATACTCCAAAGTGCCTGGATTCAAAAAAGAAGAAACAGCTGTAGAAGCATTAGACACAGACGACACAGACGAAGTTGCAATCGAAAGAGTTCCCGAGCACACTCCGCTCTTGTCTAAAGATTAGTATTATTTAATGTATGGAATATGTATTGTGTATGCACTTAATCTGCTATGACGGCTCTCTTTTTCTTTTTCTTCTTGGTCTTTATCTCAGTTCCTGGCCCTTCACCGTTGCTAACCAGTTCCTCCCTAGATTCAGACTTATCCGCTTTTGAATCAGTTTTTGTAGATTTTGTAGATTTTCCAGCGTCCGTTTTCGTATCAGATTTCGATTTCGATTTCTTCGACTTCTTCTTCAGCTTCTTTTCCACATCCTCCGCTAACAGCTTTCGAATTGCGTCCAAATCTATGTTGTACTCGTCAACTCCAGGTGTGGTTTCTTTCGCGGACGATTCAAGGTCAAACCCTTCCAAGTTCGAAGCGTCAATCTTGAACACATTTGCCGTCTTTTTTTGTGGTTTTTTGATCACTGGTTCTTCCGGTGCTGGAGATGCATTACCAACAACCTCGTCATCAAGAACCATGACTTTCTCCTTCTTCAAAACCTTTGACTTGAGCGACTTAGGTCGCTTCGACTCACCAATCTCAGCCAAAGACAGAAGCAGTGGAGAACGAGTCTGATCTGGCGACGGACTCAGTGGCTTCGGTTTGCGTTTTGCCGAAACCTTACTCTTCTTCTCGTCGGACTTCAAGTAGTATGGGTCATCTTGCAAACGAGCTGCTCGCTCTTTCTTTCTCCTAGCTTCTTCACGTTCAACATCAGAATCAGGCAAGATCGAGTTTTGCTCACTGCTCAGCTGTTCTTCGATATAAGTATCATCATAAAGCTCATCTTCGGCTTCATCTTCAAATCCTTGCAATTCTTCGGAGTGCACGATTTGTCTCTCAAGATCAAGTTCTTCAGGGAAAGGAACATTGCTCTGTGAGTTTTTAGCCACAGGCCGTATCTCGTGTGACTTGAGCATAGACGATAGAATTGGATGCAAAAGCATGGGTATACTTTCCAACTCATTAGCCGTTTCTGGTTTTGCTCCACTCTCCGATTGTAGGTCGTTCAATAGAGCAAGGGCCCGGCCCTCAGCTGCCAATTCAAACGTTTCCAGATCGTCTGTGGCAAGAACACTCACTTCAGGTTCTTCCGATTGCACTGACTCGTTCAGAGACATATTAGAGATGAGATTCTCGTCAGAGTCACTGTCGCTGCTATTCTCCAGATCAAGCTCTTGCTCAAGTTCCTCGCTGACCTGGAGTTTCTTGTAGTACTCGAGGTCTTCAAGTTCCAACTCTCTTATGGGTGCCAAATCTCCGCCCATCATAGCCTCTAAGCATAGTTTCAAAAACTCCAACCATGACAAGCTACGCTCCTGTACCTCATAATGGTAATGTTGCTCGAAATTACTCAAGAAATTGATCAACTTTGAAAGAAAATAGGCCATTTGAATAAACTTGTCTCGAGGAAGTTTCCCGTTGACACCATATAATGTGAGGTAAGTGTTCAAAATACCACTGTAAAGCTTCACTAGAGCTTGGATAAGCAGTGTTAACACATCAGAGTCAGCAAGGAATCTCAATTTGTCCGATATCGGAAAGTGTTTCTTGGAAGTTCGCTTCAATGAAATATCGATCTGACAATTGACCAAGGTGTTGAAAATCGACACTTGAGACGAAAGCTTCAGCCCAAGACTTTCCACCTTTGTTTCATCTTCCTCATCATAACCAACGTATTCGATTTCATCGACATATTCGCCGATAATCCAATAAATGTACTTCAAAAAAACCGGGCATACCTCCAAAATCCGCGTATCTTGAGTAGCATCTATAATAACCTGATTCAAGATTGTGGGACGAAGTGATGGTACTTTTATGCAAAGGGAAACATATTCATTTCCAATAAGGTTCGCGATAGTTTTGGTTGATTCGAAAGATATGAGGTTGTCTGCAACAAGAGATTCTGGGAACAATGACAAGTTAAAAATATCCTTTAAAACAGCCACATACCACTTAAAATTGGGGATATTGGAGTAATTGTTTGATGAAGCAATAGACACAATTTTGGAGGCAATGCTAACCCTCAAGCGTTCTGGTATCAGTTTAGGGGACGGTTTACCGTCCAATGATTCTGGAGGCATAAGTTGAAAGAGTAGTTTCTTCACAATTTCTCCTATGTTATCTTCATTCACAAGTAGATCGCACAACTCTAGTGCCTTCTCTTTTATGATGATATCGTTTCCGCCCAAGTGAGCCAACACAAAGCTTCTGACAGCTCCATCGTCGATTAAAGCTGGAAATTTCTTGAGAATCTTGTACATTGTCAAAAGGCCCACGAATACCAAATTGTAATCACTTTTGGCAAACATCAGCAACAACTTATCGAGGCATAGCTTGCCCGTTTCTTGGTCTCTTGAGGAGTCAGCAGAGAGCATATCACCACTAACTATGCAGTTTATGCATTCGTAGATCAACGAATAGGCATTAGTCTTCGTCATGAGCTCGACTATAGACGGCATTATTCTCTTCTTCATTCTGGGCTCGACTTTAGACAAGCTTTGGAATAGCTTGAGAATGCGAATTACAAGCCAATTGTTGCTGGTGTTATTCATGATGGAGAAGAATTTTGGAAGGTAACCAACAAAGATATTTGGGTTTTTCTTGCTGATTTCACAGATAACGTTTATCGTTGCACTGACAACGGCGGTATCTTCGTCGTCGAGCTTGTCGATGATTCTTTGGAAATTGGCCCGTAAACTTTCTGGGTATTGAAGAATGACTTTGTACATTGCCAACATCGCCTTCTTTCGTATGTAAGGGCTGGAGTGGCTGAGCTTCATCACCACATCGTCGTTGATATCTTTGGCCAAATTTGGAGTCACAATGGTCGCAATGCCGCTGAGAGCAAGGCCAATTTCCGTGTGGTTGTATGAATTGAGGTCTTTTTTGAACTGATTGGTGGCTAAGATAAGAAGATCCTGGTCGTTTTTGAAGGATTGGATCACCGCCAAGTAGCCTATTCGTTTCTGTTGGAATTTGGACGATGCCATCACTTCCAAAATCTGGAAATTGCTCCACGACATATCAAACCCATACATCTCCAAGTACGTGAGCTTCAAGATGGCCATGGCCTTTGTTTCCAAGTCCGAGGTGGCAAGCTCATTCTTACATTCCACAATCACGGTGTCGAAAAACTGCAGAAGGCTCTCTGGCGACTCCTTCGAATGGCCTCGTATACCCTTTATTAGGTCAGTTAGAGACTTCTCAAACAGAATCCCGAACGGCTTCAAGCGTGCCAACACTTCGGAGTTCTGTAGCTGGAACGACATGTCCAATTAATTCCAGTGCCGAACCGCTGGTGTTGTTCTACGATTCGCACCAATGCCCCAGGTTGGCTCCACCTCGCGCGCTTATGTGAAGGACGCAACTTTGGAGCTACTGCTATGGACCAAGATATGTCCACACCAACGCCACCTGAGGAGCCAGAAATGGCTGATTTGGACACTGGACAACCTGGCGACTCCTCTTCAGAGTCGTTTTTTCTGAGCGAAGACGCAGAACTGGCAAATAATTCCCATAATGACTACCAGTACATGAGCATCATGGACCATTCCAACTACTTATCCAACGCATTGTCGTCAGCTATGGAGTCTATCGAGCTCGACAAGTCACTAGCACTACAGGCACAATTGAGTGGTAACCTAAATAACGAACGTCAACGACTTGTGGACAAACAGGAAGAAGTACTTGCCAAGCTTCAACACATACAAACCATGTACAATAAACACTTTCGGCCCACAACTGATACCCGAGGCTCACACAGTCGAATATCCACCCTCGAACTGGAATTCAGCCGAATCGAGGGCCATATAAACCGGTTGAAATACGGCAAAGATTCGTCTCACTTGGCATCGATCTTCAAGACCAAAACACCTGGTATAGTGGAGTCCCATCCTGTGGAGTACAATAAGGCGAGAGACAAGATACTCGAGCGCCAAATTGACGAAAGCGAGAGCTAGAGAAACGAAACCATGAAATTTTAGCAAATAACGGCAATTAACAGAACTTGAGAATAACGAGCAGACGAGCACATGAAATATTCACCTTCTTATTTACTGACCGTCACTTATATATAATGCCCAACCCGTCGAGCCAAGACCCGCAGTATCCATACATGCCTATGATTTCAAAGCCATGTGGCACCTCGAGAGTTGTGAGATGGCCTCCAGAAGCATTGCCATACATATCAGAACTTCTTCTATCGGTTTGAAATTGAACTGCGTCTATCCAGGCTCCATTCATAACACGAAACTTGACTATTTTCTCACCAGGCTGCAACACAAATTCCGAATAGTCGGGTTTTTCGTTGCCGATGAGAACAGACTTCATAGCCAAATTTGAGCCTCTTGGGGTCAGAGCACGGTCCTTCAATTTCCTAGACAATTTGTCCAAGTAGTTTCTTGGAGGAACCGGTGGAGCAGGCTGACTGGACTCTGAAGATCGAAAGAAGAACCGTATACCATCTAGAGCTCCTCCGTGGTAGATATGAATTTTCTCCACATGGTCCAAGTCGAGCCCAATCACCTGCTCAGGCTTATCTTTCTTGTTACCCAAAAGTTGACCCCGAATACCGCTAAGTTCTCCTCTGCCTAACCCAAAGTCACCTTTAATCACATTATCTTTGGAAGAACAGTACTTTTTAAAGTCCAGAATGTAAAGGTCGCCAGCCACCGACAAGACTCTGATGTCAAAATTCTCTCCAGCGTCATTCTTTCGCAGCTTGAGCTCCTGGTAGCATTGCTCGTAGTCTAGCATGATTTCTTGCTGCAATCCCGTGCCGCGGTAAGACTTTGGAAGATAATCGTGGTGCACTCTTGCCAAGTCACCTGAGCAGATTTCCACCATAAAGATACCCGAATCACATAATACCATCACCCCGTTGTTGGGAGTCAAATAACTTGTTGGTGCTCCGCCGCTGTCCCTATACGAGCGATTGGGCTTCATAGTAGTTGTGAATGTCTTGCGGAACCCAGGGTCTTGTTCGTCCACTGGTATGGAAAACGAATCGTGATAAAAGTATCTCATCAAATCCGTATCGTGCCAATGACACGAATTCGACCAAGTTCCGTCTCTTCTTATCATGTCTCCTCTCGTGTTTCTCTTCAACGACTCGAGTTCTCTAGTCATAAAAGAACGATTCCACCAAACGTAGTCTCGCAACATTACCCCGGATTCCTGATGAGGGCTTCCAAACGAATGGCCTATTTCGTGCATGAACGCACCCATGGTTATATTGCAACATTCCCAGCTGGTTCCACACTCGCCGCAATCGTTGGCTACGTCTTTACCGAGATGGGTGGCATCCAAGAATGAGGGAGTAATTTGGGCAAAGTTGACCGGCCATGAGTGTAGACCATGCGACCCAAAAATCGCAAGTTTGACTTCATTAGTTCCTCCTCCTAAAGCAGCATGGGTCAAAATCATATCCAACTTGGCGTCATAGTGGGAGTCCAAGTAAATACAGGCCGCCTGAATAGGAGTATCTCCATCTTTGTATGTCTTGAATATCTCTGGAGTATTCAGCACAAGATGGTTGGCATGGCCAAAAAGTTCGCCGGTTTTCTTGCCCTTGGGGTTCTGTTGAGCAATATCCGGGTCTCTTAACTCGGCCACTGTCAAGGGAGACCGAAGAACATGTACTTTGACTTCTTGGTGTGGAGTTGGTGATTCAACATTGTAACCGAAAATGCCCTGGTGCAGCACCGTTTCTTCGACAAACTGAAAAGACCGATTGCTAAACCCTACTCTTCTCATTTCGTCCTGGGTGAATGCTTGCATCATTCTAGCAGCCACTTTAAGTCGCTTTATGGCGGTTTGAAGGTTGGCCTGTTCACCTCTTTGGCGCTTATAAGCTGGCAAGTCGTAGGTTCCAGTCGAGTCCTTGGCCACAATCAAACACAAATGGACCGGCTTGTTGTTCAATTGCTTGTAGTTCAACACAAGATGTCCCTTTTCCGATACTTTTGGTTTACCGTTAAATGCCCCAAAACCATATGGATCAATCACACCATTTGCATAAACCTCGACCTCAAAGTTGTTCACACCTTCAGAAACGTGAACGTATGCTTTGAATTGACCCTCATTAACCTCAAACGTCTGTGGAGGAAACACTTTGTTTGCATTGTTGGTGAACTGGATGGTTCCACGATTGACTTTGGTGGTTCCATTAACAATGACAAGAGGAGAAGAAACGATCTCATTATCGTGAAATGCGAAGGAAACCATATCAAACTGGAGCTGTCAATGCAGATAGTAGTAGATATTGGCAAAAGTTCAAATATAGTCACTTTCCTGTAGCTGTCCTGTAGCGCCTGTTCCGCAGCATCCACCACGAGGCAGTCCGAGCCGCACTTGCGCAGGAGACATTCAAGAATTTTGGTAATGAGGTACGAAAAGCCGAAGGAAAAGAGAAAGATTCCGGTAGCTTATCACTAAACCAGAATCAGCTAATAAACGAAAATCGGCTAAATTCCTAATACCTAAAAAATATGGCCCTTGGTGCTGATGGCCATTGTGCAGTACTGTGGGGTTAAAGCGATGTCTGCCTGCAGTTGTATCATTGTATGAAGAGGTCAGCGGCCGCAATTGCTGCCGCACTGCATTGGAACGGCACAAAGTCCAAGAAGACCAAGGTTGAATCTGAGGTCGTTTCAGTACCTTCTGATGAAAGTGTAACTGAAATCTCATCCGATGAGCTGCTGACTCTGCTGAAAAATGAGCCGACTCCGCTGAAAAATGAACCAACTTCTGCCATCAAGCTCTTCTATAACCCCAGCTATGAACTCCACGATTCATTGAGCAAGCATGCTTCGGAGTACAATCAGGATACCGTGACATTGAACGAATTGATAGGAATCAAAGACCTTGATGAAACTTTTCAGTTCAACTTTAGTATTGATATACCGTTTTTTCTCACCCACATGCACCCTGAATTTGTCAAAAGAAAGAGAAAAATCACATTTATCACCGGAAGACAGCAATTGTCTGTTTTTGACGAAGAATTGCAAAATCTCTTGTCAATTTTCAATTTAAATGAAATCATCGCCGACCTTCCTGATCGGTTTGGAACCCACCACACAAAGATGATGATAAACTTCTTCGAGAACCAGCTATGCGAAGTGGTGATAATGACGTGCAATATAACCAAATTGGACATTGGTGGTCTTACCCAGATGTGCTGGCGTTCAGGTAGATTGGCTTTGGGTACCACCAAACCTGATTCAATGGGCTATCGTTTTCAGCGAGATTTGACAGACTACTTGAAGCGGTACAAAAAAAAGAAGCTCAGTGAGTTGGCAAACAGAATTATGGAATATGACTTTTCCAGCATAAATGTCGAGCTCGTAGCTTCGGCTCCAGGATATTTCGATATGGACGATATCACTACCAATAGCGAAGTGTATGGTTTTGGTAAATTGTACCAGGTATTGAAGCGCAACAATCTCCTTATCAAAGATACTTCAAAACATCACAATATGCTCTCACAAGTATCTTCAATTGCATATCCTGTGGTGTCTGAAAAGTTTCATACATCGTCCATTTTCACCCATATTTTATGTCCCCTTATTTTTGACGATCCACAATTCAGCATGCTTTCTCCTGGAAGGGAAACCACCAGAAACCACCAAAAATTGTACAACTATACCCCAACTATTGTATATCCTACTGCCCAAGAAGTGAGCCAAGCCAACGTTGGTTTCGGTGCTGGTGCTTCAATTCACTTCAACTACACCAGATCCCATGCCCATGAGAACCAATACAAGCAAAACATCCTCCCTTATCTCCATAAATGGACTTCCAAAGCCGATACCGCCGGCCGTAACCATGTTCCGCCGCACGTCAAGCTCTATCTATGCGATAACGGCGATGAGTGGAAATCCATAAAATGGGCACTTTTGTGCAGCCATAACCTTTCCAAACAAGCATGGGGTGCGCCAAAATCCAAAAATGGTAGAAAATACCATGTAGCAAGCTATGAACTAGGAGTATTGGTTCCTGGAACCCCACACACCCTTACACCAACATATCCCCACGACCACCTGAAAAATTGCTTGGCGCCACTAAGATTGCCTTTCAAGGTTCCACCAGAACCGTACGGTGACTCTGACCAGCCCTGGAGCCCGCATATGAATTTTGGAGAGTTAAAAGACCGTTTTGGTAACACATACCAGCCGTGATTTGCAGCCAAAGCATCCACACACCACCACACCAGTCCAACTCGAATAGATCAGCCTTACATGCAGCACCATCAACGCGTCGCGTACAACAACTCTATTTGCATCTTTTGTACCATTCCCAATGCATATAAAGCGTATTGTTATACAAGGATTCAAGACCTACAAGAATGCCACGGTGATAGATTTGCTCTCGCCTCATCATAATGTAGTAGTGGGAAGAAATGGATCAGGAAAATCAAACTTTTTCGCCGCTATTCGATTCGTTTTATCCGATGCTTATACTCATATGGAAAGAGAAGAGCGCCAGGGACTCATCCACGAGGGCAATGGAACCGTAATGTCGGCTTACGTGGAGATCATTTTCGATAATACTGATCGAAGGCTTCCAATATCGAAGGATGAAGTCGCAGTTCGGAGAACCATTGGTCTTAAAAAAGACGACTATTCGCTCGATTCAAAGTCAGCGACGCGTGCTGATGTGATGAACATGTTGGAAAGCGCTGGATTCTCGCGTTCAAACCCCTACTATATCGTTCCTCAGGGAAAAATTACCGGTTTGACCAACTCAAAAGACGCTGACAGGCTCGCTCTCTTGAAAGATGTCAGTGGGGCAAAAGTGTTCGAGACAAAGCTTAAAGAGTCACAGAAGGAGATGATGAACTCACATCACAAACGAGACCGTATTGATGAAGCGTTGAAGTCGATCGATGACCGGCTTTCCGATTTGCAGATCGAATCAAAGGATTTCAAAAAGTACCAAACTTTGGACAGAACGCGTAAAGTGCTCGAGTTTAAGATTTTTGACCGTGAGCTTTCGCAGTTGTCCAACCAAATTGATGAAATCATCGAGAAGCAAGACTCCTTCTCGGGAAAGTTACAACAGGACCTCGCCGAAATCGAAAAGAGAGAACGTGTATGCATCCAGTTGGAAGAAACCATCTCCAAATTGAACACCAGCCTCAAGGTAACGACTTTGGAACACGATCAAATAAATTCAGAGGTCAAGCAAAAACTCTCAGAACAAGCTGACAGAGAACTTAAACTTAAGGAATTAAAGACTCAACTCGAACGTGATGAGCAGGAGGCTGCTCTGCTGAAGCATCTGATTCAGCATTATGAACAGCTTGTTCGAGAATCCGAAAATAAGCTTCAAGAATTGCGTCCAAGGTTAGAAAAGGAGCGAAAGAGAGAGTATGAGATACGAGCAGAATTGCAGCAATTATCTTCTAAGCAAAGAGCATTATATTCGAAGCAGAACAGGTTCCTGAAATTTTTTAGTAAAGATGAACGTGATCAATGGTTGCAAGAAGAAATCAAGACGCTCACCACCGAAGTTGCCGAGAAGGAGGCGAAACTCACCCCAATAAACGAGCAAGTTTCTCAAATGGAGGAAGAGATATCACAGTTTACTGAGAAGGTCAGCCAGTTGAACGACGTACTTTTAGGTGGCGATCGGGCTGATATATTACTGTCCTTGCGGAGCAAGAGTAGTGAACTCAAGGCACGTATCACTGAACTTACCGACAAGCGGAAGAGCCTTTGGAGAGATGAGATGAAATATCGAAGCATGCAAGATTCATTAGCAAATGATCTTCAAAATGCCGAGCACACTGTTAACCAGACGATGGACCAGGCACAAGTACAGGGTCTAGCTGCTGTATCACGTTTAACACAACAATTGAATTTGACAGATTCTGTATATGGACCTCTCGCTGAGTTGTTTCACGTTAATGACAAGTACAAGACGGCAGCAGAGCTCATTGCAGGAGGCTCATTGTTCCATGTGGTTGTCGATAATGATAAAACTGCAGCCATTTTGATGGATGAGTTGATCAAAACTAAATCCGGAAGGGTGTCGTTTATTCCGTTGAACAGAATGAACCCACCTGTAGTATCTTATCCCGATGGCCAGGTACACAAGTGCATCCCTTTGATAAAGAAAATCAAGTATTCCGATGAGAATCTCGAACCTGTGATGCGGCAAATATTTGGTAGAGCATTGGTATGCAGCTCGTTAGCGAGCGGATCAGAACTAGCACGCCTGTTTAACTTAACTGCCATTACGCTTGACGGAGATAGAGCAGACAATCGTGGAGCTCTCACTGGTGGTTTCCGCGACTACAAGAGATCTCGGCTCGAAGCTTTAGAAATTCAGAAAAGAAAGAGAAATGATCTTAAGAAGACAGCAGATGACCTCGAAGAATGTTTGAATGCAATTGAGAAAGTGAATCAGGACATTACCGCTACGCAAAACTTGTTGCATCAAAACACGAAAGAATTGGAGGGCTTGGAAACATCCACCGAACCCATGAAAGAAAAGATAGCACAACTTGAGCAAAAGATTTCCAATAATCGCCAATCAGTAGATTCGCTTAACAGAACTATTGACACGCTTCAAAGCAACAAGGAAAGTTTACTCATGCGAATTGGACTACACAAGGAAGAATTGAACTCTGAATTTGCATCTTCGTTACTGGCACAAGAGCTTCGTGAGTTGGAAACTATTAATGCAAGCATCGCTAAGACGGAAAGCGATCTTGATCGTGCTGTAACAGAAACGTCGGAGCTCGAAGCCTTGGTAACCCAGCATGAAGCAGAAATAACTGACAACTACAGACCTCATCTCCACGCGATCCAGGCACACAAATCTGCGGATAGTCACGAAATAAAACTCAAGATCCAAGAGGCCGAATATGGTTTCAATAATGTTCAAACCCAGGTGAGGGAAGTTCAAAGCAGAATGGAAAAGCTAGATTCTGAGGTACAGAAGTTGACTTCTGAGCTCGACGACGCCAAAAAGTCATTGCAGGAAATGAATGAGCAACAGCTTCAAACAGCACAACAGATTGAAGACTTTAGAAAGTCGAACGAGAAAGATTTGTCGATGAAAACTGTTTTGGAAGCGAGAAAGGAGGAAGTGCAGAAGAGAATTCGTGATTTGGGAGCCATTCCAGAAGAAGCATTCCAGCTGGACAAGTACGAAAAGATGTCTTCGAATCAGCTCATGAACAAGCTCACACAGTTGAGTAGTGAGTTGAATAACTATTCACACATCAACAAGAAGGCGGTTGAACAGTTCTCCACGTTCAATAGACAGAGAGATGAGTTGAGCTCCAGAAGAGACGAATTAGAGCAGTCAAGAGAGTCCATTGATCAGTTGATATCCAATTTGCAACTGCAGAAAGCCCAAGCGATCACCAAGAGTTTCAAGCAGGTGGCTCTTAGCTTTAAACAAATATTCGAAACTTTGGTACCTGCTGGAACAGGGAAATTGGTGTTGCACCATCAGTCAACTAATACTCAAAACGAGGAGGTGTCACGAGGAAATGAAACCGGCCTCGATGCTGAAACGTTGGATACTCTGTCATTTGATGTTAATGAGTTTACAGGAGTGTCGATATCTGTCTCATTCAACTCCAAACACGACGAGCAGCAACGAATCGAACAGCTTTCTGGTGGCCAAAAGTCATTGTGTGCTATTGCCTTAATACTTGCAATTCAGAAATGTGACCCTGCTCCTTTCTACTTGTTTGACGAAATCGATGCCAATTTGGATACGCAATACCGTACGGCAGTTGCATCCATGATAAATGTATTATCGAAAGGTGCCCAATTTATTTGCACAACATTCAGACCTGAGATGCTACAGGTTGCCGACAAGTTTTTCGGAATCATGTACAGCAACAAGGTTAGTTCAGTAGCTGCTATCGACAAGGAAGAGGCACTTTCGTTTGTGGAGGGCCAAATAGTCTAAGCGATGAGCAAATACAATTTGAATGTGAATTAACGCTAGAACATTAATTGTAACATGGAGATAAATACCTATTTAGCAGCTAACAAGCGTGTAAATTCCTGGATATCAATTTCACCGTCGTTGTTGGTATCAGCTTCCTTGATCATTTGGTCTACATCTGCGTCCGACAACTTCTCACCAATAGAGGTTAAAACGTGTCTCAATTCAGCAGCACTGATCTTACCGTCACCATTTCTGTCAAACACTTTGAAAGCTTCGGCAATTTCGGCTTCTGAATCGGTATCTTTCATCTTTCTTGCCATCATCGTCAAAAATTCGGGAAAATCGATGGATCCGTCACTATTGACATCTACTTCGTTGATCATGTCGGTCAATTCACTCTCGGATGGGTTCTGTCCAAGCGATCTCATCACTGTGCCCAACTCCTTGGTGGTGATCTTGCCATCACTGTCCTTGTCAAACAAGGAAAAAGCCTCCTTGAATTCGGCAATTTGCTGCTCAGATAGTTTTTCAGCCTGTGTTAGTCATTCCAGTTACTTTTTCAGGCTTTTAAACGGGTATAAAAAGAGGATTCATTTCGATACAAATTTGGCGAAACGCGATACACAAATTTACAATTGTTACCCTTTAAAAAAAGCGTCCAAAAACAATCCTGGAGTATCCACAAGGACTGCTTAATGTAAATCGATTCCCCTTGCAGTCTCGCACGTCTATTCCATCTAATTGCACTTACCATTTGTACACGTAATTATTGCTACGAGTCGTGTTTTCAATGAATCGGGAACTCGCGCGCCTGCCTGCAGGACGAATGACACCTAAATTTAGACGTGTGCAGGATTCGCGCCTTGACTTTCGCCGTAATCAGGTCAAATTCGCGATGAGACGGCTGCGGTTACGATAATGATCCGGCGAAGTAAACATGCACACGCAGGACTCACAACGGCTGGATGACCAGTATCTGCAATATCTCCACTCGCTAGACGACGAAGAGCTTCTTAAACATATAAAGACTCTTCTGCAGGGAATTACTGAAAATGAAAGGCAACTTCCTGCTGCTCAATCAACACCCTCTGGGCCCAAAATCAGGTCTCAGGTCTCAAATGCAAGCTCAGATCCATTCGACGATGGCCTAGATAACGTTCTTCAAGACATAAGTGTTCCAGCTCCTTCTCCGGTTCCGAATCCGGCTCCGAATGGTGTTCACAGAAACACAGTTCATTCTTCGCCCACCAAAGGCGATAACGAAGTCGAAGCATCAGCAGCCATTGCTGCTTCTCTTGAGAGTGACAGTCTGTCAAGCGAAGAGGAAAAATACAAACCAAGTGAATTCGGTGATTACGGATCGTACTTTCAAAAGAAGAGAATAAAACAGCAAGAAACGGATGAAGCCTACGTCAAGTGGGATAGAGAGCGGCGGAAAATACAAGGTGAAGAGAGCTTCAACTCGGAAATCTTCAAGGGATGTGCTGTGCATGTCAATGGACACACTGAACCACTGATGGCTGAAATCCACCGACTAGTAATTATTCATGGTGGAACATTTATTGGGTATCTTTTGAACAAGGGAGTTGCAACACACATAGTTTGTGACAGATTGACACCTCGAAAACGAATCATGTTCAAAAACTACAGGGTGGTCAAAGCTCAATGGATCGTGGACTGCGTAGCAAAGGGCCAGCTCCTTCCCTGGGAGGACTATAGGCTTATTGACAATGTTGCGTATGATCAAAGCCGACTCTCGTTTGCAAAGGTGATCCGAGAGGAAGAGAAAGTGGAAGAGAAAGAGGAAGAGAGCAAGAATGACAAAGACGATGCCGAAGAAGATAAGTTTGAGGAAGAGGCTGAGGAGTTTGAGGATGAACCCAGTCCTCTAGAACTGCAAAAAGAACAAGACATGCAAGAAGCATCACAGGAAAGTCGCAAAGAGTACATCACTTATATCAACGAACGTCAGAGGAGCGATCAGAAAACAACCTTTGATGCCAAACATCCGGATTTCATTGAGCATTTCTTCTCGAACTCACGGCTTCATCACCTCAGCAGCTGGAAAGCAGACTTGAGACGTCAATTTCTAAGGCGTATAATTGGAACAAAGCAATTTACGGAACACAAGGGTGTAAAAACTGGCAAAAGCGTTATACTTCATGTGGATTTTGATTCATTTTTTGTCACAGCCTCCTGCTTGAGCCATCCAAATCTTGACATAAAGAAGCAGCCCATAGCTGTTAGTCATGGAACCAAGACCTCAGATGTGGCCAGTTGTAATTATGTTGCAAGACTGTTTGGCATTAGAAATGGTGAATGGGTAGGTCGGGCGATGAAAAAGTGTCCCGAATTGATTGTGATAGAATATGATTTCGATGCTTATGAGCGATGTTCCAAAGAACTATACAATTTTTTGATTGACTCCAAGATTTTCGATTCTGTGTTTCCTGTGCTGATTGACGAGGTGTTGCTCGATGCTACAACTTATTGCTCTAATTCGTTCAGTGACAGCACTTTTGAACAACGAGTCCACGACCTAAGCAAAATGATCCGAGAGAGAGTCTATGAGTTGACACTGTGCCCAGTCAGTGTGGGTGCATCGTATAACGTTCTTCTTGCAAAACTTGCACTTCGAAAAGCAAAACCAGATGGTCAATTTCAGCTCTTTGATAATGTGGAGCAGTTCTTAACTGACATCAAGGTCAATGATCTACCTGGCGTTGGCTATAGTCACTCGGAAAAGTTGCAAGAAATAATGAATACCTCTAGTATTCCTACTGCCGGAGAAGTCAGACAGCTCTCACTCACGAAACTTATCAATGTTCTCGGAGAAAAGACAGGCCAAAAGCTTTACAATTATGCAAGAGGAATCGATCTGACATCAATAAATATCGACTTGACCAACAAAGAAGCAGTTTTAGGCCGCAAGTCCGTATCTGTTGATGTCAACTATGGTATTCGGTTTGATACCGTTTTACAGCTTGATGATTTCTTCATGAGACTTGCTAAAGAATTGTACAAAAGGCTAATATCGCTAGGCATCTGTGGATCACAAGTAACTCTCAAACTAGCCAAGAGAGCCGCTGGTGCTCCAGTAAACCCGCCAAAATACCTTGGTATGGGTCGGTGTGATTTTGTTAGCAAATCTTCAAGACTTGGTATCCCCACTAATGACTGGGGTGTTGTTGGTTCAGAACTCAAATCATTGTACAGAATGTCTCAAGTCCCTGTTCAAGATTTGCGTGGCATCGCTGTAACTATGACAAGACTTGAAGACGTGGACTCCTTGGCCAAATCGAAGCAAGCTCAACTACCATTTTACCGCTCATCTGATGGACCTGTTGAGAAACAGAAAACACCTGTACGCAAACAAAGTAAGGAAACCAAAGTAAGTAGGGAAGATGTGGCTAATTTGGGAATAGACTGGGATGTCTTGCAAGAGCTACCTCCAGAAATTCGAACCGAAATTGAAAGCGAGTTGAATCGTCGAAATCTAGGGTCCAGCAGGTTAAATAAAGCTCGAGGAAAGGCATATCTCCAGCAGCTTTTCCCTTCACAAGCTGGAGCACCGGCACCATATATTCGGACTGTTGAAGCCAAGAGTTCTCCTAAGAAACGAAAAACTGCCTCCAAATCACCACTGCCTCAGAAACCTCGAGAACCTGTCGTGTTCAGCGAGAACAGCTCGTATGATATGTCGGTTCTTGACCAACTTCCACTGTCTTTACAAGAGGAAATCAAGAGGGACATTGAGTATAAGAAAAAGATCAAGAAATACGACACCACGTCGATGAGAGACAAGCTCATGAACGTCAAAAGACTGATAGTAAAAAGCATAGACGATGAATGGCTCTCTACAAGAGCGTCATTGAGCACTTTGCCCAAGTTTCAAGGTGAAACCTTATCGGTTCGTACCATCATGATCAAGATCAAAGAATGGATTGAGATGTCGTTGGAACAACAAGGTCCACACCGCGATGATGTGGAACTATTCATGACATTCTACAAGGATCTTTTGGCACAAAACGATATCTTTAGGTGTCTTTCAATTGTGAAACACATCAAGCTTCAACTAATTAAGCATCAGGCAAAAGTGAACTACGAACCCAATGACTTTGTCGAAATAGGATTGAACGAATGGAAGCTGATACTACAAGACAAGATAATCGCTGCATTTAAAAGCCATTGCGAGCACAATAACCTCAAAGTAGATAACGAGTATGTAACATGAAAATTATAACGAGTACTTAACATGACAATTGTCGCGAACTTTTCATTTTGCAACATTAGATCAACTATGAAGCATGGACTCGTATGTCAACCGTAGAATATGGAATACCATTTCCGACCATATGGATGAGATCACTGATCTCTTGCCCTCCAACACGGGCAGAATGTCGCTCACAACTTCCTTAACTCGAGCTTTAAAAGTTGATCTTGGATGCGATGTAGTTGAAGCTAAAGATGCAACCGATAAAGAATTGACGAGTTTTCACGGAAAAGAGTTTGTGACCGAATTGCTAAGGCAGAGAGGAAGCAACGTTGAGGAAATTGACGACGAAAAGGAAGCTCATTTCAATAAAACAAGCCATCTTGAAAAATTTGGTCTTGTCTACGATTGCCCACTTTTCTGTGGATTGGACAGATATGTCAGGGCTGTGGCAGGATCTAGTATCAATTCCGCGAGGAAACTTCTATCAGATACAAAAGACCATCTATTAGCCATCAATTGGTATGGGGGAAGGCACCACTGTCAAAAGAACAGAGCAGCTGGATTCTGTTACGTTAACGATATTGTCATGGCTATCAATGTACTTCGACGAAGGTACCGCAAAGTTTTCTATCTTGATCTTGATCTCCATCACGGTGATGGGGTAGAATCTGCTTTTGAGCACTCTAGCAGTGTTTTAACATGTTCTATTCACCGCTATGACGTTGGGTTCTTTCCTGGAACTGGTAGTTTAAAGAGCAATACTGCTACCAAGGTCAATATTCCAACAGAGAAAGGACTTTCAGACAAAACTTTGGCCACAATTATGGCAGAAATCGTCTATCCAGTCATTCTGAAATTCAAACCTGATGCTTTTGTTGTACAATTAGGCTGCGATGGTCTCTCTACAGATCCAGCTAAGGAATGGAATTTGACTATTCAGGGTATGGGAAGCATAGTTGAAGATCTCTTGCGGTTTGTGGAGCCAAAACCATGTCTTTTTCTTGGCGGTGGAGGATACAACCATACAGAAGCTGCCAAGTTTTGGACATATATTACCAGCATAATCTCAGGAATCGACACTGTTCGCAATATTGACGAAATACCAGACCACAAACATTTGGAAGAATACGAGCACGATGGCTACTTGTTCTGGACTCCCAAGAATACGACAGCTCGAAGTATTGCGGACAGAAACACTTCTAATTACCTTCATGAAGTCAAGACAACAATCTTGACCAATTTTTCATAACTATTCGAACGGAGGCTTAGTCGAACTCGAATCGTGGCTTCATAACACGATTCCAGTTTTCGTTCCATCGTGTATGGCTTTCCTCTATAGCTCCATTTTTGAGGCGGTTCAACTTTTCTTGGTCCCTGAAAAGATGCTCCAAATGCTGGCAAATGACCTTTGCCTGATCTTTCCCCGTGACAACGACTCCATTATAGTCATGCTTCACCAACTCGTCTATAGCGGGAAAGTCCAAAGAAATAACCGGAATGCCGCAACCAAAAAAGTCGACGATTTTCATGGGTAGATCAATACCACTGGATGATGTGTGTAAAGAAACACCAAGGTCAGCTATGGCAAGTACTACTGGATAATCTTCAACACTGAGCCATGCTGTCTTGACGATAACTTTTTTCAGGAACCGAAGGTCCTTTACTCTTTCCCTGAATGCTTGCTTCAAAGGACCCTTCCCTGTAACGATCAAAAGTAAAGGTTCGTTTTTCTCTGATGAATCGTAATACTTCAAGGCATCCAACAAAATATTGAAATCCTCATCTGGGGTGAATGAAGTGGAGCTGACCAAAATCTTGTACTTGTCGACGCCGGTAATGTCTTGGAAGAGAGGATGTGAGTTGAGAATGTCCATTTTAGTGGTTTCAAGTTCTTGCAATGGCTTGAACGAAGATGCTGGTCTATCATGTAATGTGGAGATTTTTTTCGAGTTCATGCCAAAATCACTCACAAGGAATCGTTTCATTCGTTTTGTAACTGTCAAATTGTAGAATGCAAATCTTCCAAGTATCATTTCGTACAACTTTAAAAACCGAACCAATGGGTGGTTTTCATTATTATATTTGAGGTTGAGGATGCTGTAGTTGAGATTGTGCCAATCTATAATGATTTTTGTGTTTCTACTGAACAATTTCACAAAAATTATGCTGATGAGAAGAAGTGGCATTGATGGAGGGTTTTGGATCATGATGTAGTCTATTCCACGCAACTCGAAAAGCAAGGAAAACAAAGACACTACTTGCATGCAAATTTTCTCAATTGCAAAGAGAAGAAATGGCAATCCATGGTTTTCCACCATTGGAATGGCTTTGATATCAATATTCACATCTTCAAGAATCTCATCTGAGGGTTCACTTTGCAAGTATCCACACAACGAGACGTAGTAATTGAGCTTTGAAAATGAAAGCGAATGGTAGCACATACGCGGAGAATGACCCAAATCGCCAAGAACTATAATAGCGATCGATTTTCGGTTACCAGAAAGAGTCCTTTTGGCAGTGAAAAATGGCAAGATGAAGTAGGCCAAAAGTGGTAAACATAAATAGAACGCCACGAGGTATTTGACCGACCAGCCGCCCCAGCTGAATGCCAGCTCAAAACCTTTGTATTTGATGAACTCTCCCATATTAGATACAATGGCTAAAACGCACCTAGTTTTAGATATCGTGGGTCGCTAGTGTGCGTGGGTGTATGGATGTACAGTATATCAGTAATTTGCTGCAACTATTTCTAATCTAATGGCTTTTGCGAAGGGGGCGCTTACGGAAGAGCAAAGAAAGCGTATTGTAAGTTTCTTTTGCAGATTAGTGTACCATGTATCGACAACTAACTCAGGAGGAAAATAGACAGCGAGCTTTGAATCGAATACAGCGAAAACAGCATGGAGATAATTCACTAGCGGCAAATGTATCTTTGAAAGAAGGACCAAAAGATGGTTCTGTGAAGCAAACAACCTCACTTTCACAGATTATAAGTGGAGCTGACCACAAGAGAGCTAGGGTGGAGTTGACTGGAGAGCAAAAGAAGAGAATTGAAGAAAATAGGCGGCGAGCTTTGGAGCTCAAGCTAGAAAGAGAGAGAAACAATCGAGACGCAACCTCTAATTCAGAGAAAGCACACATTCCCGAGCATGCAAAGCAGGCTCTTAAGGACAATAAGACCAAAAATGGCCCTCAGGGCTTGAGACCGTCGATCAACCGGAAAGAGTATATTGAGTTTGATTTCGCGACAATGAAGGATTCTCGGGGTGGGTTTATTGAAGATGAAAGTGGCAGCGGTGGCAATGAAAGTGGTACAGACCTGAAAAATGAATCCAAAACTTTAGAGGAGTGGAAGGAACAGCAGAAAAAAAACCAGCATATAGTGAGAGACTTGGCCCCTCCAGTGGATATAGCCGCAGCACCCAAATGTTTCGAGTGTGGATCGTTGGAGATCGATCCTAACTTGTACCTGAACTTTGGTCATGTGCGTGTGTGTAGACCTTGTGCCAAGGCCAAACCAGAGAAGTATGCCCTACTTACGAAGACAGAATGCAGGGAGGACTACTTACTCACCGATCCCGAGTTGCGAGATGTTGAATTGCTTCCACGGATTGAAAAGCCGAACCCCCATGGTTTCTCGCGGATGCAATTGTTCCTTCGTTTTCAAGTAGAGCAGTTTGCGTGGAAAAAATGGGGCCTGGCGGAGAAACTAGATGAAGAATGGGAAAGACGAGAAAAGGCTCGCCTCGATCGTCGCGACAAAAAGTATAATGAAAAATTGAAGGAAATGAGAAAAAAAACCCGCGCGGAAGAATACACTAGAAAGCTCCGCAACGGTCAAAATCTAGGTGAGCGTCACTCTCACCAGTGGTCGCAAGCAATTGCCATGCCAGGGAACGCCAATATGGTCAAACGAAGGTGCATAGATTGTGGGTTAGAAACAGAAGAGTTGGTGATTTAGCTAATGAGAAATGAGAATTAAAGGATAGCGTAGACATCCGATCAAGAACGGACCAACATGTTTAGTTTCGCAGCTGGTGTTTTCGCGGCTACTGATTTTGCAGTCGATTCGCAGTCGATCAGTCAACAGTTTGGCCCGCGACTGCACACACGCCATCGTGTCTCACCCACGCGGTAGAACCCGGTGGAACCTTCGACGCCTGCGGCTGCGTCGAATTTTGCAACATATAAAAAGATTCCTGTCCGTCCTCAACCTCGTTCCACAGTTTCTAATATGTCTGACGCTAAGGTTGAAACCCACGAGTTCACAGCTGAGATCTCTCAGTTGATGTCTTTGATCATCAACACTGTGTACTCCAACAAAGAAATCTTCTTAAGAGAATTGATCTCCAATGCTTCTGATGCTTTGGACAAGATCAGATACGAGGCTTTATCCGACCCTTCTAAATTGGAGTCTGAGCCTGAATTGTTTATCAGACTCACTCCAAGACCCGAACAGAAGGTTTTGGAAATCAGAGATTCTGGTATTGGTATGACTAAGGCTGACTTGGTGAACAACTTGGGTACGATTGCTAAGTCTGGTACCAAGGCTTTCATGGAGGCATTGTCCGCTGGTGCCGATGTTTCCATGATTGGTCAATTTGGTGTCGGTTTCTACTCCTTGTTCTTGGTGGCTGACCATGTTCAAGTCATCTCCAAGCACAACGACGATGAGCAATACATCTGGGAATCTAATGCCGGTGGTAAATTTACTGTCACTTTGGATGAGGTCAACGAGAAAATCGGCCGTGGTACTGTCTTGAGATTGTTCTTGAAGGAGGACCAATTGGAGTACTTGGAGGAGAAGAGAATTAAGGAGGTTGTCAAGAGACACTCTGAGTTCGTTTCTTACCCAATTCAATTGGTTGTCACCAAGGAAGTTGAGAAGGAAGTCCCATCCGAAGAAGAAGAAAAGAAGGAAGAAGAGGGCGAAGACAAGAAGCCCAAGTTGGAGGAAGTTGACGATGAAGACAAGAAGAAGGAGACCAAGAAAATCACCGAAAAGGTTACCGAGACCGAAGAGTTGAACAAGACTAAGCCTTTGTGGACTCGTAACCCTTCAGATGTTACTCAAGACGAGTACAATGCTTTCTACAAGTCTATTTCCAACGACTGGGAAGACCCATTGGCTGTCAAGCACTTTTCTGTTGAAGGTCAATTAGAATTCAGAGCTATCTTGTTCGTTCCAAAGAGAGCTCCATTCGATGCTTTCGAGTCTAAGAAGAAGAAGAACAACATCAAGTTGTACGTTCGTCGTGTTTTCATCACCGACGATGCTGAGGAATTGATCCCAGAATGGTTGAGTTTCGTCAAGGGTGTTGTCGACTCCGAGGACTTGCCATTGAACTTGTCCAGAGAAATGTTGCAACAAAACAAGATCTTGAAGGTCATCAGAAAGAACATCGTGAAGAAGTTGATCGAAACTTTTAACGAGATTGCCGAAGACCAAGAACAATTTGACAAGTTCTACTCTGCGTTCTCCAAGAACATCAAGTTGGGTATCCACGAAGACCAACAAAACAGATCAGCCTTGGCTAAGTTGTTGAGATACAACTCCACCAAGTCTTCTGAAGAAACTACTTCTTTGTCCGATTACGTTACTCGTATGCCAGAGCACCAGAAGAACATCTACTACATTACTGGTGAGTCTATCAAGGCTGTTGAGAAGTCTCCATTCTTGGACGCTTTGAAGGCTAAGGGATTCGAAGTTTTGTTCTTGGTTGACCCAATTGATGAGTATGCCATGACCCAATTGAAGGAGTTCGAGGACAAGAAGTTGGTTGACATCACCAAGGACTTCGAATTGGAAGAATCTGAAGAAGAAAAGGCCGAGAGAGAAAAGGAAGTCAAGGAGTTTGAGCCATTGACCAAGGCTTTGAAGGACATTTTGGGTGACCAAGTTGAAAAGGTTGTTGTGTCCCACAAGTTGGTTGATGCTCCTGCTGCTATCAGAACTGGCCAATTCGGCTGGTCCGCTAACATGGAGAGAATCATGAAGGCTCAAGCTTTGAGAGACACCACCATGTCCTCTTACATGTCGTCCAAGAAGACCTTTGAAATTTCTCCAAAGTCTTCTATCATCAAGGAGTTGAAGAAGAAGGTTGACGCCGACGGAGCTGAAGACAAGACCGTTAAGGACTTGACTACTTTGTTGTACGAAACTGCTTTGTTGACTTCTGGTTTCACTTTGGAAGAGCCATCGTCGTTTGCCGGTAGAATCAACAGGTTGATCTCCTTGGGTTTGAACATCGACGAAGACGAAGAACCTGAGGCAGAAATCGGTACTTCCACCAGCACAACTGAGCCAGCAGCTGAGTCTGCTATGGAGGAAGTTGATTAAACGTCTGTTATGAGAATTGGTAGATAAGATTCTTGTTCATATATATTAATAGTACACGAGGTGAAAGTGAGTTTTTTGTAGAAATTTTTCATTTGATCTCATCAATAAAGCACTATATATGCTTATGATAATTGACCATTTACATAGTTCATTCTAATGATATCTGACTCTCAACTACTTCTTTGCTAATGAAATATCAAGCAATTCTTTGATATAGTCGAGAACTATCGACGCTTGTTCTCTCGTCAAAATATCCTTGTCTGTCGAACTGATATAATTGAGAATCTCCCACACTTTTGATTTGTATTCTGGGGGGAATGGGACTTTGTCCGTCAAAGAGGTTCCTTCTACCAAATCATTGATTAAGACAACAGCAGCTCTTCGCATTACTGAAGAATCGACATCGGTCTCAAGCTGCAAAATACCAATAGCACAGTCTAGTGCATTCTCGATTCTGTTCAAAATTCCCAACGGATTTGTCTTGCAACAAACTCCTAGCAACGACATGGCTGACATCCGGAGACGAGAGTCCACTGATTTTTCGTCACTTCTTCGTATTAAATGCAAAGTAGCATCAGCTACCGTTTCTGCCAAAGAACCTGAGAATGCACTGCCCTTCCCTTGAATGTAGCGTAAGAGAACCTCGCCAACCTTCAACCTTTCATCCAAATCTGACCCTTCCAGGTTATCTTGATCAGGATAGGCATATACTCTAGTCAATATATTCACCACATCTTTCTCGTCCCAATGTATGAGACTCTCCAAACCTTTGATTGCGTTCAAGTATACGAAGGGATCGGAGTCCTTCAACTGATTCAAATGTAAATTCAACACAAACTCGAGTGTTATAACTTCACTCTTTTCTTCAACAAGTGATCGTAAAAGATACAACCCATGGGCTCGAACAGGTACCAATGGATCATTGAGACTTATGATAGCTTTCTTCAACGTTTGCTTTTGAGCCTCTTTTGCACTCGAGATTGGTTTATCACCTTCAAGCACTGTGTTGATTCTCTCAGAGAAGGAACCAATGGTAAGTTTCAACTGGTCATCTCTGACATTTTTTTGGACTTTTTTCAACACCAGCACAAGCAGTCTCAACAAGTCTATGCATTGTTTGTCCAACGATAATGTAGACTCGGAAATAATTGCTGAAGTTAGTTCAAGAGCAACATTGATGGTATGCGTAGACAGTTGGGTTTCAACTTCTTCGTCCTCATCATCAGAATCTCCTTCGTTGACAGTTTCGTTTAAAAGACTCGACTTAGTTTGCTCTGGTGTTGTTTCGGCAAGCAAAATATTGTATACAAGTTCAAGCATACCAAACGGCGTCCTTGCCAATTTTTCTTTAAATTTGTTACCAATGGATTCCAATAAGCGCAAGTCAACCAACACAAAAAATGGGTCTTCATCTCCATCAATTCGTTGTGAAGTATCCGTTTTCAACCACCGTTTGAGAATGGACAAAAACATGCTCTGAATTAAGGATTCGTCTAGGTCTTCACAGAGCTCAACAAAAGCAGCACAGCTCTCATCTAATTCTCCAAGGAATGAATTGATTCGCTTATCAGACGAAACGCTTGACTCATCCAAGCCGTTTAGTTTTCTTTCAATTTGGGGTAGCTGATTGGGGCCCATAGCAAAGGCCCAAAATTCACCACCGTCAACAGTAAGGTTTTTAGCAATATCAGTGAGAAAGTTGGACGTCGAATCTGAGAGTAATAGAAAACCTCTCAAAATTGCCTTTATCACCGCTTCAGGTTGCAGGTTCCGACGTAGAAACTTGAAGTATGACCATAACTGGATTAGAATTGGAGAGAATACAGCCATCATAAAGTCTTTTGGTAGACCATTTTTCGTTAGCGAAAGGAGGACATTGATGTTGTTGTTCAACAGAGTTTCAGAAACGATCACTTCTGAGTGAACATCATTTGTAGGATTGAAGCAAGACCAGAATTTCTTCAAGAAAAAGTCGTTCAGAACTAATTGATTTTTGTGCCAAAGAAGCTCCATGAAATGACATATGCAGTTGGCCACAATTGGGCGATTAATGTTGACTAGCAAGTTGTACGCTTGTTCTCCGATGCTGTCGAAATAAGCACCTGTTGGAACTGACTTTGGTTTGGAGAGTACAACTCTCGCAACATGGTCAAATGCCTCTGTGCTGATATTCTCCTTATCGCGGAGGCCACAAACGAGCTCAATCAACGCTAATAGGCCATCTTTTCTCGGGGCGTTGTAGTGCAAAAGTTGCAATTGGGACATAATGAATTGCTTAAAGTAGGAAGGAGAAGGACTGGCTGCAAGTAGAGAATAAGTCTGCATGAGCTCATAAGTTTCAGGAATGGAAGCAACATGAATGTGCTGTTTTGAAAACTTTTGTCGCGTGGAGGTACCAAAGTAAGGTATAGTTGATAATGCCGCTGAAATAGTAAGAAAGTCCGAGTAGCCCGTGCCTTTGAGAAGCAAATCCTTCACGTCCAGATCCACCAGAAATAACTTTGAAAAGCCTTCATAAATCAATACCAAAAGCTTTTCATTCTGGGTGAAGCTTTCAGTATATGAGTCGCCTGGCTGTGGCTTAACTGGCGCTATCTTCAATGGCTTTTTGGAAGTGTGGAACAGTCGCAACTGGCGCTTTTCAATAGGAATACCGATTTTAAAAGGCGATAATGCAGAGTATACGCCTTGAATAACAATGATATTGACCCAATTTGCTGAATGTTTTGATATCATGCAATGATATTTTTATGAGAAGTTTGTCTTCATGTTGAACTTCTTCCGAGTAGGTTTGTACTTGTTGGAGATATGAAAGTAGATGCTCAATTACTTTATAGCGTTCTTCAAATCCTTGTGAAACTATGTCAAGCCGCTTACTCAAGGTATCAATGTCTAGTGACTCGAGGGGACCATCTACAATGGTTTCAAGCTTGATGAATAAATGATCTAGCTTTGTATTGCCTTTAAATTGAGGTTCATTTAATCCTTTTTTAGTCTCTTCAGCAGTCCTTCGTATTGTTTTCTTTGGTTTCTCTTCGAAAGGATTGTTCTTGGGTCGTCTAGGGGCACCCAAGTCTTCTATCTTGGGTGGCATTTTGGTTGTGGCGATTAGCAAGAAGACTATATGGTGCACTGTCTGCAGGCACACGCTATCAAATTTCTCGATGAGCATCGAATTAGATTCCACTGTGTACTAGTATTATACAGCCCAGAGCCACTTTTGAGACGTTTGAGACCCAGCAAGCCAGAAAACTGAACCTATAGGTGAAATTGATCAAACCAGATTCAAAAAATGACGACTGAATTGACACAGGAAGAGATGGATGCCGTCATCTACGACGCTCGTGAAGGTGATTTGCAAACATTGAAGGAAATATTTACAGAAATACTGCCCCAGCTATTGACAACAATCAAGGACGACATAACATTAAGCACCCCCGTACACATGGCTGCTGGAAATGGCCATTTCGAGGTTGTTAAATACCTTTTGAGTATCCTTCCCAAAGAAGAAGCCAAGCAAATAGCATCAAAACCCAACGAAAGCGGCAATACTCCTTTGCATTGGGCTGCCTACAATGGCCATTTGGACATTGTCAAGCTTCTTTGCGAAGAATACAACAGTGATGTCTTTGCAAAGAACGCCGTAGGCCACGATCCAATGTTCGAGGCAGAGAACAATAATCACAGTGAAGTTGAAAATTGGCTTTTAAATAAGTATGCTCCCGAAAATGCGTTCAAGGTGGAGGAAAATGGCGAAGATACAAAGATTACTTATACTCCAGGAGATGTTAGCAGAGAGGCCGACGAGGCTGCAAAAAAGGCTCAAGAAGACCAAAGCAAAAATTCTCAAAAAAACGGTGGTAAAGAAGCTGGTAATGCCACTGACACTATTACCCAGCAGACGGAGAAACTCGACATCAACTAGACTGTAAACTATCCATATAGACCCCCAATCATTATCTTTCCCATGTTCTTGTGTGTGCAGTCGTGTGTGGCAGAGACTGAAAATTTTATATTGAATGTGAGCAAAAATCAGATTGTAATCATGAGTGACTTAGGATTTGATCCCACTTTAAAGAAGAAAAAGAAGGCCAAAAAGCCGGAAAGCGATGTCAGCGAGTCCCCAGCACCCGCAGGAGAAATCGACGACATGTTTGCAGGCTTGAAAAAGAAGAAAAAGTCGAAAAAGCCTGTTGACGATACCACCGAAGCGTCTGCTTCACCCGCCGCCGACGATTTGACCGATACATTTGGCGACCTCACGCTCAAAAAGAAGAAGAAGAAGTCAGTGAAGAGCCTGGATGCCGCCGACTTTGACCAGCAGTTAGAAGAAGCTGGTTTAGAAGACATCAGCCAAACCAACGACGACGACAACTCGGCTTCCACCGCAGGAGGTCCACCTTACGAGGACTTGTTGTCGAGATTCTTCGGTATTCTTAAGAAAAATAACCCCGAGCTCGCCGGAAATCGATCAGGACCCAAGTTCAGAATCCCACCACCAGTGTGTCAGAGAGAAGGTTCCAAGAAAACGCTTTTCGCCAATGTCCAAGAAATCGCCACCGTGTTGCAAAGAAACCCCGAGCACTTGATACAGTTTTTGTTTGCGGAATTGGGTACCAGTGGATCTATCGATGGAGAAAAGAGATTGGTGTTGAAGGGTAAGTTTCAACCCAAGCAGATGGAGTCGGTGTTAAGACGTTACATTCTTGAGTATGTGACGTGTAAGACATGTAAGTCGATGAACACCGAATTGAAGAGAGAGTCCGCCAACAGATTGCATTTCTTGAGCTGTAAAGCATGTGGATCCACCAGATCGGTGTCGTCCATCAAGACCGGTTTCCAAGCGCAAATCGGAAAGAGAAAGAGAATGTAATGCCTTGTATAATAATACATCAGTAACAGTAGAACTAGTGATGAAACAGTAGAATCTGGTGAAAATGGTTGTCATGCTAATTTTGTGATTCCACCAACTTCCTCAATGACAAACACGCCGACCCCACGTTTTCGTTGGTGGTCATGTAGTCCACAATATACTGGTTGAGTACAGCAGCCTGCTCGTGTTGCAGCCGTCGTACGATTTCGTTGACAAACCTTTCATGTCCTCGTAAACTAGCTATGCGTTTACGACAGTTTTCCACATCTTTGTCCAGCAAACTGGAATTTTGATACAATTCTTCGAGCTTTTCAGAGTCCAAGACCTCACCCTCGGAACCTTGGCTCTTCATTAGGCTCCCAAGAGAGTCTGTACTACCTAATTTCAACCGCGTTTCGGCAGCTGTAGGTGCTGGAAGTTCAGTCGACGGAGACCGATCCATGCCTACCCTGCGACTCCTACTGGCTTTTCTTTTGCCCATTGGTGGCCGCGGGATCACGGCTGGACAGTCGTTCCATCCTTCCATGGGGACACCTTGCTGATAGACGGTCATTATGAGTTCAGTTTGCACATGGAACCGTGAAATTACACGATGTTTGTGCAGGACTGAAGATCAAGACGTTCAGAGTCTGGAGATGGAAAGGGCCGACTCGAGCAACTGGTCAACGGACGGACGGTTTTGGGGGTCTAGTTTGAGGCAGTCATCAATCAAGTTAATGAGTTCTGGTGAAAATTTGTGGTTGGTGGGAACTGAGTACTTGCCCTGGGTGATGGCTAGGTTGATATTTGCACCCTGTTCAATTTCAAGTTTTTCGAATGGAGAAAGACCAAAACAACAGCAGTACAAAAGGCACCCCAAGGACCAAATATCGGTCTTTTCTGTGATGTTTGCGCCGGTTGAAACGTCGAGTAATTCGGGTGCACGGTACGGAAGCGTGCAATGTTCCTGAGCAAAATCGGTTAAACTTAAAGCCTGCTGCCGAGTGGTAACCGTAACTCGAGCCTTGGAACATGAGCCAAGGTCTACAAGAACAGGAAGACCCTCGGCGGATAACATGACATTGGCAGGTTTGATATCGTGATGAGCATATGGAACCAACTCGCGGAGTTCGGTACCACCGCTCAATCCTCCCAATTCTTCACCCTCTTCGGCGTCACTTCCCCCAGGAAGCAACTCGTCCTCCTCGGGGTTTTGCGACTCACCTTCAACCATATTGGACGTTCTTGAGGTGCCGGTTCCAGAGTACTTGTGCATGATTTGAAGTCCACGACAAACACCAATGAAAATCCGAAGAACTTCTGGTTCCTCCATAGATGTGTTGTTTAGCACCCGGTAGTTGATCTCGTCTTGCACAGATTTGTGGAAATATGGTAAAAGGATATAAATAGTATAGGAGCCATCAACATCAGGGATAATGGCATCGTCAATTGACTGGACAATATACGGTGTTTTTGAGTTGGCAAACCGGTGATAGTTGTTGATTTCTTTGATAGCGTTCTTGTATGTCTCGTCATTCGTTCCAAACGGACATCGGATTTTTTTTAAAGCATATAACGATGATGGGTTGCCCTTGAGCGATACCAAATAAACGTACGAAAAGCCTCCTTCCCCTAATAAACGGATGATTTTGTACCTGCTGTCATTGAGACTCACAAGCGGAGCCAGAAGGTCCGGAAAACACGGTAAACATTTGCTAAAAGCGCCAATGATCACCTCCATTTTATCTATTATCTCACTCGAGTTGCGGCCTAAATTCGCGGTGCCAAGTCTTTAGTGCGGGTGCATGGGTGTCCTTTTCAGTGTACCATCTCCACCTTTTTTAGTTTTCCACTTGTTTCTTTCTTTGCTTGCAAATGAGCTCTCCACGAAAGACTTCCGAGCGGCCACCAGAAACAATACCAAAAAAGGGTTCGGCATCACCCACAGAAACTTCTCCAGAGCCCATGGAAATAGACGAGACAGAACCCATAATGCCCCTAGAATCGCTCCAGCGAACCGAACTTCTCTCGCAGCTCTTCACGCTTCTTCTCGATGTCAAAACGGGAAAGTCTCTGGTTCGAGACTTCGAAAGTAACGCCGGGAGTTTGCGTTTGGCGCTCTCCAATATCCGCAAATTGCTCCAGAAAGTAGACGGAATCACCGAGACTGTCGAACAAAGACAGGCTCAGATCGAAGTGTTGCAACAGAACAACGAAGCCAAACGCCGAATCATCCAGCAATTGCTGTCATTGGCAGAATAAATCATTGCAAAATGCATAGCCCATTGTATCACGTGACTCTGCCGATTCTTCAACTTTTCAAATCAACGTCAATTACCCATATGGATTTCCGCCAGTTTCCCGAAAATTTCCGTTCCGTCGACCGATTGCAGCCTGCGCTCACCGTGGGACTCCCGGTGTTCACCTTCGTGCTCGTATTGATCGACTTTGTCACCGGAAACGCCGTGAGCAACGCGTTTGCACTTTACGCCGGCGCCATTTTTAAGCTTGAACTCAACCGGATTTCGATGTACCCACTTGCTCACACGGGGATTTTCCACTGGTTTGTTAACGTGATCAGTTTGAGTCCACTTTTGGCTCGTTTTGAAAAAGTTCATGGAACGGTTTACACCGGCATCACCCTCAATTTGTTGGCTGTTTCCACTGCTCTCATCTACTCACTTCTTGCTGGGATTATCAGTCCTTCTACCCGTGTCGAGGGACTTTCTGCCATCTGCTTCCTGTTTCTTGAATTCTACGCTTTAAAAGAACAGTCATATTACCCCATTGCTTTCCAGTGGGGTGATCGCTATCGTCTTCCTACCAAGTATAGTGCCTTTGTGGTTCTTATTATCACATTTATTTTGGTCCCCAACTCTTCGTTGTTGGGTCACTTGGCTGGAATTGGCTCTGGCTACTTGTTGGCAGAGAATTATCTCAAGATTTTGTATCCACCTCGTAAGGTGATCTTGTTCATCGAAGACAAGTTGGAACTGTTGATAGCAAAACTACTGCCAATTGTGGTTTATTACCGTGAAGACCTGGCTGCTGACACCAGAACCGTTGCCTATGTACCCTTGTTTGGCTCTGATGCCGAAGCGTCCTCTGCAAGATTTGAAAGTAGCGGGCATGTCTTGGGTACCTCCTAATATAGAAGTTACAAAGCTAAATCTTTAATTAATAAAGTCTACAAAATTTACAAAGTCTATCAAACCACTAAAACCTGCTAGTCTGTAGTACACACTAGTCATTTGCTTACCAACCACATTCCCTTCCCACCTTCACCAGTCTTTTTCATCAGCCTCGTCCCTCCTCCACTTTCCTGCATTTTTCCACCCCACATTCGCGAGTCTGATTAAAAACATCCGCGGAAACCACCTATTGATGGCCCTGTTGCGATCTCAGAACAACGCAAATGCTGAATTGCCCGCGGGAACTATGAGTCTGAGTAACCAACCACCGACAATCTCAGAATTGAACAAAAAGACCACCAAAAATGAATCTGACAATTTACAACAAAATAACAACGGTACGCGGGGAAACCAGAACGGTAAAAGGCGAAGAAAATGGAACAAAAAGAAGAACAAAATTTCAAAACAGAACACAGAGAACTTGGACGGGACAAATGGTGAAGATGCTGGACACAACTCACAAAAAACGGAACCACAATCTCAACTCAATGAAGATTCCAGTCGAATTTCAAGTCGACTGAACGAACCAACTTTCACAAAAGACACGAAAGAAGACAAAACAAAAGACACGAAAGAAGAAATAGATGCACTGGCTCTTGTCGAAACTTTGAATCCTCCAACTCTAACTTCAAATGTTCCTATGAGTCCTCGAAAACGGACCCTCATGAGACATAAGAAAAGTGACAACGACATGAAACGAGAAAGCTTTATACTAGATGCTAAGGGTAACTTGCGTAACCGGAACTCGTTCATTGAGGGTGCGGATACTTATTTGCAACTGCCCAAGGAGCCCTTGGGTCCTTTGAACATAAATGAAAAAGTGACTCTCTTCCAGTTCAATTCGGCGAAAGTGGTACTATATCACGAAATGGTCGATAGTAACCAAAGTATCCCGAAGGAAAGCGGAACTTTGTTGGGTCATGGATCCTTCGAAGTGTTCCAGTTGCACAAAGGCGATGTGACCTACTTAAGTTGTGGCTCGTCGTTTGTTTATCCATTGTTACCGAAGCTCAAGATACTAAGAACTAACTTCAACCAGTTTATACTTCCCTTGGCAAACCCTGAGAGATACTGGCGCATCTCTTTGAATACGGAAGACGTAAAAATTATCAGAAGATTAGAAAGAACCTTGGAAGAAAAGATTCAGTATCGCAACTTTTATTTGGAAGACTCCTTTAAAGATGAAGATTACACTCAGACAATTGCCAATGGAAGCACTCACACACCATTACCATATCCTACATCCGCCACTCCCCCATTCTCTGTCCACCATTACCTACCCATTGCACACGAACTCCCAGAATCTCCTCCCTCGGCTCCAATATCGCCCCAACAAGTTGATTCCTACAAAGACACGATTAACAAAGATCCAATTCCGCTAGGGCAGGCTAGTTCAGACTGGCCGCTACGGAGAAAAACATCGGCACAATCGATGACAAGTGCTATTGCCAGCTTTAATCTTAAGGACGATGCTAATGAGCACCCATTCAAAAACCCTTACCAATTAGCTCAACCCAAGCCAAGGCGACAAATGGACCCTGGTAAGTTATCAGCACAACCAAAAATGGACCACCGTTTGCAGTATCCGTCGGAAAACGGTTTCCACGACCGCAAATCAGAGTCTTCAATGGACTCCTTGTTAGACGAATTTGAAGAAAACATCTCCATAACCAGGTCCATATCGTTTTCTGCCGCTAGGCCCGAATCTCACCTACCTTCAAGAGCGCCATCAAGACAGTCGTTCACATCGGCGGTGTCGAAGCCCAGACTAAATGTCCCCAAATATGACGAGCTGGAATTTCCCTCAACTTCTCTTTCCGAATACAACAAAATGCCGTCCAGGCGTTCATCACGAAGCGAGCTTTATACGTCTGAAACAAACTGGATGGAGCCCAATGCTCCCATGGACACTAGTAGACTTCCCAGATCCAGATCTTCCTATAGTGTGGCTAGTAGCCATTATAATCGGAATGTCAAAGGTGCCGACTTGAACAGCACCTATCATAATATTTATCGATCCATCACACAGCGAAACCTCTCGCAATACGGTGGATCCAATGGTCGAAGTGCAGCTGAGCGCCATACAAATCAAGAGTTCAAAACCCCGTCGCTTCGAAACTACGACATGCGAGCCGGCTCAGAGCGTAGTTTTACCGAAAGTATCAAACTGACCCAATCAAGGCGTTCTGCTTTAGGACCGGGATTGAAAACCAATGACAATTCTCGTGACGAAAAATTGTCGTCCAAGCTCAACTCCACCGAGCTCTATAATATGATTCGAGCTAAGCGAGAATCAAACAAGGCTGGAGCCCCAAGACGATTTTTTGGATGGGGCTAAGATTCCTTAAAGAACTTAATCTTATTTATTTGTATAATAGATCATTAGCAATATATACAAAGGTGCTACGACACTACTGAGTGATTGGGTTACCGTTGGCATCAATCAAACCTTGTTGCATCATCATCAACTGTTCATTTCCAGCTGCCTCGAATTGCAAACCGAGACCGAGTCTTGAAGCCGCCTTGACATGATCTATCTCACCCGAGAACAAGACAGAAACTGTTGGCAAAACTCTCTTTTCCATGAACGCACTAACCTTACCAGTAGAGTCGATTTGACCTCTAAACACCGATTGACGGTACTCGTACTTGGCACCGATGGTGGTTTGACCTTCTACAACTGGCTCGAAACCAATTGGAGTTCCCATCAATGAATCAGTAACTGGCTTGACGGTAGCAGCAATTTGAGTTTCCAAACCAGCCTCAACCTTGTCGGTAACTTTTCTCCAGAACGATGCAATAAGAGCACCCTGAGCTTGCAATTGAGCAGAAGCAATCCAGTTTCCACCATTGTAACGAGCGACGTAAGATACAGCACTATCAGGAGGAGCAGCACCTGCCTGCTTTGAGTACATGGTCTCCAAACCCACGGCAAGGTTCGGGGTTAACGATTGCAAGAGCGAAGCCACGGCCACACCGCTGAACTTTCCATCGATGAATGATGGGTTCAACGACTTGAGGTTGATGGAAAAGTCACTGGCTTGATAGTCCTGTTCCAATTGAACCATTGAAGGTTGACCATTGGCCAATTGCAATGTAAGCTTGGAGATGTTATGCTTGTCCCATCCATAGTTCAATCTACCGCTGAATGACAAATCATTGTCGATGTTACCCTGGAGAAAGTAGTCGTCGGTGGCATACAATGCCGAGAAAGCATATGGGGGCAAAACATTGGATCCTACCGACAAGGTGTGCGAGGTCTGAAATGCTGGGGACATCAGGAATGCCTTGTTCAAGTCAGCTCTTAATCCAGTGAAGAAGTATTGCGTCAAAAACACATCACGGCTCACTTCCTTGTTCAAGTTCTCGATGGTACCCGGATTGGTGAGTCCCAATGACTTTCTGTGTTCGCTGATGGTGATGTAGACGTCATTCAAATATGAGAAGACGGGGTTAGACGACCACAAGCCGTTGGATTTAGGAGGTTCTGGGGTCACACCAGGCAAAGTTGGAATATGCATTTTAGAAAGATCGCCCAAGGGGACCGGCGAGCCGGAGGCGGGTTGGGACATGGCGGATTAAGTTGAGATTCGTTTTGTCGAGCAATGAAAAATTTCCTGTGCTGGAGGTTACGCGGGTGCGTGGTGGTGGGGAGCGGCGTGCGTACATGTGGGAATGGTTGCAACTGACGGCACTAAGAATTGGAAAGGAAGTATGGGGTGAGTTCGAGAACTGAAGTGCAATTGATTCTTCATTATGCTCCCTACAGAATTGTACTAATATTGGTGTAATAAGCAAATACATTTCTATTATTTTAGGGTTTCAGAATTGACTCTTCAATGAAAATGTTGTAACAATTCACGCCTCATGATAGATAATTTATGTTGACAATACTACTTATTAAATACTACGTGTCGAATACTACGTATTCGACTCAATTTGTCCTTCCGGTTGCAGATCTTTCCGCTGCGGCTACGGATCTGGTGATGTGTGCACGTGACCCAGGATGAGGGTGTTCCGAAGTTAATCTACACCACCACTTGTAACTTGTTTCTACCCCAAATGAAGTGGCCAGTTGTTAATGGCGTGTCGTGTGTCACGTACTACGCCCACGACCACGAACTAGTAGACAATGCTGTTCGTTTCTATACAAATTACTTGGGGCTCACAATTCACTCCGAGACCGACAACGGAGTTTATTTGGCCTCCGACGATTCTTTACTTGTTCTCAAGTTGGTAGTGAGCAAGGAAGCGCCCGACTCGGCGGAAGTGAAGAAGATCCACAAGAGATTTGAAGAGGATCTCAATATTGTGGATTGGAGGTCAAGAGCTCCTGGGTTCACCTTGTCGATTGCAGATTTGAACTCCACTATTCTCAAGTTGCAACAAGCAGGATTGGTGCTTCAGATAACTCCCAATGACTTGTATCCTAACGAAGCATACTTTATCGATCCATTGGGAAATCTTGTTGGATTGACCACTACTGCCAATCCACTCTCTTTGGTACCTCCGGTGAAAAAATTGGACCAGCCAAATGAAGGCTACATTATGTCTGCCACGGTTTCAGAGGCCACCAACAACAACGGAGCTCCGCTCAAGGGTAGCAAAAATGTGGCAGTGATGACTTCTGGTGGAGATGCTCCTGGAATGAATGCTTGTGTTCGTGCTGTTGTTCGCGCTGCCATCTACCATGAATGCAAAGCATTTTGCGTAATGGAAGGTTACGAAGGTTTGGTGCGTGGAGGAAAAGAGTATATCAAGGAAATGTCCTGGCAAGATGTCAGAGGTTTGCTTGCTGAAGGTGGAACCAATATTGGAACTGCTCGTTGTAAGGCTTTCAGAGAACGTCCTGGCCGGTTGCAGGCATGCCAAAATATGATTGAGGCAGGAATTGATGCGTTGATCGTATGTGGAGGAGACGGCTCTTTGACTGGAGCCGATCTTTTCAGAGCTGAATGGCCTTCATTGATCAAAGAATTGCTCGATACAAACCGTATCAACCAGTCGCAATACCACACATACAAGCATTTGAATATCTGTGGAACTGTGGGGTCAATTGACAATGATATGGCCACCACTGACGCTACCATTGGTGCCTACAGTGCGTTGGCTCGTGTATGTCAAGCCATTGACTACATTGATGCTACTGCCAACTCCCATTCAAGAGCCTTTGTGGTGGAAGTTATGGGCAGACACTGCGGTTGGTTAGCACTCATGGCAGGTATAGCGACTAGCGCTGATTATATCATGATCCCAGAGAAGCCTTCTTCCTCAAAAGGGTGGAAAGAGCAAATGTGTGAGATTGTTTCGAAACATAGATCCAAGGGAAAACGGAAAACTATCGTTATTGTTGCTGAGGGAGCCGTCACCTCTGAGTTGGAGCCCATCTCGTCCAAAGAAGTACGTGATGAGCTCGTCAAGTTGGGTCTTGATACCAGAATCACTACGTTGGGACATGTTCAAAGAGGTGGTACTGCGGTGGCATATGATCGTATTTTGGCTACTTTGCAAGGTGTAGAGGCAGTCAAAGCGGTTTTGGAATGTACACCCGATACTCCTTCTCCCCTTATTGCAGTTGTGGAGAACAAGATTGTACGCAAGTCGTTGGTAGAAGCCGTACAGATCACGAAATCCGTCGCCGAAGCCATTGAAGAGAAAAACTTTGATAAGGCAATGGACTTGCGAGACTCAGAGTTTGTGGAACATCTCCACAATTTCATTGCCATGAACTCGGCTAACCATAACGAGCCATCTTTGCCTGTGGAAAAGAGAAAGAAGATTGCCATTGTGAACATCGGTGCTCCAGCTGGTGGTATGAATAGTGCCGTGTACGCCATGGCTACCTACTGTATGTCAAGAGGACATACTCCGTACGCCATACACAACGGGTTCTCTGGTTTGGCAAGACACGAGTCCGTCAATCTGATAGACTGGTTGCTGATTCAAGGCTACAATTCTGTTGGTGGATCTGAAATCGGTACCAATAGAGCAACTCCTCATGAAACCGATATTGGTATGATTGCATACTACTTTGAGAAATATCAATTTGATGGACTTATACTTGTTGGTGGTTTCGAAGCATTCGTATCATTGGATGAATTGGAGAAGGCACGATGTACATATCCATCTTTCAGAATTCCAATGGTGTTGATACCTGCCACCATCTCCAACAATGTCCCCGGCACCGAATACTCGCTTGGTGCGGATACTTGCTTGAATGCATTGGTCGAATATTGTGATGTTGTCAAGCAATCTGCATCGGCCACAAGAGACAGGACATTTGTAATAGAAGTTCAAGGTGGTAATTCCGGGTACATTGCAACTTTTGCATCGTTGGCTGTTGGTGCTCAGATTTCGTATGTTCCTGAAGAAGGTGTAGCCTTAGACCAACTAGAGGCTGATATTGCATCTTTACGCAAACAATTTGCTAGTGAAAAAGGCATGTCGAAATCAGGAAAGCTTATTTTGAAGAGCTCAAATGCATCAAAAGTGTTGACTACGCAAGTTCTCGCTGATATCGTCAAGCAAGAGGCTCATGGAGAGTTCGATACAAAGACTGCTATCCCAGGACATGTGCAACAAGGTGGTTTACCTTCTCCTATAGACAGAACCAGAGCAGCCAGATTTGCAATTCGCAGTGTCCAGTTCATTGAAGATTCTTTTGATACGATTAACAAGCACCACTATGATGTCGATTTCCCCATTGAGAATACCGAACTTTCTAATACTGCTGCTGTTTTGGGAGTCAAGTCATCTCATTTGAAGTTTACTTCAATCCGCAAATTGTACGATTTCGAAACAGAGTTGGGAAGAAGAATGCCCAAGAAGATCTCGTGGAAATTCACCAGAGACGTTGCTGACCGTTTAGTCGGCAGAGAAAGACTCATCAAGGAACTGGGCCAGGTTCCTTCATTAGCTTAGTATTGTAAAGACTAATTCGCACCAAATTTATTTTTCAAAGTAAATGCTACCAAAATAAAATCTGTGTGTTTATGTTATCCATCTTTGAAGATGCCAATGGTATGTATCCTATTCTATGGAATGCACCCAATTTCTAACACAGACATACGTAATAAACTAGGTGAAAGCAGTAGCCAAGATTCTCTTCGTTCGTGTCTTCCATTGATTTCAAATTTGAACCATATTGCATCTAAACATTATAATGATCTCAATGCATTTGAAAAGCAAAAATGCACTGACATGCTAGCAGAGCTTCGCAAGTTGTATAGTGCAAAAGAAAAAATGCTCAACAAGACCACTTTTCAGTTTATTGGCGATCCAATACCACCCTCGTCAATCGAGACAACATCATTAAAACTCCGTCATGAAATAGAAGTTAAACCACAACTACATGGCTTACGTCTCCGGAAGCATATAATCAGCACTAATCTACCCCATATGCTTATTTCAGATATACAAGAATCTATATTATCTAACTGGAAACAAGACCCGATCAGATCAATACATTTGCAGGATATTGATTCGTCCATATTGCATTTGGTGTCTAATGGACCTGTTATAGTGGAAAGAGCCCGCAATTCGGTCTTGATAATCGATTGCCATCAACTTCGGCTCCACGAAGTGGTGAATTGCACCATTGTGGTCAATGTGAGTAATGATCGAATAGTGATTGAAACATGCAATAACCTCAAAATTGTGCCACAAAAAGAAAAACTATTAACCATTGATGATTTCAGCTGGCCTACATTGGGAGAAGTGAACCCCCACTACACAATTTCAGACGCTCAAGACTACGCATGGATTGAAGAGATTCAAGAGGGAGCCTTGAATTCCGCACAATTGACACAAGTCAAAAAAGCCGCAGAAACACGAGAGGGGAGTGACCCATCTGGATGAGAGGCTTCGGAGTTTAAAATTGCCGTCCGAGTCTGACATTGGTGATCGAGCCACTTGCTGAAAAGGCATTTTTACCGCGATAGCCGCCGATACCCGGTGATAGCCGCTCGCTCTTAGACCCTGTTCCGCCGTGTACCGAGTGCTACCGCTTGGTGCCGGTAAGCCGCTGTTATCCACCAGGCACACGATGGCTTGGATCCCCTCATACGAGGTTTATAAATATCACGGGATTTGAGTCGAACTATACAAAATGGTTCCAATTGCAACAAATACTGGTAGTAGTGAAAGCTTAACCAATGGTGAAAATATTCCCTTAGGAGAGTATCTTTTCTTAAGAATATGCCAGGCTAATCCCAGACTCAAGTCTATCTTTGGTATACCTGGTGATTTCAATCTTAACTTGTTGGAACATTTATACACCAAGTCTGTTGCAGAAGACAAGAAAGTACGTTTCATCAACCTTTGCAATGAACTCAATGCTAGTTACACGGTCGATGGGTATGCCAAAGTTATTGATGGTCTCGCGGTTCTCATCACTACTTATGGTGTTGGAGAGTTATCTGCTATCAATGGTGTGTCTGGAGCATTTGCTGAGTTTGCTCCGGTTTTACATATTGTGGGAACAACTTCATCGAAACAAATGGAATTTGCTGAATCTTCCAGTGGTGGAAATGTGGTTAATATCCATCACTTGGTACAGAACAAGAACCCTTTGTGTGCTCCAGACCATAATGTGTACAAGAAGTTGGTCAATGACGTTTCAATGGTCCAAGAAAGTCTCACTAAAGAGGGAATAGAAGATGGAACAAACTTGGAAAAGATAGACAAGGTATTGCGGGTTATTTTGGCAGAATCACGCCCAGGCTACTTGTACATTCCTAGCGATATACCCGATATGATGGTTCCTTCTTCTAGGCTCTCGGAACCATTAGAAAAAGAAGCAGTCGTTGATCAGGAATTATTGAGCACAATTACCAAAAGGATCTTGTCCAAATTTTACAATTCGAAAAGACCTGCGGTACTTGGAGATACATTAATAACCAGATTTGGACTTCAGAAAGAATTTGAAGAGTTTGTTGCCGAGCTTCCAGCAAACTTTGTTCGGTTATTTTCTACCAATATGTCTCGCTACTTGGATGAAACTTTACCTAATTTTGTGGGTACCTACTATGGCGCACTCACTTCTAATGCGGATGTGAGAGCTGACTTGGAGTTGAACACTGACTTCTTGATCACTTTCGGCTACATGAATGTGGAGACTAATACCGGGGTATACACGCAGAACTACAAGTACATTGACGACTATGTCGAGATCCACCCAGACTATATTCTTATAGATGGTGAGTATATCGTCACCAAGAATTACAAGACAGGTGAGAGAAAGTTTTCAATGGGACATTTAGTTCAAGAGTTGTGGCTGACGTTGGATTCTTCAAGATTTGTGCACAATAGTAAAACCATCAACAACATTTCCTTTAAGTCTTCGCCAACCAAACAGCATACAAAGGAAAGCAAATCTGGAAGAATTTCACAAACAAAGTTGGTTGATTATTTCAACGAGAGTCTTCAAGAAAACGATATCTTGATCGTTGAAACCTGTACATTCATGTTCTCAGTTCCTGACTTGCACTTCCCCAAAGGAGTTTCGTTTTACTCTCAAAACTTTTACGGATCCATTGGTTATGCCTTACCAGCCACTCTTGGTGCCTCTGTTGCTGAGTACGATCTTGGAACCAACAGAAGAATTATTCTTGTGGAGGGAGACGGGCTGGCACAGATGACAGTGCAAGAATTGTCAACCTTCTTGAGATACGATATTGTACCTCCCAAGATATTTTTGATTAACAACGAGGGATATACCGTAGAAAGAGTGATTAAGGGTCCAACGAGAAGTTACAATGACATTCAAGATTGCTGGCAATGGACAAAGCTTTTTGAAATATTTGGAGATGTTAATCACGAAAAGCATTCGAGCATAATCTTGAAAACTGACTCTGATTTGGATGAGTTTAGCATGAGCGATGACTCAAAGATACAGTTCATTGAACTTTCCATGGATAAGCTTGACTCGCCAGAAAGGTTACACCAGATTGCTACGAGGAAGTTTGCTAGTCCACTTACTAGAGCCTGAGAAAAATGCCATAAAAATCACGCTAAGTGGTCCATTATCCAATTTTGTACAGTAAAATATGTCAATATATGGCTTGGCTACAAGTTTCTACTATTTGTTTACAATTTGGCTTGGTCCAAATGAAGTGCTGTGGCATGGTCCGCCATTCCCAATCCTGCCTGATACCCGTACCCTCCAGCTCCATAATTGTGTATAATTACAACTGATCCAATGGTTTGCTTTTCAATTCTAACACCACCTTCCCTGTATGGTCTCAAACCAGTGGCTACTCTCAATACTCTCATATTGGCGGTTTCTGGAAACAATGCCGTGGTTCTTTGTACAATATCTTCGGTTTCTGTCTTGAGAGTGTCACCCGACCAGTTACCACTTTGTACAAATCCACCAAGAACTACTTCGGTTGAATCTGGTCTCGGGATGATATAAGTGGCAGAGTCAGTTCCCCAAAACATTCTGTTTTCCTTGATATGAGGAGCATCAATCACCAATACTTGACCTCTCACTGGAAATACCTTTTCGTCTTTGGTAAGATAATAGGCTCCGATTCCACTACAGTTGAACAAGACTATGGTGGAGCTCGAAGTTGCTTCTGACAAGCTAGTTAAAGACTTTCTGGTAAATGTAACACCCAACAGCAGCAAATACTGATGAAAATGTTGGATGAATTTCGGACAGTTGAAGTTCCAAGTTGTGTATTTCACCCCAAACTTTTTGCCCTTCAAGTCTTTCTCAGGAATGATCGTAAAATTTTCAAGGTAGCCGGAAATTGAGTCAATCTTGGCTTGTGATGGTTCAAAGTCCCACATCTCCGTGGTTGGAAGTTTTGCAAGGCCACAATTGGGTCCCAATTTTTTGAACAATTTGCCCAAATTCGTGTATGTGAATTTGTCATACTTTAACGTTCCAGCATCGTCAGGCGAAATACACGAGAAGTTTCCTCCTGCCCAGGGGGATGTGTATAATTTCGAAGTGTCTCCAGGTAGATGCTGTGCAACAATTTCAATATTTTTCGCAGCCACTCCTTTTTCAATCAATGAGTAGCAAGTGTAAAGGCCGATTACACCAGCACTAAAGGTTAGTATTGTCTCGTATGACAAGGGGTGGCTCACATACCCTAATATAACGTATTCTTTATCCATGACGATATTGAATGAACGGCCGTGCAGTAATTGATATAGTCGGCAATGGCGCTTAAAGTATTACCGTTTTGGGCGATGATAGATAAAGAATCCGCGTTTCGGTAATGACTCTACACCAATTACAAAAAAAGGCTCTTGAATTGTAGGTCTTTCGTTTAGCAATTTCTTAATGCCTCCAAATCATTTTAGCCCTGCTTCTTTTCTCGGCCTTTTCAATTCTTTCGGCAATCACGACGCTAGTTGTATTCTGACGTTCTCTTATAAGCCCGTTTTAGCGCCATGCATTTTAAACCGTTGAATTTTAGCGCGATTTTTCGCCCGGGCACAAAATCGATTATGATCACTTCTAGTACTTTAAGCAATTGCAGTACTTGCTTGTTCGGAGATACTGGCTTGGTCACTTTCTGAAAGCTCCCTTTGCATATTCGGGCTCGACTTGAAAACTTGAAAAGTCTTTCAAATTGATATTTTGCAGTCAACAAGTATATAGAAGTATTCAGTAAAGTCATGTTGTAATACCTTTACCTTTGTAATTTGGTAAACTCTAGTCGTCTGATCTCCGGCGATCCGACCCAGATTGACAAATTTGTAAACATTTGTAACAGGATAAAGGAGTAGAGGAGTAGATAAAATGTGCGACACGCATAATGCGAAATTAGATAACGTTCAAGGCGAGATCGAAACTTTGCTTCGAAATTGCACAAAGCTCACAAGACGAAATCAGATGAAATAGGATCTATCCCGCTTAAAAGAGGCATGACTACTCCAAAGACCCGTGTACGGTCCAGACTCGGGTGCTTTACTTGTAGGAGAAAGAAGTAAGTATCTGTTCTGTGATTATAATCAATTGCTAACATTTAGGAAAAAGTGTGATCAAATCAAGCCAAAATGTGGTCCCTGCTCGCGAAGAAACTCCCCTTGTGACTGGCCGGTCAAGGGTAAGGAGTATAAAAACAAAATCCCCAAAAGAGGAATTAGGTTCCTCGATCATAATTTCCCAGAAATACCTACTTCATACGCCACACCTGTGCAAATATTAACCTACATAAATTCATCAGCAAGTCTTTATTCGGATGAAAATAACCCCCTCGATACTACTTTACAAACAGATGTCATCGATGGATACATTGACAATAATCTCGTGGTACCTTCGAGCCCACTAAGTGACTCTCCTGTGTCATTGGATACGCTCATTTTCCCATTATATCAGTCTCCTTCGGTCCCGTTGTGCCTCAAGTTGTCGGCTTCTGAAACAGAACACTTTGAGTACTATTGTCATGCCGTGGCTCCCAAGATCTCGGTGGTTCCAAATCATCTCAACCACTTTTTACAAGTGTTTCTTCCTTTGGCTTACGAAGACGAGTCTGTTCTCTACTGTTTGGTCGCTTGGGGATACACCATAAGAAATCATAACAAACGACTACAACAAAAAAATTCATTTATGGACCGTGCAAAGACTTTTTTGGGTGGTAGAGAGCACAAGTTCATTTCTTCACTTGCCAGCTATATCATACTCATGTGTATCGAGATTACCACGGGAGATACAATGGCTTGGTCAAGATACTTGACTAGCTGCTATGACTCCATAAACAAAATGGGAGGGTTTGGAATACTCAAAAATTATTCTGAGGAAGGAAGAGCTCTTGCAGAAAACTTTGCCTACTTTGATATCCTTGCGTCGCAATCCAATGAAAATGGAACTTATTATCCCGTTTACGAGTATTGCAATCTTTTCAATACGACCAATACCGGTGGCTTCGTGGACCCTTTACTGGGCTGTACCCGTCCGTTAATCTTGATATTAGGCGACGTTATCAACCTCATCGTGGAAATAAGAGCACTCAAAGAAAATAATTGTTACACTAATACTGAAAAATTACAAACAATTTTGACCAAAACCGAAGAAATAGAGATGAAGCTAAAAAGTGCCCGAATTTTCACCATAGATTATCAGATCTTGGCTGAGTCGAATGACAACGAAATGAACTATCACCGTCAAATGTTTGAACTATATCGTATATCCATACAGATGTACGTCAAACAAGCTATACGTCGACTACCTCCCAACGTTCCAGAGATGCAACTCTGCTTGGGTATGGCAAATGAAAATCTAAACTCTTTGATAGAGAGTCCCTTGCGACTGGGATTGAGTTTTCCTTTGTTAATTACAGGTATGAATTCCGTCACAGAAGAAGACAGAAACCGTACCAGTTGCAACTTGGAATTGCTTGGTCGTAACTACGAGTTTGATTCCATAGACAAGCTCAAGCAGTTGATTCAAGAGGTTTGGAATCTCAACAAAGATGGTTCATTGTGTATCGACTACTTTGAGGTGACTAGGAAGTTTGGCTGGAAGCTCAACATTGGGAGATAATCAGAATTTCATTTTGTTATACATAGTTCCACAATAAGCTCCATAACGTCTTTTTCCTGTCCTTTGGTTCGGAACTCAACTCCAGCTCAGAGTTCTCTTCTTCGATTGGTGTATGTTCTTCGTAATCCACTCTTTCGCTCACAAAATCCATATCCTCGTAAGACACCCACTTACTCTTCAAGTAAATTTTATAGGCACCCCAAATGACGAAGAACAAAGGAAGCATAATGTACAAATCAACAAATTGGCCGGCTTGGAATGGAACAAACACTGTCCATCCTTGTACCAAGCACAACACCAAGCCCAATAAAATACCAAAATAATTGATATAGGGATAAAGAGGTATTTTGAATGGTAAGTCACTAATCAGGTTACCAGCTCTTACCCAACCTTTTCTGAATCTGTAATGTGCAAAAATTATACCTGTCCACACAATGAAAGCACTCACTCCTGCTAAACCCACGATGTAACTGTAAGCAACCGCCGAGCTGCTTTGCATCGATAACAACGAAAGAAACCCAAAAAGATGAACTGTGTTGGTAGCCACATATGGAACACCAGCTTTGTTCACTTTTGCCAAAATCTTTGGAGCATAGCCATCAACTGCCAATCTTAATACACAGCGCCCACAGAAATAGACAGCGCTATTGATGGAGGAAATACAAGTGATGAGAATTATTGTGGTAACGAAATAACCAGCATTCGCCCATCCGGCTTTTATCAATGCAATGGTCATGGGAGATCTCATCACTTTATTATCCGCAGACAAACCCTCGTCGTTCCATGCGACTGTTATACCGTAGGCAATGGTTATGCCGAAATAGATGAAAAAAATTCTGAAGATGGACTGCAGAACCGCTCTTCTGACGGACTTTTTCACATTTTTCAGCTCCAGAAAAGTGATCGACAAGCTCTCAATTCCAGTGTAGAAAACCCCCGCGTACACAAAAGAGTTGGCAATACCTTTGAAACCATGTGCCAAGGGGAACTCGCCAAATGGGTTTCCTGGGGACTTACCTTTCACTCCTCCAGCAGCAAAGATCACCGCAAATAAATAGAACCCTGTGAGGAAAAGAATCTTTATGAACGCCAAAATATACTCAACTTCGCCAAAGACATCGACTCCGAACATCTGGTAGATGGAAAAGAAAAACCACAATATCAAGTAGTAGCCGTAAATGGGAACTTTATCACTGTAAAACGACAACACCGATGTCACAGAAACATACTCAGCGATGATATTGCATACCCACAAGAACGCATAGTTCCACCCTAGGGCAGCTCCAAATGCTGGATCCACCCACCGGGAAGCATGGGTATTGAAATTGAAATCAAATAAAGAGTTCATTTCTCCAATGCAAAACATCATCACCACTACCAAAAGTCCCACGATAGCAAATCCCACCAACAACCCAGCGGGACCTCCAGCATGCAAGGCGCTTCCCATACCAATAAACAACCCCGGACCAATGATACCAGCAAGCGCCATCATAGAAATATGACGAACTTTGAGACCTCGTTTGACCCCAGACTTGGGATCTATACGACCGCGTCCCACACTGGACCGAGATGTTACGGCAATATTCAAGTGTCCTTGTTTCTCCATGTAATCAGATGCAGATTATTGAAAATGGAGTCCTTCTTATATATAGTTGGTTGTGCGCCATTATACTTATCTCTAAACTCTTTTTAAAACGAAAGGCTGCGAAAAAGTGCGCCTAAACTCCTTCCGCAATTAGTAGGCTGATAGCCGCCGCCGCTCAAAACGGTAACCGTTTACGCGCCACTCCGCACAGCGACCTTTTAAAAAGCCTATTGCACCGTATACAAATTATAAAATCTACTCTAAATACGATTTTTATGTATTGGGGAAAACCAAAAAATAACGAGGCAAGACTTGCACACATTTGCAAGTCCACTCCTATCATTGATACTCATAATGATTTGCCTTATCTTTTACGGTTGCAACTTCATAATGAGTTTCAAGATGAGTTCAAATTCAAGTTTAACGACACCCTAACTTCAAACACCGATATTCCGCGGCTCAAGAAGGGCAAGATAGGTGTGCAGTTTCTCAGTTGTTACATAGAATGCAAGGAATCTGACCACCTTTATCAGGACTTTAACAAGCCGAATAGTGCCGTTAGAGATACCATGGAACAAATCGATGTCACGAAAAGACTAACTCAAGCGTACCCTTCTGATCTTGCACTCGTCCATAGCGCCGAGGAAGCCATCAAGCAGTACAAATGTGGGAAAATAGCAATTGCATTGGGAGTTGAAGGGCTTCATCAAGTGGATTCTTCGTTGGCAGTTTTGCGAATGTACCACGAATTGGGTGTACGTTATATCACTTTGACCCATAATTGTGACAATCCTTTTGCCACGGCCGCTTCTTCGGTTGTAGGAGGTTTACCGGACAAAGGATTGTCTTCTTTCGGTAAAGATTGCATCTTGGAAATGAACAGATTGGGTATCATGGTCGATTTGTCCCATGTCAGTTTGCGGACCATGTACGATGCTCTCGAGGTCACCAAAGCACCGGTGATGTTTTCCCATTCATCAGCTTTTGCATTGACCAACAATGAAAGAAACGTCAGAGATGATGTGCTTTTGAAAGTTAAAGAAAATGGTGGTGTGGTTTGTGTCAATTTTTTCCCAATGTTTCTCGTTCAAAAAGGCAGACTGGTGGACGAGGTTACCATTGAAGACGCAGTGGATCACGTTATGCATATTGTCAACTTAATTGGCTGGGATCATGTTGGGTTCGGTTCGGACTTTGACGGTATTCCCTGTGGTCCCCAAGGCTTAGAAGATGTCTCCAAGTATCCTGATTTGGTCTACAAACTAATGGAAAGGTCACAGGCCACCGACGACGATATAGCCAAAGTTATGGGAGGAAATGTCATGAGAGTGTGGAGAGAAGCAGAGAGAGTTTCTCAACAGAGTAAAGACATAGCTCCAGTGGAAACCAATTGGGAGAAAAGGGAGTGGAAATTTTTCAAATATTTGACAGAATTGCCAGAATTGTTTCCTGGCGCTTACAATGCCAAGAACAATGTGTATGACGACTCGCAGTCGTTGGTGTTGACCAATAGTGAAGAAGCGCTGAGCACTAATGCTGAGAATTGAAAATTAGCCAAAAATCTGCTGAATTTGCCTCAAGTGAAAAAGCTCCAAGTCACAATAGAGAACTCTATTATATAGACCGTAACCGTCACAAAGATGACTTTATGTCACAATGACATTGTGAAGTTCAGGGTCCACACCTAGACACCGGCCCGGGCTACAGATATGACTAATATATGCAAACCTTAGCACAACCTATTGTGTACTGCCGATTTCTATTGCCGATATATAGCACCGACTTCTACCGATCTACTGCCGATATCTACCGCCGACATTTAGCCCGTTCCAAGCGAACGCGCAAATACGAATATTTTGCGAAAACCTCCATTATGTTCAAACGCAAAATAGCCCATTTCGCGCGAATCGGCCTGTATAGTGCTCGGTATACCCCACCTTTTCCGGCAATTGCCCGACTACCCCGGCTATAAAATAATCACTTGTTTCTTCTTCTCCAACTTCACATTTCCCAATGACCCTCAAGTTTGCCGCGCCTGACTCGCCATACGTGTTCGAATCGACTCAGGGTATTGATGCCAATGATATTTTTGGCAAGGCAACTCCTCTTGATCCCCACACTTTGAAGGAAGCCGTACCTCTCCCCAACTCGGCTGAACCGGGATATAGTGCTATCTACCGTAACAAGACGTTTCCTGAAGCGTTGAAATGTGCTTTTTCACCTCAACTCACCACAGTTTATGAATTACTCATCAATTCTTTCAAGTATTACTCCAACAAACCAGCGCTTGCTTGGAGAGAATACGATTACGAAACCGGTAAAAGTGCTCCTGATTACAAGTCTATCACCTATCTGGAGCTCAACGAGACCAGAAGTGCCTTGGGTGCTGGTTTGATGTACTTGTTGAAGTCGAATCCTTACAAAGATTCCGCCAGATATGCTTCCCATGCTAAGATTGACAATCATGAAAGAGATTACAAAAGTTATGATTCCAACAACATGTCGTTTGTAGCCACCTTGTTCTCTGGCAATCGTGCTGAATGGTGTATTGCCGACGTGATGACATCGACGTTTTCAATCACCAATACTGCTTTGTATGATACGTTGGGACCCGATACGTCGCAATTTATTTTGTCTTCCACCGAGTCGCCGGTCGTGATCACTTCTAGTGACCATATTGAAGATTTGGTGAAGCTCAAGGCCGACAACCCACTGTCGTTGGGTCAGTTTATTGCAATTATTTCCATGGATCCTTTGGACTTGAAAGGCTCTTCAGCCAAGGCTTTGAAGGACCAGGGTCTTGTGGCTTATGCCAATGATCACAATATTACCGTCCACGATTGGAATCAAGTACGCCAACTTGGTGAAATTTTCCCCATTAACGACTTGCCTCCAACCACAGAATCCGTTTATACTATCAGTTTCACATCTGGAACTACTGGTGCGAATCCAAAAGGTGTCATTCTCACCCACAAAATAGCCACTTCAGGGATCACCTTTGTGTTGTCGCAGTTCCCTCAGGAGCCCAATGGCAGGGCTTTCTTGTTTCTTCCTTTGGCTCATATTTATGAGAGACAAAATTACGGTGTCGTTTTGACTGGCGGCTCATGCGCCGGATTTCCTCGCTTGCACGGCACGCCTTTGACTTTGGTGGAAGACTTGAAGATCTTCAAGCCCTCTCATATGTCTAACGTGCCTCGAGTTTACTCCAAATTTGAAGCTGCCTTGAGAGCTGCTACCGTTGACCACCCTACCTCGGCCTTAAAACGGTCTCTTTTCCAAAAGGTAATCGACACCAAAATCGAAAAGAGAAGACAACACGAAGTGGGAGGTGATTACCATCTCTTGTACGACCCTACTGTGATTAAAAAATTGCGTGCTCTGTTGGGTTACGATAACATGATTTGGACCGTTACAGGCTCTGCTCCAATCTCACCTGCGACTATTGAATTTCTCCAGGCAGCTTTAAATATTTCACTTTTCCAGGGTTATGGTCTTACTGAGTCATACGCCGGTATTTCGGCAAGTGTATCTAATGATTCTCTTGGCAGTTGTGGAGCCATAGGAATTACTGGTGAAATTCGTGTAAAAGAATTGCCCGAGATGGGATACCATTTAGACGGTCCAAACGGCCCCAGTGGTGAATTGATGCTTCGTGGTCCTCAGATTTTTGAAAGCTACTTTAAGAATCCTGAAGAAACGGCCAAATCCGTCAGCAAGGATGGATGGTTCAGCACTGGAGATGTGGCTCGGATCTCAAAAGAGGGCCGGATTTACATTGTTGATCGTGTGAAGAACTTTTTCAAGTTGGCCCAGGGTGAGTATGTCACACCTGAAAAGGTCGAAAACACTTACTTGTCTGGTAACCACTTGCTCACCCAAGCTTACGTCCATGGAGATTCGCACCGTCATTTCTTGGTTGCGGTTCTTGGAGTGGATCCTCAAGGAATTGTGAGCTTTTTGGTAGAGAAATGTGGCCATTCAAAGGCAAGTTTGAGAAACAAATCCCCACAAGAAATCTTGGAGATTTTGAACAAGCGTGAAGTCAGAAAAGAACTTTTGTCTATCTTGAATACTGGTGCCTATAAGAAGAAGGCTTTGCAAGGTTTTGAGAGATTACACAATATCTATGTTGAATTTGAGCCATTGACGGTTGAGCGTGGTGTGGTGACACCTACCGTGAAATTGAAACGTCCAATTGCTTTAAAGTTCTTCAAGACGCAGATCGAAGCCATGTACGATGAGGGACTGTTGCTTTACGACCAGTCGAAGATGTAATTAGACAGCTGTATATGAAGAACCTTCAATTCAATTCACTTCTCTTTTTCCTACTTTTGCACCCAGACACCGTGCGCATACTTTGTGAATAATTTCAACACCTTCATCACCTCAAATGGTATGTATACCTCTAGGCCTCTGGCGCCTCCCAATGCCACAAAAGCTCGTAACTAACACAGTCTATATCCACAAAATCAGAATCAAAGGATTTGAAGGGCCTTTCTCTCATTGCGGCTCATTCCCATATTTCGGGTCTCGGTCTCGATGACCAGCTTCAGCCCAAGGAGTCTGCTCAGGGTATGGTGGGACAGTTGAAGGCCAGAAAAGCCGCTGGTGTGATCCTCAAGATGGTGCAAGCGGGACGTATTGCTGGCAGAGCCGTGTTGGTAGCAGGGCCTCCATCAACTGGTAAGACCGCCATCGCCATGGGATTGTCACAAACTCTTGGAAGCGAAGTTCCATTTACTGCAATTTCCGGATCGGAGATTTTCTCGTTGGACATCTCCAAGACGGAATCGTTGACCCAGGCGTTCAGAAAATCCATTGGGATCAGAATTAAAGAGGAAACTGAAATCATTGAAGGTGAAGTGGTGGAAATTCAGATCGATCGCTCAATTACCGGGGGCCACAAGCAGGGAAAACTTACCATCAAGACCACTGATATGGAAACTATCTACGAGTTGGGTAACAAGATGATCGAAGGCCTCACGAAGGAAAAGGTTTTGGCTGGAGATGTTGTATCCATAGACAAGGCATCTGGAAAAATATCCAAATTGGGACGGTCTTTCACCAGAGCCCGTGATTACGATGCCATGGGACCAGAGACCAAGTTTGTTCAGTGTCCCGAGGGAGAATTGCAAAAACGTAAGGAAGTGGTTCACACAGTTTCGTTGCACGAGATTGATGTAATTAATTCCAGACAGCAGGGATTTTTGGCATTGTTTTCCGGAGATACAGGGGAAATTCAAGCAGAGGTCAGAGACCAAATCAATACCAAGGTTGCAGAATGGAAAGAAGAAGGCAAGGCCGAAATTGTACCAGGAGTATTGTTCATTGATGAGGTTCATATGTTGGATATTGAATGCTTTTCCTTCATCAACAGAGCGTTAGAGGACGAATTTGCTCCAATCGTCATGATGGCTACCAACAGAGGATTGTCCAAGATCCGTGGCACCAACTACAAGGCTCCCCATGGATTACCCATGGATCTCTTGGACAGAAGTATTATCATTCACACTGCCCCATATTCTGCCGACGAAATCAACACGATTTTGTCGATTCGTGCTACTGAAGAAGAGGCCGAATTGGCACCGGATGCTTTGGCGTTGTTGACCAAAATTGGTCAAGAAACCAGCTTGCGGTATGCATCGAATTTGATTGCGGTTTCACAGCAAATAGCTATCAAGAGAAGAAGCAGCACCATCGAGTTGACCGACGTCAAGAGAGCTTATATGTTGTTCTTGGACTCAGACAGATCGGTGCAATATGTGGAGGAATTTTCTTCACAGTACCTCGACGACAATGGAGTTGCTTTCACCGAAAAGATGGAGACAGACTAGATAGATGATCAATGTATGTATAGTATCGCAAACTATTTGCTTAGCTTTGTTCATAGCTCCGTTCTTGGCTATTTCTACTAACCGCTGCCCTTGGTGTTCAAGATTAACGCAATAATCATGCCGTACAACCCCAACACCTCGGCAAAAATCAAAATCAACACTATTCCCACAAACAACCGAGGCTGGTGCATAAACTGCCTAACCCCCTCATCTCCTACAATTCCAATGGCGTATCCCGACGCCAAGCATGCAAATCCAACACTCAATCCACAAGCCAAATGCATAAATCCGTTGAAAAGTGTGTAATTTTCACCAGGACTCAAGCCTCCAGCTATCAAAACCGACACCACAAGCCCATAGACCGACAAAATACCCGACATAACCACCGGAATGAGAGATCTCATGATTAATTCCGGCTTGAAAGTACCAATACCAGAGATACCGATTCCCGACTTTGCGGTGCCGATGGCCGCTCCGGCACACGACAAGATCATCGCCAGAGCACAGCCAGCAAACCCGAAGAACGGCGCAAACGCAGGGCTGTAGACGTTTTCAGAAGACATGATGTTAAGGAGTCGATAACGGTGGTGAGGATGGCCGTGGTGCAGGTGGTTGGGCCCGAAAAAACTCGCTTACGTAAGCGGCGCATCTTCATGGCTGCGATCAAAATAATCCTAAACATGGATAACGATAACCACGACAAGATTGCCCTTAGCAATCAGGATTTGAGCTGGGTCTATGGCCCAGGTGCTCTCTTCCACCACCGCCAAGCTCGATCTACACCTTCCTACTTCCAATAGTGATCCGTTAAAACGAAGAGTAGCTGGAATGCTCGAAGAATTTATACAAGAACTGTTTGAAATGGTCAAAAATGCCATGGTAGTTGATGGCGAGGATCTCGGGCGCAGCCTGGGGCCAGTGGCTGACCATATAGCTTACAAGCCACGAGAAAAAACCGAACCTTTTGATTTTGAACTCAATGGAGAACTACGTAACGTTTTGGAACTGGTGGAAAAGGAAACGATAAAGGTGTCTACTTTACGTAAAGATGTTCCTGCCAAGGTGAAGCAGGCGTATCAGCAACTAATAGAGTCTACAGACCTGCTGGTGTCTCGAATATTGGCGGAATTGGACGTAGAAGAGGAGGCTATTATGCTTGAAGAAAATGATGTTCTCCCTGATCTTGAAGGGGTAGTTGGTGATTATGAGGCGGCAATTTTAGCATTGAGCAAGCTTAACCAGTCTGTGCCAGAACAAAGAGCCGAGCTCGCAAAACTTGACAGTACGATGTCTTATCTCAGAGCTCGATACCAAGCGACATAACAGGTTTTGATCTTTGAGTCGTGCACGGACGAATTTAAGCCGTTAAAAAAGACGGTGTGAAGCAGTCTAGTCTTCTGGTATTCAACATGCCAAGGCTAATGTGGTGATCGGCGAATAGTCCAATATGGTCTTATTGCCAACATGAATTATGGCCTACATGGATTACACCAACGGGCTTATATGGTCGCGAATGTGAGGTACTCTCGCCTATCTGCAGACTTCGCATTATTTACTCTTTGACCAAAAACGGAGAATAAATAGTTCTGCATGTAATGTGTATACTTAATGGCACTTGCATCATTCTGTTCAATATCCGTCACTCCAGTCGCCGCAATGGCTTCCCCTGTCAAGAAAATCGCCTTGCGGTATCTCGATAATATCAATGAGACTCCTTCCAGACCCCTACAACCATCGCTGAAACATAACTTTACCCCTCGCCGAAATGGCGAAGATTTGGATATACTTGCCAAACAACTAAATGTCACACCTTCCAAAACAGACCTCATCAAAAACAGCTATGAATCTCCGTCCGCTACCATAACCTCATTCAAATCTTCCACTAGTAGCAATGGCTCACCAAGAAAGTACAACTTGGCTGCTCCAGAATCTTCACCATACTTAAGAAGCCCCACCAACTCTACCGAAAAATCATCGCCCGGATACGAGTATCTTTGTCGGATCTCCTCAATAAAAGTATGGTTGGAGTCGGTGTTGGGACACAAGATATCTCAGACACCAGTGGAGTTAATTAGCTACATTCGCAACGGTATTCATCTCGCCGAGCTCGCCAACATCATTCTTCCTACCCACCAATCTGTGTTCAAAAATGATACCCGGCTTCAATTCAAGCACACCGAGAATATCAACCGGTTTTTTGATCTCCTTGAATACCTCGATGTTCCGGATCTCTTTAGATTCGAGCTCACTGATCTTTACGATGCTAAAAATGTCCCCAAGGTTTGGTACTGTCTCTATGCTATGAGTTATATGCTTCACAAAGCAGACCTGCAGTTCCCAACGATAAAGAACGAGTTGGGGTTGCTTGATTTTTCCCCCGAAGATATACGGGCCGCTAATCGTTCACTCGTGGGAAGTCCACTCCCAAACTTTTCCAGTGCTGACTCTGTGAGCTCGGGAAATAACTCTTATATGAACCGAGCTCTAGGTGGCTCGCAAACAATGAAAGGGATGAACAGTCCTACTCGAAGCCCTACTCAAAGTTCTGTTCGGAGTCCTACTCGGAGCCCTGTATCTCGTCCCATTTCCAAGAAAGAACCACTTCCCAAAACCACACCATTCTCCACCAAATTAACCTCGCTAGTCAATCCTTTCAAAGAGGCTCCCAAGTTGAGCTTCGACTCTTTCACCCCACCACCACTGAATGATATTACTGTCACCAGTTCCCAAATTCGAGAACTTCAGTCCTACGAGCCTGAAATAATGAAACTTCAAGCTCTTGCCTTGGGTGCTGCGTTCCGCTACAAGATGTTCGTTGACCGTATAATGCTCAAGTCCTATGAGGAGGAGTTTCTCCACTTTGTTTCTATAATTCGTGGAAACTTGTCAAGAAGAAAGACCGTCCACAGGCATAGAGACGAATTGATTCTTTACAAGTATGATATCATCGAATTGCAAAGTTTAGCTCGAACCAAATTGTTTAAAAAGGAGAACAATCACGACTTAACTGTTCACGATGCTAACATGGTGTCGTTCCAGAGCATAGCACGGGGTGCTATAACAAGAAATAGGACCAGTCAAATTATGGAAAATCTCTTGTCTCACGAATCTAAGCTTAGCACATGGCAAGCTCATGCAAAAATGATGCTAGTTCACTCCAAGGCAAAAGTTGTAATTGAGCATCGTCATGAAATCGAACCACCTATAACCATACTCCAAGCGGCTTGCCGTAGAGTCTTGTATGAGAGATTTACCAAGAACTGCGTGGCTGCAAATTTGTCAAACGAAAGCACTATAGTACAATTGCAGTCCGTAATTCGAGGTGCCATATCTCGCCGGACTATGGCGTATAAAATAAAGTACGTTAAAAGGTTCAAGTTTCCAATAATTGAATTGCAAAGCATTGCGAGGGGTGGAAACTTGCGTTCCAAATTATGTGACGGTGTGTTAATGGCATTGGTTGATGAGCACGATGTCTTGAGCGAATTATACGCCATTTCACGAGGTAATGCAGTTCGGAGGAAAACTCAAAACAGATTGGTAGCCCTTCATTCGTTTGAGGATTCCGCCATAACTCCAATCCAAACCATCTTCAGAGGAGTCTTTGCTCGTTTCAAGAGAGAAATTCTCTTGGATGATTTGTATTCTGAAGTTCATTCTATCATCGGGCTTCAAGCAGCTATTCGTGGATTTAAGATAAGAAGTAACCATCGCCTGATGAAGAAGTATTATGACAGAAACGTTGAACAAGTCGTGAAAGCTCAGGCATTCATCAGAAGCACATTCTCGAGAAACGCATACAAGTCTTTGCTCAACATGAGGAACCCTTCGCTTGCGGTTATTCGGAACTTTGTCCATTTGCTTTCCAACAGCGACTGTGACTATCAGCAAGAAATTGAGCTCAATGATTTACAAGATTTGATAGTTGAGAAATCAAAGCACAACGAGGACTTGGAGTCTAAGATCGAAAACTTGGACGTTAAATTGGGACTCCTCGATAAGAACAAGATAAGTGTGGAAGACTTTGTGAAAAACAAAAACAAGTACAAGACGTTCAAGCCTGCTGCTGCAGCCAATAACAACTCACTCGACAAATTAAGCAAGAATGCCAGAACAAGAATTGAAGTATACCAGTCCTTATTTTACTTACTTCAAACCAACCCTGTTTACTTGATGAGGCTCTACAGGAACATGCAAGATAACGCAGGCTCGTCCAAGGCACTTGATAGCTTACAAAATCTGGTCATGCTACTTTTCCCCATCAAGAACACCTCGATAAAGTATCATTCTAGAGAGGAGTTTTTCTTGATGCGTTTCATTACTGAGTTGATGAAAGTAGAAGTGGGTGCTTGTCGAAATCTCAGTGACCTTACGAAACCTCAATGCTGTCTTTGGATTGACTTTCTTCACAATTTCAATAATCATACCTATCAAAGGCTGCATTTAAAGAAGCTCATTGGAAAGCACATTTGCCGTATCACCGAAGACGACGAATTGAATTTCGAATCTGATCCTTCACAAATCTATGAAGACATAGTCAGGAAGGAAGTTAAAGTTCATGGCTTTAGCGACCGACCGCTGGTACTTCCAGCTCCTTCCGCAATAAAGGAGCCAGATGTCTCCTCACAATTTGTGGAAAACTTGATGTCTTTACGTGAATGTGTCTCAGAGATTTTAAGCACTTTGGAGGCAGTCGTAGAGTCTGTTCCATTACACATTCGAATTGCGTGCAAATATGCCTTCGATCTTGTCAAAATCAACTTTCCTGAAAAGACGAATCTCCAACATTTAGCCGTCGCAGGAGTGATCTTCTACAAGCATTATGTTGGTAGCATCATCCAGAATCCCGAAAACTTTGGCATTTCCGTTCGTGATCCATTTAATCCTTCTTTAACAAATCCTAGGTGTGAAAATAATATGAGACACTTGAATCGTGTTATCCTTCAGGTTTTTGCAATGAAACCTTTCACAGACAACTTTTTGAAACCATTGAACGACTACATAGCTTCATCCGAGGCGTCTGTCACTTTTTTGATCTCACGAATCATTGATGTGCGCCACATGGACACCGAGTATAATCTTAGTGATTATGATGATATTGTGTCTCACGAGCGCCCCAAGCTCACTATGAAAGTGAGTGATATGATTATGTTTGAGAAGCTCTTGACCAAAAACATCGACGTCGTTGCACCCGGAAATGATGATCAGTTATACAGTGTTATGCTCAGGCTTGATGATCTTGTGAACTCGGCTGATGAGTTTGTTGAGTTGACCGAGATAGGACAGGTGACACTCAACTTGAGTCCCCAAACTCAAGAAACTTCTGTGGTGGATTCAAAGGTCACATCCTTGTTTGCGCAGGTCAAAAGGTGCTTGTTATACATAATACGAGTTCAAGAAGGCTCGGGATTGTTGGAACTTTTGATATCAGGAATCAAGCCCCACCACGAACAATTGTTCAGGGAGATCATTTCACAGGAACAAAAAGAAAATTTACAGTCTAAGCTCAACGATAAAAAGAGACCATACTACAAAACTTCGATTGGAGATTTACTGTGCATTTCGTACCACGATCTCAAGAAAATGGCACTTGAAAAGATCTTGCAATTAGAGTCTATGGGTCACTTACGAAGATCCAACTCCTACCAAGACTTATTGAACAGTATGGCAGTTGATATCAAGACAAAAGACCTGCAGCGAGTAGCGAGAAGCAAACAGGTAGACATCGCTATGAAAACTGTTGATAAGTTGACTTCGAAAGAAAAGTTATTAGAAAAACAACTTGCAGATTACAATTCTCATATTGACAAAATCCTTGCGGATCTTCAGCTGCGGCCAAAGGAAAAGAAGCTTTTCAATGTAATTCCTATTTTCAGCAAGCAATATTTTTATCATCGTGAACTCAAGAAAGCTAACAGACTCCCTCAATTTGGCTCCTACAAATACACCGCTAAGAAGTTGACTGACCAAAAGATCTTGGTTGATTTTGGAGGCATGATTAGCCAGTACAGCAGTAATATGTCAAAGTTGGACTTTATGTTCAGTTGCCATCAAACTGGAAAATTCACAATCGAAGTGGCCAGTGGTTCTGTTACCATTCCTGGAGCTGTGAGTTCGGTGTCTCTCGATGAATTATTGGACCTACAATATTACAACAGTGAAACGATGGAGATGTTTGACGGTGCTGTCGTCTTTGACACTCAGAATTTGATTGGCTTTATTTTCCGCAAGTTCTATGATATCAAGAAGGAATGAGGAAGTATACATATACGCAATAAATGAAGGAGGGATTTGACACCAAATGAGTACCCAATAAATGATAGCAAGAAGCCATTTGAGTAAAAGATACACATTTTTTTCAGCAGAATTATTTGAAGATAAGCATTGTAGTTCAAATAACTCACTTGTTGAGTAATTGGTCAATTTTCTTCTCCAACGCATCCAATTTGTCGTCCTTTTCTTGGCTCGCAAGAGTCAACTTTTCGATCTGAGATTCTAACGAATCAACCAAGCTTGAGAGCCGTTCAACGGTACCTTTTAAAGTGGGAGCCGTGGGCGTCTTTGTGGCTTTATCATCTTGAGCAGCAGGCTCTGGGGTCAAATTCTTTACTGGAGAAGAAACAGCGGGTTCGGGTGATTTCTCAGCTACAACAGACTTGGGCTGTTCGGATAAAACAACTTCAGGGGCGTTTTTAGTAGTGGCTTCGGAAGGTTCAGAGGTTTTTGGCGTAGTTGCAGGGCTGTTTGCAGTTTCTTCTGATTGCACAGAATTGATAGAAGGAACGTCAGTTTTTTGAACTTCCTCCCATTCTTCATTTCCATCGTCAACATCTGGCACGTCATCCTCAGGGTCCGATTCATCATTCACCTTCTCCAACATCTTATTGACGCTTGTGGATGATTTCAAAACTTCGTCGACTTCGGCTTTCGACTCGGGAGTGGATTCCTTTGGTGTTGAGGACTCTGGCTTTGGGGTTGAGACTAACTTCAGTTCCTTAGGTTCATTCGCTGATTTGGCAGCAGATTTCTTCTCCTCTTCCTTCGCCTCCTTCTCTTTCGATATACTGACGCCAGGCTCCGCGTCTCTCAAGGTGGGTTCTGTACCTTCATACAAAGCTTCCATACTCATCAACTTGGGACCATGACAAGATTTGCCTGCAAACCAGTCAGCGGCAGACAATCCTGGTTCAGTTGAGGGACAGTCGGGGTAAATGTCACTCTGAAATAACTCAGAGCGTCTGGGAACGATGAAAGAGATAGGCTCAACCATTGAATCATTGACGGTTTTAAAACACTTGAGAATCTCATTCTCTTTGACTGCAACAGTATGTTTAGGAGCAGCAGCAAAACCTCTTTGAGGGTCAGTTGAAGCGTACTGCGACAAATCGTACAAGATGTCATCCTCATACTCGTAATAACGGATGTTTCCGTCTCCTTTTCCTGCCAAATACAAGATGGAAGTTGACTCGTCATAGATTGGAATCAATACTCCGGAAGAAGAGTCAATAACCACAAATCCGTCGATTGGCCCATTGACAATATTATTGACATCCCAGATACCAACCTGACGGTCAGACAAACGTGAGAACCCGGTGGTGAGTATTCTGTCGGTATTGCCCAACCAGGTCACACGAGAGGGTTTGGCGCCGGTGTGACCGGGACCCTCAGACAAGATTTTGCCGGATCTTATGTCCCAGATTCTCAATTTTTTATCTCTTGAAGTTGTAGCCATTAAAGAACCGTCGTAGTTGAACGCAAAGGACGTAACCAAATCTTTGTGCTGCAAAGTAATCTCGTCCTTGCCGGTTTCCAAGTTCCAGATTTTGACTGTGTAATCCAAGGAACAAGACGCCAATACGTTCTCAGCACAAGGATGAAACTCAACGTGGCCCACCTTCCGGTTGTGGGCCGAAAGAATTTTTGTGGGTTCAGTGATATCTTTTGTTTCATCCTTTTCATCGACATAATGGTGGAATGAAAAGTCGTCAGGAATATCCCACAAGAAAATTTTACCATCATCAGAACAACTCACCACCTGTTTGTCGTTGAACGGATTGAACGCCGTGTCCAATACTGGACCCTTATGGCCCCGAAACAAAGGTACGGTGTCGGGAGCCTTGCCGACTTCCTCCAATGGAATAATTGCAAAAGCTCCACCACCACTGGCGTCCCAATTCACGGAGAGGTATTTTCCATTCGAATGGATGATATTCGAATCCCAAGCGTTTTTGGTGATCTTCAAGTTGTCGTAACATTTTTCTTTTTTGGCTGCTTGTCCAAAAACATGGCGATACTTGGACGCTCTTACGAATTTCCCGCTGGGTTAGTTTTAAAGGACTGGGATGGATAATATTGACCAATTGGACAAGATGGCAGGCTTGTAGGAGTTTGAATGCAATGTTTCATTTTTTGCACTGTTTCGTCACACATACCTCATGTTTACAGAGCCTCACCAAAGAATAAAGGGCGATCAATTGGGATTGTAGTCACGTGCGCGACCGCGGCTTGAGATTGTAAAGTGCATAGCGAACTAATAAGGCGAAGGGAACGAAGGGACCAAAACCTCAATTGAGACTAAACAGCCCAAATCGACTAAGCAGTCGAAATTTTTTAGCTATACCTGAATATTATTTATCTATCACCTTCGTAAGTTAAACAGCCACTTATCACGTGATCTGCTAACAAGTAACCTCTAACTACTTCTACTACAGTATAGAGACATAAATTAATTCAATTAGTTCAATGGGTTCAATGGGCTCGCAATCCAAGTTTCCTAGCAGCTAAATGTCCAAATTTCTAACCACATCCCTCAACGAACTGACGTATCTGTTTTCAATTGTCTCACCTTTACCGGCTGCAACTTTGAGAACCAATTCGTTAAGTTCTGCTGAACCCAAGATATCCACATGGTCAGCCGTCTTGGCTCCTCCTCTAATATCGAATCTATCGGGCTCGTGTTTTATTTCCACGATTGTAACCGAGCAATTGGCAGGATTAAAGCGAGATTCGCTTCCCTTCTGCCACTCATGGAGAATGGCATGCGACATTAACGAAACAGTTCCATCTCCGTCACCAAAATAAACTGCGTTTTTGTTTTCTCCGTCAATGGTTATGTTCAAATTTGTCTCCTTGGGTGCTTCGCGGTACGTGTAAGCTCTTTCGGTAGGACAGCCAACACCGTAGAAGGAATACACTTTCATGTCAGGAGCATAAGGCAAAGCCACTTCAAGTGGATTGATCCACTTCAGATGGTCCTTGGCATTTTCGTTGACTTCTTTCTTCGTTTTGGCCACTCCCCATGAATATTGCTCTTTAACTCTGTCAGTAAACCACTTTGGTGACGTTTCAAGAAGATAGTCAATACTGGAGGTGATGGTCATATTCTTCCATTTGTCCGTTTCGAACCGAATAAACGTTCCAAAAGTGTCATTGTGTTGACCTGGAAGCTCGGTTCCGGATCCTCCTTCGGCATTTTCCGTCATTAGACTGTTACTGGGGTCATCAGGAGCCGAGGTGTAATTTCCCCAGATCAAGTCTCCTCCCTTAGGAAGCATCGACGAAACTCCGCCAAAAGACCGAAGCATATCCAATCTTTCTCTTCTACTAAAGAACTTTTCCAATCCATAAACTGCAAGTGCATTCAATTGCACTGTATCTTTCATTTCGCCAGAAATAAGAGCAGGAATGCTCTTTGGAGTTCCAAGAAGAGTTCCCGAAATATCCACAAATGCCTCAATGTGGTCGTTGCACCATGAGCTTCCTCCATTTCCGTACTGCTCGCCACTAGCCTCGACCCATTTCATAAAGTAAAACACCACTTGTGATCCCATTGAGTGGCCCACAAGTATCGACTTTTGGCCCGTGAGTTTCTTGGTCATTTCGATCTGAGACTGTAGTTTGGAGAAGTAGTGGTCGCGCTTTTCCAAGTCCAAGAAGGCAAGCCGCCAGTCGTAGGCTGCACTAAGCATATTATTGGGCCCGTACCCTATAACGGCGAGGTTTTGAAGAATTTTATTCCATATCCAGTACCCAGCAACGAAAAAGTCTGCCGCTTCAAACCCCTGGGCAGCACGGAGCCTTATACCGGGAGGATCCAACCCTGTTTCTGGATCTAGCATAATATGTTTGAGCCAACAAGTTTTATCGAGAACCATGGTGCGAAGCATGTAAAAAGAACCCCATAATCTCTTGCGAAAATGGTTCGTTGAGGGACAATCCCCGTCGTCATTGAGACCCCACGACTCGATTCCCGTAGATATAACACCAGGAACCATCACAACGTTATGTTTTTGCGTCAAATTGAGATTGGCTACCATTCGCTTTCCCACCGAAAACGATGCGGCAGAACCATGAAGAGTTCCTTCTTCCTCCAGGCTCTCGAAATCATTGAGCATGCTCTGGACAGAACTGGGGAGTACACCACGCCAGTCGTTGAGAATTCCAGACATAGAATCAAAACTCACCAAACGATCGAGTTCTCCACGAAGGTCGTTGTTGGAAGCACCGAAGAAAACAGCCACAAATAACCCAATTAAGGTTCCTAGAATAAATACCGCTCTTCTCGACTGATGAAGACGTTTTTTGAGGTGTTTTTGTTCGCTTTGCAATTGCTTTTTGCTGTCTTTTTGCAGCACATGTTTACCATCGGAATCCACTTCGTTGTTTATTTTTACTTCCACGACGGCCGGGGCCTTCTTTTTGGTATGTTTGACGGCTTTCTTGGGAGCCATGCTCTAAATAGGTTTAATTTTGGGGGAAAACGGGAATCTCGGGAAGTTTTGTTGTGGTAGCAATAAGTGAATTAGAGAGACGAATATTTCAGATGCGAAATCCGGAAGCCGCGAAAAGCTGCTAAGTTGCAATGCTGCGAAAATCATTAGTGGAAAATTATACACCAATAAATAGTTTGTTCTACTAGCTAAAGTCATAATGCATCCATGGTATAGTCGTAGCCAATGCCAGGAGTGACGCTGGCAATGAACTTGAGAAACACCACCAAGTACTGGTCTACTCGAATACCTGTGTCTTGAGTGGTCTCGGTTGCTGGTTCCAAATTTTCCCCAGTGACGAATGCCTCCGGTTCAAACTCGCGTGCCTTCTCCCGTGATGTTTTCGCATGCTTCATAAGTACCTTCATCACGGACAGATGCTTGCATGGATGAATCGACACAGAGGTGGTATTGAACGACACCGGAAGGTTCTCTATGGTAGCCGTTTTGTCTCTGTAATCGCCAGAAATGTCCTCAAACATCTGATGTGGAAGGAGCGGGATGCCGTTATCGTTGAACCCCACCAAGTACATTTTGGGGACTCGATACGACGTAGAATACGTGATATACAAGTCGTATCTTCGAAGGTTTGAGTTGCCCAAATCCTGAAACTCCTCTCCATCCGCATCCTCGGCATCCTCGTCTATGAAATCGTCAAGATCTTCTATATCTGGAACTTTCTTGTCGGTGGCAATGTCCCTTTTGGGGTCTTCGTGGGTGAGTCGATGTGATTTGACCCATCCGTCATCGAGTTCTTCCTCGTCCTCCGCTAGGTCTTCGGTGTTCCCGAGGTAACTCTGGGCTCTCTGGTACGAAGGAACATGTTTAGTGATTAAAAATTGTTTATCTGGTGGCAAAAAGTCCTTCTGGAGCTTCTTAGGAGCTGACCCCCATTGCCATGTAGGAAACTTGTAGACAAGATAATCACCCGCTTGGACAAATTCTTCTGGAGATATCTCCCCGCTGGTTTCATAATTGGAATTGTGGTTTATTGGAGTGAGATACTCACGTAGAGACGAGAGCTTTGAACGCAACATAAGCAAGCGGTATGTTCGCGATAAGCACAATGTGAGGGTCACGGGGCGTGCGCGAATCATATCGCCCGTGCCCGGTCACATGATTAGCATGAAAGTGCGAGGTTCGAATTGCGAGCATCGAATTGCGAGCGATTCTATGACGTGTGGATGCATACGAGAACGCAGTCGCGCTATGCAGACTAGTAAGCCGTGGTGCTGTGTGCAGAAAGTTGCATGTGTTGCAGATCTTATGACGAGCCGGCGTAACGGTACAATTGGAGCAGTAGCAGCAGTATCAGCTCCCAAATTCAGATGGAATGTAGATGAATAGAGTTGAATGGGTGGCAGTGCAACACTCGTCTGGATGCATGCCGTTCCCAAACGATCTCACGTTCGTTTCCCCAGACCATCGCGTCGCGACATACTGAACCCGTCCATTTTTGGCAAGCGGTGCTGCATGTCACGCGTCGCGATCCGGTCTACATGCGCGCGAATCGTAAACAAACAATGCACCGGTTGGATGGATTCGCCGCATGCTTCCTTAATTTGTGATGTCAAGTGGCGCTAATTTTGGATTTCGCCCCAAAGCCCGCGCCTGCCCCTCGTATATTTTACCATACCCTCATGCGACGTGTATTGTCGCATTGTTAGTTTGTTGTGCCGTTACTGCATTGGGCCAACAGGCCGCATGTTTTCCCCCACCGACGCAGGCAACCCGTTATTTGGACTTCGGTAATTTTAGGGAAACTTTACTGCGAACGCGAGTCGTGTTCGTAACGTCCCTGTTTTGTTTTGGTTGATCTCTCATCATATATATCATCGCAATTGCTTGAAATTCACAAATGGGCATTGCAATCGACTCACCAACCCATAGACGTGTGGTGTTGGCTCCAGTCAATAGGGGTCGTCTTAATCTGATGACTCCAGCTACCAAACAAAAATCACTTTCTTTGCATCGACACGGACAAATTCCACCAATGTCTCGGTCGGTAAGTTTTGCTGCCAGATCCGATAAATCTCTGACCAGTCCAAGTTCCACGGCAGGACTTGCTGCCACAAAGTTGAAGTTACGACTTCAGCTCGCATTGTACAAACTCCAGCAACAAAAAAGACAGTCGCCACGCCGTCAGTTTGCACTCAACACGTCTTTCACAAGTACGCCTCGCACTGGCAAAAACATCCCAACAAAACCAAAACAAAAAACAAAACCAAAAGACAATGCAAATGCTAACCCCAGCGTCAACATTAATCTAAAAACCGTCACCACACCGTCCCTTTCTAGCATTGCCGGAGACAGAAAACTCCGCTTATTTGCCATAAAATCGTCGTCATCACATTACAATCCTCAACAACTGGCACCTTTGGTACCTTCCAATGTGGCACTTCCGCAACCCAAGGGTTTACTGAGATCTCCACTTCCCTCCATCAACAAAATCTTGAAAACTCCATTAAAAAATTCCAGCCGCCGGTTCGTGGAAAGAATCCACGCTGACGATACCACCATAGACGAAGACGATGAAAATCAAACCCGGGTGCAATACAGTTCGTCGCCAGTAAGAGACAACTACACTTTGGGCACCCCCAACTCATTCAGCGTTGCCCGGTCGTTGTTGCAACTCGGGTCCGGGTACTATAATTAACGTTGTATTATAATGTAAGCATTAAGAAAGTAGAGAAGAAGTGGTTATCTCCATTGTGCAACTAATTGAATATTGTGCCTGTCGCATTGCGTCTTCGATGTTCTCTTGTAATAGCATTTCTCGTTCTCATTGAATTGATATATGCATCAAGTCGTTAGTACTGATTCCATAATTGCAGGCACTTAGTACTGAAGATCACAATTGGTTCTTAAGTTCTTGACACAATTACTGAACATTATAATTGGTTCTTGAGTTCCTGACTCAATGCCCTGTATTTGTTAGTTCATGTAACAATTGTATTAGTGCCCAATGAATCAAGTACTTTTCCGAGGCATTATATGTCGCATTCGTTTCCAAGTTCGCTAATAGCAGAATTCTAGCAGACTTCTAGCAGAAATTCTAGCATTTGAAAATCTAGTAGCTGTAGTCTTCTCGTTAGAATGCATATGTTACCAGAATGATAAGCACATTGATTCCATCCAAAAGCGATTGTACTTCATAGAATCCTGTTTCTGATCAATTCTGTATTTTTATTCAATCATTCGTGTTATGGCATCCACCATCTTGCAAACCCGAGCACTTTTGGCGTTGGTAGATGCTGGTCGCAGGTCTCGAAACTCAATTATATTTTGCAACTGGTCGATTCGGGTGCCGTCAGGAAGTTTTCCCGAGACGATCATGGAATTGACCACCGATTCCAAGTTTGCAATATCCTCGTTGAAAAGTTGCGGGAGTTTTTCAATGGTTATATTATCGTAGTATCGCGGAAGACACAGAATATTGGTTTCTATGTGGTTGTATCGCAACACCAGTCGATGGGATTTGATCAAGCGCCGAGTAATCGGGGCGTCGAACACTTCCATGGCGTGGGACCACAAATCTAGCGGAACAAATTTACGTTCGCCAACAAGTTGGAGACACTTGCTGGTGATGGGGTCCATTGGTGGCATCAATTCTTTGAGCCTAGCTATGATTCCTTGTCTCCTAAAGTCTCCGTCGGCGAGAATGACATAGTGGGCCATTTTGACGAAAATAGGATCCAATAGTGCGTGGTAGAGTTGGGGGTCTAAGGATATGTTGTCAGGAACATTGGTTATAACGGTGAGTTTTTTGCTCACGAGGTCAAGAAGTTTTGGAGTTGACACGATTGGCGCAAACAACGAGTGGTAGTCGGTGAATAAATCATAGTAGAGAATCCGCATGTACCATTGAAGTTGGTTTTCATTGTGACGAGTTTTGGGAAAGTTGGAGTCAGCGTGGATTGCTTTTAGGTGGTTGTCGAAATCGGGATTTTCATCATTAGCCAAGACCGTTTCTGCCTCTACAAGCCGCGAGATAAGCTTCCACTGGGGATCATTTGCCACATTTGTAGAACTAATGGCCTGGGTTCGTATATTGGTATAATCCATGAAGAAGGATTGGATGCAGAACGCGAAAATGTGAAAAATTGCAAAACGAGAAAAAGAAGTACAAGTACAGTACAAGAAAAGTAGAAAGTAAATAAGGTACAAAGGACAACATACCTTGGTCACTACACTTACTACACTTACTACACTTATCTACACTTTACTACAGGTCTCTACTTAGACCCCTATCACTCGTTTACCGTATACACCATCACTGTCGTATCGTCGTTTACGACTGCATGGATTCGTATAAATAGTGCAAATTCCCACCTTCCTTCCACCATCATGAAGTGGATCCACGCTATTTCCGCCTTCGTGGTGATGTTCGCCACCATGTCCGCTCTTTATAACACTTGGCTTCCAACAAACTACAAATTCGACAAACACGTTTTGCAAGAATTGAGTAAGCAAGTTATCGCCAACCATCCCGATGGAAATGCAACCGCCATAATGAACGAGCTCGCTCCCAGGATCAAGGAGGCGTACCCTGGTCTCATCAATGACCTCAATTACGACGAATGGGTATACAACAATGCTGGTGGTGCCATGGGAACCATGTTCATTTTGCACGCATCCATCTCCGAGTATCTCATTTTCTTTGGCACAGCTGTTGGTACCGAAGGACATACTGGGGTTCATTTTGCAGACGATTACTTTACCATTTTGACGGGGGAACAAAGGGCGGCCTTACCTGGAGCACTCACTCCGGAAATCTATTATCCTGGAGATATGCACCACCTCAAAAAAGGTTACACTAAACAGTACCTGATGCCATCAGGAGCGTTTGCGCTCGAATTGGCTCAAGGCTGGATTCCCGCAATGCTTCCATTTGGCTTTTTAGACACCTTATCGTCAACTCTTGACTTTTATACTTTTGGTCTTACGGTGTGGTATACCGCCCGGGATATGATAAAACACTTGCTCCGGGGCAAGTTCTAGATTAGATATAGAAAATATGATTTAAAAGTTAAGTTGAAAAATGTTAAAGTTGAAAAAGGTTAAGATTTTGTAAGAAGGTTAAAGTTTTTATAGTGAAAGACCCAGCGGCTGCATGTTGCAGTGAGATCTGATCAAAGTTATGAGCGCGACTAATGTCCCCCACCTCAATCACCTATCCATATCCCCCATCCTGTCCCCCACTCCTCACCACAACACCAAATCTCTTTTCTCTTCTTTCTCTTCGTTTCCTTTCTTTTCCTTCCCCGTATTTTCCAGAACAGCCGCGCCCTGCCGAATTAGGGCACGGGTTCCGACATTATATATCACCAAAAATAACGTTTCTTTATTGTTGATGACCACTGAAAGGTCTCCTCTTCTTGAGCCCCGGTTGCACGGCGACGAAAATCACCCAGGATTTGAAAACGATGTGGTCACATTTGTTCAACAAAGAAGAGCTCTGATAGCCACAGAACCAGAACAAGTACCTCATTTTTATGGCCAGGACCTCACCCGCCAGGTTCTGAGGGCGTCAATGGTGCCGGAAAGATCGCTCACTTTGGTGCCTACAAAGTCACATTCTTCTACGGTTGGCGACGTATCCGATATTCTCTCGCATCACCGACTCTTGGCTGAACCAGAAACTTCCGTCAAGAAAGAAATCAAGGTCCTTTTACGGTATACGTTTCCATTGGTATTGACTTTCCTCTTCCAATACTCGCTCGTGGTGGCTTCGGTTTTCTCCGTGGGTCGAATTGGCCTGACAGAGTTGGCAGCAATATCGCTTTCTTCAATGACCGCCAATATTTCTGGCTATGCTATTATTCAGGGGATTTCCACTTGCTTGGATACCCTCTGTGCTCAGGCTTATGGGCGCCACGACTACAATATGGTGGGAGTCCACTTTGCTCGGTGCACATATTTGCTTTTGTTGTTGTATATTCCAATGGCACTTTTATGGACCGTGGGAGCTGAACCTATTTTGTTGCTACTTGTGGGTAAAGAAGAGACTGAATTGTGCTACATGGCCGCAAGGTACTTACGAGTGATTTCCATGGGTGTTCCAGGCTACATTCTTTTTGAAAATGCTAAACATTTTCTTCAAGCTCAGGGAATTTTCCATGCTTCAACCTACGTTCTCGCAGTTTTTGCACCCATCAATGCTTTGCTCAATTACTTGCTCGTATGGCATCCCGTCATTGGTTTGGGCTTTATTGGCGCTCCGCTTTCCGTCGTTATAACCAACTGGGCTATGAGTATCCTGCTCTTTGCTTACATTTACTTTGTCAATGGGTACCAATGCTGGCCGGAACAGCTGGTTTTCTCCAAAGCATGCTTTAGAAACTGGGGCAGAATGATCCGTCTTTCTGTTCCGGGTGTCTTGATGGTGGAAGCAGAGTGGCTAGCTTTTGAAATCATCACCTTCACCGCTTCCAAATTTGGAACCGAGGTTCTCGCAGCTCAGTCCATCATCACCACCACTTGCGTTTTGCTCTATCAAATTCCTTTTGCCCTTTCGATTGCGGCATCCACCCGTATTGCCTGGTACATTGGCGCCGCTTCAAAGGCAGCTGCCAAAAAGGCTTGCTGGGCTGCTATATTGTCTGCTGTGGCAGTGGGAGTGGTGAATTTCATCGTTCTTTTGATTTTTAGAGAACCGCTTGCATCGCTCTATACAAATGACAAGATTGTGCTTGCTCTCGCAACAAAAGTGCTTATCGTCGGCGCAGTATACCAAGTCAATGACAGCTTATCTTGCGCTTCTGGTGGTATTCTACGCGGGCAAGGTCGCCAGAGAATCGGCGGATATCTTAACCTATTTGGATACTACGGCATTGCTCTACCATGTGCTTTTGTATGCGCATTCTACTTTAAACTTGAATTGTTGGGACTTTGGTTAGGAATGATAGTGGCATTGGTGGTGGTGTCAATGTCGCAATGCTACTTTGTAGTCAAAAGTGATTGGGACCAAATTATCAATGAAAGTATTAACGAGGGTGTGCTCGAGATGCATTAGAAGCACGAGACGAGTACATGTGGGTGCCGATTTTATTTTCTCGTACCTGCCTTAGTGGTCCGTTGCGGCTTGATAGGTTAATTTCATGTGGGATTCTGGCCAAACGTTGTAACGTTCCAAACCCCAGTGGGGAATCTCCAAACCAGCCCCTTTCTACATCCCCTCTTTTTACAACAGAATGTCACATCTTTTAATAGACAAATTCTTCGCCATTAACGATCAATTGACCGTTACGCTGGTTGCAATTTGCAACAATAGCGTGGGCCAATTGGTACTAGTTACCTAAACAGGATGCCTCACTACTTAATTGGGACGATTGGTGCGTGCGGCGCATTCATGCACAATTATGCATCGCGACGCAGGGCCGAACTAGGCTCGTCTTTAAGCTTTTCCATTGATGAGGTACGCAGACGCAGTCTATTGCTTTAAATTGGCTTTTCAACTATAACCGAAGTCTGGACCGTTAAATCTTAAACGTTTTTCAACTCGTCTATGGTGAGCTGTTATGGTTGTTCCTACTTGGTAACTTTATTTTCAATCTCATCGTATTCGTCTCCAATGGCTGCATGATGCATGCAAGGAGTGCATGTCCGCTGACACAAATTTAGACGACACATTTTCGTCTAGGCCATGGCGCCATTCGCCGAATGTAACCGTATATAACCCGAATTTAACGAATATATATTTGGGTCTTTATCAAGTCTTACCAAGTCTACTTTTCTGCGCTTATTAAACGCGTATAAAGAATCGAGGTGCCGCAGCTAATTGAAAGTGACAATTTTTTTTTTCATCAATTGTCTCGTGGGGCTAAAATCTGGCTTTTGTTTTTTGTAGGTCTTTTTCACCATCGGTCTTCAAAGCCGTCCGTAACACCGGACAATAATTGAAAAATAAAAACGCTGCATATATTGGTGCCGCAGTACCGTTTTCATTGTGGGTGCATATCAACTGTGCATTGTCGGTGCATTATCTGCGATTGAATTGCGCTTGGTAACTTTACTGTCACGAAACACGCCTTTCCGTTTATGGTGCCACTCTAATCTCCAGGGTTTATAGTTGGTCTATTGGCAACCTATTATTATCATTTCTCAAATCAACTTTTTCATCCATATTCTTTGCATATGTTCACACAGACCAATTACCCCCAGCACCTATACCGCAAGGAGCTAAGCTGCCATAATGCCACTCTCGAAGAATACGCTGAAGAAATCGTGGACGAGTTGAAATCAGCTTCTCAAAATTGCAAAAATCCCCCCCGGACTCATTTGTTCCAACAGCAGCCATATCTTACATTTGCAATCCGATGCAAGCTCGTTGACTTTTGCATGAAGATGGGCGTACGGTTGAAGATTATCCCGTTTGTTATATGTAAAGCAGTTACACTTTTCGACCGGTATTGCTCCACCAGAATAGTTCTCTTGGACCAAGCTCAGCTTATAATCACCACCTGTCTCTGGATAGCCGCCAAGGTCCAAGGCGGAAATAATCACTTCATCAATGTTCAAAATGCTGAAAAGTTCCCCGACGCAAAAACTATCAACGACTTAGGATATGGAGCTGGAGGAAGGTATATTGGCCCCACACAAAGATATCGTATTCCCAAACTTAATGAGCTCGTGAAACTCTGCGGAGCCAAATGCAAATACGACGAGGGAATGTTCCGGCAAATGGAACTCCATATTCTTCTGACGTTGGACTGGCAGGTTAACGATACCAATATCGAAGACTATTTGATTCAATCGAAGGAATTGGACTGTACCCAATACATCGAGCTGTTCAAAGTGAAAGAGTTTGTGGCGTATTGCAAGCTCTTCTCAGCAGATCTTCTCGAAGTGGATTACAGCAAGTTTGCATGTGTTTCTCTCGATGTGATCAACGAATTTGGTCTGCTCGAAAGAACTCAAACACCCAACATTTGCATCGAAAAATTGGATGTCGAACAGTACAAACACATCAAAAAGCATATAATCAAGTCCATCGTGCTGGCGCCGGATTTCCTTCTTGGTCAATTTCCCATGCAAGGACCACAAATGTTGTACACCAATTTGGTGTCCAATTGTAGACACCCATACAACCCCCGAAAAGTGCCCAAAATCTTCAATTCCATCCCTGCTCCCCATAACTTGCCCGACTATACCCTTCCCATAGATACAAATTACAGCATCAAAAGACCAGCCAAAGAACAAGCCCAATCTCTTGGAAATAAACCATTGTTGTTCATTCGGCTGGAAATCCAACAAAAGTCAGCAAGCCAAACCAGCATCGTTTCGACATCGTCCCGCGACGATACTTATACTTCTATTTTTGACCCTGACTCTCGTGGAGTTGGGGCTCATACCCCAGTCACAGATGAGGAAAGTCCACTTCTTCAGTCAAAATCTCGCACTTTATCCCAGATACTTTAGTCATATATAATAGTTCTCACCGGTACCGGCTTATGAATGCATCTTTTTTCGATTCAAGAAAAATCAAAAATAGCAAGTAGAAGGGGTAGCCAGAATTGCAGCCAATTCATTCACACAGGTCCAAGGAAAATTCCTGCACCCAACAACACTGCCTCTACGCTGTCTACAGGACCAAGCTCACGAGAAAAAAAACAGCAATAAGAAGGATCCATATATCTGACAACAAGCTGCTTAAATAGTGGATCATTGGACGGTTTTTTCACTCCAGTTTGTTATTTCATACACTTACAATCGCTATATATAATTTTTTCTCGTCCAAATGTGGTCTATACTCTGGGTTGTGACGACCCTTATATCGATCGTGGCAGCCGATCCTAATATGAAAGAGCTTGCAGGCACGTGGACTTCAAAGCTGAACACAGTTTTCACAGGTCCAGGGTTCTATGATCCAGTGGATGAACTTTTGATCCAACCAGATCTTCCAGGAATTTCATATTCTTTCACTGAAGATGGTCACTATGAAGAAGCATTGTACCGCGTGACTTCCAACTCACAAAATCACTCTTGTGCCACCGCTGTGTTGATCTACCAGCACGGAACTTATGAGATCTTGAATAACGGCTCGTTGGTGATGACGCCCATTGCTGTTGATGGCAGACAATTATTGAGTGATCCATGTGGCTATAGTGAAACCGAATCTCAGTATACCAGATATGTCCAACCAACATGGTTTAAGGCCTACTACGTCCAGGTGGACTCGTATAGTGGAAAAATGAAGCTTCAAATCTACCAATTTGATGGCTCGTTGATGCAGCCTTTGTATTTGGCTTACAGTCCTCCATTAATGTTGCCCACAAAAGCATTGAATCCCACCGACAAGGCTTCTGAAACCAAGAGTTCACTCAGAAGAAAGGTCAAGAGATCGTTGGAAAACCAGTACCGAACGACCGCTGTCAAAAGCTTCAACTATGAAAAGTATGACAAGTACTGGTGGGCTGCTGTGGGTGTCATTGGGATTGCATCAGCTTCCGTGTTTTTGCATTAGGAATATACAGGGACTATTGGTACCATGTAGCGCTGGACCTTGAGATGAGTTTGTGAAAGTTTTGTGCACAAAAGCCATGTACCGGTTTTTTGAGAAGCAGTTTGTACTTTCAAAAATCTTTTGGTTCCAGCAGAAATCAAGCACAAGGAACTACCCACGAAGGTTTCTAAGAAGATATTCCATTTGGCATTCTCTGCAAACAAGAACAAGAATGGTAAAGAGTTCCAAGAACAGTCCCGACAAGTCACAGTCCAAAAAACGACCAAGGCGACCCAAACTCAATTCGAAGAAACAACAACTTCCTCCTGCAAAAGCAAAAGTCTTTTCTGATATCATGAATGAATTATTGTTAAATATTGTTGTCGTTGAACCCACAGCATGCGAAACGTCGGTTGGCACCGATAAGGCATGTGGCTCAAATCCCACTGCTCCTTCTATGTCGAAGACTCCTGTTGAGCCTGAGAGAACTCAAACAAAGCTGGCTAATGTGGAAAATGAAGACCAGTTCATTTCGGAGACAATTTCCACCAAATTTGCATTTTTGTTTCGTGTTATTGAAAAATTGATCAGAAAAGGAGGATTATTGGCAAAAAAGCTCTGGCAGCAAGTTGAACGCTGGATTCTTGCCATGGTAAAATGTGTTGTTATGGAAGTTACCGAGAGTGCCAGAATATGCTTCGATAAGATTATACCGGTTCGCCTAATTCAACAATTTCAGGTTTCGTTAAGAATATGTGATGAAGTCAGGAATGCAGAGGAGACAGGTACCGAATCAGTAATTCTCCGGGGTCAGGAAACAAAGCTAAAGGAACCAGAAAAACGGCTGCAAATTTTCGCTGAAGTTTCTCAAGAAGCTCTTGAGGTTTCCATTCCAAAAGATTCCCTCACACCCCCCAATTCGTCCTTGAGCCCAGCTCCCTTCCTGCTCAGCACTATACTGTCACGATGCAAAACTGCATTCGAACCTCGCTCTTTTCAGCTTCCTACGATGTTTTCCATAACCAAAGGAGGAGCCAAGTTAGCTCGGCCAATAATCAAAGTTGATGCTGCTGCTGACACTTACGATATCGAGTTGGCGCCTAAGCCCTTCTTGTACCACTATGTGTCCAATGTCACTGCCAATTGCTGCAAAACTGGCATCTCTCTATTTAAGTGTAAGTCTCCAGTCAAGTAGACGACAATATACAGTATAGCTCCATATGCAATACACCTCCATATACAGTACAACACTTCAGCATATACAGTACCATACTGTTAAGTCACACTTACATCCCACACTATTGCCACCATTTAACATCATGTCTTGGTTTGGAGGCGCCCCTTCGACGGCAGATTTGGATGCCAAGGTAGCAGAAGCAACTTCAGAACTGATTCCTGATGGCGAAGTTGATCTTCCTGTTGCATTGGAGATCACCGACGTTATCCGCAGTAAGAAAGTGGCACCTAAATTGTGTATGAGATCTTTGAAGAAACGTCTTACTATGGTTTATTCCAATCCAAATCTACTCAAGTCTACGTTGAAACTCATAGATTTGTGTGTCAAAAATGGCGGACATCATTTTTTGACGGAGATTTCTTCAAAGGAGTTCGTTGACTATTTGATAGATTACGTATTCAAGGTGCATTATGATACGAAGAAACTGTCGGTATTTAATAGCGAGGCAAAGCTAGATATTGGTATGCTTATATTGTCGCTTTTAAAGGAATGGTCTCAGTTGTTAAATCTGGTGGGGTTGGGATATTTGGGTTCAAGATGCACTCAATTGGTTCATCAAGGCTACGAGTTTCCTCAAAGTTCCGATATTCCCGCCCAATTTGCAGACGCTGAGGTCCCGCCCGACTGGGTAGATGCCAACGAGTGTATGATCTGCTACAATGCCTTTTCTGTACTCAACAGAAAACACCACTGCCGTTCTTGTGGCGGAGTATTCTGTCAGACCCATTCGTCCCATACTTCGCCGCTCGTATCCCTCGGTATCATGGAGCCCGTGAGAGTGTGTGACAACTGCTACGAGCAAATCAAGCTGAAAAATAGCGGCAATTTGAGCAAAGTTAGAAGGAGCAAAGTCGCATCCGATCAACCTATGGACGAGGACGAGCAATTGCGACGTGCGATAGAGCTTAGTTTGAAGGATAGTGGACAAACAGTGAGCCAGCCGCAAGCTCCACCCCCTGAACCTCCTTCTACGAATAACGAGGACAATGACGATGAGATGAAAGCGGCCCTAGCAGCAAGTCTCCGAGAATTCGAACAGCAAGAAGCAGCCTATAAGAACCAGACGGCACAACCGCCGCAGCAAAAACAGCACCTGTCGCTATATGACAATTTACTTCCCTCTTTGCTGTCAGATGTTCCTCAAGCCAGCTATCCAAGTTCCAGTTCCAATCCGTTTTCTTCAGAAGGTGCCCCTAAAGCTCAAGCACCTCCACCACTGCATCAGGACCTCACGCAAGCCGACGAGGATGCCATTAACGTGTTTGTCACTTTGATGAGTGGGGTCAGAACCGATAGATCGAAGCAGGCCAATATTCTTTACGACAACCAACTCAACGATCTCCACAACAGAGTGGTTCAATTGAAGCCAAAACTCAACCGTGCAACACGCGAGGCAATCGAACGATACGAAACGTTCTTAGAAATGAACAATAAGATACTGACAATCACGAGACTTTACGATCAATACTTGGAATCAAAGTTGACATCATTGTATGGTTCTCACAACATAAACCAAGATCCATGGAACTCGCAGCCTCAGTTCGAATCGCAGCACACCGGGTACCTGCTGGTTCAACAACCGGGTCACCAACCGGCTCATCAACCGGGTCACCAACTGGCCCAACCAACTGGTCCTACCGGTTCCACTCCACAGTACCCAAGTTATCCCGCTTATTCGCAGCCGCAATACGAACCTGAACAATCTCAGAATCATGAACAGTACACTGGTGAAGATGAATCTTATGGCACTACAAACAACACCGTGCCAGAAGTGCCGTACAATTACGCTTACGGAGCATCAGAGCCACCTCCAACTACATTTAGAGGCTACCCTCTGGAACCTCCAGAGACCGAAAGCTACACATCTCCAGAAAACATTTTGCCCAGAAACCCTACTCTGAACATTTATCCAACTAGGTCGCTATCACCACAGAGCCACGAGCTCAGCCCCATGGAACCACTGGAGCCTTTGGTACCTCCAGAGCGCCAGAATACAGCAGATGTAGAAGCTCGTTTTCCACCACTAGAGGGCGTGAGCTACCAGCCCAGTGAGCCTACGCTTGAATTCCCTACAATTCCTACATCACAACCGAGGGCACATTCGCCTCCGAAAGAAGAACCATTGATCGAATTATAAGAGCTGCTAAATAGGCTTTGAGCCTTTGGTAGTTTTAAGCGCGGCTAGTAAAGACGATTACATAAGCAGATGAAAAATCTTTCTTTGAGGCAGCAACTCCCAAATTATCTTCATAGAAGACATTGGCTGACACTTAGATAGCCAGAATCCTTCCCTACCGGAGCCAAATTACACGAGGGGTGCCGCTTGACGTCTATCACTAGAAATACTCACTTGAAGTGAGTACGTAGACCCCCAAACCAACCGCCAAAGAATATTGAGCAACGAGGCATTTTCTGACCCTGACAGTAAGCAAGGAAGCCCTAAGAATATCTGTCCACTTTTAGATATGGCCCCTTCCTTTGAGACCAACAATGAATTTGATTCAGATGTTTTATTGAAGAATCAGCCGATTCCCAAGAGGCTGCAAAATTTTGAAACAAAGTCCGTTGTGGCTAGTGGCTTACGAAGCAAGATTGCAAACATTGACCACGACTCCTGTGAAGCTGGTGACGAAGATTCGTTCTTTGTTGCTGATATTGGAGCGGTCGTTCGGAATTACCGGTTATGGCAGCAAGAATTGCCTCAGGTGCAACCCCATTACGCTGTTAAATGTAACACGGATATGAGGGTTATTGAAGCGCTTGCCAGAATGGGATGTAATTTCGACTGTGCTTCGAAAACGGAAATTGACCAAGTTTTACTGTTGGGTGTTGATCCAGGTCGGATCGTGTATGCCAATCCTTGTAAGACCAATTCTTATGTGCGTCACGCCAAGGATGTTGGTGTAAACTTGACGACGGTGGATAATGTCCATGAGTTGCAGAAGATCAAACGGTTTCATCCCGAGTGTGGAATCTTGATCAGAATCATGACGGATGACGAATCAGCCCAATGTAGATTGTCTACCAAGTTTGGGTGTTCGGTGAAGACTGCCGTGGAAGAGTTGTTTCCCTTGGCAAAGGAGTTGAACCTACGGGTACGTGGAGTCGCTTTCCACGTTGGTCTGGGAGCAACGGATTTGGACTCGATTTACAAAGCTGTTCAAGATTCAAGAATTCTCTTTGATTGTGGAATTGACCAATTCGGGTTCAAAGAAATGAATTTGCTTGATATTGGCGGCGGGTTCCAAGAACTGACCTTTGGCGAGTCGTCTGCCATGGTGCGTATGTCACTTGACAAGTTTTTTTCCAGTGCGTACCGGGAGCTTCATCCAGTTGAATTTATTGCTGAGCCAGGCCGGTTCATGGTTGCAAATGCTTTTACTTTGGCTGTCCATGTAATTGCGAGAAGAGATGTTAGGGAAGCTGAATCCGAAGTCCAGGCGATGTTGTACGTGAATGACGGAGTTTATGGTAACCTCAACTGTATTCTCTTTGATCATCAGGTACCTCTGGCGTCTTTATTGACCCACAAGGGCCAGTTTGTTTACGGTTCCGAGCCAGATCCTGAACTCAGTTTCTCAATTTGGGGACCTACTTGTGACGGATTGGATTGTATTTCCGGAAAATGCCAGTTGGCATTCAATGTAGAGGTGGGCGATTGGCTCTACTTTCCCAACCTCGGTGCTTATACGTCTGCAGCCACTACCTCGTTTAACGGGTTCAAGGGCACAGCAGAAGTGGTCTACGTCAACTCCGAAAAGTGAGTACTAGTTAGGCTAGGTAGTAATTATGTTTTGGATTCTGAAATGTAGGTTGCTGTCGAGTGAAGAGTACAAAAAAGAAAAATCTATACTAAAGAAAACAAAAAGAAGACAAAACCTACTTTTTTCCCCCTTTTTCTTCTCTTTCTCTCTCCCTGCCTTCCACTTTCTGCTTTCTCTTCGAGGCTTAGACGTCATTGCAAAAAACCGCTACATAGCACCCGTGCACCCACGTCGCACAAGATACTCATTCTGGGTTGGAACTATTCTTTCTCCAACATGTCCAAAGGCTCCAGACAGATCAATAATGCCCTAAGAGCGCTCAATGAAAAACAGTCAAGCGCAGAGCATAATACTGCTGATCTCAGCGTGTACATAACAGACGACGGTACCAAGTTAAACACCAAGGAAAGAGCGGTTCCAAGTGTAGAACCCCCAGCTTCGTTCAAGCCTAGTGATAGCGACGTGTTTCTCCCCAACGGGCTCCCCAATTGTGAGTTTCTCAAGGACCATTTTTTCAAAGAAGGTCGTCTCACCATCGACCAGGCTTCGAGAATTATTCATGATGCCACTGATCTTCTTGCTAGCGAGCCAAACTTGCTCCAGGTTCCAGCACCAGTTACAGTTTGTGGAGACGTTCATGGACAGTACTATGATCTCATGAAGCTTTTCGAGGTTGGCGGAGACCCTGCCACGACATCGTACCTCTTTTTGGGAGACTACGTTGACAGAGGATCGTTTTCCATCGAATGCTTAATCTACTTGTATGCGTTGAAATTAACGTATTCCGATACATTTTGGATGCTTCGAGGAAACCACGAGTGCCGTCATTTGACCGAGTACTTTACGTTCAAGGGCGAGTGTTTGCATAAGTATTCAGAGAGCTTGTATGAAGATGCGTTGCGATCGTTCGAAGCTTTACCGCTTGCTGCAATTATGAACCGGCAATTTTTCTGCGTTCACGGTGGACTTCTGCCGGACTTGAAGTCGTTGGACGACGTGGTCAATATCGATAGGTTCAGAGAGCCACCAACCAAAGGGTTGATGTGCGATTTGCTCTGGGCCGATCCGGTGGAAGATTACGACGACGATAACATGGACAGAGCATTTGTGAAAAACACCGTACGTGGATGTTCGTATGCATTCACCTACAAAGCTTCGTGCCAATTTCTTGAACGTACTGGACTCTTGTCGGTTGTTCGAGCCCACGAAGCACAAGATGCTGGTTACAGAATGTACAAGAGAACCAAAACCATGGGGTTCCCGTCGTTGTTAACGATGTTCTCTGCCCCAAATTACTTGGACAACTACAACAACAAGGCTGCTGTGCTCAAGTACGAAAATAACGTGATGAATATCCGACAATTCAATTCACTGCCTCATCCCTACTGGCTTCCTCACTTTATGGATGTTTTCACGTGGTCACTTCCCTTTGTGGGAGAAAAAGTCACCGATATGTTGGTGTCTATTTTGAACATTTGCACCGAAGAAGAATTGGGAGACGACTCCAACTTTGACACTGACGATGGAGGAGAAACGCCTACTAGTTCGCCAACTACGGTTGCTCCTATATCAACGTCTTCTGTGTCTTCGTCAGACGACATTGAAGCCAAACGGTTAGCACTCAGAAACAAAGTAATAGCCATCGGACGAGTGTCGAGAATGTACCTGGTATTGAGACAAGAGTCTGAAGATATTGCTCTATTAAAGCTGATGAACAGCGGAACACTTCCCAAGGGTTCGTTGCTGAACGGCCGCGAGGGATTGCGCCAGACTATCAAGTCGTTTGATGAGGCTCGTCAAGCCGATTTGGTGAACGAAGCGTTACCTCCAACCAAGGAAGAAAGAGCCCGGATGGGCCAAGAACGAACCCAAAAAATCCAGAAAGACTTGGAGAAAGATAACGAAAGTCCCGTGTTCCAGAGGTTAATCAGGAAGTTGTCTAGTTAGTATGAACGTTTATGACCCACGCCTAGTAATAATTGTCAGCCGCGCGAAATGTCAAATCTCTTTATGGACCTTCGTCTCACCCACGAGCAGCCCACGCCCGAAAACACCCTCCCGGTGCTGGAGTATAGGGCATTTTCTCCCGAGCGGTTCTCTGTGGAGGATGAGGACAAACATGTGGTTTACAGTGGAGGATCCGGCTATTTAGTGACGGTTATGAAAAACGACCCCACCACCACCATCTCTATAAATCCAGCAATCGTGCCTATTTTTCAGGAACAAGTAGACCTATACGTTCTTAATAGCTGTTTGCTTTTGTGGTCCGCCACCCACAAGTTTGGAGTGGAAGTTCCTTATCAAAAAATTGTTCTTCATGCTTTGCAACACCAACAAGACCAAGATGTACTATACCTCCAATTGCGACCAGGAGAACAATTGAACGCCAAAACCGAGTCAGACTATGAACCGTACATTGAAATAACCATAAAATCCCTGGAACCCCATCTGGGCTTGGCTATTTGTCCTCCAGGAACAGATACCATACCTGCGATATACGACGGTATGGCTCAATGTTCTGCTTTACATGCCGACGAGGACGAGTCTACAGAGGAAGATAATGGTAACGAGCTAGCCACTGATATCATTCTCAACCAGCTGGTGCTGTCTAGTGCAGATGACTTGGACATTGACTTGGAAGCAGATTCGGCCGAACATCCTGTGGTGGCCGGCATGAGTGTGGATGTAGGATATGCTTCGATTGCTGGCAGACGAAAAAGAGACGACCAAGATAACCACCCAGCGAAGCGTCGACTGTAACTAAATAAACTATAATATATCAAATATCTTTGTGCTGCACATGTCTCACTCACCGTTATTTCGCACCCGATTCAAGTCTTCGGTTTCCTCCTCAAGGATGGCTTCGAAGGAAGCTTTAAAAGTCAGAGAGCGGCTTTCCCAACTCACCCAGGGTCGTATAATATCCGTAGACGACCACCAATTCTGGGACCCAATATGGACCACGAAGCTCTCTTCCTCCGAGTTATTCGAACTCATCTCGCCTCACGAGCTCGATGTGATCAGGACTCAAAACCATACCAATTACAACACCCTAGTGACCAAAGTTGCCAAGCAAATCGTCCGCTTTGGTGAAAATGGCAACAAAACCACCCTAATAGCCTGTGTTCGCATATTAACCAAAATCATACCTCCTCTTTATCACAAACAAGGGTATGGAGAAAATGTCGAATCACAAATATTCTTCGAAACCGAAGCAAAAAACCTCCAAAACACCCTTGGATACAACCTTATAACCTCATTAGTGGACTACCTTTTCCTTCCTGGTTTCACCCTCGAAAATAATGCTTCGGAACTAGACCTTTGGGAACCGGGCATTTGTCGATCCTTCAAATATACCACACCAAATTTGGTTTTCGAAGCCAATCGATACGAAATCTTGAAGCTCATACTTACGTTGAGCTCCACCACATTTTACGGAGACCCCAAGCTGATGGTTCTGAGAGGTTCCAGATTCCTTACAGTTCTAGTAACGAGTGTTCAGCGGCCTAAATTGATCACTTTAAGCGCTTCGCTTCTCAATGTCTTCTTACGATGGACGAAACGGAACTCCGACGAGAGCATAGTTCTCTACGACAACCCTCTGCTCACAGAACTACATTATCTTTACATCACCACCGCAGCCAATTTGCTAACGGCTATGCTCGTATACCCTCTTCCGAGCAGAACTTATCTCGAATTTTTGGGTTTGCCAGAAGAAAAAAAACCTTTAAACACTTGCAGAGCGTTCTTCTCCAAATACAGCAATGAGCAGGGCATATCGTTCATGGCTTCGAATTTGATAGCCTACCTTCGCAGCAATATGCTGCCGAGAGATCAAGCCGGAAGAGTGGCTTCGCAACCTCAACTTTCAACTTGGACCAATCAAGCACTGGTGTTGTTATGGGAACTAACTCAATGTAACCAACACTTCCGACGCTATTTGATAGAGAAAGAGATAAAGGACCTTTTCATGATCTTGTTCTATAACGTCTTTGCATTATCCAACCATGGTAGTGAGAAAGCTCTGGTCCAAATATCTGCATACTTTCTCCTATACATGTCTTCAAAAAAGGAGTTCTTGGTGCCATTGATGGAGCCTATAGATGCTTCATTCTATGAAAGTCTACCAGCCAGCTATAAACTTGCCATGAAGCCTCTGACTACACGGGATTTTCTTGTGCTGCAAATTTGCAACAAGTTGCTTTCAAACTCATTATACGTCACCAAATCAAAGTCGTTGATCACCTGCCTCGTCGAGATCCTATATAACCTTACCACTGTCATAGGAAAGCCAGGAACGTGGGAAACAGACGATCCTAACAAAAGACTTTCAAATTATAATTCGTATGGGGGCTTGTCATATGGGTCCTCATTGCTGCTTTGCCAAGTGGTGACAAAGTTTTCTGAAAAGTCGTTTTTAGTTCAGGACTCTGTACACGCTGATTTACTCGCTATAGTATTGCGTGCCATTTGTACTGCAGCGTTAAAGTATCCTGTTCCATCTAGGATGCTAATACTTTCCATCCTAAAGAACGAAAAGTTGTATGATCATGTCTGGAACATGATACAAACCATAGAGAAGTATGAGCATGAGACCACAGATAAAGAGGTAGACTACTTTAACGAGAGCGAAACAGAAAATCTGCCTTTACAAACTCCGGGAGATACCTTCAATTCTAGCCTATTCATCGCCAACACCAACGAAGGTGCCATGCTTGACACTGAGTCAGGTCCAGGTCCATTGAATAAATCTCGAACTAGTCCAGGTGGATTTGATGAGGAATCAATTTTGGACGCACTTCGTCCTCAGCCTCTTACGGGAATGTCCAAAAGGGCTCGTGAGAAGCAGCCAATGGCACGGCCATTGCATCGCACCTGGGCAGGTAATGATCCTTTGCATATAATTTTGACGGTTCTTATACCGTATCTCAAGCTTGAATTGGCAGATTTATGGGAAAAGCAAGGAGAAGATAGAAAGCTCAACTTGAACAGCTTCACCGTCATGAAACGATTAGAAAAAGTGAACTATGAAACCATGTTGTCTGCCACCAACATTTCCTCCGATTATCTTCCTCACACTTCTTTACCTATGCTCGTCTTCGGCTGGAACAAAATCTCCTTAGCATGGTACATCTCCTTGATTCAAAGCGAGTGTTATAATAGCGAAGAGTACGTTCGAAATTACTTGGGAAAATTCAGCAAACTTACCAAGAGCATAGCATTGTCATTAACAAGTATAGGGAGATTTGCTAGTGGTTTATCTGGTTTTTCAAAACCAGTATTACAGCCCAGTGATTCAGAAGCGGTAAACTTTCATGTCACCGATGCCTTAACCACTACCAACCAATGGGCACGCACAGATATCTCTTCCTTTCAAGTTGAACAACCACAGGCTACTGGGCTCTTTGGAGCCATAGCTGCTAAGGTCGGTTTTGCATCGTCGCCCCAGGCTATCCCAGGCTCTCCTGGAACCAACGATATGTCCCATACGCTCGTTCGAAGAATCAGCGACTTGAGATTGAGTAACAGTAGTCGAACAAGTATATCTTCAATTGCGTCTGGATTGAGTACACCTCAAGAAGAGCAGGATCCGGTCTTTCCAAGATCACAGTCCAGAAATTCAGTGTCGTCGTTGCATTCTTTAAATACTCTTAATCGTTCGCGGTCGAACACACCGAGAAACTCCATTAGCTTATAATATATTATGCATTTAGTCTTTACCTGTGTCTTCTTCCCTTTTGTACCATTTGAAACCCGTCGTCATCTATAATGGGTCCATTATCTTCCTCCATATCCATATCGTTTTCTTCCACCAATTGAGGTGCTTCTTCATCTTCATCATCGCTTTCGTCAGAAGCATCAGGATTATTTGGATCGGCGCTAACCACAACTTTGTTTTGCTGCTGTTTCAAAGATTGCTTGTGGGTCCACTTTTGGTACAATTCATCAACCAAGGCGTAATCTCTCTGAGCCACCAATCTATATATCCTCATAATCAAATCAGCAATGATGAGTGCCGAGTCGTTGTCAACCTCGGTATCAAACTCGTCGACCATTGCATAGAGCAAAGTCTCCTCAATCAACCCGACGTCAACAAGCTTCTCTTCAAAAAGCTCAATGACAATTCCCGAGATCCAGTCTCGCTTTTCTGCCGAATTGGCTCCTCCCCACGAATTTTCCACCGCCGTATTGAGCTCATCCCATTTGTATACCGCCATGCATACGCCGAGCTCAAATTTTGCCTGCTGCTTCTCGTCGCCAAATCTCAACGTCTTTGAGCCATTTTCGGCCTCGACGTAGTCTGCAGCGTCTATATTGGACATACCTCTCGTTGGTGAAATACTCCACGATTCGAAGAGATGAGGTCGTGTGCAGGCAGCATAAAGTGGTTGCACGAGTGCGGCTCACAAATGGGTGCAACTACTTGATAGCCAGGATTTCCAGATCCCTATCCAAGGCAGTTTTCACCTCGTCTTCAGATACATTCAAACTTATCATTCGATGTCTTTCACTTTGAGTGCTTTGCTCGGTCAAAACACCACATTCGGTAAGTTCTGAGATGATATATGAGAAGTGAGAAATTCGAAGATTGGTCGGTTTTCGAAAACCCTCATTTGGTTCTGTTGTTTCCGCACCGTAAAAGAAGTCAACAAGGCCCCCATTATCTGATATAATTGGGTCAAACTTGTGTTTTCCTGTCAGCATCACCAATAAATTGCGCATTTCGTCAATTACGTCACCAAGAGAAACCTCTCCAGCTCCGCTTCTCTGCATCCTCATAATTACAGCCCGAAGAACAAGCTTGGCTGCAAACAGTAGACTCGATAAAAATTGAGCCACTGGAGAGTTAATGGTTTCATTGATTGCCCGCGAAATGTGATCAATTTGTACCCTGTATGTCTGTTCGGCAACCTCAAGTTCGTTTAACTCAGTCGCCGGAGCATTTTTCAAATACTCCTCCTCTGCTATCTCCACAGCTCTTCTGCAAATCGCAAGCGCCCGTCTTGCATCTCCACTAACACTTGCAACTTTTCTAGAAGCGTAGCCTACCGCATCACTATCAACCACTACCTTTCGTTTGTTCTGCTTGGTTAGCAGATCAAGTCGATGTCTGATGATCGTACCCAATTGGTCAAACGTGTATCCCACGAATTGTATGCGACGGAGTCCAAGCCGTGACGAAATTTTGTTTGACAAAAGACGCTCCGGTAAATCCATAGTGTTCGCAACGGCTATCACAATAAGATGAGAATGCTGGTAAGTGGGCCAGTTGAAAAAATTATACATCACGTTCTGCTTTTTCGTTGCTAGCTGGTCGAGTTCGTCCATCAACACAACCAAAGGTTTCCTTTCGTTGGGCTCTGAAAAGTAATTTTCAAGAAGAAGAGCAGAATTGGTCGCACTAACCTTATAACCACTCACAAACTCCCATAGTTGCTCATATGCCGCATTTGGATTGAGAAGCTTCAACCCATTAATTTCAATATAATCAAAGTCACTCAATTCGTTCATGGTGACCAATTCTCTGAGCTGTGAAATCACTTCTCTGATAGTGGCAGTTTTACCGACTCCAGGCGTACCACTGATATACACACAGCACCCTGATCTCTCTTGAATTGCAGACTCTAAATTCAAGTAGATCGATGCAAATTCTTCCTCACGACATGGCATTGACGCTAGTTTAGCCGATGTGTGCAATTTTTCTTTGACATCTTGAAATGCTTTAGTGGACGTATCGAAAAGTTGGGGAGTGTTTTGAACCTTCTTCGATGGAGACAATGCTTGCATATTGGGAGCATTATCTTTCTTGAGCTTAAGTCGTTTTTTCAACGGCAGAAGAACAGAGTTCATATACTCTCTCGATTTATCTCGTTGTTTCTTGGGAGTTGAATCCTTGGGTTTTCTGCCTCGTTTTCGTGCATTTTTAGATGGTTGTGTGGGGGACTGTTCATCATCAATTGTTTCTTGTTCAGCCTCAGAACTCTCTGACTCAAAGCCTTCGCTCGCGGCACTATCATCATCTGATACGTCTGAAGGGATTCCAGCAATGGGGGAGGTGGGTTCTACTGCTGATTTTTTTGGTGATGACTTTGGCTTTTTAGGCAGAGACTGCTTAGAAGGACTAGAATTGGGGGTGCCTTTATACGCTGCCTTCACGGTATATCGCTTCAATTCCTCATTGAAATGTGCCTTGTCTGTCTGGAACAATTTATAAAATTCCCTAAAGTCCAATTCGTCTGAAAAGTGGTTGCCTGAAATATCGCAGCCTTTGCGACAGAAGAAAGTGTTGAACGAATTTGAGTCGTCAACAACTATTTCGCTTTTGAATTCAGCATATGAAAGGACACTGGCTTTCTCCACAATATCACACAATTTGATGCTTTCCACATATGCGGTAATATATACCTCGTTTTTAGTAATTGAATCTTCCAGCTTCAATGTGTCAATTTCCAGCGCTTTTATGAATCTGTACGCAGCAACGTCCAAGTATCTTAGAACGCCATGCTCTATTTCCTTTATCAAGTACAATATGGTGCCATTGTTTCCCTGTACAAGAACAACATCACCAGCTTTGATTGTGATTTCGTCGCCAATACGAGAGAGTGAAATTTGCAGACTTGCGCCACGAGTCCTTCTAGTTCTTCGAGTAGGAGTTGCGGGAGCTGAGTCACCGCCTGTCTCCTCAAAATGCAATTCCCAGCCTTTAAAATCTTTTAGAGATTGTGCCATAGCATAGGCGGAGAGTAGGTAAAGTGTGAAATCGATACGCGGTGTGCAGTCCGCGATGAAGCGGCTAAGGTGAGGCAAGGAAGTGACTAAGAAGTGAAGCGGCTAGAAGTGAAAGGGAGTAAAAGAGTAGTGTAAAACTAAGATGATCCTTCAAAAGAAACCAGAATGGTTTGTGACTCGTTTAATCGTAATATGCTCTACTTGTAAAGGAGAATGGGCTCTCCGATGTTGACGATCTCTTCCAAGTTCAACTTGAGATCAAATGCTTTCGACAATACTATCTTGAAGATCTTCTGAACGTTTATCAGGTGGCTGGTCGAGCAAAAGATCACTGGTGCTCTCATGGCGCTACCAAACTTCTTGGCCTGCTGAGTGATCTCCACTTGATCTTGTTGAGACTGGTCTATGAACTGGTCGTATTTGGTGCCCACAAGGAATGGAATGGCGGTCTTGTTGAAACCTCGCACCTGGCGATACCATTCCTTGATCGAGTTCAAGGTGGATTTTCGAGTTAAATCGAACATAAATAGAATAGCCACGGCATCATTCGACACCAATGGTAGCATATTGATGAATTCTTTTTGACCTCCCAAATCCCATATGGAAAACGTGATGGTGGTATTGCGGATTTGTATCTTCTTGTCCATGAAATTGACTCCCAAAGTCTGAATATAATCTTCGTCAAACGCGCCTTCCACGTATTTAACCATCAACGATGTTTTGCCGATTTGCGAATCGCCTATAAGACCGATTTTGAGGGCCACCCTGGAGTTAGTATTGTGTTCATGAGTCTAATTTTCGTGGAAAATTGAGTTGGTTCACCCAAAAAAAATGCAAAAATCACCTACTGGTTACGTTCTTCCTCGTCTTCCATGTTTACCTGAACCTGCAGATTGTGACAAGTTGGTAAGTTCTCAAATTCCTGCACAAACACAACCAGGGCTTCGCAGCGACCACCAACCACCGGTCTAGGGCTCCGCGCCCTCGCCCGTCACACTCCTGCATCGCCATGCGTGCAGTCGCGGCCGTGAAAAAAATTGAAAAAGCTTTCCACCGCACTCACTCTATACATAATGGCTGTTGGTAAAAACAAGAGATTGTCCAAGGGAAAGAAGGGATTGAAGAAGAGAGTCGTAGACCCTTTCACCAGAAAGGAATGGTTCGACATCAAGGCCCCAACCACCTTTGAAAACAGAGCCGTTGGTAAGACTTTGATCAACAAGTCCACCGGTTTGAAGAACGCTGCTGATGGATTGAAGGGTCGTGTCATCGAGGTCAACTTGGCCGACTTGCAAGGCTCTGAGGATCACGCATACAGAAAGGTCAAGTTGAGAGTGGATGAGGTTCAAGGTAAGAACTTGTTGACCAACTTCCATGGTATCGACTTCACCTCTGACAAGTTGAGATCATTGGTGAGAAAGTGGCAATCATTGGTTGAGGCCAACGTCACCGTCAAGACCGCTGATGACTACTACTTGAGAGTTTTCGCCATTGCTTTCACCAAGAGACAACCCAACCAAGTCAAGAAGACTACTTACGCTCAGTCTTCCAAGTTGAGAGAAATCAGAAAGAAGATGATGGAAATCATGCAAAGAGAGGTTTCCAACTCCACCTTGGCTCAGTTGACCCAAAAGTTGATCCCAGAGGTGATTGGTCGTGAGATTGAAAAATCTACCCAAACTATTTTCCCATTGCAAAACGTTCACATCAGAAAGGTCAAGTTGTTGAAGCAACCAAAGTTCGACTTGGGTAACTTGATGTCCTTGCACGGAGAAGGTGCCTCCGAGGAAAAGGGTAAGAAGGTTTCTTCTGGTTTCAAGGATGTTGTCTTGGAGTCTGTTTAAATGCACGGTAGTAATACATAAGATGAAAATAATCTGTAGTGAAGCAAAATGATGTGGAGATGCGTAGCGTTGAGTATATGGTGGTGAATTGGTAATGGCGGTTGACATCTTAGGTTATGCAATCTTCTATTTTTTTACGGCTGAGCCATTATGTAATATTTCCACATTTGTTAGATAATGAAGATGATGAGCTTTTGAGCAGAACATTATACGTTTATAATTCATTCTTACCAATTGGAATCGTTTCCTTCTCAATACTGTTCATCCTGTCTGCCACGGAACTAGCACATCAAAAATCACAAATTTCCATATCTTCTTTCCTCTTCTCGGTGTCTTGCTTCTATTGTTCCCCTGCAGGCACATAACCGCGAACTTGAAATTTGAACCTTGCTTCAGGATCTAATCTCGAGGAATTCTTAAATCCATCTACCATGGGTGCTAAAGTAAGTGAAAAGACCAGTCAATTACACAGAACTACGCGTGGGCGGCTCAGTATTACAATTGAATCATCAAGGTTTCACTTAATGCCTTCAATTGTTGCTGTTGGTTGTGGCAGTAGATAAATCGTGGTTGTTTGCTGGCATTATAATATACAAAAATGAGCTCAATGGAAAAATACTAACCCCCAGGATAGAGATGTTCCCAAGTATGGGCCTCAAGGCGGTCCATCTGGAAACATAGATGATGTCAAACAGTTTAACAGACAGGCCCAGGTCAACAATACTTCCAAAGTACCGCCAGTGGACGGTTCGAAGAGAAAGCAAGAGCAAGAGCAAGCTCCCAAGAAGGAGAAGAAGAAGGTGAGTATTCGGGAACAGTCTACTTTTTCCTGGAAAAATGTGGGTTTCTGGGAGTCCGATAACGCTACAGATAAATTGGAGTTGCTCAAATTGATGAAGCGCATTGAAGACTATGTGGTGGATCATTTCTACGGTGATTGGTACTGGAATACCTCTTTAGCTATTGGTACATGCTACTTTGCTTGGTTATTTGCGAAATGGGGATGGGGAATCTTATCCCTCGGACTTGTGTTCATCTTCACAACCTCCGTCTATCGTATAGAATTCCGCAGATTCAACCGTGATATTCGTGATGATATGACCAGAATTAACTCGAGCAACAGACTTGAAAATGAATTGGAAACCATGGAATGGTTGAACTCCTTCTTGGACAAGTTTTGGGTTATTTACATGCCTGCATTGTCTGAGCAGGTTATGTACCAAGCTAACGAGGTGTTGAAGGATCAAGCTCCAGGTTTTGGTATTGAAGCATTGTCCTTGGACGAGTTTACCTTGGGATCCAAAGCTCCTCGTGTGGATAGTATTAAATCTTACACCTTGAAGGGTCAGGATCATATTGAAATGGACTGGGCTTTTTCTTTTACTCCCAACGATACCGATGACATGACCAAGAATGAAATTAAGAAGAAGATCAATCCTAAGGTTGCACTTGGTGTTACTATAGGAAAGGCTTTCATCAAAAAGTCACTTCCTATTCTTGTGGAGGACATGTCTTTTACAGGAAGAATGAACATCAAGTTCAAATTGTATGAAACTTTTCCACATCTCAAGATGGTTTCAGTTCAGTTCTTGGAAGCTCCTGTCATCGATTACGCATTGAAGCCTGTAGGTGGTGACACTTTGGGAATTGATATCATGTCATTTATTCCAGGTTTGGCTTCGTTCGTCAACGGTTTGATTCATTCTAACTTGAGACCAATGTTGTATGCCCCCAACTCGTTGGATATTGACGTTGCAGAAATCATGGAACAACAATCTAACGACTCCCTTGGAGTCGTGGCTGTGACTATCAAGCGGTGCCACAATCTCAAGACAGGTCAGTCTACCAAATCCAATAGTATCAATCCCTATGTGGAGCTCAAGCTTCTGGCTAACGCCGATGTGAGTGAGAAGACAAAGATCAAAAAGTTGAATAACGATCCAATTTTTGCCGAAACAAAATACATTTTGGTTAATTCGTTGGATGGAAACACCCTTTCATTCAATGTCTATGACTTTGTCAAGGACAAGATGGACGATACCTTGATTGGTAACGTTGATTATTCTTTGGGTGATTTGCTTCAAAAAGAAGAAAGACTTGATATTACCAAGAGTATAACCGAGGGAGGAAAAACAGTCGGAAAGATCGAATTTGACCTTCGTTACTTCGCCAGTGTACCTCCTGCTACCTTAGAGGATGGTACAAAGGTGGTTGACACTCAAGCCGAAGTCGGTATTCTTAAATTGAATCTTCACGGAGCTAAGGATTTGGACATTTCTCGCTCCGTTGTTGGGCTTTTGAACCCCTACGCCGAGATCTATGTCAACAATGAGTTGACAAAGTCATGTCGTAGATTGAGACAGACGAACGAACCTTCTTGGAACCAGTCTTTTGAATCCTTGATTACCCAGCAATCGGAAACACAAGTGCAGGTTTTGATCAAGGATTCAGCGGACGATGATATTGTTGCCAAATTGGATGCTAGTCTTCAAGATTTGATCTTTGAAACCTCTAGAGGCCAACAATGGATCACTTGTCAACCAATCAGAGAAGGTGGGCCACATTCACGAATCAAAATCAGCGCAGGTTGGAAGCCTCTTGGTATGACTGACAGTAGTGTTGTAGACACTCACTTCAATGCTTCTATTGGTGGTCTTAGATTGCACTTGAGAGGTGCCTCTAATCTTATCAACTTGGAATCTGTTGGAAAGGTTGATCCATATGCTCGTGTTATCGTGGATGGTAAGTTGAAAGCCAGAACTGTCACCATTGGTGAGACTACGGATCCAGTTTGGGATACAGTTTACTTTTTCCCCGTTACTACTCAGCATCAGCATTTGTTAATTCAAGTCATGGATGCTGAAACTGAAGGAAAGGACAGAAACCTTGGAAGTGTTGCTGTCAATGTCAATGAGATTTTGAAGAAGAATGAGGCAGGTTACTTCTTGGGTTATGACGGTGCCGAGGAAATCCTTGAGCAACCTGTTTTATTTGATGGTCAGAACAAGGGCTCTTTACAATACTCTCTTTCATTTATTCCAACCTTGCCTCTTTACACTCTTTCACAAAAGGAGGACAAAGCTGGATACCAAAGACATTTGGACAAGCTCAAGAAAGATGAAGAGGAGAAACAAAAGAGACAAGAAAACTTGTTCAAGAAACACCCCGACGAATATGAATGGGTTGATGTCGCTGAGGACAATTTGCCCGAGCCTCCAAAGATCGACATGCCTTTGGACAAGTCCATCAAGTATAGGACAGGAAACATTGTTGTGCACATCCTTGATGGAAAATTCAGTGCTTCAGAATTGTACGTTCACACGTTGTTTGACGACCAAGCATACCCCTCTGGTATCACAAGTAAAATTGAAGGTAAGAAACTCACGACTCCTTCAACTTCTGAAGGGTTTATCAGGGATTTGCCAAATTCTAAACTCATATTGAGGCTTGCCAAGAAGGCTGAAGTTGATGATGAAAAGGATATCTTTGCCGAGAAAATATGGGACACGATTGAAATATTGAAGCTGGCATATCACAAACCAATTCATTTAAGAATCAATGACAAGAACCAGCTCACTGTGAGACTTGAATTCTTTCCTTCTGCTGTCAAGTTGGCTCCATTGGACACCATCTTGGATGTGGGCTACTTGAAGCTCGATATCCTCGCAGCCGAAAACTTGCAAGCGTTGGATTCCAACGGAAAGTCTGATCCTTTCGTTGCCATCAAATTAGATGGTATTAGAATTTTCAAAACCGACAAAAAGCGTAAGACTTTGGATCCATCTTGGAACGAAGGTGTTGAATTCCCAATGATATCTCGTTCCAGACAAGTTTTGTTATTGGAAGTGTATGATTGGGACTTGACTCATGACGATAGATTGTTAGGACGTGCCAATATGGACTTGTCTACTATTGAACCATTGACGTCTACTCAATTTAGTGTTCATTTGGACACCCAAGGAATCGTCCATTTACGTGCTACGTTCAAGCCGGAGTATATCAGACCCAAGTTGAGCTCGTCAAGTGCATTACCAATTGATTTGGGATCGGTTGCTGCAGCACCAGTGAAGATTGTTGGAGGAGCCGCCGGCTTGGCTGGCAATGCTGTTGGTACGGGATTGGGCTTGGCTAGTGATGGTGTGACGAAAGGAGGTATGTTCTTTAAGAATTTGGGCAAAAAGAAGAGTAGTGAGAACGAACGTGGAGGTGAAAGTGGCCAAGAGAAACAGCAAAAGGAGCAGCAAGAGAAGAACGAGCAAAACAATGAACGTGATCTTAATGCTGAAGAGAACGGAAAGGATCATGATGAAGATAGTGACGAAGCTGAAAGTGATGAGAATGAAGATGAGCATTCCAAGGATGAAAATGGAAAGCCCAAGAAGAAGTATGCAAGTGAAATGCAAGACGAGGCTCCTTCGTTCGATGAGGAAAAACCCCCTAGCGTTAAAGCAGTACCTAATGTTCATGCCGAGGTACTTCCACCTCCTCAGAAGCCGGATGTTGGTGGTCATGGAAGACATGATAGTTCCAACACCGATATGAGCAGTGTTATGGATACTAGCATGCAGCTGAGCTTTCTTGGTGAGTCTAGTGCTGGACGCTTTACCATTATTTCGGCACATGGTTTCAAGCAATCTTCGTTGGAGGTTAAAGTTGTCATGAAGACTCCAGAGAAGGAAAAGACTCTCTACAAGCTGAGACTGGCCAAGGGTGACAAGCAAGGTAATTTCAAGTGGAGCGAAACTTTACCATTTAGAGCATATGCCGATGGAACCTTGATCTTTGTATTGAGAGAACACCACAGAATTGGCCGTAGTGTCGAGATTGGTCGTGGTGAAGTACGCCCTGGAGTTCTTGAAGAAGAACACCAATTAGCTATCAATGGTGGAATTTTGAATGTCAAGGTGACCACTTCAGATTAAATGTATCAATATATGATTGTATCAGTAGCTATTGTATTTGCAGCCGTTAGTTGATGCAACCGTTTTCACGTGACTTAGGGTTAAGCCCCAGAGTCCCGTGAGTGAAAATGTTACACAAAAATTCGGTGCGAGTTCCTGGCGAAAAGTGAGAAACGTGAAAAAATTTATTGAAGCTATATATCGACGTTAGAAATGAGTCAAATTGTATGTATATCGATACAAAAAAGAACACCCTAGAGCACGGAAATGGCAAGGACAACATTGCGTTACTTTCATATAACCTGAAATGTGCTTTTATGACTGATCTTGGTGATTTTCTGTCTTGCACATCTGGTCGAAAAGATAAGAATTATTTATTGAATTATGACACACCAGGTTATATCCGAGTACAAGTAACGCTGGGTTGAAATTAATATGTTCCAATGCTGTTTTGATCGCTATTTTTCAAATTTTTACTAACATTCAGGCTCCAAAGTGGTACGAATCTCAAGACGCTCCAGTCGCCAAGCAAAGCAGAAAGACTGCTCGTCCCCAGAAGTTGCGCCCTTCCTTGGTTCCAGGTACCGTTGTCATCTTGTTGGCTGGTAGATTCAGAGGTAAGAGAGTTGTCTACCTCAAGGGTTTGGAAGACAACACTTTGTTGGTTACTGGTCCATTCAAGGCCAACGGTGTTCCATTAAGAAGAGTCAACGCTCGTTACGTGATCGCCACCTCCACCAAGGTTGACGTTTCTGGAGTTGATGTCTCCAAGTTCAACGTTGAATACTTTGCCAGAGAGAAGACCCCAAGAGCCAAGAAATCTGAGCAAGACTTCTTCAACGAGGAACAACCAAAGAAAGAAATCAAGCAAGAGAGAATTGCCGACCAAAAGTCTGTTGACGCTGCTTTGTTGTCTGCCATCAAGAAGACTCCTTTGTTGAAGCAATACTTGTCCTCATCTTTCTCATTGAAGTCTGGTGACAAGCCTCACTTGTTGAAATTTTAGATCTACCACACAAAATTTCTTCATTCTGTCTCTCGGGGCGGTACCAATGTGTATACTTAATACAGTAAATCGTTAATTTTCAGTAGAAACCCCACGGGTGCTCCATGCAGGTTTGAAAAATTGTAGCCCATCGCCTCATCTCATCTCATTTTCTTTACATCACCATCACCACCATGTCTGGCTTACTTCCTATTTCCACATACAATTTGGCCCTTAAGCCCTTCAGCCCTGCCCCTGCTGTCGAGGAGGACTTCCCAGTGACCATCAGATTGACTTTGGCTGCTGTGGACCCCGAGGCAGTCGATGACAAGGCCGAGCCATCGACTCTTCGTTTGTTGAAAAGAAGCACTTTGTTCGACGACGATTTCGATGAGGGCGATGATGATGAAGATGACGAGGATGATGAAGATGACGAAGAAGACGAAGAAGAAGATGATGACTTGGATGACGAGAAAGATGAGCCAAAGAAAAAGAAGGCTTCTAAAGATGAAGACGAAGATGATGAAGATGAAGATGATGAAGACGAGGACGATGACGACGAGGATGATGAAGATGATGAAGACGTCTCTGAGTTTGTCGTCTGTACTCTTTCTCCCAAGGTTCAGTTCCAGCAGACCCTCGACTTGACCATCACTCCAGATGAAGAGGTCTACTTTGTAGTCACTGGTTCTTACCCTATCCACTTGACTGGTAACTACGTCGAGCACCCTGCTGACGAAGACTCTGAAGATGATTACGATGACGAGTATGACTCGGAAGAGTACGATTTGACTCCCGATGAGGATGAGTTGCTCGAGGAACAAGACTACGACTTGGACGATTTGGAGGATGCTTCTGATGTTGAGAACAAGATAGAAGAGTTGGTGGAGGAAGACAACAAAAAGAGAGCTTCTGACGAGGCTGAAGATGAAACTCCCAAGAAAAAGTCGAAGAAGAATAAGGAAAAGTCCGTCAAGTTCAACAAGGAATTAGAACAAGGACCTTCCGGCTCCACCTTGGCCAAGAAGGACGAGAAGGAGACACCAAAGAAGAAGGAACAAAAAAAGGAAACCGAAAAGAAGGAACAAAAGAAAGATACTCCAAAGAAGGATGACAAGTCTGAAGACAAGGAAAAGAAGTTCGCCACCAAGACCTTACTTGGTGGAGTTATCACCGAGGACAGAAAGGTCGGAAAGGGACCCACTGCCAAGTCTGGAAACAAAGTTGGCATTAGATACATTGGTAAGTTGAAAAACGGAAAGGTTTTCGACAAGAACACCTCTGGTAAGCCATTCGTTTTTGGATTGGGAAAGGGCGAATGTATTAAAGGATTCGACTTGGGAGTTGCAGGCATGGCCGTGGGAGGCGAAAGAAGGGTTGTTATTCCTCCAAAGATGGGCTATGGCTCGCAAGCCTTACCAGGAATCCCTTCCAACTCTGAGCTCACTTTCGACATCAAATTGGTTTCGCTTAAGTAGAGTACAAGGACAAGACTAATAAACACTAAAACAGAAAAGAAGAGAGAAAATAAGCTATAGAAAAAAATTAAAATTTGGTAGGCTGAAAACGTGCTTCGTATAATTACTATGGCAAACACAGCCCAAGGTCACAAATAATCACATACGTTCGCAAAGTCCAGAATTCCTGTTTAAGTCATACATTCACTTCATATACCACTCAACTCACCAGACCAAACGCCTTGCAGGCCCAGACACCTCATCTGCTCTAAACGACGCCCAGTAGAAATATTTTGACGTAAAAGGCGCAGAACGCGACGCTACTGGTGTGCCCTAATTACTAATACCCGTGTTGTCGGAATGCTACAGACATTTACTGTGCTTACTAGTGGCTTGGCCAGAAAGTCAGCCCAGTATCCAATCCATTTCATAATTGCAACGTCGCTTTTGGCTTCCGCAGCATATTTGGCAGTTGTAGATGAATACGTGCCCGAGAATTTCGGCACTCTGATGTCCAATGTCAGCTTCTACCAGGGTCCCAGACAGCTGGAATGGATCAAGGTCCAAGATGGTGCCGAGTACGCAACTTCAGACCATTATGTGGTCGTACCACTTCTTTTCAGCAGACTTCATATCGACACCTTGCCCAACATAGAAAATACTATCGAGGGAACTGCTGCCAACGAGCGCCTTTTGGTTTCACCAGCAGACTCAGTCGAGGAAAAATTGCAATCTTTGGACAAGATCAATGTCGGCGGGATCACTTGGAGAGCCAGAAACAACAACCGTCTTGCCAAGTACCACGATTATGTGAGAATTGGTATTCGTCGTCTTCAATCTGCCATCCAGGGTGCTGAAACATTTGATATTGGTTTGATCACCGTAGCATATATCGCCATGTGGTATACAATCCTCAAGGTGTTTTATGATATGAGACAAATTGACTCCAATTTCAGATTGGCATTGGCTACGATTATTTCCTCAACTTTCGCTTTTCTTTTCGCCTTGGCTACTACCACTCGCTTTTTGGATGCAAAAGTGCCTCTCTTGTCGCTCTCAGAGGGTATTCCTTTCCTCGTGGCCATCATTGGTTTCAAGCACAAAGTCTCCATTGCTGTAACCGTACAAAAAGCAACTTTATCCCAATTGGATGCTAAGTCCATCGTTTCCAGTGCAATTGCGTCTCACACCGTGAGCTTGCTTAGGGACCATGTCGTCGTCATTGGCGCCATGGCCACTTGTGCCACCTACGCATCCCATTTGGTGGGTCTCAGAAACTTCTGCATTCTTAGTTCTTTCATCCTCGGTTTCGATTTGTTCTTAGTTTACACTTTCTTTTCTGCTATCCTTGCATTGAAGGTTGAAATCAGCCGTGCACGTCGCACTGAAACCTTGAAACAGGCCCTTGAAGAGGACGGTGTCTCAAGCTTAGTGGCTCAAAGTGTGGCCGATCAGTCTTCGAATATTGAGTTCCCCGACCAAGAGTCGACCTTCAACCCAAAAGCCGTCTCCCTCAAACTTGCCGTGGTGGCTATAATTTTCGGGTTTCATGCTTTTTCCTTTGGTAGCTCGTGGATTTACTCTTCCGAAGTTGGCGACCTGTTGTTCTATTCCGAAACCCCAGTATTTTCCACCGCTCTTATTCAACATATTGGCTCGAGCTCAAACGGAACCGTGGTCACAGTTGTAGGACAACGCTTGTTCATGCCAATGGGTATATTCGTTCAAGCCGAGGATTTAATTTGGTTGATTTATGACAAGATTAGCATGGCGATCAAGGATAATTTGATCTCAAAGTTTTTGCTTGTTGGCTTTATTATCTCGATTGTCATCAATGCTTATTTCTTGAATGCGTCGAGATTCCATATTACGGCAACTAACAAGTTGATTGAGAAGGAAATCTCCAACGGAGAGGCTGGTAAAAAGAGAAAATCTTCTGTGGTTCAATTTTTCGAAAAGAGCTTTGCTAAAGGTGGTAAGGACGAATCGAGTACTTCCGAATCCGATAGCTCTGATGAGTTGACAATTGCTCCAAAGCATACCAGAAGTCTCGACACTCTCATACAAATCATGAAGGATGGACAAACAAAGACGTTATCCGATAATGAAGTCACAAATCTTGTTGTGTCTGGTAAATTACCACTTTATGCATTGGAAAAACAGCTTCAAGATAATACTCGTGCCGTTGTTGTTCGTCGTAAAGCTATTGCACAAATGGCTGGTGTTCCTTCGTTAGATTCTGATCGGTTACCATATATGCACTATGATTACAATCGTGTGTTTGGAGCCTGTTGTGAGAATGTCATTGGTTACATGCCCATCCCTGTCGGTGTTGCCGGTCCATTGAATATTGATGGAAAGTCTTATCACATCCCCATGGCTACTACAGAGGGATGTCTTGTTGCTTCTACCATGAGAGGATGCAAAGCTATCAATGCTGGTGGTGGTGTATCGACAGTGTTGACCCAAGATGGAATGACAAGAGGACCATGTGTGTCGTTTCCTACATTGGCTCGCGCTGGTGCCGCCAAGTTATGGTTGGACTCCGAAGAAGGTCAAAAGACCATCAAAAAGGCTTTTAATTCTACATCGCGTTTTGCAAGATTGCAACATATAAAGACGGCACTTGCCGGTACGTTGTTGTTTATTCGTTTCAGAACCACGACTGGTGATGCTATGGGAATGAATATGATTTCAAAAGGAGTGGAATATTGTCTTAAGCACATGGTTGAAGAATGCGGTTTCAAGGACATGACGGTGATTTCGGTTTCTGGTAACTACTGTACTGATAAGAAACCATCTGCTATCAACTGGATCGAGGGCCGTGGTAAGTCTGTTGTTGCTGAAGCTCGAATTCCAGCCGATGTGGTTAAAAATGTTCTCAAGTCCGATGTCGATGCCTTGGTGGAACTCAACGTGAGCAAGAATTTGGTGGGCTCTGCAATGGCTGGGTCTGTTGGAGGTTTCAATGCCCAAGCTGCCAATTTGGTTACCGCTGTATTCTTGGCGTGCGGTCAAGATCCTGCTCAAAATGTTGAATCTTCAAACTGTATTACTTTGGTAAACAAAGTCGATGGTGATCTCGTGATCTCGGTTTCCATGCCATCCATCGAAGTGGGAACCATTGGTGGTGGTACCATATTGGAACCTCAAGGTGCCATGTTGGACTTGCTCAGAGTAAAGGGCCCTCATCCTACCAATCCAGGAGAAAATGCTCGTCAATTGGCCCGTGTCGTTGCTTCTGCGGTTCTAGCTGCTGAGCTTTCGCTTTGCTCTGCCTTGGCAGCTGGACATCTCGTTCAATCTCATATGCAACACAATCGTAAAGCGCCAGTCGCTTCCACAGAATCAGCTACTGCCAATGGGTCCAAAAACATTGCTTCAGCCGATCGTGACCGCCTCTTGCAAGGCTCGGTTAACTGTATCCGCTCATAATACTTGTACTTAATACTGCATCCCTATTGAAAAACAACTTGCTATTTGGCCATATACTTTATAGTAATGTACTACTACCTTTATGTGTTCCTGCAGGCAACTCGGCATCAGTTATTTAGTCATATTACATGTAGGTGAGAACTAATGCCCAGTCAAGATGTGGGGGTGCCCATACCCCAAAATACGCCCCATGCCGTGTCTGTGACTCTACCAACGTGGGAAGCGACTGTGAGTTACGAGGAAGGTGAAGAATGGGTTACGAAAAAAATGACTTCAGGTTACCCTCGATTCTTCATCCATTCTGTGATCCAAGATTTGGCAGAAAATCTTCAATCCAAATATGGTCGTGAAGGCGAAAGATGTATGATCTTCCCATCTTATAAGGTTGCTAAACGATGTAGGGAGTTTGTCAAAACTTACTCGCAAGAGCAGGTTCCGGTTAGAGTGCTCCAGTTGAGCACTTCTCCTCCTTCAACGGAGGATGAAAAATCAAGCATTATTGAATCTACCATTGGTGTTGTTTTCTTCCCAGTCAATCACTTTGCTATTGCCAAAAGCTACTGGCAGCACTCTGGAGAGGGAATAAGTTCACGAATGGCAGAATACGTGTTGGCTGAACTCTTCCACAAGGACTCGGCCAGCTCTCTGCCTCGGCTGTCCAGGTCGTCGTTTCTGAAACAAGAGCTTCAGGCAAGACAAATATTACACAAATCGCCATCTATTCGGGCTTCAAGTCTTCATGAAGAATCTGATAAAGAACAGGATACCTATATCGAACAAAAGTACGGAAGAGTTCTTGATTTGAAGTTCGAGAAACAGGCTAGATCAGCCTTGAGAAGAAGAATATGTGGAAAAGTAGACAAATCTCACAGCCAGGAAGAAGAAATGGAAAGGTCTCATCGGGGAAAGAACTTGAGTGAAACTGACGTATATTTGTACCCTACGGGAATGGCTGCAATCTTCAATGCGCACCGAGCTCTTTTGGGTGTGGTTGATGAACCCAAGATCTCAGTCTGCTTCGGGTTCCCCTATGTAGACACTTTGAATGTTTTACGCAAGTTTGGACCGGGTGTTCATTTCTTGGGTCTTGGTGACGACGAATCGTTGGCACAGTTGGAGCAGGATTTGGAGAGCGGAGAAAGAGATATAATGGCACTTTTCTGTGAATGTCCATCTAACCCTCTATTGAAGACTCCAAATTTGAAAAAGATCAGATCTCTTGCCGACAAATTCAACTTTGCTGTTGTTGTCGACGAAACAGTGGGCAACTTTCTCAACGTTCACGTTTTGCCTTATGCAGACATCGTTGCTTCGTCATTAACCAAAGTATTTTCCGGAGACTCCAATGTGATGGGTGGCTCTTTGATACTCAATCCTCTGTCTTCATGGTACGACAGGCTCAAGAAGTTTTTCAACGATGACTACGAAGACTTGTTTTGGGCCAAAGATGCTTTGATTTTGGAACGTAACTCTCGTGATTTTGCAGAGCGTTCAGCTAAAATCAACGACACCACCGTGGCTGCGGTGGAACTTCTCAGGGCCAGTCCATTAATTGACAGGCTTTATTACCCGATGATCTCAGATACAAAGAAATATTATGATGAGATCAAGACACCCAATGGCGGGTATGGCGGTTTGGTTTCCTTTGTTTTCAAGGATCCAGCGGATGCAGTAGCATTTTTCAATGCAGTGAATTTACATAAAGGGCCATCTTTGGGAACCAATTTCACATTAGCATGTCCCTATGCTATATTGGCACATTACCAAGAATTAGACGAAATAGCCCAGTGGGACATCGATAGAAACATCATCCGCATAAGTGTGGGTTTGGAAGATAAGGATGAGTTGTGTCTGACATTGAAGAAAAGCTTGGATGCAGCGGCTGCACAGCATAAATAGTAATGTCATTATTATGTGGTATATTCGTAAAAAAAGTTATGATCCGGGGTATGCTACATGTTCACAGGGCTCTGGTGGAGGCCCTGTTATCTCTTCGTGAATAACAGTTCCCACATACCAGTATTTGCGATGATTGTCATAGAAGTCTTGCCAATTCTGGATGGCATTTCTGGCTTCTTTTTCGTCAATTTCTCTCAAGTCGTAAGTAAATTCATCTGGCTTGCCAAAACAGCCCGTAACCCATGCTCTAGCAGCATCTTTGCCAGCAAATTTCGAATATGGTCCTCCAGGGCCATAAATAGTCCTAGACACTGAGACGTCGTAGACGCTGCCGTTGATGGCTAAGTACAATGGGAGTGCTTTGTCTTGTCCGTCGTACTTGGCCAACTCATCGAGTGTAAGATTGACAAAGTTATTCCTCACTTTAAACGATAAATACGAAGGATTGATCCATTTTCCATCGTAGCCCCAAGTTGACGATGAGGTGAAAAACCACGACAAAATAGCATTAGCTACAAGTAAGCCGCTGAAGACCCTTGCTATATCTAGTACACCAAAGGAGCGCCATCCTACGTCGTTGTGATTATCTTGAGTATCTTTTTTCATAACCTTGAGCAGAAATTCGCAGTCGTTGCACAAGAGATATACGCAGTACTGTTGCAAAAAGTAACATTTTAAAATACATACTAAATATAATACTTGCGGTAGACCAAATCTTAGACTAGTTCATAAAGAAAACCTCGTCGTTCAACTGATTTGCGCTGCTATTGGTGAAGTTAACTCTATTAGAATCATTGCTGATTAAGTCCCCCCAAAATTCATCGTTAAGTGCTCCGAATGAGTCGCTCAAACGTTCAGTTTCTAGCTGGTTCTGAGAGTAATTGAACGACCCCGATATGCGATCCATTTGCCTTGGCAGAAATGTCATGTTGTTGGAAAGTGGTAAAGTTCCTGTCAGCTTCGGGAAATAAGGCATTTGGGGTTCTGGTCCCACCTGGGGAGTCAAGTTGGTATTTGAGGGTGGTACATTACCAGCACTTGCGGTTTTGTTTGGTGTACCGTTTGCTGAGTTGTTTTCTCTGGTATTGGATTCAGGAGCGTACCTCTTTTCTAAGATGGTTGCGTTGGGATTGTTCTCTTTGTATGATGCAGCATAAAGCAAGTAGTCTATTGGAACTTGTGATTTATACGCAGCTCCACTGGCGGTTGTGATAAGTCCTCCTCCTTCTGGTTTGGTTACCAAGGTTTCCATTTCCTCTTTTGCTCTTGGATCCACGGGCTTGAAGTTTTGCGGTGTACCACCGCTCTTCTGCAAGATATCATGAACTTGCGAGACATAAGTTTGGATGAATAATTGCAAGACAAGCCTAGTTTTTTTCAAAAAATGGTTAAATGGATGAAGAACTGATGCCTCGGCGAAATTATCGTTGAGCCTTTGTATAACTTGAATGGCTCTGCGAGGGACAAGATCTTTCTCAATGTGCGACGGTAACAGAAGAATGAGATATCGAAGCCGTAATAACATTCCTGCGGTGTAGATGATTCTTGAAGCGTAGCATAATGGAATGGCTGCTAGCTCTTCTATTCGAAGCTGGTTAAATTCTTGGATCGAATTGAGGCAGGCAGCTGTACAATTTACGATCAACTTGACAGCTTTCTCGTTCAAATGAACATCACTGGAACTGTTGCTGTCATAAATGAGAACTTGACTCAAGATCGGCTCGTGCAAGTAGGCTTCTACTGAATAGTAGTAGGCACGATAGGCATGGTTTGATTTGGAAAGTTTGGCCTTGATCAGAGCAAGCACATTTTGCATCTCATGAACAACATAGACAGATGGACTATAGTCTCTTTCAGACACCTCCGGTGCATGGACTATGTTGTGAATGCGGTCTAGTTGATGGTTGAGTCTCAGAAACACGGCAAACTCTCTCCACCTTTCATCAGTGCTGCTTTCAAGCTCAGCACAACATTTCTCAACAAAAGGAGTCCATTTGACAAATATGCTTCTTCGAAGAATGAGACAGAAACTGACAGTTATGCTGTACAATGTCATCACCAATCTACGATACTCTGTGTTGGACGTACCTCCAGAACCAAGATCCTTGTCGGAGTCCATGAAGTAATCGTTTGGTTTGGCGACTATACCCAAGTCATGCAACAAGGTCACCGATAGAACATTCAAGATGTGATAGCGTCTGTTTCTAAACATCTCGGGATTGTTGTACCATAATGATAACAATAAAAGACACTTGATCAACTCGACAGATTTGGTTCCCGTCACCATGACTTCAATTGAAACTCCCATTGTAGCGATATTCTCAATTGTGAGGGCCAAGTCCTGGTCAATAGGACCGGGGTGAACCGAATTGGTAACGGACATCACACAGTTGAACAAAAATGGCTGCTCGATACGAAACACCTCCACATCAGTGACAGGTGGAATGACGACATGAGGATGCTGGGGGAACATTCTGGTGTTGTAAAGGTCAATTCTTCTGCTAGCTTCTTCGATTGTCAAGTAGCCCTGAGATACAAGGTCTCTCTTAAAACCCTCGTTGAGTAACGAGTTGCGGCGGTCTGCTGTTTCCTTCAATTTGTGTGCAAGCTCATTAAGATTGGTGTTGGACTGAGCTAGGATGGCTAGCTCGCTTTCAAGATCACTTTTGAGTACAAACCCAAGAGAATCGGTTTCGGAAATCAATGGTGAAATTTCTATGGGGGAGCGGTTTGCGGAAGACGATGATTGTTGTTTGAGAATCCGCACCTGTTCTGTCAACTTGGCAATGGTCTCTTCCTGTTTGGCAATAATGTTAGCGTTTCCATTGGAATAAGCGTCTGAGGCACCATCGTACAGATGGATGTGGTCCGAGTAACTTAGTGCAGAGTCAGGCACAGGGCTTGCCTCGTTCTTCTTCTTTTTCTTCCGAGAGTGACTGTAATCCACCTCACATTTGCGCTTGGCGTTGAAACAACGAAGACATGGACCGGAAGGATTACGCTCATCAGCCGGGGTACATTTTACTTTCAAGCCATGGCAACTTTTACACGCCACTGCGGTTCTGGTCGATTTCTTTTTTCCTGGTGGGGTGGAAGACGCTTCTTCCAGTGGCAGTCTGTTGGTCATCGTAGCTGCAATTTGATACCCTAGCGAGCCGAGGCTCTGACAATTGCAAGGGTTCAGGAAACCTTGCTTTGGGGTTATTCGTCAGGGATACAAAAGATCGTAATCTCTTGATAAGTATGAGTTAGTCGAGGATCTCAGACTGAGTAGGGACCGATATTATGGGAGCAAAGAAACAAAATGTCGATCTTTCACCTTTAGCCCGTGATCTAAATATTAACTAGTTGCACGTCGGTAACCTTCGGCCGATGGATGCAGATTGTATGCAGGTGTGGCCCAAAGGGGGATGGGTAAAGAGAAGGGACGATGAGGAAAAGATGGAAAGGTTAGTTGAATAAGGCAAGTTATCTCTTAGATACGAGAGTTGGAGGTTGTTATTTTGGTGGGTTTCGGGGAGGTTCTTTATTTCTTTGGTTGAAGGTGTCTCCACAATGGGGCGCGAGGATCGGCTTCTTCTTGCACGTGAATGCGGCTGCGAGGCTGCGAGGCTGCAATTGGTGCATGACGGCAGCCATCTAGGTGCATATTTGACGTAAAATTAGGTCATGGCGCAAAAGTGCTACGATGGCCAAAATTGGGTGATATATCATAAGCCCCCTTGATAACTAAAGCAAAACCTGTGTGGTCATAGAACTCATTAGTTGGCTTGAATTATGCCGTGTGCGCTTTTATGGTGCTAATAATATCTTTCAATGTTCTCGATATGGCTTCCTGTCAAATGTGCGCAATGCACAATCTTGGCCCGAGATTGCCCGCATCCGAATGTGCATAAAGTGCAAAGCTTAAATTATATGGAATGAATTTGGTGCAGTAATCATCTCTTATTTTAAGTTGCTGGCAACGGTGAACTCTATTTGTATTATGATGCATTTTGCAGTTTTTAAAATTTTTGCAATTTCAATTATTAACCTGGAAAGCTCAACAACATGACTAATTAGCTTTGTTTTTCGTGATATATAAACGACAATACCCTACCTTTTCTTATTTGATCCTCCCTCTCTACCTCTATCTCCATCATTATCCTCGCTGCCGTATGCACTCCAATTTAAGTTACTGCACATAGTACTTTCAAACCAAGTGGCTTCTTTGATTCATGGCCCACAACCGTACGCTGTTGGGCTCAAAGTGGAAAGCAAAACCGGCCGGATTACCACTCTACAAGGAAAAGCCGCTTGCTGTATCGCATAAACGAAACAAAATCGTCATGTTGTTCAAAGGTTTCTTGGTTTCGTTGGTGTTATACTTGGGTTTTTACGTGGTTACCAATCGTAAATCTACCACTCTGTGGTCTTCCAGACAGGAAGAGGTACGCCAGGTGTTCTTGGAATCGTGGAACTCCTACCGAAACCATGGCTGGGGAACCGATGTTTATCATCCAATAACAGAAAAAGGTGAGAACATGGGTCCCAAGCCATTAGGCTGGATGATTGTCGATTCTCTCGATACTTTAGCTCTCATGGACCTTCCCGACCAATTGAAACAGGCCAGAGAGTGGATAAAGACCGACTTGAATTACCATTTTGATTATGAGGTCAATGTCTTTGAAACCACCATTCGCATGTTGGGTGGTCTCTTATCCGCCCATCATTTGACGAAGGATGATTTGTATTTGGATCGAGCGGTGGATCTCGCTAATGCCCTCATTGGAGGTTTTGAAAGTCCCAGCGGACTTCCTTACTCTTCAGTCAACCTCGAAACAGGAAAGGGTGTGAAAAATCATGTCGATAATGGAGCATCTTCCACGGCAGAGGTGTCTACTCTTCAATTGGAATTCAAGTACTTGGCCAAGCTTACGGGAGAAGCCATGTTTTGGGAAAAGGCTGAGAAAATCATGGAAATTCTTGATAATAATAAGCCTCAGGACGGTCTCGTACCTATCTACGTTCATCCCGACACTGGAAAATACCAAGGAAGTTTGATTCGCTTGGGCTCGCGTGGAGATTCGTACTACGAGTACTTGCTCAAGCAGCATCTTCAGACAAAAGAGCAAGTATACTGGGACATGTACAGAGAATCAGTTGCAGGAGTTCAGAAGCACTTGGTACGCAAAACAGCCAAGAGCGGCTTGACATTCATAGGTGAGCTCGAGCATGGTATTGGAGGTCCATTGAGCCCGAAAATGGACCACTTGGTCTGTTTCTATGGCGGTCTCTTGGCGGTTGGAGCCACGAACGGACTCACCTACCAGGAAGCAAAGAAGCAACCATTCTGGAACGAAGAACGAGAATCACATTTCAAACTAGGTGAAGAGTTGACCTACACATGTTACCGCATGTATAAAGACGTTCCCACTGGATTGTCACCAGAGATTGTGGTATTTAACGAGGAAGACAATGGCCAAGCCGACTTCTTTATCAAGCCATTGGATAGACACAATTTGCAACGACCAGAAACGGTGGAATCTCTCTTTTATTTGTACCGGTTAACGGGTGACAACAAGTATCGTGAGTATGGGTACGAAATATTCCAAAGCTTTGTCAAACATACCAAAGTCACCAATAACCAGGGAGAAGTGTCTTACACGTCGCTAGCCGATGTTACTCAGATACCACCAAGAAAGCGAGACAACCTTGAGTCGTTTTGGTTTGCTGAGACCCTCAAGTATTTGTATCTCCTCTTTGACGAAACTAACAAGATTCCACTTGACCAATACGTCTTCAATACCGAGGCACATCCATTCCCAGTGTTCGACCCTGAACCATTTACGACGGGATGGAGAAGGCAATTTACGAAAGTTGGACAGGAAAAGCAGAAGGAAACTCACAAAATCAGCAACAAGAAACCACCGCAAGCAGCTCCTGCTAACAAGCCCTTGGAAGAACAGGAAAAGGAAGTTGTGAAGGAGAATCCAGAGATCAAATCGCCACCTAAAGAGAGTGAAGAGATGTTTAACATACTAGAGTAGATATCACAGCTAGAGTCAGGCAGAAGAATTCAGGGCCAAAGAAAAATAGTTAAAATTCTGATTAGAAGTTGCCCTTTGCATATAGTTCTTGTAGACTTATATGGACTCATTTACCAGACTTCATATAGGATCAAGACTTCATATAGATCCACTAACCCGAAGACTTCATACAGCGAGATTACTCAGCGGGTACCGCGGGGTGGTTTTTGTGTAACCTCACCCTAGTGACGTAAGAGATTTTCTTCCTTGATCAGACTAACAAGATCAAAACCGGCATGTCTAGTGATGTAAGTAATGATCTGCGCCGTATAGTTGGCCGTTACACAACGCTTGAGAGTTGAGGAACCATCGGAATTCCGCGTTGGGCGTGTTTCAGGAACACATAACAAGTTTAACCTTTTCTACGTTCAATTACGTCATTCCTAGTATACTAACAACAGCTGAAGTTGACGTTTGACTTGGAGCCTAATCCGTTCGAGAGATCGTTTGCAGACAAAAAAGACCCTAGTATTAAGAATCCACCACGATCCGGTTCCAATAAACATGATCTCCAGATCCCAAATATTTCCAATATTGATGCAACGAATCAGAAGCTTCCGGGCATAACGCCGCCTCTACTCACACCAGGTGGCCGCAAACTTCCCCCGTTGACTATGAGTGGGCACATGCTGAACCCTGGTACACCGGGGATCAATTTATGGAATAGTTTGTTGACCGCTACAAGCCATCATGACGGCCCTCAAGGACAAGCCAATCACCATGGAGCTGTTCCTGCTAACGGAGCAGTAAACCAGGGTCATCCCTCATCCGACGAGGCAGCAGCTGCTGCTAATGTGCCCCATCAAGGACAAGGAAACGATCTTCACGACTCTAACCCACAATACAATCAGTTCGTGACAAACTTGAGAAATTCCGGTCTCACACCCAACGAGTCGAATCTCAGATCAGGATTGACTCCGGGTGGTATCAACCAGCCCGGGTATCAATTTGGGGGACAAGTTCAGTACTTGAACAACCCTGGAATGTTGGCAAACCCGATGACTCCGGGGTTGTCCAGTTTACTCGGCTACAATCAAATTCATCCGGAGGAAGTTCAGAACACCACCGCTGAAACCCAGACTAATAACAATACCCAGCAGCATCCTTCTGTGGGCGTTCCGTCTCAAATTCAGCAGGTTGCACAGCCACCACTAACGCAAGATACCCAACAGGGAAATGCGAAGAAAGCTCCACCAAAGCGCAAAGCCAGTGTCTCTGAGAAACAACAAAAGAGGAAGAAGTCAGAGGAGTCGAGACCAGCTACAAAGACGGAAAGTAGTTCTGACCAAGTCAACGAGAGCCAAAATGAAAACGAAGATAAGCGCAAGGTTTTCCTCGAGAGAAACAGGGTTGCTGCCTCGAAATGCAGAAAGCGGAAGAAGCAGCTCATGGTAAAGATGGAGGAGGAGTTGGCGTTTTACTCGGCGGGATACCGCAACCTCTCGTCTCAGGTAACCCAGATTAGAGACCAGCTCGTCAATCTTCGTGGAATCCTTGTTGCGCACAAAGACTGCCCAAAGTTAGCTGCTACTGTAGGTGGGTTCGAAGATTTACAGTCTGTGCTTCAAGAGACAAACTATGTGATCCAGGTGACGTCTCGCAGTGGAGCCAATACAGCTCTGATGCCCACCACCATTCCCACCACACTCAATCCCGCTCAGGAAGCAGAAATACGATCAAACCAGCCAATTCCGTCGTCTCTTCCGGGTTCAGTGGCTCCCCATCATATTGGAGGCAACCAAGATCAGGGCCGTACGTCCACTAGGGGCTCTAGTGACACTACCATACCTACCGAGGCTAGTGCTGGAATTACACCGTCTAATGGTGGCCATCCTATTTCTAGTCACCACAGTCTCACTGATTTGCCGGCGGCCTCCCAGGCGTCAATGCAGAACATGCAACTCGATGCAAACCACGGTGGAGACTTGAGAGCCATAAACAGTATGTCTAATCTTACTGCCATGGGAAGACAGCCTACAACATTCCAAAGCGGAGGTTTTCGACCCGCTGCTAGCATGGTTGATTTGGGTCAATTGAATGAACAGCAGCTGACCCAGCACAATTTCAACGTCGATCAGCGGGGATTCGTGGGATTGACTCAATCCCAGTCATAAAATATGTCAAGACTGACTACGTATTTATAGAGTAGTTCGAACAATATAACTTGTTCTATGCAAAGATTCTCTTGTAAACTCTTTATTCTACACTTCTCTACAATTATAGTCTACACCTTTAGTCCAAACTCTTTAGTTACTTCTAGTTTGCACATAATCTTCTCATCAGCAACTACCCCAGCCTTTGTTTGGGCTGTGCTCATCGCGCGCGTCGGATCAACAAACTTCCACAATGGTGGTCTCGAAAGCCCAGTTGGACACCCTAGAACTTCCGCCGCTTCCGGATACCTCTCGGAACGGCGACAAACATACTAGTAAGATACATATGGATGAGTTTTCTAGGCGCAATCTTAAAACCATTCTACATTTAATAACCGGCGAACTCAAGCTGAGAGGCACTAAAACCCCACATGTATTTTTGCCCTTTCGATCCCGGATTGACGACCACCAATTGGAACTTTTTCTACAAGCATCATTTCCAGGGGGAACGGTGGCCTCGGAAGAGGTACTTCGTCGAATAGTGAAGGAGTATGATGAATTCACTCTCATGTGTGCAATGAAGTATCTTTGGAGTCGGTTACCAAATCACGAGATAATAGGCTGGGATGTGTACCTTGAGTTCAAAAGAAAAGAGGAGGAGCAAGGATTTCCAAGAACGGCGTTCCTCACAATTATGCCCAAGTGTCTTTCTTCACCTTCTCATGCCTCCATTGTATACGATTTTTTGGATCTCTTGGTGAGTATAGCGTCCAACTCCCAATACAACTACCTCAGTGGCCGAAAAATAGCCAAGATGTCTAGTTTGTGGGCGTTTAATCCAGCCAGAGAACGAATGAAATCAGCATTTTATGACGCAACCATAGACCGAGATCACAGTTTCATCGATGGTCTAGATAGGTGGAAGCAGTCTTCTGGTGCCTTGTTCCATTTGCTCTTATCTTTCTTGCGGGCAATGCTTCCGGAGAATGATATGGATACATTGAAACTTCCCAAGACCCTTCAGTCGTTACTTATCTCCAACTCGTACCCTCCACTTGCAAATAACGACTCGGTGAAATCCATGATAAAAATCCCTTGCGTTCTACTCAAGTCCACCAAGCCATCGGAAAACGTGTACGAGCTATTAAGCAAGGTCAGACGCACGATAAAGTTTGACAAGAAAGATGACTTTATGTCTGTGGAAAATTACACGATTCTCAAAAACATATTCAAAAAAGATTCCACCGCAGACATAGTAGCATCTCTCAGTGAAGAGTCTCGACGCATAATGGGACGATTAACTGACATTCTGGACTCTTCTGACTACGACCTTTATCCAGGGTGGGCTCCATTCGGTGGAAAAGTCGATGAGAACATTCCACTTTTTACTGAATTGACAATCCAAGACGTTACAATACAAGACTACTATATATGGACGTGGCTATCGTCTCTTGGATCGGATCAGCATAGTATAGTGAAGAGGAATTTTGGTAGATCATTGATCGCCGAAGTCGAGGTCCTCGACCAGCGTAAGTGGATCGTTGTTTCTGAACAAATACTCTCTACAGAAGATTATTTGAAAAAGTTTGAGACCACTCCCACTGTTCCACCAAAAGATAGAATCATATCAAATGGGAGTCACAAAGACATGCCGCTACCTCCACCTCCACCTCCCCTGAAAGATGCGGATGAGCCACTACCAAAGTATTACTTTGGAGGAGGAAGCGATGCTGGAACAATGGATAAATCGACAGATGATGATTACAATTTTCCAGACCAGGTCCAAAGTGATGAACTTGATGAATACAAAAAGTATTTGGAGTCTCTTAACGATTCAGACGACGAGATTCCCACCAAAGACTTTGCGGAAAAATTGAACCTTAAAACCCATGTCGAAAAGAAGCTTCCAAAGCAACCAAAGAAACATAGACATCGACCACCACCGCCTGGACAGTCCTGTATCACCGGTAAGAAGCCACGCAGCTCCAGGGGGTGAAGTCATAGCCAATCCTACGGGAAATCCTGCTAAGGGCTCATCCTAAGGCCAATACTGCTAAAGCAAATCCTGCTATGGCTCATCCCACGGCCACTGCTTATCCCAATGTTGCGGCACACCCTAATGTGACTCATTCCGATGCCACTGATCATCCCAATGTAGTGGCTCATCCCAACCACACCTACACGGCGCCAAACTTGAATGCCCATGAAGCTCCAACGATGTATCCTCAACAAGTTATGCCTCAGCCTGAACCGGCAGATTACCAAAACAACTACAATCACAACCCGCAAGATTATCGTTCTAATGAATACTACTCAGAACCGTATGAAACTTACAGCACTCCTAATGATCATCAGGACCAACCAATCGCCCAGGAGCCCTTTGAAAACTACCATGTACCCGTGGAGGAACACGGGGCATCGCATATCATTCCTAACGACCAAGACGGTGTTGTTGTTCCCGTTGTTCAGGAGAATATTGTAAATAGCGCTGATCATCTTGTACAGCCCCCATCGGCTCCTGGCAGTCCTGACACGAAGGAGAAAAAGAGAAAAAAGAAGAAGAAGAAGTCAAGGAAAAATGAGGAACCTCCAATGAATGCTTTAGTGCCAACAGGATTCTTTCCTCCCGGCCCACCTCCTAACTTCATGCCAGAAGGTCCAGAAGGTAGTTACTTTCCACCATATCCAACACCAATGTTGCAAGAACCCTTACCAGAAACCAATGAACACGAAAAGAGAAAGAAGAAATCCAAGCGAAAAGACGCTTCCGTGTCTCCAATAAGAGAAAACAGGAATATGGCTCCACCTCAATTAGATCAACCAGGAAATGGCCAGCTGATTACAATGACTAACGACTCTATCCCCACCATAGCAGCGCCAATGGAAGAAGCTGATCAGCCTCCTTTACCCCCTTCGAAGGACACTCCTCGTCACGAACAACAAAGAGCAAGAACTCCTGAACACTTGCGACCAAGGTCCAAGCAGCAGCTAACAAAATCACCAAATCTCAGCGCTGATGTAGGATTGTCGCCAACTTTGACTGCTTCTGGTACACATGTCACACATCAGCCACAATACACCTCGAACCTTTCACTCACTGCCGGTATCCATGGCCCCTCACCCAATCAGGGCATGCCAGGTTCTGATACAGTGAAGCTGCAATCATTGAGTCCACTGGCCAAGACTTCAACATCATGGCTCGCGACCAGCATCGTCATCGCCTCAACTAAGACTGCAAATCTCTTTCCATCAAGATTCATCGAGCCGTGGTCCGTCTCCACAACACGCTCCACAGCCTCAACAGCGTCACCCACCTCATCAACAATCTTACCAATCTCAAGAATATAACGGTACAAACCACCCTGTTCAGCAAAAATCTGCTCAAGGGTATAATAGTCCAAACTTTGCAACCCCAATGCCTCAAGGACCAAATATGCCACCTCCTTCATCCTCACCTCCTATGAAGGGCCTCCATCACCATCAACATAAAAATCACCAACAACAAGCACCACTTCAGCATTTTCCACAGCAGCAATTGCCACAACAATTACCACAACAAGCACCCCAACAATTACCACAACATACACCACAACATGTACCCCAGCAAGCACCTCAGCAAATACCTCAACAAGCACTCCAGCAAGTACCACATCAGCATGTACCACAGCATGGACATCCCCAAAGTTATTCTCCAGTACCACAAGGCTATCCTCAAAGACCACCGCAGTCGTACTCTTACGGCCCTCAACAAGGTTACAACCCCGCTCCACCCCAAGGATATGCTCCAGATCCTTCACAAGGATATTCCCAGGGTCCAGTGCAGAATTACCCCCAAGGACCACAGGGATCACAAGGACCACCCCAGGGTTATTCTCAGCCTCCGCCCCAAGGATATGCCCAGCCTCCACCCCAAGGATACCATCCAGGACCCCCTCAAGGTCATGCCCAGAACATTCCACCCGCAATGCCACAACCATACCAACAGCATCCACAACAACCTGGCCAGCCTCCGTACAATCAGCAATCACACCCTGGAGGATTTCAGCAACAGCCTGCTCCTTATGGGCAAGCTGGACACCAGCGACCACCAAGGAATACAGCGGGTGATTTGGCTATGATGAACATGCCTCAAAGTCACAAACACCATAAAAATCAAGGGACCAACAAAGCCAGCTTGCGGGCGGCCTTTAACCAGGGTTCCTTTGGTATTTGAAGCAATAGCATGAAACAAGCTACATTTACTACATTGTTGCTTGTAAGATGATGTATCTTGATGAATAAATAGATAATAAATACTTACGACACAAGAGACTTCAATATTCGGAAAGACGCAATTTCTTTCCAATTTTCTCTCACCGAGAACCCTGCGTTCATCTTATTGAGGAAAGGAGGTTCAGGGCTTGGACCTCTAGATTTGATGTCTTCTTCTCCCATATCGAAATAGCCGTATCCTCCTAACAAAGTTGACAACGCTGGGGAAGCCTTTGCTGGTGTAGGTGCAACAGCTGCAACTGGCGAAGCTTTAGGTGCTGTAGGTGAAGTTCTGATCTTCGCTTCAATTGGCGCATTGGTTGGTCCTTCATGGGTTTCCTTGAACAAGCGGTAAACTTCATTGAAGTAGGACTCAAGAGTTACCAAGAAACGTTCAGTTTGTCTATGCTTGGATGCTGCACAGATAGAAATCGAATCGTCTTTGATAATATAGCCCAAACCAAAACCGTTAGCTGATACAGGTCCAAATCCAAATAAACGCAAAAGCAGGATTTCCACAATTGGACGTAGAAAGAACAGTGTTATTGAGTTTATCCCACCCGAGGTCGCTGAAGATACTTGGGGAGTTCCCTCAAGCTTGATTCTGAAGCTTGGTTCACCACTGTCTGATCTGAAGAGTGAGTCTCATTGTCATCGTCAACGAGGGTACTGATGGACGCCCTCTGATTTTCTGTGGTTATAGTGTCACTGTTGCTCATCGTGATAGCATTGAACTTTTCAATAACTTTCTCCTGGGAGGTGGTGATTTCAGACTCATTTTCAATGTCCAAGTACCGCTTCCAAACACAGAAAAGGGCATACAAATGACGGTCAACACCCTTTCCAGAAGCGCAGAGTTTGGTCTGTTGCGCATGCAGCTCGCAAGCTTTAGATAAATATGACAATTTGTCTTTGTTCGACACATTCAGGTCAAAAAACTTCCTTACAAACAAGTTGGATTCTTGCGAAACGGGTCTGATTGCTTCTGTTCTTCCGTGAAAGAATTGCTTGGTCATAGCAGGCTCGTAAGTGCATTCAACCTTACCATATAATGCATAATAAGTTTGCCTGGAAAGCCATTTGGACGAATGCATCTGGGGAATACTTCATTCTTCTTAATTGTAGAAGAGCCGTAGTTCTTGAATTCCAAGTGCTTGAACTCATTCTGGTTAATCAAGTCAGACAACCTTGTCTCACCAAAACGCAATGCAAGAGAGAGATCAGGAGTAACGTCCCATTCAATCTTCCTTGGAACCGTAACCAAATCCTCCTCTGTTGAAGAGAACTTTCTGTTGTCCTCAACCCAGAGTGATGGCGCATTGCCATTGATTGAACTTGCGAAAGACAAGATAGAATCAGTGTAAATGTCACTCACAAATCTCAAAACTGTATGGCCATCGACACCAGTATGCTCAAAATTGATACCGGCTTTACCGTTCTGGGTGACAATAATTTGCAACTTGTCGTACCATCTATTGGTACATGTTCCCACTTGCACTCCTTTATCCAAGATAGACAAGCCACAAAGCATATTCTTGGCAAGATCAGATAAGTCATGAAGCTTAATGTCATCCAAACACAAAATGAACAAGGCAGAATCGATAATGGAGAGAACTTCACGGTTATTCTCGTTGTCTTTGATGGTTTTCGAGTTTCTAATTTTTGCCCAAATGCGTCTGTTTTCCGTGGTCAACACACCAAACGAAGATTTGGCAACTTCGCTGATCGAAGTGCTTAGAGAATCTTGAACAATTGAGGTAAAGTTTAACACCAAGTCTTGTTCAGACATGATCAAATCATTGTTCAGGTCCAAAACGTCAAACCAGTAGAATTGAGACTTGCTCATCACGACAATATGATTCGATTTGGGGTCTGTTTGCATCATGCAACCATCGGTGGTGGGAATTCTCGAAGCGCCAAAAAGCTTAGAGTACTGATACATGCACAATGGTTGCTTGTTACGCAACTTGTCAACGGAAAGTGTCTCGTTCTTGAGAGCCCTTATAAACTTCAAAGAGGATAAAGTCAACGACGCTGCTCTTTTTACTTGTGGATTCACCGACATGGTCTCGTTGTTGAACGGATCATCTTCCAAGAGGAAAAAAGGGTTCAAGTTTAAAACCACCGGGGAGTCGTAATTCAAGTACGAGTCATACCAGAATTGTTCAATGTAAGAGTTTCTGGTCTCGGCGTACTTGCGCAATTCGCTATCCAAGTAAGCTCCGGTGCCGTCCTTGAGGAACTTTTCCACGGCTGCCTTGGTGGTTTCATGTTCCTTTTCATTTTGAAGAGGTTTAAGTACTTTGAGATATTGACCACAAGTCTCTTCTAAGGTTGGAATGGGTAGCTTTTGTAGCTGGTCTTGGTACTGGAAAGTCATAAATCAAATAAATAATGGTCAAACGTTAAAAGTCAAGCAGAATGTGGAGAAGGTAATGATCGAATATCAAGCAAAAAAACAGCCAGATTCGAGCCTAATAATGCAATCAGAATGTCAATAAATAGTCCAGCCTTCACCACCGGTTGAAATTTCAGGAAGTGTGGGCCAGGAATGGCGGTCTCTTTATATGGCTAATGTCCGGGGTAAACCTGTCGATATACAGTACTGCAGCACTCCGGTCATCCGCGACCCCAGTGATTGGCTCGGAGTTGAGTGCGGTAGGCTCGGAGTGCACCACTCGAACCGCGCGAATTGGGGTGATACGCAATCGGACTTTAGCAAAATGTGGGGTCGCTAGAAAATGGGGTGCATCGAGAATTTCTTTCGGACTTGATTCCCTCGGTAGCCATACACATATATCAGCTACAGTAAGAAAAACTTAACGAAACTGAAAAATTTTACTCGTGTCTTACCAAGGTATCCCATTGACGGCTGCGCTTCGGACCAGCGCAATATGCGCTTAAGTCCTTATCACCAATCCGCGATTCCGATAACGTCATTGGATTAGGGCTTAGTCTATCTAGTTGATTGCTAATAGCCATCGGCTCCACCCCTTTTTCTCCAATAATCACCCACACCTTCCCACCAGCTTCCTTCACTAGTATCAACCCGCTCTACACCATTCATTGATGTCATGCTGCCTCCCTCATAAAAATCATGGCCCAACTTCTCCATCTGACTCTGGATTGACTCGGTGCCGTATCTCGTGTGCTCTTCTTCGAACAACTCGTTGTTTTCGACCATGATAAACTCGGGTATCAACTGGTGGTGCATTCTAGGATACAGAATTGCTTTCAAAAGATCCATTTTCTTGTAGATTACTCTGACAATGGCCTGGAACACAGCCGTGGTGATCCGAGATCCTCCTGCTGCACCGATAACCAATTTGGGAATGTACGAGCCGTCGTCTTGTTCAACCGACAATATAGTGGGTGATACCGACAGAAGCGGTCTCTTGTAAGGTTCAATGAAATTGTAAATTGAAGGAGTCAAATTGAATGCATTGGATGTACCGGGAACCAGAAAGTCGTCCATTTCGTTATTGAGAATAACCCCAGTCTTGTTGTCGTAGACCATTGACCCGAAAAGTAAATTGGACCGTAGTAGTCATTCCCACCGCATTGCCCTTTTCGTCAACGACTGAAAAATGTGTAGTTCCGTGAGGCTCTGTAAGTTGGTACGCTGGTTCATAGTGGCTGAACGGGAATGTTTGTGTGTCTGAATAATTACCAGAATCAAGAATTTCCAGCGACCACTGTTCTGAAGTATATTTCTTGATAAGTTGCTGGCGGTACGTTGCGTTGGATTGGTGAACCTCAAAGTCGCCAAAGTGTGATCTTGCTGAAGCCATCCACTTCATTCCCTCAATAATTTTATGTGTAGTGAGCAAATCAGTATCGTTAGCGGTCACTGCTGCATGGTAGAAATTGAGTCCCGCAAGAAGAGCAAGTCCAGAAGAGGCACCGGATGAGGTGACAACCCTATGATTCAACCCATCAATGTCATAAGTTGCAGACAATGGAGTCTCAACCCGAACCTCATATCTTGCAAAATCTTCCTTCTTCAAAACACCCCCTACACGATTAGCCGCTTCAACCAAGTGACCCACTATAGGACCCTCGGGGTCGTAGAATATTTTCGAGGATCCGTTGCGTGCAATAAGCTCCAAAGTGTTCGCAAGATTGGGCCGCTTAATAATATCACCCTCAGAGACAGCGGTCCTGCCATCTCTCTTGTATACAAAGTCCCAGCTCTCAGCAATCTTTCGTAAGAACGGAAAGATGACTTTCACCTCTAAATTAATAGCCTTTGAAAGAATTACACTGCACTCAAATCCTCGACGGTTCATCTCGATGACTGGCTCAAGCAACTCAGACCAAGTGAGATTTCCCGAACCATGGCGCCTATAAAGCTCTTCGAGGCCCTGTAACTCTCCTGGTATAGCAACTGCGAGGCCACCGATCATAGATAAAACAGGGTTCGATACGTACATGTCTTTGTAAGCAGCCAGAGGTGCCATTTCTCTGGCATCTATGCTAATTTCGGGCTCTTTGGCCTCACTATTGCTGGAAACAATATATCCTCCACCTCCTATACCCGAGGAATGCAGATTGATACTTCCAAGACACAATGCTATGGTAACAGCTGCATCGGCAGCATTGCCACCTCTTTGTAAAATTGCCTTTCCCATCGTTGAACACTGAGGAACATCACTGCTGACCATGGCTTTAGCCCCTAGTGCCCTGTGCTCCTTAGAAGGATCTAGGTCTGGAGTACCTATTAAATCTGCCAAAGGATCTCTTAAGATTCCTTCGTAGATGGAGTAGTCAAATACCTCATGTTTTTGGTATAGAGAAAGAGTGTATAAGCAAATACAAAGTAGTAGTGTAACCAGAAAGGGCTTCCGCACATCGAAGCGACGGCCGCGTATGCGATAATTGCTTTTATGTTTTTCCATTATGGTATATAAATAATAAGAAATGCTCGTCCGCTTATCTATTGTCGCACGATATGATAGCACTGCACAGAGCCGATGATGGTTGCAATGGTCAGGAATACGAATTGAAATCAAGCGAGCTTGGATATTTCTGTATGATTGCAGGAACCTTTATAGATACCTTTTCTCCGTTGGAGAGCTTGATGCTGATCTTGAAGTGATAGAGCCTGGCAAGATAACAAGATTGGAAATCAGGTATAAGGCAAAATTCTCCTGGCTGCGAATTTGTACCTGAGCCTATCATTCTTACCAGATCCATATCAACATTCAACGTAAATGACTTTGTAAACTTCATTTTTGTAGTTTCTTGGGTCACTGACTTGTATGGAATGGATGCCAATGACTCAAACTTTTTATCACCACAAGTAACATAGGTCTTGGTGACTTTGAGAACATTGTACTTGCTTGAAAGATTTGCAAGACTTTTGATATCAAAGATCATATCTTTATCTATACCCAATGCCTCGCTCCCGAGCTCCCGCATATGGTGAGAAAGCTCTATCGCATACTTCTGACATCGTTTTACGGTGATATGGTCAAAGTTGTCGGTTTCACGTCCCTCATTTCGGAATAGCATATCTGGGTGAAACACAACAGGAATAGGTAGAGAGCGGGTCTTGATCGTTAGTGATACAAGCTGCACGGAAGTGCTGATGATTTCGGGAGGATCATAATTGCCAATGGGAACAAACGAGACTTCAAGTGGAATACGAGCAATAGTGGTATTGGGAGCTTTATCAGGATATCGAGCAAGGGGAACATAACTAGCTCGAATCTCCTTCTTATGACATGAAAGTGCAATTAGTCCAATCTCCTTGCTATGGCCCATAAGACTTCGTTTTTTATACTTGTGATAAACTTCGTACTTGTCGCTTGAGCGAGGTCGAGACCTTGTTTGTGAGTAGTAAGATTGTTGAAGTTTCTGCAGTTCTTCCACACTAACTGAAGGAACCAAACCTTCATCCTCAGTACTCTGATCGGATTTCGGAGCTTGCGACAATTGCTGTGCTTTATCAAGTATCGCTTCAATTTTGGTCATTAAATTTTCGTACAATAATTTAGACTCTTGATTAATCATGGACCTGTTGAGTTCAAAAGCGGGGTCTGTCCTTCCAATCACACGAAGATAGCAATTGGCTTCGTTTGCAACCACATATTCGTTGGCTAGTTTCCCTGCGTCAGCGACAGGGTATCTGGTGAATTCCTTGTACTCTTCGGCTCTACCGATTATTTTTGCTGTCACACAGTAACTAACACTTGTATCCTCCAAACAAAAATCGTTGGTCTGCGAGGCATATTTCCTGTCTGGATGTTTTGAACGGTGATCCACATCTTCTGGTTTGAAATCCGCATGGTCTCTCCATTTTTCCCGCAATCTAGTGAGAACTTCGTTCTTCGACACCCCAAACGTTGGTGGTAGTTGAAGGTGCTTTACGAGGCCATGTGGTTTACATGAATAGTCCAACAACCGGTCTGGGATCTTGAAAGTGAAAAATTTCTTGTACGTGATTCCTGGCTCGAATACCTTTCTAATATCCAAGAACACCTGGGTATTGTCAACCGGATCAAGGCGCGCAACATGAACATGAGGATTATTATTATCAGAAACGAGCCGGTCCAAGGTACCATCGTTGTATGAGGCATTGAAGTCCAACATGGTGAGAAAACGCTGAACTAGTTTTGGGTTTTGAACAACTGGACGCTTGGAGTCGCCGAGAATCGTGGCTCCTTCGAGTGCTACTGCGAACATGTCAAATGGAATCGTGGTGGTGGTACGATTAACTATCGTAACAAAGCCATTGATCACATCTCCTTGTTCATACTCAACAGACAAGGGGTCTATGATTGTAGCAGGGACTCCTATCATCCCTAACTCATCTGTGAGATGTATCTTTACCTCTAGCTTAGATGCTAGATCTCTGTTCGTTGAAGTCAATCTTTTCAATTTGTGAGAATTAGCCAAGATAGTGTCGTCCCACGAAGTGAAGGGTTCATTGATCTCTTGAACCGGCGAGTTGGCCATAGAAACTCCTCCAAAGTAATCAACATCTCCGCTAGCAGCGGATGATATGGGTGTTACATCATAGCTTGGTGGCTCGCTTCGTAAGTCTTCATTTGTCGCTATGAGTGGCTTGGAAACAATACTACGGAACATTTGGTATGAGGGGAGAATCGTTATCAATCTATCATCTTCTCGTCGCTCTTTTTCTTCTTTCTTTGTCATCTGGAATACTCTCCACAAACTGCGGTTTGTCCTAGTCTCAAATGATAAATCGATCTATGCAGGGAAGTCGGGTGCAAAATACGAAGACATATTATATGGTTTTGCTTAAAGAGTCGCTATCTATTTGTCTATGTGCAAGGGAGCCGGGATCTGTAATATTTCTCCGGAGTGTAGATGAACCATAATTTTGATATAGTAGAGTCTTGAAAGAAAGCATAGCTGGAATGATGGAACAAGGGTATAATTGTCAAAAAGTAGCTCTGAGTTCTCATTGTTGGAGCCCTTGAGTTTGGCTCTCTTCAAGTCTATATGAACATTGAACTTTTTAGAGTATGTCTCATACTCGGTTGACTCTGTGGGCTCTATTTGCCAGGTAATATCTTCGATAGATGTAACAAGTGATTTTTCGGTAGTCGAGGAAAAGTTGAGGTCGCTGATAACGAGAGTCTGGTACTTGGTGGAAAGAAAAGCCAACGACTTGAGATCATTGAATAGTTTGGTTTCTACCTTGAAAACATCTGAGCCGAGATGTTTTAGGTGGTATGTGAGTTTTTGAAGATTCTTTTTGTTCGGTTGAATAACTATCCGGTCAAAATTGTCCACTACCTGCTTCAGATTCTTGACAACTTCCTTATCACGGAAGCACATTTCATGGTTGAACTCAACTGGAATGGGATATTTGTCAGACTTGATGGTGAGTGCCGTCAACTCTGCGGTGATTGATTTAATTTTTGGCATTGAGGGTTGTTTCAACGAATTGATCCGGTAAAAGTAGGTAAGATCTATGGGTATCGTCAATTGAGTTTCCTTGTCTTTCAACTCACCTTTCCGGTACTTTGGGGGTGGTATGTACGACGTCCTGTAGTCATGTTTGGGAGTTGATAATGAGATAAATCCAATATCCTTAGATGCGGTGAGTGATCTTTTCTTGATTGGAGAAATAAACTGGTAGTTTTGCTCCTGGAAAGATTTGGAGTCGCTGGTCGTTTTCTCGAATTTGGAGTTTATTTGGGTATAAAGCTGGTTCAACTTGATGCTTGATGATTCTCGGGAAGTTTGAGGTGAAAGCAGAAACTCTCGCCGTTCTCCCATTGATGCAGTGGATAAATGTTCTGCTTCCTCCAATTTCTCACGGACGGTGCTTTCAAATGCTGCGTAAAAAATGCTGATTTCGTGGTTCATTGTCCTGGTATTATAGATGTGCTCAAGTTTTGTGTTTGGGATTACCCTAATAGGACATATCGACTCTTTTGCAACCACGTAGTGGTCCTTCGAGTCCGACTTGCAGAAGTCTGAAGATCTGCCTATGACTCTTGCCTCAACAGTGTAGCTCAGACAAGCGTCAATGAAACACAAGTCTTTGATACTCGAGTCTCCAAGTTGAGTGGTATCTACCCTGCGTAGCTTGCCCAACGTCGGCGGCACTTGAGTGTGTAATGCCAACCCGTGGTACTCACAAATATCGTCTAGAAGAACCTCGGGAATTTTGAATGTGAAATATCGCTTGTAAGTGACATTGGGCTGGAATAACCTCTTCGCATCAATTGACAAACGGGCGTTATCATAAGGGTCAGTTTCGTCGTCACACCAATCATGTGGATCACCGTGGTCTGTTACCAAACGATCTATGTTGGCATATGACCATGAGGCAAACAAATCCAACATGTTAAGATATTTTTCCACTTTCAATGGCTTTCTAACGTCGATCATGCCACCCTTATTATCATAGATTGTGACGATGCCTTCAAACACTACGTATACCATATCAAACGGAATAGGGACACTCGAGTTGTTTTTTATCGTCACAAATCCATGGATATAGTCTCCCTGTTGGTACTCACGCTCATGAGGGTCTATAATAGACGGTTTCATACCCTTTTGAACTACGTCTTTCGTAACGAATATTTCCACCTGGAGGTCTTTCGAGATCAGACTCTTGGAATTCGTCAAGTTCTTGAGGCGGTGCACATTTGCAAGTATGGTGTTCTCCCATATATCGATACAATCATCGTCAAACGTCTGCTCTTCTGGTGCTTCAATGAAAGGAAAACTATTTACATTCGTCAATTCGTTCACGGGTGACGGAAGCACTGAGAGAGCTGGAGTCGAGACATTGGAGTGAACTGGCGTCACTTCATATATCGGTGGGTCCGTTAAGTAGTCTTCTCTAGAGGTAGACAACGTTTTGGAGATTGTACTTTGGAACATATGGTACGACGGAAGTATATTGTTGAGAAGCTTATCTGCATCGGACCCATCTTTTTCGTCCAGCATTTATGAAAATAGATTGTACTGGCCCAATTTAGTATTAGTGTAGATGAGGTAGCACTCGTTCTTTTGGAAAGATAACCCCAGAAAACGCACCCCATCACCAACTCATCGCGCTCAATTCGTTAAATCGCACGCATCGAAGCTTCTCCACAATGACAGAGCCTATATCTGAATGGGATAGACTTCGGTATGTTCCGAAGCCCGGGGAGCCCGCATTGCCTCCCCAGCTCTCTGAATATACAGAAAAGAGTACCGACGATGTGATAAAAGAGTTGAATCGACTCCCATTTTTCATGACCGAGTTGGATGAAACCGACGGGGAAGGTGGTGAAAACGCCAATTTGGAAGCTCTCAAGAGTCTTGCTTATGAGGGAGAGCCACACGAGATAGCTGGTAACTTTAAGAACCAGGGTAATGACTGTTATAAGGCGAAACAATACAAAAATGCCGAAATATACTACACAAAAGGTATTGATGTTGATTGCAATGACAACGCTTTGAACGCTGCACTTTACTTGAATCGAGCAGCATGCAATCTTGAGCTCAAAAACTATCGTCGCTGTATAGAAGACTGCAAAAAAGTACTCATATTGGATGACAAGAACATCAAAGCATGTTTCCGGGCAGCTAAGGCGCTCTTCTTGGTAGAGCGTTATGACGAGTCAAAACAACTTTTGAACTATGGCCTCAGCATTGATTCCTCAAACACATCTTTGCTTCAGCTTTCACGCCAAGTCGACGAAAAGGTAAAGAAAATTGAAGAGGCGAAACAGCGCAAGGAAAAGGAGGAAAATGAACGCAAAATGAAGCAGTCCATTCTAGACAACTCCATCAAGTTGAGACACATACAAGTGGTTAAAAGCACCCGTCCGCCTGAACTTCTCGAGGAAGCCACAATACGCCTTGAAGACCCAACCGATTATGAATCACAGCTTATATTTCCTGCTATGATTTTATATCCTACAATTGACGAGTTTGACTTTGTCGCCGAGATCAGTGAATTATCGACTCCATCTGAAATTCTCAGCATTGTCTTCGATAGACCTAAAGAATGGTTTGAGGACCCCAAACACGCCGGCTTCAAACCTGAGAAAATGGTATGTTTTATGGAGACAATTTCAGGAGGACTTATCAAAATAGGCAAAAACGTTGCTATCAACACAGCTTTGATGGCAGACTCCCCGAAAGCACCACTTTTCGATAACGGTCTCCGCTTATATGTGGTTACAAAAGAAGCTTCGAAGCAGTGGATCTCCACTTGGGACAAACTGGTAGCCTTGGCGAAAAGACAGGTCGGCCAGTGAAAATTTATAGACAACTACAGCATACAATAATGTAACCATAATATGAATAATGTATTAATTAGCCATTGGGTGAAGGTCGGGCCCTATGTCTAGATGCTTGACTATCAAACACTTCTTCAATTCTTAGCTTGGGAATCTCTCCAAAGATAGTTACAGGATCAATATCGACTGACTGTTGAACAAGTTTGAGTAATTGTGGACTCTCAGCCCATGGCGAGAGAACGGGATGTTTTCCGTTGTCTTCATCATCGGTGTTAATTGCGGGCAAAGATCCTGGAGAGTATTGGCGTTTGGCTGGCGTTCTATAAGGATCGACAGAAACTTCTGAATGTGTCTGTACAGAATCGAAATCAGCAGGGGGACGAACTCTTGAGGGTGTTTTGCTTTCCTTGACGGTCTTCCTTCGTTTCACGGTGTTTTCGTTACGATGGAATCTTCCTCTAGCGGCATCAGGCAAGGGTACTGCATTGCCAGTTCCTTTTGGAAATGTTGACTCTCTCTCCTTTCTTTCAGTCGTCTGCCTTCTCAATGTTTCCCTCTTTACAGATGCAACCTTTCCAAATGTGTCTCTTCCATTTGCAATATTAGTTCGGTCAATAGGTTTAGTTTCTGTGCTTCTTCTAATCTTCCGATGTTCTGATTCCGACGTTACTGCTTCACTTGTATGTCTTGTCTCTTCTTTAACGAGCCGATCTCCTGGAGTTTTCTGAAGTTGTAAAGGAGGAGGTATAGCTGGAACCTTATGAACTTTATGGTTCATCCCAATCTTGATTTTTTGTTTGGGGCGCAAGGCAGCAGCTTCACTTCGTTCCGCCATGATTGATTTTTTCTTAGTCGAATTAAAGCTGAATGCTTCTCTACCGTCCGCACGCACGTCTGCTTTTATCTTCATTTCAGCATTCTTGTTCTCATTCGGAAGCGATGGGGCCACCTTAGTTGGAGAAACGATAGGTTTTGCCTCACTTTCATCCTTCGAAGGAGCGAGATCAGCACGCTTTTTCATAGGCAGAATACCTAGTGTGTTAATTGCAGCACTGAGAGACCTCGAAATTGCTTTCCCTATATAGCCGCTCGTAGTAGGCAACTCTTTGCTTTCAATGTGTTTCGGCCTCTCTGGTGACGGCTCCCTCGAACGCTTTAGAGGTATCCGGGCGTCTGATAGCGCACTATTTGCTCCTCTCATTTTTGCAATCTGCAATTGACGTATGGGAGAACGCCCTCTCGTTATAGTATTTCTAGGTGAGCGGCTCGCTCTAGCAGAAGTAGCCAAAATAGGTGCTTCAGGTTTCGTAGTAGATTGCCGGATATGCTCAGAATGTGAATTAGCAGGAGGTAGGTCCGGCGTGGTTGTTCCCTTCATAAACACGTTTCGTGAACGATGAACAAAATCCCCAATTGAAGAAAAGATCGGTGATCGATTTCGCCGAGGTTCCTTTGCAACAGGGTTTAAGGTCAAGGGCTGTTCTTGATCTTTAGCTATTGCCGAGATTCTATCGTACGTTTTTAACCCATTCGCTGAGACACTGTTGTGTTGATCAGCGGTTTTGCTCGCTTCTGGGAATAAAGGTGCCAGACTTCCGTTGTCAGTCTTGGCTACGTTACGAACGTCCCTGACAACAGGACTATTTTCAGCACCAGAGAGTGCGCCATCACCTTGAATGGGTGAGGCTTTCTTGGTCTCCGTCGTGCCATTCGTCGATACATTATCCAAGGGTAACGGTCGAATCGAAGTCCTCCTCTGTAGACTTTTACGGATGGAGTGAGTACTCAATCGAGGAATTGAATCTGTATTGGGCAGAATTTTGAGCGCAGTCGGCTGACCAGCAGCCGGTGTGATGGAACCTTTCTTGGCTTCAAGATCTAGCCTTTCAAGTTTTCTTGGAGATCTGGCACGATTCGATGCATCACCTGCCGAGTTGGAAGATATTGTGAACGGTTCTTTTGATGGTAGAGAGACAAAAACCGAAGATCGTTTGGGTGTCTTGTAGGATAAGTTAGCTCTCAGTAGTGGAGGGATGCGTGGTTCAGCGCCGTTAGAAGCAGCAGAAAAAGGTCTCACGGGCGACTGGTGTGCCAGGTATACTGATTTTGGTTTTGTATTCTCGGTAGCATGCCGTTTGGTTTCAGCTCTATCGTCGTCAGAATTACTGGCTAGCTTCCCAGCAATGCTCTTGCGAATTGCTGTACTGATAGCCTGAAACGAGTCTTCAGCACCAGACGATCGGTTGTGGTTTTGACTAGCGATGGCTTCAGATGCTGGTATGAATGAAAGGTCAGATTTCAGCGGAGGTTTAGGTTCTGGTGCGACTTTGAGTGGTTGTCGAGACTCATTTATCTTCGGTTTCAATGGCGATGGGGTGTGAGTTATGGAGCCTTTAAACCAGTTTTTGAGCATTGGAGAAGAGTGCAATGATTCAGGGGCGGTGGTAGATCTCGAAGTTGCATCGGTCTTTCTTCGTGGAGTTACGTGGTTGACAAAACGAGTAGGCGAGTTAGATACGGCTTCCTCTTCTATATCGCGCAAGAAATCCTGCTTCTTCTGCGATGTGTGAGCGTATTTCTTGTCGTAGATCTCGCCCACGCGAGCCATAAAGTCATTTACATGATCAATTCCTGATTTGAATTCCAGAACAAAATGGCCCGTTTCATTGACGATGGTCAGATCGATGACATTTAGCTCGTTGGCCACCCAGCGTGAGGTTCCGGGCACGAGCTCCCTCCCAGAACGCTTGGCAGCTGTAAGCGACCAGAAGGACTCGCTCATGGAGTATGGCGACGGAGCTGAGTGATGAGGTCTCACTACCGCGTTCGGATCCAAATAGGTGGTGTGGGTGCATTGGATGTTTTCACCGACAGTGGAGAGAAGAGATCAATTGGTGTAAATATCAGAAATATGGAAGAAATGGGAAACAGGAAAAACTAAGTAGATCCAGAAAAATCCAAACAAGCCCTAGAACTTCGGATTTGACTCCCGCTGGGATTTTCGGACTTTTCCATTCTTTCCCTTTTGGACCTAAAAAATATCGGCCCCATATGCAAGCGCGGTGCGGCTGGGTGGGCGGCGATGGGCCTTGTCGCATCTCGGAACCCCATTGAGGGACTGTTATTGGTTGCCACGTTGGAAGGTGATCGAACTGTGCAACCATACAAATTCTGTCAATCCACACACCATCAGCGAAATTATCGTCTATTTCGAATCTTGTAAAAAACACCTTCAACCATCCACTGATATTAGTTGCTCCACCATTGAGCCCTATTGATGAAGCTCTTCAATAAAGGGACCAAACAAGATGAAAGACAAAAAAAGGTGACAAATTACCCCAGTTCCACCGCGGGGAGTACATCCGCCAGCACATCCGCCAGCACATCCGCCAGCACATCTGGAAGTGTCCCCGCAGAAACTCCGCCTGCCGAAACTTTAAATGTTGCTATGGAACAATTAAATCTCGATCCGTTTGTATCGCCAAGACATGAAGAAGTGCCCATGTGGAATATTCTTCCGTCTTATCAGTTGTACGAGGCAACGTTCTCGAAGAGTATTCACCCCAATAGTGAAGATCTTCGATATGAACCTCCTGCTTATCAGCTGGATAGAGAACCTGCTCCTACTCAAGATGGCTATTTTCCGCCCGTGGAGCAAGCTCGAGGTGAACCGATGCAAACATGGGAGAATAGTATTCTTGCCAATACCCATCGTATGAAAAAGTTGTCTGATATAGACAACAAAGTTGCTAACCACCTCCACGTGGAGATCTACGTCACTGAAAAACCAGGAAAACTCGGAGTGAAGCCCAGCATTATTGATCCCCTGGTGTGGGAGTTTCAGCAGGGCGACAACGTCAATGGGTTTCTTACAGTTACAAACACTTCTGATAGAAAATTACCTTTCGATGCCTTGTCTGTGGTTTTGGAAGGAAGAGTGATGGTCACCAGCGACAGCGTTGAGTCGAAAGAGCCTTCGGTGTTTTACAAGTTTTTGAACATGTTTGATTATTCGGCTTCGTGGACTCCAACAATCTTGGTTTCTGACTTTGACCTGAATGTGGATCCAGTAGACAATACTGAATTGATGTTCCCCATGAAACGATACTTCACTCCGGGAATCACCTACAAGCGGTTTTTCAACTTTTGCATCCCAGATAAGCTTCTTGATTGTGCCTGCGAAACCCATAACTTAGCCACCCATTGCGAGCCACCGCCCACTATAGGACTCGCCAGAGACCAGTTCTTGAAAAATTTGCGTAAATTGAGAGGCAGACCTGCCACTCCCACTCATCTGCGTAGCACGTCAGATTTCACCATAGGCGGAACACCACCTTCCCATAGTAAAAAGACCTCTCCTATGGCCGGTTCACTGGCCAAGATGAGAGATTTCTCTTTTGCAGATACCTCGATCAGTTACTCCGTCGAAGTTCGTGTCGTTGGTCAGGCGCAAGAGTATGCGAAGGAGTTGGCCAAAAGCAAGACACAGGTGAGAGGTGACGAGTTTATACTTTTGAACGAGACCAGTTGCTTTCTTCGGGTGATACCACGAGAAAGATTGACTCACGAATTTGGTGCCGAAGCCGTGGAAAGTGAAGCGAGAACAATCTACCTGAGCTTTTTGAACACTATCAAGCGCAAGGTTGAGTTGGGTAATGATCTTTTGTCCGAGAAGACAGAGGAGACTCGAGTGAATTTGGGACATGCTCCGTCTTTGACAAAAAACAAGCAGTTGTTCAATGTGACGGGAGACCGCCGTAAGCTTCGTCGTCAAGACTCCAATGGAGTGTACCAAGTTTTTGTGCCCTACAAGAAAAAGACTTTGGTAGCCCCTCCCAAAGTTATAGGTTTAATTGGTGCTGCCGTACCGAAAAACCGTTATCGAATCAAGTATATTCAGCCATGGAAGTTCCGCTCACAAGAAGATCGAGATCTTCAATCTACGTTGGAATTGCCTGTGGAACTTCGTTTTCTTCCTAGCGAAGGATCTGCAAAGGGCGTTCTTCCTCCCGATATCAAAAGCGTTTCTGTGGATATTGTTGCATGCACTTATAGATCCAAAAAGTATCCCATTCCCATTGAGGTTTATCATGATTTGGTATTCAAAAATAAACCAAGTGAACAAGACAACATGGAGTCGCACTTGATCAAACCATGTAAAAAGTACCTTGACGAGCTCGTTTTGTTGACAAAGAATTTGAGTTACGATGTTCTCGATATTGACAGGAGTATGATCATGGATGTGAAGTCGATTGCCAAATTGAATGTCAAGTACACTACATTAAAGGTGGACAATGTCAAAGTCAAGCCTAAGCAAGGTGTCAGCACCCATTGGGAGGCTGAAGAAGCATCGTTTTCTCACAAGATGACGTTGAATATTTCCTTCAGCAAATTGCTGTCAAAAGACTCTAGTGGCTCATACGAAGATTTGACTCAGGAACCAATTGTATTGGTTCCAAGTTTCCAAAGTTGCATTATTGGACGGCTCTACTACTTGAAAATCAATGCAAAGCTACAGAATGGAGAACCGATAACACTAAAAGTCCCAGTTACTATAGAAAGGTAAGTAGGTAAATGTTATAGAACCTCGTGCTACCCCAGATTTCGATTATGTCATCGGGCGTGTCACTAGATTGTCATTCTCATTCTCTAATTGTTATCAAAGGTATGCCTGATTGTAGTGTTTACGAGGGAGCTTCAACAGCGAACTTTGTGTTCCTGGTGCTTATAACTATAGGTATATTTGTGAGTTATTTACCACAGTACCATCGTATATACGTCAAACGTACTTCCGAGGGATTGTCAAGAAATTTCTTACTTTTGGGAAGTTGTTCTTCGTTATTTACGTTAACAAATATCATTTTAGTCAGCTCGAGAGCCAGGCAGTGTTGCTACTCTGGCAAGTTGAGCCCATTTAACTGTGTTAATGCCCAATTGAACATGATACAAATCGGTGTTCAATGTGTGAGTGCCATTCTTATCTTGGTATTCGTGCTTGTTTTAACCCGTTCATCTGTCAAACAAGACAAGGTTGAATATTCGAAGATAGTTCAGGTGGGCAAGTATGTGGCCTTACATGCTACAGTGTCGCTCTTTCAAATTGTGTTCGCTTTTTTGGGCAGTTCAAAGGTCCTCTATGGTATCGCCAACATCAATGGACTCCTCTCCACACTTTTGACAATTGTCAAGTACGTACCACAAATCCACACCACATACAAGTTGAAGCACCCAGGAACTCTCTCCATTGGTATGATGTGTATTCAAACTCCAGGTGGTGTTCTCTTTACTATTACTCTCATGTTGACTAAAGGTTCGCATTGGAGCTCATGGATCTCCTATATGGTGGCAGCTATACTACAGGGAACGTTGTTGGGGTTGTGTTTCTACTATGAGTACTACAAAAACCATGGTTTGACGGCAGAACTTGGCGAGAGACGGGCTATCGATAGAATAGTTGACGAAAACGTAGGGGACACATCAAGGCAAAATGAACCCTCAGATGACCCTACTAGCTCATTGCTCCATTAGAAAAGCTCAATCGTCCACAAACCAGAAATGTTTCACTTCTCCGTTTGGTAAGGGAATATGGCGTTCCTGCATGTTGCCCTACCCTATCAAATTTTTTCATGAATTTTTCATCAACGCAACACTATGTTCAAGAACTTGGCTGGATCATTCCGCGCTGTCAGCCGTGTCGCTTTCAAAACACGCCCATCCCTTGTTCGTTCGTATGCAGCCTTCGACCGTTCGAAGCCTCATGTCAACATTGGAACCATTGGTCACGTTGATCATGGTAAGACCACTTTGACCGCTGCTATCACCAAGGTTTTGTCGGAAAAAGGAGGTGCTAATTTCTTGGATTACGGCTCCATCGACAGAGCTCCAGAAGAGAGAGCCAGAGGTATCACCATTTCCACTGCCCATGTTGAGTACCAAACTGATAAGAGACATTATGCCCACGTTGACTGTCCAGGTCACGCCGATTACATTAAGAATATGATTACTGGTGCCGCCCAGATGGACGGTGCCATTATTGTTGTTGCTGCCACTGACGGTCAAATGCCTCAGACCAGAGAGCACTTGTTGTTGGCCAGACAAGTTGGTGTGCAACACTTGGTAGTTTTTGTGAACAAGGTGGACACCATTGACGATCCCGAGATGTTGGAATTGGTCGAGATGGAAATGAGAGAATTGTTGAGTCAGTACGGTTTCGATGGTGACAACACCCCAGTTATCATGGGATCTGCTTTGTGTGCTTTGGAAAGTAAGCAGCCAGAAATTGGTGTGCAAGCCATTGAAAAATTGTTGGACGCTGTCGATGAGCACATTCCTACTCCTACCCGTGACTTGGAACAGCCATTCTTGTTGCCTGTTGAAGATGTGTTCTCCATTTCTGGTAGAGGAACTGTGGTTACTGGTAGAGTCGAAAGAGGTTCGTTGAAGAAGGGTGAGGAAATCGAGATTGTTGGTGACTTTGACAAGCCATTCAAGACCACTGTGACTGGAATTGAAATGTTCAAGAAGGAATTGGATGCTGCTATGGCTGGTGACAATGCTGGTATCTTGTTGAGAGGTGTCAAGAGAGACGATGTCAAGAGAGGTATGGTTTTGGCCAAGCCTTCCACCGTCACTTCTCACAAGAAGGTGTTGGCTTCCTTGTACATCTTGAGTAAGGAAGAAGGTGGCCGTCACTCTCCTTTTGGTGAGAACTACAAGCCTCAATTGTTCATCAGAACTACTGACGTTACCGGTACTTTAAGATTCCCAGCCGGCGAGGGTGTCGACCACTCGCAAATGGTTATGCCAGGTGACAATGTTGAGATGGAAATTGAGCTTGTGAGAAAGACACCACTTGAAGTCAACCAGCGTTTCAACATCAGAGAGGGTGGTAAGACTGTGGGTACTGGTTTGGTGACCAGAATCATCGAGTAACTTCCTTGAGGTAGCTGTATATAGTATATGGATGTGTATTCTTTTCTTTTATAGTGTCTGTTTCTCATCTCGGTAACGGCGTCTCACTTTTCTCAAACTCTCAATATTTCGCAACTACTCGCGAGTAAATAAAAGTGTATGAACAACTCGCTACGCCAATGTGCCGTAGAGCGACGTCTGCTTCTCCCATATCAGTATCGTGACTCCACAGATCATGCCTGTTCGTTATTCAGCGACAATCGTGTACTTTTACACACAAGAAGAGAAGTGATCGTTATCAGAGGATTGAGCGTCACCAAGAAACTAGTCTATGATCTGGACGTATTGCTAGCTACTTATACCCAATTTCCAGGCCAGAATGATAAAGCTGACGAATCTGAGTGCCTTGTGGTTTGCTTGCAGAAGGCAGCTCATATTTACTACGATGATGGAAAATACTACAACTTGAGTTTCCCATTCAAGGTCAAGTCTGCATTCAAATTTGAAGCGGGTGTTGTCTTGGAAAAACACTCGTCTGATGACACCTATGTGGACCTGCTGCTCCCAGCTCGTCAATTGCATGTTGCTAGATTTCTTACCCTTGTCAGTCCAATGGGTGAATATCGCACAATCATGTCGTCGTCAACCTCTGTTGTTTCGCCTCACGAAGAGCTATTGTGTTTTCCTCAAGTCGGGGTCCAGAAAAGGTCGTCCATATGTGCCACGTTCAACTCGTATGATAACACTCTCCAGCTATATTCGGTTCGTTCATCTTCCCGACCCTCTGCATCTCGGTCTGGCTCCTTGCTGAACACTCGACCTCAGAAACGAAAGCATTCACTTATAGTCACACCTACAGCGTCTCGCATTCGAGAGGAGGACCCTCTGGAACTATCTCATGTACATAGCCTGCTGGTTGCTCATCAGGCGTCGATCAATATGGAAAAGAAGCGTACCAGTACCCTATTGCTGGATGCTTCTTCCATGGCAAGAATGGGTTCCATAACGTCTGAGGGTGCTTTTGGTGACTCCAAGGTAAAACCTCTTCCTCCTTTTTTCAATACTTCTTTGAATTCGCTACAAAAAGATATGGTGCTAACCAAGATGGAAGCATTTGGAGTTAATGCTACCAATAGTGAAATACGAGTTTTCAACCTCCATTTCGAAAATCAAGACGCAGCGGTACTTGTGAGGCCGCACAAGGAAGTTCGTATCATTATATACGATCAATTCGTCCTGATGCTTCGTTTTCAATCGACATATACTATCAAATGTGTTGACTGCATGCCCCTCCAGGGTCCAACAAATGATGGTTTGATTCTTGTGCTCAAAGATGATACAACTCTCGCTTTGGTCAACCCATTCTTGGATCTAGTTTCGGCACCAATCTTCTTGTCGAACGAAGACGGCCGCACCTTCACTTCTATCAGCTCCACATTTGGCGACCAATTCACACTCAAAACAAACAAGTCGACTCTAGCGACCTTTAAAATGGTATTGAGTCCGAATAATCATTTAGCAAGCAAGTGTCTCTTTGCTTTCAAATATTTGTCTGGGTCGAAAATCAACCACTTGTTCTGGATGCTATGGAGAACTGCGCTCTCTCTTCTGGTAACGAGAGACGAATGGGAAGCATTCATTATTGCATTATTGGCAGCAGTCTATCCGTTTGGCAAGCCTGACTCTACCACTTCAAAGCCAGTATCTTCTAATCCAATCACAAATCTATTGCCGATGGCTGAGAAGATTCATCGATATTACGCTTTGGACACATCTTTTGTCGAGTTGGCTCCATATATCGTTCTCTCGCTACACTTGATTCGTGAGGAGCAGCGACTCAACATACTTTGCTCCAACGAGGTATGCAGGCTAGGTGATTTGTTGGTTCAGTTGGTCACTTGGATGGGTTGGCCAGAAGAGTGGAAGAGCTACTATCTTGTGAATAAGCCTTTCAAGCTCGACAATCCCACGAGATTTTTGCTGGTTTGTTTGATGGAACATCCACCTAACTTGTTTCAGTCGTTAGCAAGCTTGTTCACCGGCCAGATTACTCGTTATTTAACATTCTCTCAACTTGTTGAAGAAAGTGGAAATGTGGATGCACAAATTATGCCCAGGACTAACTTGATCTTGAAGATATTCGAGCTCATAGTATCACCACATTATGGTCCCAGTGATATTATCGACTTGATTTGTGAAGACGAAATTACAATGTCTGACTTGAAAACTTTACCCACTGGAATTATGCTCCCAATCATCGAGACTATTATGGTGTGCCAAGAGAATCCCGTATTTGAGTGGACTAAGAAGGCATTGGACCTAGTAGGAAGAAGAGACTTGAGTCTGTTTCTCGAGAACAGCAATAGCTGGTATTCGTCGTCGCACTCTAGTTCCATTGCAAACAGCCAACATTTCGTCAAGGATATGAACCACATACTATTCAACATCCTTGATAAAAATGATTCGGTGATTGCGTGGGATGGTCAATCTGAAGCCGACAGAATTAACGTTACGAAACTCGTCTTCGATCAAGATAGACGCTACTACGAGATTACAACTATTCTTCATCAGACACGGACCCAATCGGCGACTTTTCGACGACTGGAAGACATGAGTGAATATGACTATGTGGTTCAGCTGCGTCAATTAGCTGCTTTAGTAGCGCTTCGAACCCTCACATTGCCTATGGGTCGAGCAGCATTATTCTATGCAAGCAGAATGCCTCTTTTGACAGAGAGATTTCCAATTCCCAAGTTTAACTTTAACACCTGTATTTATCCCTCGATGAACAATATCGTTCTTTCGAAGGGATCCATATCAGAGGAAACATCTGATTGGGGATACTTTCACAACGGTGTTTCTTCTGGCCTCAGCATTAACAAATCGTCGAAGGGTATCACAGGCAGTTGGATCATATACAATAAACCACCAGAACTAAATCTGCAACATGCCGGCTTTCTATTGGGTTTGGGACTCAATGGGCATTTGAAGCGACTTGAAGAGTGGCACATTTACAACTACCTTGGACCAAAGCACCCTCTTACCAGTGTAGGGTTATTGATCGGAATGGCTGCAAGTATGAAAGGCACCTCAGACAATAAACTTACCAAAGTGTTGTCCATTCATGCAGTGGCATTGCTCCCCCAAGGAGCGAATGATTTGAATGTTCCGGTGATGGTGCAAACCGCCGGCTTGATTGGTATTGGTCTTTTGTACATGGAGACTCAACATAGACGAATGAGCGAAATCTTGCTATCTCAAATTACAGGATATGTCAATCAAAACGATTCAGAACAAATAAGTGAAAGTTATCGATTGGCTGCTGGTATTTCATTGGGATTTGTCAACTTGGGAAAGGGAAATGATTTGAAAGGGTTAAATGACACTCATGTGGTCGATAAGCTCCTTTCCTTAGCTGTATCGATGAAGGATTTTCAGCCTGTACAAGAGCTCGATAAATCCTGTAGCGGTGCTATTATGGGACTCGGGCTCGTATACTTAAAGACGGAGAACGCAGCGGTTGCTGAGAAGCTCAAGCTTCCTAGCACAGAGCAAACGCTTGACTATGTGCGTCCTATCTTACTATTATTGCGATGCTTCACAAGAAGTATCATCATGTGGAAATCTATCAAGCCGTCCATTTCGTGGGTGGAACTACAAGTTCCCAAGTTCGTTTCTGAGAAAATAGAGCAGAGCGGTAGACTCAACAGTGATCAATTGGGCTACTACAACATAATGGCAGGCGCTTGTATGGCTATTGCAATCAAATATGCAAGCACCCAGAACATTGAGGCTCGTGACACAATATTTTTCTACCTTGCTTCCGTTACTAGAGCCCTCGAAAGCCTTGGCAGATCGCCTTCAAACTATGATGAAAAGTTAGCATATCGAAACTGTCACAGTATCGAAAACCTCTTGGCACTTTGCTTGTCTGTTATCATGGCAGGCAGCGGGGATTTGGAGACACTAAGGCAACTTAGAAAACTCCAAGCTGCCACCGATCAACAAATGAATTTCGGAAGCTACATGGCTCTCAATATGGCTTTAGGATTCTTGTTTCTTGGAGGTGGTCAATATGCATTCAGTCTGTCTAATCTTGCCATCGCTAGTTTGATAACCAGCATGTATCCAGTATTCCCGGACGAAAATAGTGAGATTGAAGCCCATTTGCAAGCGCTTCGACACTTCTGGGCACTTTCAGTTGAACCTCGATGTGTGGTTATCCGGGACGTCGACACTCGCGAGCCTTGCAAGGTTCCTGTCACCATAAGACTAAAAAGCGGAGAGATTAGAAATTTGGTTTCCCCATGTTTATTGCCAGACTTGAATGAGGTGCTGCTGGTTGAAACTCGGTCGTCGGACCATTTCAATATTCATATTGATTTCCAGCTCAATTCCGAGTACTTGGAGATCTTCAAAAAATCGCTTACACTTTACGTCTATCGCAAAAGAAACTACGACTTGTTGAGAGCTTCTGTGGAAGGGTTTTTGAAAACCGAAAATAAAACACTACAGATTCAAAATGGAGAGTTTGAAGTCGACCACGATGTGAAAATGTTGCTAGAAGATATGCAAGTCAGCAATGGACTCTCCAAGTACGAGAAACAAGTGTGCTTGTACGAATTCAGCGACCGACCTAATGATATTGATAACTCGAATGCTGGGCTTTCGATCTTCAACATAATAGATGGCAAGATGGAGTTGGAATCTATTGCGTCCAATCCACAAAAGGCAGAGGATTTATGGAACCTCAAGTTGGTGTTTGCCTTTACCGATCGCAGATTAAACGACGAGCTGCACTACATCACCACAGGCTTCATAGAGCGGCTTAAACAGAAAATATGGGAGTTGGTGAACGAAGCCCGGTGAGAAAAGAAGTAGCTAAATATGGAGTCCTTTAATAGTTGCTTGAGCAGAAACTGCATCAAACTCTAGCTATCAAATTTAGCCATGTGAGAATCTTCTCCACTTTTAGCCGTGCAGCTCGTGCAAATAGCTGTCGTAAAAATGCAAGATCTCGAGATTTTGCAATTTGGGAAAATTCTACTTTTCCAGGATCAGTCAATTCAACAAGTCAATTATAAAAGCCTATTTTGGACTGCGTTACTGTATTTACACTTCTTTTTACATAGCCTTGCATCACCGTCTGAAATCTAAGCCCTTTGTAATCCTATACCGGCAAGTCCTTCCCCACCATTGTGTTCCTGCACACCGTGAAAAATTCCACTAACGGTTACAGGGCGGGTGCGTAAACCTGTTTACATTCAAACTATATTATGCGTCGTTGGATAAACCTGGCCCTGGCCGCCCGTATGAGGTATCCAAAGAGTCCCATGACACACACCCCTCATGGGACAGACATTAACCAGCCATTATCAAGAGCCTCTCAAATGGCAGAAACTATTCGCTCCATGAGCACCGAATCTAGAGCCACAACTTCGTCTACCAGCAACTGGAGACCGTTACAATCTCAGTACTATCGCCTTCCCAGAGTGCCCCGGCCCAAGAGAAACGTGCTATACTATTCTACATGGTCCAAACCACAGCGCAAATTGAGGCTTCCACACTTGAAGTTATCGCATCGACTGATCCACAGTGCCAACCAGAAAATCAGATCCAAGACCCGCAACTTGCACAAGAGGTTCTTCTCCAAAGAGGCTCGTGCCAAGCGTAGACAGCGGAGACATTTCATTAGATGGTGGACGTTGACGTCGCTTACGGTTGTCGTGGGAGGAATGGCCGCTAAAATGAAGTACGAGCGAGGAGAACAAGACCCTAATGGCTTCAATGAATACGCCATCAAGCCCCAGTCGTGGCAGTTATATGCTTATTCGACTCTACCACTCAAAGCCATATCTAGATTGTGGGGTAAGGTAAACCTGATTAACTTACCTGTGTGGATGAGATCTCCGTCATACAAGCTCTACTCCGCCATATTTGGTGTCAATCTTGATGAAATAGAAGAGCCGGATTTAACCACCTACAAAAATCTATCTGACTTCTTTTATAGGACACTTCGTCCTGGTGTTCGTCCCATTGCCGATGCAGATCTAGTGGCTCCATCGGACGGAAAGGTATTGAAGTTTGGCATCATCAATAACGGCGAGATAGAACAGGTCAAAGGAATGACCTACTCCATTGACGCTCTTCTCGGAATGAGCAGTACCAACCTCGCAGCTCCGTCGCATTCACCAGATTTTAGCCGCGATGACGACGATGCCACGATCTTCCAACGAGACGAAGAGTTCGCCAAGATCAATGGTATTTCGTACTCGGTGGACGATTTGGTCGGCGGCGAAAACGACGACACCTACCATATCAACAAGTTGGAGTATCGTGATGGAGGCGATGGAACTGCAATGGGCTCCAAGTCCTCTGTTAGTCAAGAAATTTCTGTCGCCAAAAAGTTGGTCCCATCGTCAGTAGATAACTTGAAGGCAAGCAACGACAAGCAGTTGTACTTTGCAGTGATATACTTGGCCCCAGGTGATTATCACAGGTTCCACTCCCCAACTAACTGGGTTGCAACCTTGAGAAGGCACTTTATTGGCGAACTCTTTTCGGTGGCTCCATTCTTCCAAAGGACCCTCAGAGGGCTCTTCGTATTGAACGAACGGGTGGCTCTTTTAGGCTACTGGAAATACGGCTTCTTCTCGATGATCCCAGTAGGTGCTACAAACGTGGGAAGTATCATTGTCAACTTTGACAAAGATTTAAAAACCAACGATATTTACGAAAACCTGATTTACCTGTCAAGTGTGGATGAAAAGACCCCTCTCTTGCATTCAGATGAAGAGAGTCAGGTTGGTACCGTCTACTCTGAGGAGTCAACTCAAGCGAGCTCATCAGCTGCCTCAACCAACAAAACCAAGCCAAAAAAGCTCAAGAAAAATACAGTTTATGAAGCCACATATTCCCGTGCCAGTAGGCTCCTCGGCGGCTACCCTCTAGTCAAGGGACAGGAAATAGGAGGATTCAAATTGGGTTCTACAGTGGTGTTAGTATTCGAAGCACCCACCAACTTTCAATTTAATCTTGAAGTTGGCCAACAGGTCCGGATGGGACAGAAGTTGGGAGAAATACTTGATGAAGTCGACTGATTTATACCCGCTACATAGTACATTATAAGCATTATACCATATTGGTCCTAGGCTCTTCACAATCGCGTATCACAATAAGATCACGTGCACGTATTGATCTGAAAATTGTCAACACCCAGTTTCACATCTAAAACTACCAAGTCAAACAGACACTTTCCCATAAGTGGAGATCTGGCGAAAGCATTACAACCATTAACGTTAACTGCATCTTATTCAACTCACATATTATTATACATGTCTTTTTTGAATACCATCAAAGGTCTTGGAAGAAGCTCGAAAAAAACAAAGAAAGAATTAGAGTCGCCCACAGGATTATACACACACTCTAATGCTTCTGGATCTTCGCTGAAAAGATCAACTTCTCCATCAAAGCACTCGTCGCCTTCCCGAAATCAAAGATATAACAACTTCCAGCACCTGGCCTACTCCCGCCAAAGCTCTCCAACAAGAAGGTCTGGACGGCTGCCTGTTCGCCAACAGAATCCTGTCCCTGAAGCCCAAGAAAGTGCAAACGCCCAGCCTCCACTTTTTCTATGTGAACCTTTTGTTAAGACAGCCTTGGTCAAAGGTTCGTATAAGACGATTGTTCAACTTCCCAAGTACGTGGAGTTCCGGGAATGGATTGCGTTGAATATTTTCGAGCAGTTTAACAACTTGAATCAATGCCACGGCGTTATATCTGAATTCTGCACGCAAGAAACATGCCCAGTCATGAATGCTGGGCCCAAGACGAACTATCTTTGGATAGATTCTTCGGGCAATGCAGTAAACCTCCCAGCATATCAATACATTGATTACGTGTTAACGTGGATATCTGCAAAGTTGAACGACCAGTCGGTGTTTCCCACAAAAAACGGAGGAGCTTTTCCCCCCACTTCTATGAAAGATTGCAAAAATATCGTCAGGCAGATGTTCCGAGTGTTCGCTCACATATACCATAATCATTTTGAGCAGATTCTCCATCTATCTTTGGAGGCACACTGGAACTCGTTTTTTGCACATTTCATAAGTTTTGTAAAAGAGTATGAATTGATCGATAGACTGGAGCTATCGCCATTGTTACCTCTTGTGGAAAACTTGGAAGCTCAGGGTAAGATCATATAATCTGTACGTATGAGTCTATTCGTTTATGTACAGTGAAATTATTTTGCAAAAAAAGTATATACAACCGTTTTGAAAATGTTAGATATGTGTTTCTCGTTATTCATGAAAAGAAGTAAGGAGAGTCCATTACAGCTTTGACATCAAGTTCTCCCTTTGGTGGTATGCTGGGGAATGTCAATGGAGCAAGAACTTGGGTAGCCTTACTGGCGGAGGCTCCAACCGCAATTGCATTCATGTCATAGCCTTCAGTCACACTTACAGTTGTCACCATTTGACGTCCTGCTTCGACCATTTGCGGATCATCTGATTCCAACAATTGTTGTCTCTTGTTCTCCAAATAGATCTCATCAGCTACAGTTAGTGCTCTTCCAAGGTCTTTAACAATTCCTCTCCGAACCTCCTTGATTTTGATTGCAACTTCATGATTGCCAGGAATTGTTATTACCTGCAAAAACCCTTTATACCGCTTCTCGAATTCGTCTCTTAACTTGACAATAAGATTCTCCCCATGTAAAGCGACAAACTGTTCACGAATGTGTGTGTTCATCGTATCGACATCACAGGCGTGTGTCCAATACGAGTCATGAACTGCAGCGAAAGCCAATCCCAGCTGTCCACACGCTCTCGCTGTCATGAGCATATGGGTAGCGTCAAGCGAGTGGACAAAGTTAGGAGGAAAGGCAGATTGTTGCTTTCTGGCATCCACCTGACTGGCACCGAATGGATCGGAAATGACAATATCTTGCAAGTTTGTGTGGACAATTTGCTTCTTGGTCACACGATAAGGTTGTACGCAAGGAAGACCAAGTGGAGTCGTCCAGATGACTGAAGACAAATGACTGGGTTTGTCTGAGCTTTGAACGGGATTTTCCTCTGCATCTGTACGAACAGACTTAGAAATTCTTTTAGCAGCTTCACCGAGCCAGTCTTGAATCAAGTGAGCTCCCGAGAATAACTCTCTCATGGAAGCAAACACAAGCATGGTCAAATATCTCGAATAGTCTGCAACTTTGTCTTGGTCTTCTTTAGAAAAGTATTGGTCAATTTGCTTTTGAATTTGCGCAACGGCACCGACAAAAGTGACACCATAAACGTTTGTCATCACAGTCTGTTTCACAACCTTCCGTGTAATCTTGTCACGGAGAAACAATGCGTATTCATTACCTGCTTCTGCCTCTGCGTCGACTCTTTTCTGAACCAAACTTGCAACGAAACTGTAGACGTCTTGAGGACGGTCTGCTGGAATCAAATTGACTTGACGAGCTCCTTCAAAGTCTCCTCCTAGAGCGGCATAATGCTGGAGACCATTACAGGTACCGTCTTGATGAATAGGAAGGTGCGATATATGTTCAGTGGGATCTTCGAGGTCATAAGCACGCTTCAACTCAAAGCAAACTCCCAATACTTGCCATGGCTTCTCTGCCTTTTTCCACCATGCATCTTCGGCGAGAGGGTTCTTTGCAGATTCGATTATATGATGCAAATTATCATCCACAAACTGAACACGCTCGTGAAGAGGAGCCTTATTGATACCGTACAAATTGGCCAAGTGGATCTTGATCCATTCTAAACCTCTGGCACCTACCTTTTTCCCATCCCAGAATAAGAACAATGATCTTGTCATGTCATTGCCTAGATGGTTAAAGTGAGGAGACAAAGGATATGCTCTTCCTCTGAAATCCACATTGTGTGAAAAATAGAGCTTTTCACCCAAAAAGGCTCGAGCAATCTCTAACCTATAGTTAGTGTCACATCTCTGTGATCTTGCAGATGCAGCATCATTCATAAGTTGCCTGAGTCTTCTTTGATAATCTGTTTTCTGCAATGGATCGGCATCGATTGGTGGAGGAGGAGGTATGTCTAGTTCCTCGACAATCGAAGGAATATCCAAGAACTTTTCGCCAGAATTCCAATAATGGGAAATGACATCGAAAACCTCATGGTTGATGGTCCAACAAGTTTCTCCCAATACATTCAATCCCTCGTACACCTGGTCCAAGTTACCCATATCTGATGCTGCTTTCAAGTAGGCGTTTGTTTCTGCTGAGTCCTTAATTCTGATGATATTGTTCTGCGAGAATAAGTATCCTCCGTCATTATAAGCCACCCATGGTCTGGGTGGAACAAGCATAGGAAGCAACTGGGGCTGAACAGCATTGCTCAAAGCATTGCCCGCAAGCTGACGAATGAGAGATTTATGAACCTTCAAAACACCTAGACGCTGTCCTTGAAGAAACTGGTATGTGTGGTGAAATGCTGGCTGCATGGTTTTGACTTGTTTTCCAGTTACTGGGTCTGTTCCTTTAACTGAAACTTTCGCCACATGCATCAATAATGAGGTCAAGACTGAACCGACCTTGGCGTAAATAGGGTAGTCCCACTCGTTTGTTGCGTTGGGATTTTCCTTACTGTAATCTTTTCTGGTTCTCAAGATCTTTTTCCATTGATTCGTTGTCTTGAGCTTCTTGGAAAGCGACCTCCTTTCGGCTTCAACCAAGTTTTGTGACTTATATTCGAGCTCAAGAGCTTTCCCCACGGAAATAACCGCACGAGCAGTTCTCATTCCGTCCACGATACCTCCAGTGGAATTTAATTTCAACAACTCCAAAATAGTGATCACGGCCATTTTCTTTGGTGGAACCAAAATCATGTATGGTGCGTAATATGATCTTTCTTTCATCTGAGCAGCCTCCTCAGGTTTACAGTCTTTCACATCTAGTTCACCCGCGACTATCTTTCTGCAAATTTTCGCTTCTTTCTCGACATAGGGAAGCATATCAGAGTACCATTTGAACAATTGAACATTGAGGTTTTTGTGGATGGCAAACGCACCTCTTTTCTGCATTTCCTCATACTCATGTTTCCATTTCTCTCTGGCTCCATCCACACCTCGCAATTCCAACTGTCTTTGACGACTTTCGTTAAATAAATCGAGTGCTTCATTGAACTTTTGACGCTGTTCGTCAGACTTCAAGCTTCGGTATACTGCAAAGTAGTCCTTTTTGTGACCCTTGACATTGTGAAGAACATTGACGCCCAATTCCAGCTCGATATCGCTGATGAATTCTTCCAAGACAGGACTATTGTTTTCAGCCTGGAGACCAAGTAATGTGTGCCTGATAACTTTGAGCCCAAAAGAGTCAACAGCACGCAAAACGGCGGCATCCTTGTCTACCACAGGTACAACCTGTTCACTGTTTTTGAAGTATTCTGGAGTATTAACACTCAGTAAATCGGGGTCTTCCTTTGAGGCATTGGCTTGGTGAAACAATGGACGTAAATCAGACGGAACATCATGTTCCAGGATCGAGTCTTGGTTGAATATCTTGGTGAGTCCATCTACGCCTAGAATGTCCAAGTGGTTGAAAACTTTGCGCAACACACGAGCACTCTTAGCTCTGGCTAAATAATGTGAAAATTTATCTTCGTTCAGCATCAGCTTTGATAAAAGAATAGCATATGTTCTATCGTTCGGCTGGACATGGGGAAATCTCGTAGTGGTTTCTTCAAGATAAGATTCCAATTCAGATATCGTAATGTCTTCTTGTGCCAAGCCTTCCAAGTATCGATTGAGAGAGAACAAGAAATCATCCAGTGACGGCGAAATGGGGTAGATTGCTTTAAGGATTTTATCGGCTCTGTCAAAGTTTTTGCTTGCTAGCAAGGCATCAAGAAGTGATTGTAAATGAACAATGTCCTTGGCGAAAGGAGAACGAGACACTGGATCGTAGCGAGATGACCAAGCCACAGATTGACGTTCTTTTTCGGAAATGTTGTCAAGAGTCTTTGAATTGATGTTTGAAAATGCCTTGTTGTGCACTCCGTTTCTATTAGGCAAATCTTTTTTGTTTTTAAGGTCTTCTAGAACAGAGTCATAAATGCCAAACCGATCAGATTTATGAACTGTGGTTGATGCAACAGATGGAGACTTGAGACCTCCGTTTGATTTGTGGAGATTCCTTGTTAGTCCACGTCTCAAGGCGATGCTATGTCGATGCATGCCACGTAACATTATCTGGTAAATAATGCGGATGTGTTGTAAGGCAAAAGAAATGTAGCTTGGAAAAAAAAATCAGCCTGCAGATGATTTAGTATGGGGATGCGAGATGACCTTACATAAAGTAGTGAGACAGAAAGGTATGGCAATATGAAGGATTCCTACAAGACTTAACGTAAATTATCATTGGTTCGTATCATATACTAAACTCTACAACCCCATCTCTGCCTGCAATGCCTTCAATTGCTCTTCGTCCTCGTCGTCCTCTGTGGCTGGTTTGTTATTAGCTACATCAGGGAAATGTGGCAATCTTTCCTCTGCCAGCGGCACAGGCTTGGACACAACCTTCTGTTTCTTCTCTTGTTGCTCCTCCTCTTGCAACATCGCCAACTCTTCGTCCAACTCGTCCTCATCGACATACTCGGTACCCACCGGCCTAGATATGGCATCGGAAATCTCATCTGCCAATTCCACTTGCTCACGAATGTCGTCCATAGTAGTCTCCACTTTGTCTACATCGTACTCGCCGTGGATCTGCTTCATGGCTTGGGCGCCCTGCTTCATGGCCTTCATGGTTTCCAAGTTCAAGTTGGCGCCCTCAATAGAAGTTAATTGAGTCTCCAATGTATCGATTTGGTTCTCAATCTTCATCAAGTTCGTTTCGTATCCCTTTTTACGCTTCAAAGCATTCTTGGCGAGTGCCTTGTTGGTGGATATGTGCTTACGAGCCAACGCATCTTGGTCAGCAATTTGCAGCTCAAGATGGCTCCTCTTCTTGTGAAGCATTTGAATGTGCTCACGCAACTCCACAATGGCCTTCTTGGGAAGCTCTTTTTTCTGCTTGTTGTTCCCTCCAAATAGATAGTTCCACATCGTCAGCAGATATATTTATGAGCTTTGAAAATGCAAGATAATTCTACTGCTGGTGATCAACTCCGGCAGCCAGCAATCGATTATTGTTTGCGAAAGCGTGAAAACGGCCAATTAAACCAATTAAATATTCAGAAGTGTCAACTTTAGAATTAGTTGCCACAGTAATATCTCTCAAACCAAGGTAGTTCGAAGCTTCCAGGCAATTGCTACGGTTAGTCTGAGCTCAGTATTTACTGTATAGGCCACCCTTAGCTTCTAATAGTGACTGTTCGATGAATCACGTACCTTGAGTATTTATCAGTTACCTTATCAATCCTTCAAAATCGTTTTTGGTGACGCCAGCACCCAAACACCCGGCCTGTAATATGCTGGTTGTATTAATGCTACAGATGTAACTAGTTTATGACCTCTATAACAGCCCCACAGCTCTAACTCACCAATACCCACAAGAAGAAGAACACGATCAAAACCCCAAAGATTTTGAGAAACAACCACCGGTTACTCAGGATATGGGCATAGTATTTGAGAAGTTCACGCTGGGCTCCAGTTATATTGAAGCTAATGTCTTCTACGTTTTGGTCGATTCGTTGTACCACCTCTCCCTGCTCGCTAATCATCGTGGTGAGTTGTTGGAAGAGATTTCCCACCTCGTTGATCGACGACTCGATCAAGTCCACGGCAGCGTTTCTCTCCTGTAAGTATTGATTGTCCTGCTGCTCCATAAGAAGCATCTGGCGTGTTTGGTCCGGTATTGTCAAGTACTCGCCATTATTGTAGTTGGAGTATGGAATGGACGTATCGGGGTCCAAGTCGGGGTCATATGGAAGAGGCGATTCGCTTCTGTGGGCTTGGCCCAGAAATGGATTCTCGCCCAAATGAGTAAGGTTATTGGCGTTGGGCAGTACCGATCCCACCGAAGCTCCGGCTACAAGTGGCGATTGGTTATGACTCGACCGAGTGTTGGACGCGGCGGAGAGGAAGTTTTCGGTTCGGGATTTGTTAAGAAGCTCGTTTTTCTGTCTGGTTTCAAGCACGGTTTTAAATTCTCCACTTATGTTCTTCATCTTCGTGTTGAGAAGGTTCAACACATTCTTGGAGTATTGGTTGATTTGCGAATCAACTTGAATCGAAGATTCGCCCTTGACATACTTGCCGAGATTCTGTATGCTTTGCTCGATTTTAAACAAGTCCTGCTTGATCACATAGGTGAGTTCGCCTATCTCAATCGGCTTGTCGTCGAATAACGGCTTCCGCTTCGCTAATAATGCTAATTTACTCAAAAGTTCGGTGGTGTGGGCAATGTCTTTGGCAATAATACTTGCTTGCTGGCTGAACTTTGATTTTTTAGGAGGCAATACCACAGTATCTGGATTCGGCTTTCTGTTGAGCTTGTCAAATGTTGCCACACATTGCTGGAACTCATAGGTTCGGTTTTGTATCGTGGTCATGGCACTGTCACAAGCAACACGGTGCGATTTTGAGAGTTTGCACCTGTAATTTCACCTGCAGTACAAAACCCACCGGGCGTGCGCACACCGTCCTTTCTCCAGTGGGAACCTCCCGTCTATCAGGGTCGTGCCGCGGCGGTTCTCAAAAGTACGAAATCTAAACAAATAAAGACACGCTCCGTTACACACCTTCGATGAGAGAAATTGTAAGTATATTGCAGGATGCCTAAATGTGTCCATGTACCCGTGTGTGCACACAAAAGACAGAAACTAACTCCAGATTCACTTGTCCACCGGCCAGTGTGGAAATCAAATTGTAAGTACAAAGATCGAGAAATGATTTGTCGTTGAAAATGAAATATATTTATGATGGGCCGAATCCTGAGCGACAAAACGTACCAATGATGACCAGAAAAATTGCCTGTGTGGCTAGATGGCGCGTTTATTGAACGTATACACAGAAATCGTCTTATCTTGAACTTATACTAACTACAGGGTGCCGCCTTTTGGGAAACCATATGTGGTGAACATGGCTTGGACAACAGTGGAAACTACCAAGGTGTAGATGATATTCAAAGGGCAAAGCTCGATGTCTACTTCAACTCTGCTTCGTCTGGTAAATACGTTCCTCGAGCCGTCATGGTTGATCTTGAACCAGGAACCATTGACGCCGTGAGATCATCCCATATTGGAAACTTGTTCAGACCCGACAATTTCATCTTTGGCCAGAGCTCGGCCGGTAATGTCTGGGCTAAGGGTCACTACACTGAAGGTGCCGAACTTGTGGATTCGGTGTTGGAAGTGGTGAGAAGAGAAGCTGAAGGTTGTGACTCTTTACAAGGTTTCCAAATTTCCCACTCATTGGGTGGAGGTACCGGTTCTGGTATGGGTACTTTGTTGATTTCCAAAATCAGAGAAGAATTCCCCGATCGTATGATGGCAACTTTCTCCGTTGTCCCCTCTCCTAAATTGTCCGATACCGTGATTGAGCCATATAATGCTACTTTGTCCGTGCATCAATTAATTGAAAACTCCGACGAAACCTTCTGTATCGATAACGAAGCCTTATACAACATTTGTCAAAAAACTTTGAAAATGGACCAACCAGGCTACAACGAATTGAATAATTTGGTGTCGTCTGTGATGTCTGGTGTTACCACATCTTTGCGTTTCCCGGGCCAATTGAACTCCGATTTAAGAAAGTTGGCCCGTCAACTTGGGTTCCTTTCCCAAGATTACACTTCTTTATGGGTTGGGCTACGCACCATTTGACATCTATCGGTTTCAAATCTTTCAGATCTATTAGTGGTTCCTGAGTTGACACAACAAAATGTTCGATGCTAAATAATATGATGGCCGCCTTCTGACCCTAGAAAATGGTCGTTACTTAACAGTGGCTTGCTTTCTTTAGAGGTAAAGTGTCGGTCAAGGAAGTAGATGATGAGATGTATAAAGTCCAAACCAAGAACTCGGCCTATTTCGTGGAGTGGATTCCAAACAATGTGCAAACTGCAGTTTGTTCGGTACCACCTAAAGATTTAGATATGGCTGCAACTTTCGTTGGTAACTCCACATCCATTCAAGGACTTTTCAAGAGAGTGGGTGATCAGTTCAGTGCGATGTTTAGAAGAAAGGCTTTCTTGCACTGGTATACATCCGAAGGTATGGATGAAATGGAATTTACTGAAGCCGAATCGAACATGAACGATTTGGTGAGCGAATACCAACAATACCAAGATGCGGGTATTGACGAAGAGGAAATTGACGAGTACGCTGATGAAGCTCCTTTGGAGGAACCAATGGAGTAAGGTTGATGAATGAGCATATTTTGGTATAAATGCTTCAAATGGTGAATGGTAGATATAGCTCCTCGTACACCAGTGTCCTTCTTTTGACACAATACCCGTGATTGTCTATTTCTGTCTCTAATTCTGATTAATGGATTTATTATAAAACTCTGGTGTAGTTGTTGTATTGACTACCATATATTCGTATATGACTTTGATCTAAGTGGCCGGCACAAGTCGGCGAATGACTTTCATGTGTTCTTGTTTTCATTACTTTAGTTTCCCCTTAAGAAATTCTTGACAAAGTCGTTTTTGTCTCCAAATTGAGTGTCACCTTGGTTTTCAAAGTACTTCATGACATGACATTGTTGCTTCCAAAAGTTGATCAACTCCTGAAATTCCATCTGACCTTTCATATACAACACATTGGATATTTCTAAGTCCTTTACAAATCTTTGTCTCTCGAACTCTTGTCTAATTTTGGTCTTAACATTGGAAACTGGCATGTCCAATTCGTAAATATTAGACATTTCCCTTGAATATCTCATGTACTTTCTGTATAAATGCAAAACACGCTTTCTCATCTCAGCACTCGATGCTGAACGACGAGTGGTCTCAGCAAACTCGGTTGCCAAAGTCATTTTTGGAGGTGGTTCTTGTGTTGTAATAAAAACGATCGTGGTTGGTCGCACCAATGCCGGGTAACGACCTTGTTGAAGTAGATTGTGGTTTTGTGCAGGTCCAACGGCTGCTACTTTAGTGTCTTCAAGATAGTTTGAAGTAAAGTACCTTTTGGTTCCAAAAGCTTGATAAACCGACAGAGCTCGAAGCACCAGTCCCATTTGTTTGCGTCGGAGAGTACTTTGATGATTTTTAAGATAATTTCCTTGTCGTTTGCATCTAGCTTGTGAGTCGCGGCATTGACTTCGTCTTCCTCTCGTTTGTAGTTCAAATAGACGTTCAAGTAATTATAGCATAGCTCAACATTGTCGTTTGCTATGAGCCTCTTCATGAAAATAATGGGGGTTGTGTCGAGTGTTTTGAAGAACAAATCCCAATATTCAACCTCTATCTTTCTCAAACAATTGACGTAGATCGACTCTGAATCGTCCAAAGTTTCGATTACTGCAACAACCCTTCTCAAAAACTCCTCGTTTTGGTCAAACGTTAGGTACTTGAATAGCAAGAGCTCCAAACAGTAATCAAAGTTCTCGTATTGCTGAAACATCTTGCAGATAAGAGCTGTCAGCTGATGCTGAACAACTTCCTTTTCGATAAAATCATTGAGAACAAGCTGGCGATTAGTTCTCGTTTGAAGGAAGAGGTGGCTCTGCCGAGAAAACAAGTCTGTTCGCAAACCAATCAAGTCTATGGATTTGAGACCGTCAAGTTTATCATTAATTACCTCCTCAATCGTTATCGGCATGAAAGAATCTGCTTTCAAGCGAATAGCTTCAGGTGCCATGGATCCAGGACCATTTGCAATGTCCAGTTCAACACCCAAATCAACATCACCTATTCCAGAATCAACAAGTCGCTTGAGGTCATAGATGAACACATGACTACAGTTCAACATAGTGACATATTTCACAGCATCTTGACCGAAGCCTAGCGTCTTAAACTTGAAAAAGGAAATGGTATCATGAACTTGAACAAGTTCATACATGTGAGCTGGACGCAAAACATCAATGGGAGATGGATCCGTAGGCTGCTCAACTGTTGAAACACTTCTTAGCATGTAAAGCTCGCCCGAGCCAAGCAAGAAAAGGAAATGCTGGTCGTAAATCATACTCACTTGGACGACTTTTGAGACCGCTAGCTTGCTTTCAATCGCGGAAAGATGTACTGTTTTATGAAACCGCATATGTAATTTGGGGTGCTTGGTCATTTCCCTGAAGTTGTTCTCTGCTTTCGGTTTGTTCTTGGAGAATTCAATGACTAAAATTTTCAGATCACTAGTAACACAAGTTAACATTTTGCCCGCATTGCCAGAGTTACTGAGGTCGTGAGCGATGATTCGATTATTGAAGGACCTTTTCCACACTATTCTGTCCGAATCAAATACATATTCCAAGCCACCTTGGCCATATTTGGACATGATTGTGTCCATAACAATGATTTCGTCTATTTCGGAACCATCATTATTGAACCTGTTGATAACCACAAGAAAATCGCTAAACCAAAAATGGCCGACGATATTCATTGTCGCAAGAAAGTGATTTTTGAAATTGAACCATATTATGTGATTCTTGTCACGATCTTTTCCGCATGGAGTTGAAATGGACAAATGCTCACCATAAGCAAGGGAAAATTGGTTAATGTCATTGCGACTGATTGTAAGATGACCAGAAGTCGATGTATGATTCTGCGTGTGAATGTTGATATGCTCCATTAGGCTGATGATGTTTTTAAATTTGGCAAGAATTGGGATCTTGTAAAGAGCTCCATTTGGGTCCAAATAGGAGATATAATTCTGATTATAGAAAAGCTCAGATTGTAGGTCAGGCTGTCTTAACAAATCAATGGAATAAAGTTTTGCGGAGTCGCTGTTGATCAATACTACTCGGGAAGCATTGGGAGTAACTATAATCTTGGATGCCTTTAAAAAGTCAGCGGATTCTTTTTTAGGATCATTGAGTTCGTTGGCAACATGCGATGATTCAAAAAGACGATTACCGAACTTGGATACGAGAGACCAAAAGTTGGTATCATGATCAAGAACGAAAAAGAATGTGCCACACGGTGACCATGCCACCGATGAGTTGGAGCCATCCAAAGCAACCGAGTGAAGTTTCACGAGTTTTTTCTCGATTGGTGAAAGTTTATAGATGTCCACTACCAGTTCCTGCTTTATGAGAACCAAATCGCATTGGGGATTGAACTGACATCGAATGCTTTCCACCTTTAAACTCATAACCTTTTCTGCAGAGACAAGCGTTTTTTCCTCCTGAAAGTCAAGTTGCATGAACCATACTTCGTTGTCAGCGTTGAGAAACAAAAAGTAATTGTCGAATTTGTTGAATGCAAGGTACTTTATGGCAGATCCTCCTTGATACCATTCAAAGTCTGACAACTCAAACATGTTGCTCTTGAAGGACTTCAAATCAACTATTTGGAAGTAGGCCCCCACAGAATCGGCCTCACGTTCGTTTTTATCATTATAAACCACTAGGTGATGCAAATTTGGAACGAGCCAAAAATTTGATATACCAAGCCCTATTTTGACAATTTTGAAAACCGAGATTTTAACAGGGTGAATCTCCGAGCCCCCCAACTCGTCCTCGATTGGTCTATTGTTGAAATGTTCTATGTTTTCTAAGTTGAGCGTGGCGGCGGATGAACCCAGTAAGATCGAGAGGGTTGCTGATTTCATCAACGATGAGAGAGAAAACTTCGAAGAGTTCAAGCTCAATGGAAGCCCTGATTGAATCACTTCATTTGTATCTCTGCTGGACAATTCGTATAAGGATTTCGAGTAATCTATTGAAACTTGGTAGATAATCAAGTAATTTGATTCGGTCTCCACAAAGAGATTTAACGTCGTAAGCTTTTGTAATTGGGCGGAGTTGATCCCCAAGTGCCTAATTTTGACCAGTTTATTTAGTCCATGCTTCTCTAAAGAATCTTCAGTTCGTAAATGCTTAGAAAGGAATATCAATGAATTTATGTCATAGATGAAAACTGTCGAATCTGTCAATATTATCAATAGAGACGTATGCGGTATTGCTAGTAATTGAAGAGGCTTCAGATCTGGAGAAACAATGGGTCCCAGAGCACTGGGTAGCGAGTCTACCCAAGTCATAAACAGTTGCAAACAAGAAGTAACAAAGTGGCCGTATCGCGTAGCGAAAAGCAAAGATCAGGATGTAATCACTTCGAAGTATTATTCTGTAAAATACGGGCGTGTGGTCTAGTGGTATGATTCTCGCTTTGGGCTTGCTGGAAACAGCTAAGTTTGTGAGAGGCCCTGGGTTCAATTCCCAGCTCGCCCCAATTTTTTGAATCGAGAACTGAAGAATGAAGAATTAAGAAATGAAAGAATGAATGGCATGAGAGACTGATATTAGGACCTTGAGCAAAACAATTGACAAATCATTAAACTACATGTTCATTTGTTTCTTCTTTTTTACCGCTTCTACATCATGCTAATATTTGTACATTAATGATGAAATATAACCCAAAATCTTAACGGTAAGACTTTTGGAATCTGGCTCTGGCACCACGACCACCGAACTTCTTTGGCTCCATTCTTCTGGAGTCAGCAACCAACAAAGTCTTGTCGTAAGATGCGAACACCTTCTTCAACTCGTTCTTGGAAGCCTCATCAACGTATTTTTGGTGGTAAGCAATCAAACCCTTGGCGATAGCTTGTCTGATGGCGTAAACCTGCGACACATGACCACCTCCAGACACTTTAACTCTGATGTCGATGTTTTGGAATTTGTCCAAGCCGACCAAAGTCAATGGCTCGTAAACCTTGAAACGCAAGATTTCTGGTTGCACCAAGGTGATTGGCGAACCGTTAACCTTGATCAAACCCTTACCGGCCTTAACGTGGGCAACGGCGGTGGCGCTCTTCTTCTTACCAAAAGTCTGAGTTAGTAAAAGATAATTATGAAGTCTTGAGTGGGGAACTGAGAATATGAATAAGTGGACGAATCTGATGTACAACTGAATCCATGAAGCAAATTTGGATGATTTCCACGATTCTATTTTCAATATTAAGGTTCGGATTATCGTATACGTGTCACTTGGTCATCATTTTCATGGGTTTTTGATGTATTTCAATGTATGATTCAAATGGATTAACTGCCCTTATAACGAATATGATCCAAATTGCTCCAGGGATCTCAACCTACACTCATTCCATATGACGGTCTGCCTTACAGCTTTACCTCCACTTTTAAAATTGCACATACCTGTACTGATGGGGTGGACATTGTAGCTCTCTGGTAAAAAAATTTGTGAAAGTGAAAAACTGGCCGCGCCAAACTCCTGCATCTTGAGCGGACCGACAGTTACACACCGGCGGCGGTTACGCTGGCAGAGTGCACGTGAGACGTGACTGGCCCGCGGTGCGCGCAGCTGCAGTAAAATTTTCAAGATTACTTTTTTACCTTCTCAAGTGAACACATTAGAAAATGGCTATTGCAAAGAACTTACCATTGTTGAAGAACCACTTCAGAAAGCACTGGCAAGAAAGAGTGAAGGTTCACTTCGACCAGGCCGGAAAGAAGGCTTCCAGAAGACAATCGAGATTGGCCAAGGCTGCTAAGATCGCCCCAAGACCTCTCGACAGCTTGAGACCTGTGGTTAGAGCACCAACGATCAAATACAACAGAAAGGTCAGAGCCGGTAGAGGATTCACCTTGACCGAGTTGAAGGCTGTTGGTTTGACCCCAAAGTACGCTAGAACCGTTGGCATTTCTGTTGACCACAGAAGACAAAACAGAAGTCAAGAGACTTTCGAGACCAACGTTGCCAGATTGAAAGAGTACTTGAGCAAGTTGGTTGTCTTTGACAAGAAGACCAAGGCTTCTGAGGCTACTCAGCATGAGCAAATTTCTGTTGCTGCCACCTTCCCTATCGAACAGGCTGCTCCCGAATCTGCTCCAAGAGCCGTTGAGAAGACCGAAGAGTCTGCTTACAGAACCTTAAGATTGGCCAGATCTGACAAGAAGTACAAGGGTATCAGAGAGAAGCGTGCCAAGGAGAAGGCCGAGGCTGAAGCTGACAAGAAGAAGAAATAAACTATCTAGTCTAATATCATGTAACTCAAGAACTGGACAAAAGCTGTAGGGACCATGCTCAAAGTGACAGGGCCACTAGTTATGGTGACTTAATGCCTGCAATATGAACCTAGTTCTATGCCAATTCTTCACTTTACCAGTACTTCGAATCTTTAACTGCTCTAGGACCTTAACCTTTTCATCTGTACTTTTCTACACTGCGTACTAGCATCCGTTTATTACATGATCTAATCGAACAATCCGAAACCCATGTCGTCATCAGACTCCTCCTTCTCTTCTTCCTTCTTCTCTTCAGCAGCAGCTTCTTCGGTAGCACCTCCAGCAGCGGCAGCAGCAGGGGCAGAACCAGCAGCAGGAGCAGCTTGGATGTTGAAAAGGTAGTCCTTAGGGTCCTTACCCTCCAAAGCACCAGCAAAAATATCAGCCCAGATGGACTCGACCTCAACGTTGGCCTTGGTGACCAACTGGAACAATTTTTCCGAGGAGATTTCGATATCGGAATCGGCCAAAATCAAGGCAGCATAGGACAATGCGGATTCAACTGACATTCTAACTAGAGATAATCAATTTAAGCTCAAGTTTGCAGACTATTCTTAGTTACGATGAGTTTGAAAAGTTTGAAATTTTCTCGACGGCGCGCGCACCCAGGGCGCTGCCCCGATAGTTGACACGTGATCGCCCGTATACAGTTCCCATAGTCCCGTTGTTGTAAATGGTGCTAACTGTAATGTTTGCTATCGTTTATTCATTATAATCCGTCTCTAATAGCACAGTACTGGATATACCATGGTTTTGTCCAGACCCTAATTCTCTTTCCGTAGTAGATGAATATACCTGCTGACATCATAATGATAAATTCAATCACCGCCAAGATAATAAAAGTGTGAGTATTCCCCATAGCATCTAGCCAAGGAGAGCAAGCGAAAGTAAAGATACAGCCACACATATTGTTAATGACAGCAACACCACACATCATCTCAATGACCATTTCTGGATAAGCATCCATCAAATATGACATGGAAACATCACCAGAAGCACCAAAGCCCAAACCAATGAAGCCCAATCCAACGTATGTAGGAACCCAATTCCAAACCTGATCTGTTCCTACTGCAAATAATATAAGTCCAATGGGAGCAATGATTCCAGGAATGAAGAGAAACCACAATCTGAATTCTGCTTCTTGTATACCACCATTCTTTTTGGCCAACCAAATAGAGAACCAATCACTAACAATACCGGCGTATACACATCCGATAATTGCACCGATTAAGCATGGTACGTTCATAAGAGCAACTCCCACATCTCCATAATTATAAGGTGGGTCGTAGTATTGATCGTCCTCCACTGTGAGGTAGAAAGTGAGTAAGGCATCTTGGAAACCCCACACAAGTCCAGAGTAAATCACAGGAGGATAAAGAAAGACCTTGAACAGGTGAGCCAACTGACGAATATACTGACGGAACCCAGTTCCACGTAAGTTTTCGGCAGGAGTGATGAGTTTAATTCGTTGCCAATATGATTTTCGAACATTATCGGCAACCTCTACCGAGTCTTCATAATCCACAGATATGCGCTTTTCGGAGAACGGAGATTTTTGTGCCACGAGTGCATCGTGTGCCTGTTTCTCTTCGACCATATGTGATGGATTTATATGGCTCTTACGGTCATATACGGTTTCGTCCGCACCAAAGACAATCACCGTTAACAAGCCGGTGGAAATAAATACGGCAATCCAGCCAACCCAACGAAATCCGACATACTCCACAATAAATCCTGCAATCAAAGGACCAAGGTAGGTACCCACCGAGGTAGCCAAGATATAAATTGTCAATACTGTACCCAATTGATGTTGAAAGTACATGTCACTTAACGACAATTGAACCTGAGCTTCAGCACAGCTTTCTGAGATACCAACAAACAATTGTGACCATATGGTGTCTGTGGTATCTTTACTAAGAGCAAACCATACTGCTCCCAAAAGTCCGAGAAATATACAGATCAAGTAGGTAATTTTTCTACCGTACAAGTTGGCACAAGGAGCTAAGAAGATGGTTCCCCATCCAATACCAATGAACAACACACCGGCGCCGGTGTTCATGGAGTCGTAAGTAATGCCGTAGAGTTGGTTCAATGAGTCTTGAATTGCGCCAGCATCGTTTGAAGTAGCAGCAGTGAATCCTGTAATAAAAGCAAGAACGGCAAGATTCCACAATTTTCTTAGTCTGCTCCAGTTAAGTGGATCATTTGGAGAGTCCGAAGGTTGAGGAACGAGAATAATGTTGCCGGAAGTCTTGAGATTTCGGTCTTGAGTTCGGGAATGTTTGACACTTAATTCATTATCATCCTTGATTTCAAACGCATAGATATTGAGGGTACCAGGGATGTACGAGTCCTCGTTAACAGAATCGAAATCAGGATCCATTTCCCTTGGTGTTTCAAGTGTCACCGCCAGTATATATTTCCCACCTCGAAATCGACGAACGCTTCTGCCTTCCAAATAAAGATAAGGTGCGGCTCACGAAAGACGATAAGGGTTGGGGATCGGCTTCCGGGCGGGGTCGTTCATGGAGCAGAAAGGGCTGAGAAACCTCGTATAGTATTAGGTGGTCATGGAGGGCTGTGCCCAGGAACCTTAGCGGCCAAAACTGTACGGAAGACGTCAAAATTGTAGACTCACACGAGATGTCAAACCTGTCAAATGTGTCAAGTTGCGTGCGAATTCGGCTAACAAAAAGCAGGGTCAGGATATGCGGAAGTTCAGCAACTACCAAGTACAGATGACAACAATTACTGGAAGACAAACAATTATTTTGCTCCTTGGAAAGACCAAGTTATACTGTGAAGATCGAATATCAAATCGTAACCCGCACTAAATCAAGAAAGTGTATGCGATGATTATCTCATGTAAAGGTGGCTGCAACGACCAACAATGGCACTTAAGACCCAAAGCTGACGCGGCTCAGCGATACCCCAGATCATACGCGATAGGCGCTCGCCTTTTGACAAGCGGCAGTACCTGTGTGCACGTAATCAATCGCGGCTTGGAGGAAAAAGGTGGATCAGGATGGTATCGGTGAATGTCGGTATGCGTTAGTATTGAACATGTGATGCAGATATTAAGTTAGCAGTAATTGTGAGCCATACAAGATTGGTCAACTTGTCAAACAGTGCAATGTTTACATGGTACTGAGTAATCAAATGAAACTAATGTCACGTTGGTGTTACAGTGTCACATTATTGTATAGTGTCACATTAGTATAACGTAACAGTACTGAGTTTCACCAAAGCTTGTAAACCTTGAACGATTAGGCACTGAAATGAACATTTACGAAAGTTTGTTTAAGCTAGTCGTTTCAATTAGTTGCAAGTAATTGGTGCACTGGTGCAGCGATTGCAACCATCATCCTGCAAACCAGCCGCTGTGCGGACAACCGAAACAGTTGCGGGGGACAATAGTTATTGCCGGATCCAGAAATCAATGACCATCATCCCAGCGCCAAGGTGGTTGCACTCGGCTACCACCGAGTCTAGCAGCACCTTGCAGTGTTCTACATGGCGATGAAACACCGTCGGGAGGTTCGGATACCACAATGGTAATATTGTGGAAACGTGCGATAAGCCTATCCCTAATGTTCCCGGTACGGAACCTCTCCTACCGTATACGGACGGGTGCGATGGTTAGTACGCAGGCGAAAATGAGCAAGCAAGGATTAATTTTCTGTGCTCATACCACGAAAAATAAAACCGCGTCCTGCAGTGATGAAAAGGGGGGAGATAACTGAATCGGGTGCCGGATAAATTATGTCGCAAAGTTAGACGGGAAATATCCACCTATTCCGCAATGATTTCCAAGTTGAGTAGAGGAAGCAAACCCCACAATAGATTTCATTTGCGGCACTGTTACTCCACACAATAGTAAGGGATATGCAACCGGGCACCCATAGTTGAGCAATTCCTGCATTCTTACTACAATGTATAAAATTTGTGTCAAAAGGGTTCGGCGCCGGAATCCGCGACAAAATTATATGCATTCGAAAGAATCCCTTACCATATACCAAGCCACCAAAGTACCACGTTTCTGTCCTAATACTAGGCAAAAGACACCAAATCAAACCCCTTTGAATCAAGTTCTCCACTATACAAGTACCATGTTCCATAACCAAGGTTCTTTGTTCTTAGTGCATCTGTACCCACCCAGGCTCGTAATCTGAGCCGTTCCACATTTGCGCCGCAAAGGCGTGGCCGCGAATCCTCTATTGCAGGGGCGCGTGTGGTTCTATTAAAAGCGCTCAGGAGCACCAGAGTACATAATCCTACTTGCATTCTTTTTATAGAAAGGATATAAGTTTGCTTTGGTCGGGTTTTTCCTTTTTCCAATTTTTCGAACCCATCATGCTTCCATACTTCTTTATGATGGCAGCAACATTTGCGGCCGCGATAACTCGCCGAGGCCTCAATTGGGATTATGATAACGACAAAATACGAGGTGTAAACCTTGGTGGCTGGTTTGTCCTCGAACCATATATCACCCCATCATTATTTGATGTTTTTGGTTCCAATATCCCAGTGGATGAGTACCACTATTGTCAGCAACTAGGCAAGCAAGTGTGCCAAGAAAGACTCGAAACTCACTGGAAAACTTGGTACACGGAAGACGACTTCAAATCTATCAAAGATGCTGGTCTCAATGCCGTAAGAATCCCCATTGGATATTGGGCATATGAACTTTTGGACAATGATCCTTACGTCCAGGGCCAAGACAAATACTTGGAACAGGCATTGGAGTGGTGTAGAAATAACGATCTTAAGGCATGGATCGACTTGCACGGTGCTCCTGGATCACAAAATGGGTTTGATAACTCGGGACTTCGTGGTCAAGTTCAATTCCAATGGGGCAACAATGTCCAGGTGACTCTTGATGCCTTGAACAAAATCTTCAAAAAGTACGGTGGATCCGATTACGAGGACGTTGTCATTGGAATTGAGGCCCTCAACGAACCCTTGGGTCCTAGTCTTGACATGAACAAACTCAAAGACTTTATTAATCAAGCATACTCAAACCTTCGTGACACAGGATCTGTACAGGCATTGGTTGTGCAGGACGCATTCCAGTCAAATACTTACTGGAATGATCAATTGCAAACCCCCAATGCTTGGAATGTGGTAATTGACCACCATCACTATCAGGTATTTTCTCCTTCACAACTCCAGACTTCAAACAAGGACAGAATAAACAACGCCTGTATGTGGGGCTGGAGCCTGAAGGAAGAGTCCCACTGGAATGTGGCTGGCGAATGGTCGGCTGCGTTAACAGATTGTGCTAGGTGGCTCAATGGTGTTGGCCGTGGTGCCAGATGGTCAGGAAACTACGATAACAGTCCATACATTGGCTCATGTGACCCATATACCGACGTTGCCAATTGGCCCAGTGATTACAGAACCGATGTCCGCAAATATATCGAGGCTCAATTGGATGCATTCGAAGTTGCTGCCGGATGGTTTTTCTGGAATTGGAAATGTGAAGATGCCATCGAATGGGACTTTAAGCGGTTGACAGCTGCTGGGGTATTTCCAAGTCCTGTCACCGAAAGAACCTATCCCAACCAATGTAAATTCTAGTCATTGTAATACTCATGTTTGCTTATAGCTCAAAACGTTTTCGGTAGTATTCACTATTTTTTTAGATATTTCAGTTTGTTCAATTTACACCACAAAAACTTAACGAATTATACACCGCAACAGGTTGAATAGACTACACACTTTCCTTCTTATTAATCTTTACAAACTTTGGTTTTTAGTTCTTAATAACGTATTGTAATATTACATGTATTCAGTATAATCTAGTGGGTATCAAATTTTGCCAAATTTCGTCAAATTGTAACATTTGCATTTTATCATCTTCTTGTATCTCACACCTTGAGCTGTTGAACCTTTGGATTCTGTTCCAACAACTCTCCATTAGGTCCAATCTGTGCACCAAGCACACTGGTAACAGCAGTGAGAATAATATCACCAATTGAGTTCACAGCTCCTGGGTACAAATTGTTAGTCTTCCTCACTGTTCTTGTACAGCCTTCCACAGGTTTTGCACCATTAAACATCTTCTTGACCCAAGCAAATCCGGCTGGTGAACCCTGCCAAACTTCACTGATATGACCAGCTGTTTGGTCCACTGCAAATTCAAAAGACTTGATGCCCCAATTGCACCAGTTTGTGTATCCACGCTGGGCATCTTTGAAAGGAACAATTGTATCGACTTCACCATGGTATACAAAGATAGGAATATCAGGAATGGGGTCGCCTTTGTGTAAGGCAAGTGTATTATTGGCGACGACGCTTTGAACCAAGGGAATGTCAAAGAGTCCCCATCCGTTGGTGAACACCTTATTAGGACCAGTGAAGTAACGTTTGAACATAAAGTGAATGATACTATCGAGCATGCATACACTTTGAGCAGTTTGCAAGACCTTGGGTCCTTCAGAGGTGGTGTAGGTGCCTAACAAAGTACTCAATTCTGGGTACTCATTGACCAAACCTCCCAAAGCACTGGCTGTCAATCCGGCGAAAAGAGTACCCTCAACACCCTCAGCAGTAGCAGTGATGTTGGTGACCCAACCACCCATTGCAGCGCCCAAAAGTTGACCCTTGAGTTCTGGGGCATATTCTGGCTGCAAAGATGCGGCCCAACCAGTTGCAATGGTTCCTCCAGAGTATCCCCACATCACCACCTTGGCATCAGAGTCGACACCAGTGATGTTGCTGGACTTTAAAGCACCACGAATACTGTTCAAGGTGGCCTGACCCGATTGACGTCCAGCAGTAAACGTTGCCTTCATACCTTCATAATCAGGACTGACAACATACCAACCTTCTTGGAGTGCTGGTTGGATCAAGAGCATTTCGGCCTCGGTAGTGATGGTCTTTTGGCTGGCAAGGTACTGGAAAGCATACGAAGGAGCACAATCGGGACTTCCAGAGTCCTCTGCAGTTTGGTATGAAAGCAATTTGGATGAGTCGGCATTATATGGTTTAATAACGGTTGCAACCACCGCGTTGGGTTCACCAAAAGAGTCCTCAGAACGAACCAAAATCTGCCATGAATCCTCAACGTTTACCTTGAGGAACATACTCCGTAATGGGAACGGTGTCTTTCTTATCTTCAAAATGGATCCATTAGGTTTACTCTCAAAACCATCTGGTGCTTTGTAAAAGTCATCTTTGGAAGGAACTGAGGGACCAATTTGTAATGCGAAAACCGAAGCGATAAAGGAAAAGAATGTGAGTGCTGTAAGGCAACGCATTACTATGTGACACTTGATGTCATTTCAAGGTCTTTATATCTTGACTTTTAAGAAAAACACATCGATACAAAAACTTTCCTAATTTTGACATCAGTTTAGCCCCCTCTACTGCCTTGCAGCTACATTCCCGGGGACATTACTTCTATGTCCGCACACTTGCATTCTTCTCCAAATCCATATGCCATTTTTGGCTACTTTTTTACATTGTGCAGCAACGTGCATGGTCGCACGCTTGAAGTATTCCCCTCATTGTATACGCTTGTCCTCGGTTACAAGGTAGAAGTGAGTGTCATAACTCAAGATCTGAGACTGAAAAGTGGTGATTATTGTTCTTGACAGCTGTGGTTACCTCCTCGGTGATTTCGGCTAGTCAATTGCAAAACTTGCAGCCAAATCGATGCCCAGAATAATCACAAATCCGATGATGCAGGAGAGCGCTGCACGAAGATTATCAGGTGCTTGACACAAGAGGACCGCGCCAAATGGGGCAGGAAGCCTCTTGGCGTTTCGGAACGCGCCCTAAATTTAGAGAGACATCAAGAATAGACAAAATCATGACGATCCCGTAAAACACAATGCGGCAAAATTAATACGCGATTGTTGACATCCGGCTACGATTACCATACAATAACCATCCAACGTTTCTTGCATGGAAAAATATCACATCAATGGCACATGTTACCTCGGTACATTGCATTCTTATTTCTGCAATATCTCTCTAGTCCCCTCTGGTTCACATTTCTTACTAGTCTTCATCTCCATTATGCAGGACTCGATCTTGAGAATTCTCATCGCAGCTCAAATGGCTCCGGTGTGTGTCATTAAGATCTAACTCAACTTCAAATTTTTGTTAGGCACGGTGGTAGGATTTTCCATGTTTCGGTTAGCGTTGCGTTCAGGAAACGTCTTGCGTCGCGATGCAGGCATCAACATATTCAGATCCGTGTATAATCCTCGGTGGAGTAAACCAATTCTGACCAAGTTGCAACCATTGACACGAATAAATGCCTTTCCACACAAAATGGCTCCATTGCGATTGTACTCCACCAATAGTGAGAAGGAACAGCAATCAAAATTGCCCCCGAAACCCACACAACCACAGCGATCTCCGCGTGTAACCAAAGAGCAACTTCTTGCCTCTGCCAATAATTTTATCAGTCGATTGGGAATACGAATAAAGTGGCTCATGAAAAAGTCGAACCGGCCATTCAATACAGACGACTACTCTGCCATGTTTTCCTGGCTCGTTATGGGCAATGCATTACTATTTATTTTGGGAACTACGACGTTTTTCCTGTTGGTGATTCTCACATTTCAATACTGTATTTGCCCAGGAATTTGTGGCTCGAAAATTGGGTGAGTTTATTACCAAAAACTCAAACTTGACTGTCACGTTCGAAAGTGCCATAGTTCCTGGCTGGTCCGATGGTAAGATCAGTTTCAGAAAATGCTTTGTGAGTAGACGACCCCGAGCTACACGCAAGTTCACCAAAGGCCGCCAAGCGGAAGCATACGCCCTCTCAATGCAACATACAGAAGCAGAGGAAGACAGCGAAGTTGATGATGGCAATTATACTCAATTTGATCTAACAATAGAGGAGGTGAACGTCTCTTTATCGTTCAAAAAATGGTTAAATGGCACGGGAATCATAGAAACGATGGAAAATAAAGGGACTCCGCGGAGTGGTGGATCGAAATCATGTCCATTGGGATCCCGATGACGATGCCACAAACTATAAAAATGTCCACCGTCAGGGAGATTTTGAAATCGAGGACTTTAAAATGGAAGACGTTTTACTCAAATTAATGCAACCAAACAGTTTCCGGCATTTTGATGTTGCCATTTACAATTGTGAATTGTCCAAATTACGCAAGCACTGGTTATTTTATGATTTTATCAACGCCAACAACATGAGTGGATCTTATGACAATTCGCTCTTCACTGTACATAAAAAGCAAAGGCTTGATGATTTCAGCAGCGGCCAAGATGACTTGTCACAAACGTGGAAGAGGGTGACGAGAATAAGGATTGATTCCTTGAACATTGACCACCTTAATACGGGACTTTCTGGACCATTTGGATGGATTACTAGTGGAAGAGTTGACATGTTTGGTGACATAATGTTACCTCAAGACAACAAAGACATCAATATGAGCGAACTTGTTGGGATCATCGCGGAGCTGATCAAAAAGGAAGCCACCCGGTATAGGAATCCTGAGGTTAAACCAAGACCAGACCATCATCTGAAGCTCTCGCAAGATTATGACGATATACAAAAATTCTTTGTGTTGGATTTGACCATAAGACTCAATAACGTGCGGGCAAAGGTACCGTTCCAAACGCCTGAACTTTCCTATATCAACTATGCATTGATACGACCCATCGTGGCCTACATCAATTCAAAGAATACTCTGATTGAAGTCAAGAGCCGAGTGGTGAAAAACATTGACGATTTCGAAGGATCTTGGACAGTTTACGATTCACTTTTGATGGACGATATCTCGGAAGAAGTATACGACAGTTTTGTCGACTATGTTGCCGACGAAGAGGCCCGGCTCATGAGGATGAGGAAAGTTGGGTTCTGGTCAATCCAACTTCTTTTCCAGCTTATCGTGTTTGGTCTCGGTGCCATTGCTTGAATTAGAGACGTATGATCAATACGAATATAGCAATATAGCTCGCAAGACTGATACTCGTTAAGAGAAGCACCGAATTTCCAGCTGACATATAGACGTCCATGTCCTTCTTTGGGTTGTAGAAAATATCAACAGAAGCCGACTTGACGAGGCCCAAAAAATAAAGAATGCTTCCGTACGCAGTGTAAACAACACCAATCGGTAAAAACTCGGTAGAAAAAAGCTTGATCACAAGAATTGCAAACGAAAGACACCCAAGAGCAGTTCGGGTATAGGCACCTTCATAAGTTCTTTGATGAGCTCTCACATCCAATTTTCTATCTTTGGTAAGGACATCGAGTCGAGAAGGCTGTCTTTCAGGAAGCAATCTTTCCTGAGAGGATCTTTGTGTGCTCATGGCAATTTGTTGTGGACTCCTGAAGACTGCACAAGTTGAAATTGAGAATTGAGTGAGAAATGAAATACTTGAGAATTGATCAGGGAATAAACCAAAGTCACATACCCAACCATAACCGTCTGAAACTGTTTGAACTGTTTGAAACCGTTGAATCCTGAAATCTCGTCATTAAAATCCACTAGAAACAAGTTTATCCAAACTCTTCCATTTTTCATCATAGCATATCATGGTCTACCACAAACGATACATGGTAACATTGACCGTACCCAAGACATTCTTGACCACGCTACCACAATTCGCCACACCGCAAGCAAAGTCCCGTCAGAAGAAAGCTGCCGAAAAAAAGACTGGTGCCGCTAGTATAGCTGGGTCCAAGACGTCATCTCCAGCACCCGATTCAAAGTCCAAAGAACCCAATGCCAAGGTGACGAAGCCCAAATCAACCAAAAAGGCCAAAACATGGGTGAAGAAGCCGCTACAGTTTAAAACGTTCTCTGGGTTCAAGGTAAAGTACGTAACATGGCGTCAGAAAGAACCACGAAAAGAGAGTAAAGCAAAAGCAGAAGCAAAGGCGGAAGCAAAAGCTGAGAAAGCAGAAGCAAAAGCAGAGGCAGAAAGAGCAGAAAAAGACAAAGCTGATGCCGAAGTGAATGAAACTCCAGAAACCAAGGATAACACACCAGCCTTGCAAACGGTCCTGGAAGGTGTCACAGAAACTGAACCCAAAATAGAACCACCCGCCGACATCGAAATGTCTGCTATATAAATTACAATAGATTAAAAAAAGTTTCACGTCGTTGCTTCACCTTTTCTCTTCATTCTCACTAATTTCTCACTTTGAAAAATACACTCATGTTATCGCTTCGACGTCCCAGACTCCCCCACTTGGCACTCCGACATTACCTGGCCAACGTTCCGCTGTCAACAAACACCAATCATGCTATATCTGTCAAGCAACAGCTCTATACCACGGACCCAGTGACTCCTGGCTCCATCTTCTTTCTCCCTCATGGCACCAGAATCATGAACAAATTGATCCAATTTATGAAACACCAGCAGATGAGATACGGATTCGAAGAGGTGATCACTCCGCTAATCTATAAGAACCAGCTCTGGAAAACCTCGGGCCATTGGGACAATTATAGAGATGATATGTTCAAGGTGACTGGAAACGTTGTTCATGAACACGAAGATCCTCAACTTCACGAGTATGGACTCAAGCCAATGAACTGTCCGGGCCACTGTGTAATCTTCTCCAAGTTTGAAAGGTCCTACAACGAGTTTCCTATTCGACTCTCCGACTTTTCGTCTCTTCACAGAAATGAAGCCAGTGGAGCTTTGTCTGGATTAACAAGAGTACGAAGATTTCACCAGGACGATGGTCACATCTTTTGTGAATTCGACCAAGTAGAGGATGAGATATCAAACACCGTCAATCTCATTTTGGAATCGTATAAGGTATTTGGTATTCCATCGAATGAAATCAAGTTCACATTATCTACCAGACCAGAAGACAAATATATTGGTGAAATTTCCACCTGGGAAAAAGCTGAAGAGAAACTCTCGAACGTTCTCACTAATTCTGGTAATTCATGGACAATAAACCCAGGGGACGGTGCATTTTATGGTCCAAAAATCGATGTCCAACTCACCGATGCATTTGGTAAAGCTCACCAAGTTGGTACGATTCAACTTGATTTTCAGCTTCCAGCCAGATTCGACTTGAAATACATTGACAAGCACGGGTCTCGAGAAAACAGACCTATCATGATCCATCGAGCCGTCTTCGGCTCTCTTGAACGTTTCTTTGCCATTTTACTTGATCATTACCAGGGCAAATGGCCATTTTGGTTAAATCCTCGTCAAGCACTTATTATTCCAGTCAACGATAGCCATGTTTCCGCTGCTCAAGAGATAAAGAAACAAATATCAGGGAGACATCGTATCAAAGACAGATATTGCACCCATGACAGGACACAATTTTTTCATTGATATTGACAGTAGAAGTGAAACAGTGGGCATAAGAATAAAAGACGCTATCCAAAAGGGCTATTCGTACATTTTAATGGTGGGTGACAAGGATATACAAAATGGCACCGTTGCATGCCGAACACTCACCAGTCGGAAGGTTGAAAATATGACCCCGAAAGCATTATTAGAGCGGTTCATCAGCCATGAAATCAACTACGAATAACTGAAGTACTAACTACGGATAACAGCTTTGTAAATAGCTATTAAAAATATTGTACAGTATATGCTTACTTGCCGTAACCTTTTGCAACCAAGATCTTCTCCATGTCTATCCAAAAGTCACGTACTATCATCTTGTCTCGGAACCTCTTGTCGCCTCTATCAACTCTGATCTCATTAATGTTCCACTCCTTGATTTGACGAGGAGCAATTTCACCCTGGTAGCAAACGTAGTATCCCGCATACCTTTGGAACAAAATTTCAGGTTTTGAGTACTTGTAGTTTGTGAATTGCCACGCTTGGCCCGTGGTGAAAATAGCCACCACTCTATCCCAATACTCGGGTTTGGTGAACATGTCTACATTGTCCACCACCATGAACTGATGAGCAACAGGAAGAAGACGATCCGATTCGTGGTGAATGGTGACTAAACCACTCGATGGCTTCTTGGTGGTTGAAAGACTTGGCTCAACAAATTTTCCCTCTTCGAGAAACTCCTTGATGTTGGTGAGAGATAACAATGCTGTAGTTGCCGGCGAAACAATGATAATAGGCTGCTTCTTGGGCCCGGTAGATTGGGTTCCATTGACTTTTTGTTTCTGTACTTTTGACCGTTTAAGCAGAGCAATGTACCGCTTGGCATCGGTTATCAAGTAACCAAAGTCTATGTTCTTCGAACCTCTCAATGCGGCATTATGGTCGATCAATTCTCGCTCAAATTTGGCAATGCGTTCAAGCTGAGGGTCCTCATTTTTCCGTTTCTTGGCACTGCCGGCCTGCGACAGTCCTGTGGCGTTTTCAGATGATTCACCATTGAATTTTCCTTCGCCAGAATCCGAATCCGTCTTGATAAACGTACATGTATCGGACTTTCCACTGAGCCACGACGACAATTCAGTCTTAACCAAGAATTTGAAATCAGCAATATCCGACTCTAAACAGGCATTTTTGTAGTCTACGATAGAGGACTTGTCATGGAGCCAACAAAATACCACCGCACGTAACGTTTGTGGAGTGTCGTCATTGTAAAAGTTTGTGGTTTGGTTTAAGTCATAATTATCGTCACCAATTTTAACATGCGAAGCATCTTTTATCAGCTCTTCTGGAACAAATGAGTCACCTTCTTGTTTCAAAAGCTCGAGCGGGCCGCCTTGAGAAGTCACGGACCGTAGTTTGTCAAGAACCTGCATTCTACCTCGCTCAACCAAGTCTCATTCAACGATGTATTGTCCGAAATTTTCAAGACGCGTCACGTGCCGATACTGGCGGGTGCGAAATCATTGAATGATACCGGCTAGTTGGTAATGATAACGAGGGACCAAGTCTTGCAATGGGTATCTGAAGCGTCTTCCACGCTAACAAAAGCACAGGAGGTGTGTCAGGTAGCACAGAACTACCTCCAGGAAACAGAATATGAACTACACAATCGCTTGGCTACGGCTATAGATACCAGCCACGATATGGTTCTGGCTCTCCAGGAGCAGTCAAAGGTGATGGAACAAATTATGAAAGTGGTTAATTTGCAAAAGATAGACGATGATGGGACAGAATCAAAAATAGCCAACTTACAACAGCAATTGGCTCGTCTTAAACGGAATGTATCCGTCTTGGAATCGACAGATGTACCAAAGTATTTATTGCGCAAGAATCCTGCAAAAGTTTCCGGAGACAAAGAAGACGGAAACAAGACGCTTAAAGATTTCATTTCCTTGACCAGCATTGAGTTACTTGAGGACAATGCCCAGACGTATGTGAAGAATAATTCTGCTATTCGCAAATGGCGCACAGAAGTCATTACAGATATCATTGGCAGAGCCAACTTGTACAAAAAGCAAGCCAGTAGGCTAGCAATGCAATATGAAGATGAAGCAACGGGGATCATTGTGGAGACTTCCGTTGGCATCCGCACCGAAGGGTCGGCATTTGCACTGCGAAGCTTGGCTGAAACAATCGATAAAGAAAACAAATCGCTTGAAACAGAACTAGTTGCGCTCTTGGAACTGCTAACAAATCATTACGATCAGTGTAACAGAGCATTGGGACTTCCTTGGTCGAATGAAGAGGCATTAGCTGTGCACCATGAAGGACTACAAGTACTAGAAGGAGACGCTCGAGATCTTCCAGGAGTCTACAAAGAAGTTTGTACTGTCCAGGAGATTATTGAGAACAATAGAAACCGCGCTACGAAGTACCTTTCCTCCAAACTTCCTCCGTTTGAAAAAATTGTGAATGGTTCGAGAAACCTTCTTGATACCATCCGAGATTTCAAATGCAAAATTGTGCCCCAACTGTTCGCCACCATTGCCAAAACAAACGAGATATTGCAAAACTACGTTCTCAATGGTGAGTCTATCTTCAGTGGAGATCCTCTAGAGTCTTACATCTTGGCGATTAACGAACTATGCGATCACTATGAGCGGTTTTCTCACATATACGCCGAGAATTACTTGGCGGAGTTGCGATATCGGGTCAATGACTATCCACAAAATTTCATTGCCAAAATCTCGGACTTTCTTAATGGAGAATTAGACGAATACCGGAGGAAGGAAACCCAGCGGCGGGCACAGTGGGTCAAGCAGTATGGCGAATATATTCCCAACGAGTTCATTTTACCAGATGAGGTACCTTCAGTGGTTCAAGTCATCACCAATATCGATGACATCGAATCCGCAGACATCGTTGACAGCCACAAAGCCCTGGAAGTCACAATTGACGGGAACCGGGGTAGCTCAAATCTGGGGTAATCCAATGGGTGCAGTGGGTGCATATCTCATCTCTCATCGAGCCTCACCAGTGAGGCACACAAACCCAAACATTAAGTTGCATTATTATACAATTACATCTGCATTTGCTATCTTTATGACTCTCTAGCTGATCTTTTCCGCCCAAGATGAATTCTATGAGCTCAATGGCTTCGGCCATTAACAACGAGTACGATGACTACGATGACATGGAAGAGGACGCATCGACTAAACAACCTGAACAATCACATTTCCCAGCACAAAATCCCTCGTCGGAGCATTTAAAGCGTTATGGAATAGGTGCAAAACTTCTCATGAAGATGGGCTACCGAGAAGGTACTGGTTTGGGTGCCAATGCTGAAGGTATTGTCAAACCTATCGAAACCAAAATGAGACCACAAGGTATGGGAGTCGGAGCCATTAAAGAAAAGCCCGGTGAAGAAGATGAAAATATGCTGATAGACTCAAGTGAAGAAGATGAGCCTTCCACGAAAACGGATCTTACTTTGTATTCGCTTATAGACGAACTCGAACTTCGCGGACTTGAAGTCTCTCACAAAGTCAAGCTAATCTCAGACTCGCAGGCGGGAACTGAGACATCTTCGTTGAAGGATTTGACACACAAGCTTCAAGGCATCCAGATCGAATGGGATGAACTTTCCAGCCGACAAAAACTTCTAAACTTTCAACTCAATCAGGTCTCGAGAGAACTTGAGTCCACGAAGATCCGACTACGAGATCGCGAGACGTTCCTCAATGCTCTTGAAACCTACCAAAATCATGAGTCAGATAGTGATACTGGAATTTCCCAGGTCATTGAATTTGTGGATTCACTTTTAACGTTGGAAATACTGTCGGAGTTTGTCAAAAGTCAAGGCTTGGAAATTTTCATTTCAGCTGTGGAACCGTTACTTGAGCCACTTTTTGATGAGTATTTTGACACTTCTATTGAAAATGATACACCATTGCTGTCCGCATTGATTCAGATATCAAAGAAATGTCGAGAATTAGGCGAAAATCCCGACTCACCAAGCCACTGGGATTCATTGATATTTCGTCAACTTCAGAAAAAAATTAAAAACATATCACGTATCCAAACAGAAGACTACTTGGTCACCCTCAACGACATTTTGTACGGCTGGTTGGTGTCTCCCATCCTCATGAACCCCCAAAGTGTTGTAGAGGAGTTGTTTGACAAAATCGTTATTCCTTTTTTGATAGACCAATTCGACCACTGGTTCAATGGAGAAAGCGAGAGTCCGCATGAGCATTTTATAGATTTCCTCAACTCCTTGCAATTGGACGATCTGAAGGGAGCATACCACCTTCTCAACAATGTTTCCGAGAAGTATCAAGATATGCTAATTTCTTCCCCCAAAAGAATCACTGACACTCAAACTATCCATCTACTTTTCGACATTTGGATTCCACTTTTCCAACTGTACAGTGTCAAGACTCCAAACTTTACTCAAATACTTTTGAGTGGAATGCTAGATTTATTCGATACTATTGATTTCGTCAACGTGAAAGGCTTCGAACTTGTTTCGACTCTAGTTCAACTAGAGAATGTGACTGGCAGCTCGGCTGCGAAAATAATACTTGAGTTTAAACTCCTCAACCAATTTCTCTCTTTATTGAGATCTCGCATAAAAAGCGATGAATCAAGAGAGAAAATTGTCAGTTGGATATACCAAATACGAGACGCTTTAGCCACTGAAGATTTAAAAAATAGCACGTTGAGGGATCTGGTAGAATGGCTGTTTGGTGCCATTGCGCAATTATTGGAGAATAAAAACCCACCCTTACCCAGCTTAAAAGGAGAGTCGCATCCACTCAATAATGAATTATTATCACTATTAATTAGTGGAGAAGAACAGACTACAAAAGTCCAAGGAATCCCTTCGAACAGCCTTATAACCCTGTTCAAAGACGTTGTGGATGAATATTGCAATAACCATGATCTTTCCTTAAACATGACAAGAAACAACCACCTTGAACTGGGAATGCCATTATTGGAAGTGGAGGCACCATCCGGCCAAAAGCGAACTTTTTATATCAAAGACGATGTGGTATGGGCTACTAATAGCTATTCGAGGTACGACAAAGGTTCGCCGAAAGAATTCAGTGCCATCAGCATTGAAAATTTGCACCCAGATTTGCAGCAATGATTCGCACTCGCCAAATTCGCACCCACGCTCTGTATATAGAAAATCGGTTGTGGGATGCGACTGAGACTTTTGTTCAACCTGCGATCAAACGACATCAACAACTAATTAATGATTTATAGAACTTCAAGAATTTACGCTTCTGTTGTCACGAGATCCATCAGACCATATTCAGTGTCTGGTAATTTTCGCCGCATCAATTCTGCAATCAATAAAATTGGTGATGAGAACTCGCACCAATCGGCCACCGCTTTGAAGGTTGTAAGGAGAACAGGGGTAGCTACGATCATAATTGTCTTGTGTCTGATTTTCTGGACCAGTTCAATGTCTGTGGATGTCCATGAGCCTGAAATTCACGATCTTACTAAGGACGTACGAGATGCCAAAGATTGAAAAAGAGCTGTACTTAGCTGAAAAAGCTGTACCACAAAGGAATCTGCACAATAGACTGCCACAGAGCTTCAAAGGCTATGAGAGAATGAAACTGGCCAAAATACGCTTAACTGGTATGGCCCTAAAAACCGATGTGAGCGGACCTGCACATGCGCCAGTTTGTAAGCAAAATTTCAATTTCGATGGCGGAACCACTACTAGTCCATTATGTTTCGTTTGATATTGAACAATGCTAGAGCTGCTATGCCACGCAGATCTTTCGCCAGAATGTACTCTGCGAGAGCAAGTTCCTTCACCACCAACAACCGTTTATATTGGGGAGTTGGTTTGAGTGTGGTTCCTGCCTATATTGCATTCACTCAACTTGAAGCTGTGAAAAATGATGCTGAGGTGGCGGCTTCGGATAGTGTCAAGTTGGCGCTGGCTGAAGTTGAGACGAAGGATGCTTCTCCCGAAGCAGCCGGCTCCGAAGGTGATCACTCTGGTGCTGCTTACAACCCAGAAACCGGAGAGATCAACTGGGATTGTCCATGTTTGGGAGGTATGGCTCACGGACCTTGCGGAGAGGAGTTTAAGGAGGCATTTGCTTGTTTCGTGTATTCCGAGAGTGAACCCAAGGGTATTGACTGTATCACCAAATTTGAAGTTATGCGCAATTGTTTCAGAGAACATCCCGAACATTACAAAGAAGAACTCTATGATGATGAAGCAGCGCTGAAAGCAGAAAACGAGGTTGAAGCAGCTGAATCTGCCGAGGAAAGTACCCAAACGGCGACCGAAAAAGTAGCTGAAAAAGTAAGTGAAAAAGTCACTGAAGCTGAGTCTGCTATCGCTAGCTCCGTCAGTGCTCCAGCTACAAATGAGAAGCCAAACAAGGCCTCTAAAAAGACCAAGTCAGCCGAGACTACTTCCGCTTCGGTATAATGTATATAACTTGTATTTAGACTAAAAATTACTTCAACATGCACATGACGATTTGGGTGGATCTTGTCCCAAATCGAGACTATCAAACCCAACCATGGTGGGTTTTGGAGCGGCCGCCGCGGCAGCTATACCCAACTGCGCCACCCGAGTGAAAACCTCTTCCACCAGGCGCAATTGCTTGGCAGTGACTTCTTTTACATCCTCGTTCCAATCTCGGACGTAGGTGTCAAAGTCCATATGTTCGCGGAGTTGGTTTCCGCCCACTAGAAGTTCACGTATCTCTTCAATATCCACGTTCCGGTCACTACTCCGATCCACCTTGTTGCCCACAATGAGTATTGCCGGTTTTTCTACGTGACAATGTTGTAAGAAACTTTTGAACCACCGTCGAAGACTTAAAACAGACTCATAATTAGTGATATCATACACCAACACTGCCACGTCGGTGCCACGATAAAATGCCTGTGAGATGGAGTTGAACCTCTCTTGCCCTGCAGTGTCCCAAATCTGCAAATTGACCTTTGTATTTGTTTCTCCTTCCCCGTTTATCGTCACCGAAGTTGTCAAATAATCACCTCCAATCGTCGCCTTGTATGCGTTTGTAAACATATGATGTATGAACTGGGACCTCATACATGTCTTCCCTACGCCAGAGTCACCTAGAAGCACCACCTTGAGGGTGGGGTTCGGCTTCGTAGCCTCGTGGGAGACACCATCCATGAAGATGGAGTTGTTTACCGGAACGAGATTTAAACAACAGCCGCACACCGAAAATGTGAGACGAGGTAAATACAATGCAACATGTTCAGTGTCTTAAGTTGACAAAGACATGTGCATTGATCTCACTTCTTATCTACCAAATCAACTACAAGCAAGTAGCTTATAAGTGAAGAAGAAAAGCTTCTAATTTGATTGTATAATAAGATTAAAAGCGAATTGGCGGAAGATTGATTGAAGAGTAATTCAGACTGAAATCATTTACTGAGTATGACCATTATTAGCCCAATCGTATTGTAGCTTAATTGGCTGGGTATTGATTAACATATAAATGCCATTTGCAGCAAGTCGAACGAGTATACGAAACTGCGAATTATAAGAAAATTCAAATGAGATTAACATGTCAAAAGTAACGTAAACTTACGCAAACCGACGGCACAAACCAGCCATCACAATTCCCTGTTACTTCGCCTTCTTTACCCAGTCCTTATATTCATAACCTTGACCGTTGACGAGTCTTGCATCCATACACCAGATGATAACGTTCAACTGTGCGAACAGCAACCGCACATCAAATACTTGTCAACTTCACATACGATTATGAAGATATACTACATTGGAATATTGAAAGTGGGTGGTTCCAAAGCCGTGGAGTTGAGCTCGGCCCGTGATTTGAGCCAGTTTTCATTTTTCGAAAGAAATGGTGTTTCCCAATTTATGACATTTTTCTCGGAAACCGTCAGTCAGAGGACCCAAGCAGGCCAGAGGCAAAGTATCGAAGAAGGTAACTACGTGGGCCACACATACACGCGCTCGGAGGGTTTGTCTTGTGTTGTCATAACCGACAAGGAGTACCCAGTTCGTCCAGCTTACACCTTAATCAACAAGATTTTGGATGAATATTTATCGCTTCACCCTCAAAAAGACTGGGCTAATGTCACCGAAACGAACTCTAGTCTCGGATACGATAATCTTGAACAATATCTCAAAAAGTACCAAGATCCATCACAGGCAGATTCGATCATGAAGGTTCAACAGGAGTTGGACGAAACCAAGATTGTATTGCACAAGACCATCGAAAGCGTATTACAAAGAGGCGAGAAATTGGACTCGTTGGTGGACAAGTCGGAGGCGTTGTCGAGCTCATCCAGGATGTTCTACAAGCAAGCCAAGAAGACCAATTCGTGCTGTGTGATTGTCTAAGAAAGGTTTTATTTAGATGTAATTCATACCAGCGTATTTTAGAAACCAGTAGCCAAAACACTCGCTATATCAAATAACGGATATTTCTAGAAGATTTTATGTTCTCTTTTTCACCGCATCAAACGTCTTAAGAAGCTTGGTGCGGGCCCCCAATGCCTTCACACCTTGGGCCTCCAACTTGGCGTCATCAAACTCTATAAGATCACGCCAGTGAATGTCCTTGAGACAATCGGTGTACTTGTGAAGTCGAAGGATCTTCAACCATGCCGGGATATTTTCCAAAAGCTCAGGATTAGTTACATCCAGAGGCATCTGCAGATTGACATGTCCCGGATCACTGGAATGTCCATATGATCTAGACAATTCCGGTGAATTTGAAGGTCTTTTATTCTTGGAATTTGGTGGAGATTTGGTCATCTTATTTTGTGCCCGGTTCTGGTCATTTCCCTCCATGTAATGATGTCTATGGTAATTGTTAGGCAGGAAATTCTTCTTGCTAGAATCTAATGCGACTCGAGAATTTATGGTAGCCAATGCACCCAATTTCAACGCAGCCTGAGACATGTCTAAGGACTCATCAGAGTTGTTGCTTCGGAGCTGTCCGCCTTGGTGGTTAGGTGAGGCAGAATTCCCGGCTGCAAGTTGCAAAAAATTGGTCTTTTCGTAAAGATGCGAAGTGGGAGACTTGGTGCGATCCATTGGATTTGCGCCAGCCGACATTGGCATCTTTCCATTAATGCTTGGTTCAGCAGATTTGGCCCTCACACCTCCCTCGAAGAGTTGGCCGCCACGCATTGGGTTACTCTTTGGTTTGGGTTGGTGTAACGACAAGTTGCTACCGTCCATATGACTGAGAGATGACGAGTTGAGTGAAACTTGTTCCATATCGTGAACGAGATCGGAGTTCTGGCTGTACGATGAAGGTCCTCCGTACATACCAGGGGGCACAGAGTGCACCGAGGGTGGAAGAGATTGACCCAATTGGATTGAAGACTGTAATCCGCCTTGCATCATTTGAAGCTTCGACTCGATTTTGGAACGAAGTGAAAGAAGCACATCAAATGATGCATTGTTGGCCAAGTACTCAACCATAGTCGAGCTCTCCTGGGGGTTTAACCCATTTATCCAGTTGGTATATCTTATCAACTCCAGATAAAAATTGGGTGCTTGGTCTAATGGCTGAGGTGCAATTGGCTGATGACTGCCAAAAAAATTGGAAAAATCGTTCACCGATTGCGGACGCTCAGGCATGGAATGCCCAGCTGGGAACAGCGAGTTTCCCTTCAAGAAATTATGACCCGAAGTGCCGTTGGAATCTTGAAGCAAAGACGAAGACGACATGTCGCCAAAGCCATACCGAGATGCTTGCGGCACCAACAAATCTCCCGATGAGGATAATGTCTTGGACCTTGAAGATTGACTAATCGATTGCCTGTGGTTCAAATCCAAATCCAAGTCGGCAGTCAACGTTTCAAACTCATGCTGCAAATTAAACCCAAGACTTGGTTGTCTCTCACTGTGACCCACCGGTATCGACAGATCCAATGGAGGAGGAGAAAGAATGATTGGGCGGTCCATTTCGGAGTTTCCGTTCGCCATGATGGTCATAAGTCAACGATTTCCTGTGTATCAATGCAATATAAACACCCTCGTAATCCTGCAAAAGGATGCCCGAGTGGAATTTTTCAAAGCTTGAAAAGGTAGATAGCAGCTCCGCCAGCAAAGCAGCGATTTCGGGCGCGGAAAGTTAAGCGAGAATGTAGACCGCAGGCTCTAGCAGCTGTATGCAAAGGAGATAACTTTCAATACAAACCGTTTTAAACTTGGGTATCCAACTTGTTGAAAGTGAATCTCATCGAATTTTCTCCGGAAATTTTCGAGAGGCCCAGTGCACCAAGACCCGGTACAGGAAATTCGGTGCCAGATTCCGTGGAGTCCGAATAAGCGGTAATCCAGGTATGGGGTACATAATAAATAATCTTATAATATGCAATGCTATATAACCTGCTTATCTCTATGTAACCAGTAGTCTTTGTTTTCCTGTATGATGTCGCAAGTATACCGAAGGTCAGGAAGAAGCTCGGCTATGTTATCAAAGAGTTTCTCAGCGAATGTCTTGATGAAAAATAATTGCCCTTTGTGGATGGTTGGATAATCTTCCAAGAGTTTCTCCAAGTCAGACGGCACTTTCTCATACTCCACCGAATGATTTTTCGACCCTTTTGTGATCTTTTCCTCGAGCATAAAGACTTCGTCAAACTCTCGCTTTAACACCACTGCCCACTGCGAAGATACCCGTAAGGGCCTAGTCACATTGCTAATATCTGCACACTTGATAAGCAAACTAGACACAAGCCGTACTTTGTGGCTCGAAATGCTTTCGCAGCCATCACTTGCGACCTTGAGTGATGTCAACTTGTCAATGTACTCGAAATGCTCGGCCATGTCCGTGGCCAAAATGCTACTTATGATCAAGTTCTTGATTGTCATCTCCTCGGTGCACTTCATCGTGAGCAAAGATGGCCAGCTCACTGCCAAAATCTTATTTACAAACACCGATGCATGAAACAGCTCCAACACACTGTGCTCATTATATATGAGAGAAGGTGTTGCATCATACTTCACTAGAAATGCATTAGTTACGCCTGGGTGGCCAACATCATGACCCAAAGCCGCAACAAGGAGACCCAAAGTTTGTAGTGGAGTAAGAGTTACCGATGAACTCAAGACCTTTGTATTTTTGGACGTCGTGGTGCCGCCCTTCAGCTCGATGGTGGCCGTGGTTGTTGATGCTACAGTCAATGAGGTGGTAGTAGATGAAGACTTGTGAAAGTTATCGGTTGGTGTTAAATCCACCACGCTGTCATCCCCATGTTCTGTTTTCTTCAAGTTTTTGAGTGACTCAAAGTCGCAATGCTTCAATGGTTCCTCAGAAAATTGCTCGAATTTTGGGAGATATCCCAATCTTAAGACATAGTGGAAGCATGCCTGTAATACATCGACTGCATGACGAAAATTGTGAAATGGATTTCCACTATTATAACTATCGCGTACCATGAATACAATACCCAATAATTCATTTGGTGATGGAATTTGCAACTCTGGTGGGACGGGATTGATATGCTTTAATGAGTAACTGAGGATCAAATATGCACAATAAACCAAATCATTGTTGGAAAGTTCGTGAGCAGGGAAGGCCCAGTATCCTACAGTGTTACACAACTGTTCAAGCTGGGGCCTGGTGTTTCCTGGAGACAAGAGTGTGAAAAAGTTCACCTCTTGTACAATGAGCTGATGGAAAGTCTTTAATTTTTTCAAGCTCACAGGAGAATGCTTGCAAGATTCGTTCAACACCGATGACATAGTCGATACTATTTCGCATATATCTGTATGAAGCTCGGGTAATGAAACTGATATGTCTTCTATGGATTGAGGACCGGTTCCTGTCCATATTTCCACCCTGCTGATTCTTTCTCGAATAAGATCATTGATTCTGCGGACGCATACGTTCACCTCACGGACGAGCGACTCATTAGCAAGGTCTTTGGCACTAATAACTATGACATTCAAGTGCTTGAAGAAAAATTGTAAAAGTAAAACTTTGTCGGAGGTATCGAGTTGGTCTAATTGGGAGGCTCGAGAGTGAGACTCGCCCAAGACTATGACTATCGAGTTATTGGTATCACGCTCCACGTTCCCGAGCAGGAATAATGTGGCCAACAAGGGGGTGAAACTTGTGAAATTAGTATATTTCCTGGATTCCAAAAGACTTACATCGAGCTCACTTTGGGAAACAGAGTAGATATCAGCCATTTTTGGCCACAAGTTTGAAGTCAAGGAAGGAGGACGTCGACCTAATTGTCTACAATTTAAGCCGACAACGACGAAACGGTTTGACTTTTCCCTTTCGAGATCTGATTAACAACAACTCTGAGATAACAAAAGGTGAAAATGTGGCTCCCGCCTATTTTATGATCTTCCAAGCAAGAAAACTGTCACAATAAGGTATAAACAGTCAGTTCGCTAACAAAGGAATAAACGTGGAGCAAACCCTAGCCTGTTTCAAAGATTGTTTTTGCAAAACTCGATGGGTATGCGATGCCTTCACAAGTCTTTAGGGGTAGAAAAGTGCGACATCTCTTCTACTTGAACCGCTTACGTAATACCACATGACGCGCATTCCATGAGCAATGTTTGACGCAGGGCCCTTTGTGTGAATATGCATTGAGTAAGTGCTCCGACCTTTGTAATGCAACTCGGAAACGGTAAGTTTTTCGCGGATTTAGTGAATTTTTAGGAGGTTCGTAGATGGGTGTATGAACGTCAAAATTTTTGGATCTTGAGATTCCGATCATCGTGATCGACCGTTACCGTTATAGTCAGTAATTCCGAGAGTTGCGATTACTAAGTTTGAACTTGAACTTTTCACTGGTGATGTCATAAAAATTAAATGTATATACCCCACAAATTTACCATATCGAATATTAAAGTGGTGGCTGAAATGTAACCGGAGTAATTTCACAAAGACAGATCAATCACGTAAATGTTTAGACATTAAACGTTTGTTCGTAAATGGCTCGCGGCAATGCTTCTCGGTTAAAATCCCACCTCGAAAATGCGAAAACTAAATCATACAGATGTAGATCCTATAAAAAAAAACTATGAAAAAAAAAATTTACCGAATAATTGTAATGTTCTCTACATGTGCCCACCCTCCTTGCACAACAGGTAGAAAATTCCCTCCTCATTCTTCAACAACTCTTGTGGCGCTCCAAATTCTTTGAGCTCACCTTTGTCCAATACCATAATCTTGTCACTATCCACGATGGTCTCAAGTCTATGAGCAACTGTAAGAATGGTTCTATCCTTGAATTCTGTGCGAATTGTCTCTTGAATGATTTTGTCAGTTCTGACATCAACCGAAGCAGTTGCTTCATCTAATACGAGAATCGAAGATGGGTTCAATAACGCTCTTGCCAAACACAACAATTGTTTCTGTCCCGCAGACAAATTGGAACCTCCTTCATCAACAACAGCATCAAGCCCTTTAGCTACCACCTCCGATTCACCGTCTTTAACCTTTTTCTTTTCGTCCTCTTCTTTATTCTCCTTAGGCTTTGTTTCCATCTGCTCTACATGGGCCTTCAAGTGTGCCAATTCAAGCACTCGCCAGAGCTGAGTATCAGAATACTGACTGAAAGGATCCAAATTCTGGCGCACTGTTCCTTCGATTGTTTGTGAGTCCTGAGGTATAATACTCAAATGCCGTCTCAAGTCGAAAAGACCCAACTCACTTGTGTTCACGCCGTCAATCTCAATATGGCCCTCAGTTGCTTCGATGATGCGGAAAAGTGCCAAAGTTAAACTCGATTTACCAGCTCCAGTACGACCCACAATGCCCACTTTTTCTTGTGGGGCAATGTCAACCGATATATTTTTTAATACCGGATCCAAGTTTTCTCTGTACCTGGTACTGTAGTTCACAAATTTTATACCACCTTTCTGTGGCCAGGAAATTGGAGGTCTTGTTTCCTCAATTTCCATGGCAGCTTCGGTTGGAATTCTGCAATATTCCAACAAACGCTCCAACGCAATTGACCTCGTTTCAAGTTCAGCCCAAACCCTGATGATAGCACTTATAGTGTAGGTAATGTTCATGGCGTAGGTCATGACAAAACCGACTAAGGCTGGGGTGAATGGATCACGGAAAAGGATAGTAACAATGAATGCAGACGTGAAAAAGAGGACAGTTGCTGAGATACCATTGATTCTCATAGACAACCACCGTTTAATCGAAACGTCTGAATATGCTGCAACATTAAACTTCTTCAAAATCATGGTATTTTTGTGACTGAATCTGTCTGTTTCTCCAAAAGCACGGATAGTTTCCAATCCATGTACGGATTCCTGTAAGTTTGAAAGAATAGGGCTTCGGAACACACTACGGAGTCTTTTCATCTCCCGCGCTGCCGGTATGAAGAAGCTTCTGTAGCTATTGTAGATCACTGCAAGCACTACAATGACAAGAATCATGATGGGCAAGTTAACGATAATGACCCCGAACAAGGCCATAGTATGCATTCCAAGATCAACAAGCAGAACGCATTGCCACATAATGACTTGATCAATGGTCGTGATATCTTCAGTGAATCTGTTCAATATTCTGCCGATTGGAGTGGTCTCAAAGAATGACATGGGTGATCTCAAAACATTTTTGAACATCTTATCATGGAAGTATTTTGAACCTTCAATGGCACTGTATTTCCAGATTACCAACGAACCAAGGAAATAGAAGAAGGAACCGGTAAGACCGATTATAGTGTAGGATGTCACATAGAAAACAGTATCAACATTGTGTCCTTCTTCAAGGTTCGTATCGGACCAGTATTTCAAGAGGTAGTTCATTCCAACTTCTGATGCAACCATGATGGTGTAGAAGAGAATGTACACGAATATGAAACCAAAATGACAGGCTCTGAAATATTCGAGATACACTTTGAAATTCACTTTGCCTTTAGCACTCTTTTCCTCGGCTTGCTTTGTTTTCCTGTACTCTTCATCTAGATCGTCAAACTCGTCGCCATACTCATGGTCAAACGAGACAGCAGATGCAGCACCAAGGGACTGTCTTCTTGCGACAGCTGTCGTAAGATCAATTTTGGAAGTGATCTGCTCTCCGTCTTCGACAACAGGAGTTTGTACACCTGAATCAATAACAGGAGTTGGTAATTCTGAAGTATCATCGCCTTCTTCCCGTTCATTTTCCCTTGAAAAGTCTTTGATCAAACGTGACAACTCGGAATCAGTAGACATAATGCTTTGATATACGCCTCTCTCGACAATTTTCCCTCCCTCAAGAAGAAGGATCTGGTCTGAGTGTTTTAAGACATTCACATTATTTGTGGCAAGAATCAACGTCCGCGAGCTCAACAAACCAGTCCCAGAGAGCACTTTCTTTATAATGTTTTTTCCAACATGGGCGTCCACAGCAGATAAAATATCGTCAAAAAGATAGATTTCGGCTCTTGAATAAACAGCTCTAGCTAATGATACTCGAGCTTTTTGTCCTCCAGAAAGGGAAATTCCTTTTTCTCCAACAGTAGTATGGTCACCATCAGCCAATATTTTCAAGTCAGGAAGTAACTGGCATGCTTCCAAAGTCTGCTGGTAAAATTCCTTGTCATACTTTGAACCAAAAAGAATGTTTTCCCTTATAGTTCCATTCAAAATCCACGGGTTTTGAGAGCAGTAAGCTATTGATCCGTTCGATTCAACGAAGGATCTGGGATCAGGTCTCATTTTGATTTCACCAATTATAGCTTTGAGGAACGTTGACTTACCTGAGCCCACATTACCCACAATACAACTGAGCTCACCCTTTCTTGCTTCAAAATTGATATCCTTAAGCGCAATAGGCGATTCTTGATCGGTTTTGTTATCTCTGACCGAGTCCCAAACAAAAGTGGCATCCTTGATTGTCAATGCCACATCGTTAGCCTTGAGTTTTTTGTGGCTTCTGTGAACTTCAGAAGTGTCCAATTCTTGCAAAAGGAATAACTCACTGAGTCTTCGATTGGAAACGTTCGCCTCAATCAAATGAGACACTGACTCTGGGAGCTCCAGGATGGGTCCCGACAAAAGTTGAAGAAGCGCCAATGCTGGGAAGATGACACTTGGGTACAAAGTTCCATGAAAGACCAACGCAAAAGATATCAAGCAAATACATGTAATAAAGAACGGAATACAACGCCAGAGAAGCTGAATAAATGCCTCCAACATACCAGATTGTTGAAGAAGGCTCAATTCCTTGTTGTTTCTGACCTCATTCATTCTCTCTATCATGGGCTTCTCCCACGAGTAAAGCTTGATACTCTTGATTGAGTTGAATATATCAGTTGTCAAACGAGTTCTTTCATCCTTGTATTCCATATTCCTATTGTAGTACCAGTACAACTTAGAATTTACCCAAGTGCAAAGAGGCATCAAGATTACTGACACCCCAAAACCAAACCATGTAGCATTGCCCAACACTTTGTATAAGGAAACAAGACAAATAATCAATCTAAGTGGATCTGTTAATATTTCAATCATGGTGAAGTTAATTGATTCAAGATTTGAAACATCGACAGACATATTATTGACGATATCACCAGTTGTTTTTCCCTTACGTGCTTCTGGGGAAAGCCTCATAGCCTTTTCGTAGATTTTGGTGGAAAGTTCAGTACGAACCACCAAATTTGATAAGAAAATGTTGCAAAGGAATCGGTTGAAACTGATGAACCTACCAGTGGATGCCAAAAAGATCAGAAATGCATAAAAAGCACCCTGAATGACAGGTGGACCGGGAACATGATTCTTTTTGGCGGACAAATAGTTAGTGTAAAAGATTAGAAACTGTTGAAGTAAGAATGGTTGGACAAACAGGAGACTGAATTCCATCATATTCCAGAACAAGCCACGAGTGATTCGGACCCAATCAGACTTCAATATTGACCAGTACAAGGAAACGTAAAGGTCTTTCTCATCTTTTCCTTTGTGTCTGCGCTTTGCCGATTCAACAGCTGAGTTCCAATTTTTGGAAAAAGTAGCATGGACATGATCGACTTCAAGATTTGCAATTGCTGGAGGTAAGTCTTCATATTCCAAGTGATCAGATTTGTAGACCTTTTTGATCACAGGATCCATCCACCAGAAGGTGACATCATCGAACCAGTTGTAAACTCTTTTAATATCCCATTCATTGAGATCAAAGTAGTCGACGAGCTCCCGCGCAGGAGAATACCAGGCGTGTTCCAAATACAATATGAGTATTGAATTGACTAGCATGCAAACCTCAATTCCCAAAGCCAGTCCTGACGGAGAATCGTAGACCTTGTAGGGAGAAGTAGCATCGACAATTGACACAACTATGGCAAACACAGACGATACCAACCAGTAGAAAAGAAGAGGTGTATTAGCCACCACTGTTCTGGTTGATTCCACTACATGCAAGGGGAACACCGTGAGCACGAGCACTGCGGCCTGGATGGCCAATTGACGATTCTTTTCACTTGATTTTCCGGAACTGAGAAAAAGAAGGAAGAGTCCGAAAAATTGCAAACCAACAAGAAAAAGTTTGAACAATTGAATAAAACCCACACTTTGTTTCAGAAATGGATTACCGAACGAGAACCGAATACGATTGTTGCCAAACTTGTTGTTAAAGCACAAACTGATAATTTGCCACAAACAACACGCTCCTATAAATAGATTCCAGCCAGAAATCGCCACCATGAGAAAACAAGGATTCACATAGTTCTCATGAGGATCAACCAAAGGTTGATTCCAGCTGGTTCGCCACAGGCAAGAGCGGGCAGAAACCAAGCCAGTTACTTCAACTGATAGCAGCATGGAATTTTGCGAACATCAACGGCAGCGCAAGTTCTTATAGCACAGATAGCGAGCCGCATGTATGCAAACTAAGCAGGCTTAGATTACGAAATAAGCGCTTACGATAAGAAAATGGACTGGCTGCAGGTTTCAATGCACCAATGAGAGTCGGTTGCTCGGGGTGGGTGCAGGAGTTCTCGGCAATGACTCTTTAAAATTCGGTGGTATTTCCATTTATAGACTAAATCCGTGCTCTCATTATGTGTCATTTTCATCCCCGCGACGCACGGCGCGAGTGAAAAATCGGTGCGGCGAGGAGAAAATGTCAATAAAAGGAGGAAAGGAAGTGTGCAATTAAACTTTGAGCGGGTGATGTATAGTAGGAAGCGAGATGAACTTTTATGACATATGTTTTTGATTTCTCAAGAGAATGCTAAGATTTTGCAACCATCAAGTCAGTCTACAGTTATGATTCTCTTTCATATTTATAGACCAAGATCAGAAGACATTATACTTCGTATAAGCGTGCAGCGTTTATTACATGCATGAGTTGCAATAAGCGTATAAAAGTCGTAATTACCATCCAATAGGTATTGCGCCTGTAATAATTTAACTCAATGATTCAGGGTTGCATTACCCTTGCTAGCCTTTATGTTTGTGTCTTGTCTTGCCTCTATAGCACAGCGTAGATACTTATCACCAAAATCACTATACCAACCGCCGAAGTAAGTTGGACAAATCGTCGATTGTGGACCTTCTGTGAGTACTCTCGGTACCTTTTGTGCACATATTCAAGGGTCTCAACCTTTGCGCTGAACTCATCGGTGATTTGAGCTTTATTGGTATTTATCAATTGCCTTGATGCATTGAGCCGAGACTCGAGGGTATCAAGAGTCTGAACCAAGTCTGAAAGCTTGGCGATATTAGTGCTGATTTCTTGCCGATAATGGCCTTTGGTTTCGTCTTTATTGTGGATCAGTTCAGTAAGCAAGGTTTCCACCAGCAAATGAAGTTGCCGCAAGTATTTTTGAAGCATGCTCAATTCCACCAAAATTGTAGGTGTAATCGGATCAGAAAGTATCGAGTGTCTAGTTTGAGACAAGAATCGCTCAGAAATCGAGTCAAGAATGTCTCGAAGTGGCTGCAAGCCAGCTTCCAGTGAATGTTCGTTGCCTAGTATAGTGTCGATATTAAGCAAATGGTGAACGAGCTTATCGTCCAAGCCAACCAGATTATCCATGGGAGTATACTCATAGCCCCCAGAATTAATAATCCGATCAAAATGGTCTTCCAGAAGTTCCGTTTCGATCGAAGGTCGGTGGTTCGCCTCTCCACTTAAAGCTCCCGAACGGGCAAGAAGTTGCCGCATATCTGCAACACTGTTGTTGTTGCTGCTTGACCGGCTCTTGTTCATGTCGTTTATGGCATTGTAGAATTGGTTTACCAACCGGCTCTTATCATTTGGTTGGGTAGGTACACTTCGAATGACAGGACTAGGTCTCGATTTTTCTTCGTCGTGGCGAAGTTCCATGGCTCGTGTCGATTTCCTCGGTGACACTGAGTTATTACCAGCCGCTGGGAACCCTTTGGCAGAAGTAGACGACTTGGTACGAACATGGAGTTGGGGTCTCGGTATTACTAAACGAGACACATTTCCCGCTGACGATGATCTGGGTACATTTTGGTTTACACTCAGCTTTGAATTTCCATTGGCTGACTTCCCAGGGGTAGCGGGAGTGTCGCTGATACCACCGCTGGCGTCAAAGTCGACGTCTGCTGCAGATAGTCGTTGAATGTCTGGAGCTACCATGCTGCGGATAAAAGAATGGGGAATTTTGAGAGTGGGTGTGCAGGAAAAAGACCAAGAGCATCTACAAAAATCTAGAAATGATTAGTGTTTGACTTCGAAGCCGTATGAGCCAATTTAGTCAATTGTATCATCTGGTGATTCTTGGTAATGGGGAGCTTCCTTTACAATGACAATTATATTTATTATCTTGCAGTCTATTTTGCAGCAGCAGAGCCTCTTCCACCAGCTCCAGATGCAATGAGATCGAGTGTTTCCTGGCTCAATTCTATGTCTGGCAATTTGTCTCCGCCAGAAGGTGGGCTGAACAAGAACCCAGTTTTCACAAGATAGCTGATATAGATACCCATCTGGGCAACATCAACTCCTGCACCTTGAGACCGGTCTACACCAGTATACTTGTGGTCTGCCTTCAACGACTTCACTGCCATGGCATCGTCTAATTCGGGTGCTTTTGTGTTTTGGGGCAAGTTATCGAGCACAAAGTGAAGCAATGGGAACAATGCCGAGTCGGATTTTTCAACGACATATCTCTCCAATGATACCTTCCAAGATGGATAATCATCCAATTGAAGTTTAAAGCCATACTTCTTAAGTACGCTGATAAACTCATTCATACGGATTCTGGGGTGGCCCGTGACTTGAGCAACGGGCAAAATGTCCTGTGCTGGTGGGTGCAATGCCGTAGCGGTGACAACACTGGCGACATGATCGACTGGAACCCAGTTGACGGTGTTCGAGATATCAGGGTATGATTCCAACTCAGCACAACCCTTGAGCATTCTCAAGAGGAAATCGTCGGTGTTGGAAGCTCCAGTCTGAGAAAACCCTCCAACGTATCCTGGACGAGTAATACACCCTCTTAACCCACGGTCTCCAGCAGCACGAACTATGTATTCTGCCGACCACTTGGACTGACCATAACCAGTTCCAAGACCCTCAGCACTACCACTCAAGTCATCTGACTCAGGTACTCCAGGAAGTCCCTTACTGGTGAGTTCATCCGACAAACGGAAGTAATGCTCAGTGTCCAATGCAGATGTCGAAGACACGAACGAAAATTGCTTGGGCTTTCCAACTCCACACAAATTCATTATTTCAATAGTGGAAATGACGTTAGCATCTCTCAACTTGGAGTATGGATACACCCAGTGAACAAGTGCACCGTTGTGAACAATGACATCCACCAAATCGGCAAATTCCTTGTATTCTGTTTCACCCCATCCAAATTTGGGTTTGCTCAAATCTCCCAAAACGACCTCAATCTTTGCGGACCAAGACTCGTCCCAGATGCCATAAGTCTTTCCCGCATCTCTCAAACGCTTTAAGCCAGCTTCCTTACTAGCAGCACGTACATGAGCATACACTTTGAAGTTGCAATCTGGACGACTAACGAGCAAATCACGAAGGATAAACGATCCTAAGAAACCAGTAGCTCCAGTAAGGAACACATTAATTTGCTTGGAGAAGTCAAGAGGAGGCGCTGACTTATAAGACGAAAGAAGCTGAGTCTTCACCAATTCTTTTGCGTCGGAGGCATAGTCCACCTTTTCAGAGGAGGCATCCTCAACATTATTTTCTCCGTCCGCAAGCTGGAAGTCGTTACCCTTGATAAACTTGTTAATTTCCTTTGAAAACAGCTCGATGGTTGGATTGCTGAAGATAACACCCAAGGGCACATCGACATGCAATCTCTTCCGCAACTCAAAAATCATTCTGGTTGCGAGAATCGAATGGCCTCCCAAGTCAAAGAAAGACTCACTCTTGGAAATGGTTGCGGGATGTGTTGGTAACACTTCCACCCACAAATCATGAATAGTTTTTTCAAATTCATTGAGGTCTTCCTTTTCTGTTTCGGTGGATTTGTTCAACTTTGAGGCGGCAGCCAATTGCGCAGTATCTGGGAAGGGTAACCTTGGCTTGTCGACTTTTCCATTAGGATTAAGAGGTAATTTGGCTAAAGGCACCACAAAAGTGGGAACAGCATACGATGCCAATCTCTTTTTCAAGTGGGCTTTAATGTCCTTGATGAGCTCGGCGTAAATGGCAAGACCTTCAACGACAGGATCAGGCTTCTCCAACTCACCCACCTCAGCTTTAAAGTTCTTCAAATCAGGAGTATCCTTTGGAACAATATAGGAGATAAGGGTTGGCTCTTCATTTTTGTCTCTTCTAACCAAAGTCACATTTTCTCTGACTAATGGATGCTGGGACAAATGAGTGTCGATTTCACCAAGTTCTATTCTGAATCCTCTGATTTTCACCTGATCATCAGCACGTCCACAACACTCGACATCTCCTGAGGGAGTATACCGGCCCAAATCTCCAGTTCTGTACAATCTGTCTCTGGGCCCGAACCAGCCTTCTTGTCTCCATGTCTCAGACAGTTTAGCATTTGCTTTATCGAGTTCAACCCACACGTTAGGATCAACGTACCAATTGGTTACAAATTTCTCCTTGTTCAAATCTGGGAGTCCTCTGTAACCCTCGGCAAGTCCAGCAGCACGAACATAAATTTCGCCCACTTCTCCAACACCACAAGTTTGAGTTCTGTCCTTCCTGTTCACCACCAAAAGCTGGACGTTTTTCATTCCTCTACCGGCTGGCATAACATCTTTCAATGTCTTGAGGAACACTGGATCTTCGCTTCTGCTCTTGATCTCGAAATAAGAAACAGCCCTTTGAGTCTCGGTGGTACCATACATATTCACAATAGTAACATTTTCAGCGAGACTTTGTAACCTTAAACAATCTCGTTTGGTGAGAATATCTCCGACGAAGAAGGCATGATGCAAGGATGGAATTGGTGTGGTTGCCTCAGCACTCAACAATTGACCCATAGCCGGGGTCAAATGGGTCACGGTCGCACCATACTCTGCGATCCATTCAGCCAACTTTCCAGGAGTTCCTATATCATCAGCTGTGGGAATTATCAACTGGGCACCCAAGAACAATGGGGTGAACATATCTCTCTGAATTGGATCATGAGCAATTCCCGAAAGCATGGTAAACTTATCATCTGCCGACAAGTTGAACTTTTCGCTCATCCATGGGAAATAATAGGCCAAAGAGTAGTGACGACCTAAAACACCCTTTGGAATTCCTTCGGATCCTGAAGTGAATGATAGCGTTGGATTTGAGTCGGGACCAACCTTGACTCCAGTAGGTGACGAAGCAAGACTCTGATAATCTTCAAGACAGTCTCTTGTTTGCCCTTCCAACTTTCCACCTTGCAACGAACCATCGTCGTTGACTCGCATTTGCGGAATGGTGGTTATAACCTCCAATTCGTCCTTGATGTAATTCTTAACCAAGTCATCCAAAACACCCGCTTTCTCCAACACGATAAGACCTTGAGGACGAGCCACTGACAAGTATATGTTCTGACGAGCTGGAGGGTATGCAATGTCGATAACGGAGAAAGTAGCACCGGCTTTAAGTACACCCATCACTGCGATCATAAGATCCACACCTCTATGAGCGTAGATCATAACAATATCACCTTTCTTGATTCCAGTTTCCTTTAAATAGTTACCCACCAAATTTGAAGTTTCGTTGATTTGTTTGTAGGTGAAAGTACGAGTCTTTGAGGCGGGATCTAAGAAAGACTTTGTTTCAACCACACATGTTTTGGAAGGATGACGAGCTGCGTTCTCCATGAATATGTCCTGGATAGCACCACGGAAACCGGACCAGTCCAAATCGGTGGTAGGATCTGGAAGTTGGTCGATTTGACTTTTCGTGATGAGGCTTACTTTGGCAATTTCAACCTCAGCATTATCACTAACACCTGAAGCAAAAGCATTGAACTGCTCAGCCATGATACTTATACGTTCATTCTTGTAGAGAAGCGAGTTGTAAAAGAACTCTAGTGTCTTGTTGGTCTCGGACATGAACACGGCCACATCTACCGTCGAACCCACGGCCAAGTTTGAAAGTTGTTGCAATGGCTTTGAGTGCTGGAAACTCAATTTGAACAATCCTGGCTCATCGTCCAATCCCTTGGATGCCTTGATACGACGGGCGACTTCGTCTAACGTTTGGTAGTTGATATGGCTGGTTGCAGTCTTGATCTCATGTTCAACTTTGGCACGCAATTCTTTGAAAGTAGTGGACTCAGCAATGGCCAATCTCACAATAAGCGGCTTGCCATCCTCCGTATCTGTCGCAATTACCACATCTTCATCTCCTGTTAATCTGTAGATAAGTGCAGCGAATGTTGCAAGACCAGCGGTGAAGGAAAAATTGGAGGCAAGATTTACTTGATAGTTGGCTTCAACCGACGAGTTATTGACGGGCTTGAGGAAATCATGTGGGAGCACTGACAACGTAGGATTGTCCAAGTAGTCGATCCAGAAGTCAGACATGATTTTGATTGGTACTGTAGTGGTGAAAAATGTGAGACTCGAGAGTCGCATGCAGTCTATGAGTCATGAGCATAGAGGAGGAAATGTTTTAAGAAAGGAAACTAGGTTGTCTTGTGTGATGGTAGAAATGTCTGTGTGATGTAGTAGCAATGTCTGTGTTGGTTTGAAGAGATTTAAGGTTGGAAAATATAAAGAAATTTAAGACGGGATTGATTTTGAGGAAGTGATTCATAACCAATTGGATATTTTAATATGGCTGAAATCAGAAAGCAAAGCAGGATTCTATGATGATCATTGCAATCGCTAAGAAGATTTAGGAAATCTTATTTTTTTTACCAACGATTAAAATTGCAGCCGTCTGAGTACTTTTGTGCTGCGAAATGCATAAAGCCTGATGAAATAGACGTTTAAATTCCAACGAAATTTCATTTTCAGAATACACATTCAAACTGTTACATTCGGAGTGATTTTACCCATTTAGTACTGAATGTTGGCTGTTTGTCAGTTTTGCTAAAACTGTATGATACAATTGCACAAATCAACTCCAGTCTCTAAAGCCTATTAACTACTATTGGTCAATAAGGGCTAATAAAGCATGACAGAGCACTTTTATACATATACTCATCATGTTTTCGACTCAATCATTTTAGGACAAGCACCATTACTTGCCCGTTGGTGCACAAAAATCCTCAATTCGCGACTCTCTTTTTTATATTCAACAACCCTCTGAAAATGATCAGGTGGTTACTATTTCTTGTATATCTCCCCTTATTTATTGCTTCGCCAGGTGACGACTTGGACGAATTCGACGAGTGCAGACACCGATGTGAATCAATAACGTGTAATTATAGACTTTTCGAATCGGATCCAAATCGATATCATCGATCTGTTGCCAATTTTAACGAAAAAAATAGATTCGACTGGAATTTCGATCCCTTGCCCTTACCAAAGCACTTGAAACTACTTTATTGGACGTGTGAACAGAATTGTGACTATCAATGTCAGCGTTTGGTCACCCAGCAACGCGTGGACGAAAAGGAAGAAGTGCTTCAATTTCACGGTAAATGGCCATTTTTACGAGTTTTCGGCATCCAGGAATTTGCTTCCATGATATTTTCCATTGGTAATTTGCTTGTTCACTTGCAAGGATTGCGGAAAATAAAGCACCAAATTGATACTTCACCACCTCACTATGGACTGTACTTTCATAATATCTTGATTGTGTCAGTTGTAACCCTGGCAGCGTGGATATGCTCCACCATATTCCACATTCGAGACTTTGAACTCACAGAAAGATTAGACTACTTTTTGGCTGGTCTCACAGTATTGACTGGTTTCCATGCTGTGTTTGCTCGAGTTTATCGATTATATCTTCCCGACCGGAAATTATGGCTGGCCGCTTTCACCGCATTGTGTGTGGCCTTGTACTCTGGTCATGTGTACCACTTGGTGACTGACTGGCTGTACACCTACAATATGAGGGCCAATATATTTATTGGAATTTTACAGAACATATGCTGGGCTATGTTGTGTTTCGATTTGTACATTCGGTATTACGATGTGGAGCATAATCATCCTGAAAAGTCCATGAACTTTGCACGTTACACCAAGTGGAACACGGTTGTTCTCAGTTCGTTTTTCCTTCGCTCGTCTAAGCTTTATTCGCTATATCCGCTACTCTTATGTGTCATCGTGATATGTGGCATGGCATTGGAAATTTTTGATTTTGCACCCATTTTTTATGACTTGGTGGATGCTCATTCATTGTGGCATTTGGTGACGATTTTCCCTGCCTATTACGGGTGGTACGATTGGATGATTTGGGATATCCGCGAGAATGTATGGCAAGATGTTAAGCAAAAAGCCGATTAATCTTCAGCTTCTGGAACGTATGGAGGGGGCTTAAAGTACTCTTGGTCTGCCTTCACCGCCTTACGGAATGCTTCACGATCGTTGACAAATTCGTCCAAGTATTCAAGTTCCAAGTCATGAACTTGGCGTCCCATCAACACCAATGAATGCAATGGTTCTCCAGAATCATATTCCGCCATTTCCGCCAACGTTCCTGCTTTGAACGTCTGGGTAGGCAGGCCAAGTCTGGAGATGGCTACACAAGGAGAGTCAGGAGTATATGCCTTCTGTCCCTTCAATTCTTCAATCTCAAGCATTTGCTTGGCAGCAGTGGCAATGTCCATATACCGAGGTGGCTCATAAATCAATCTGCCACGAGCCATGTTTTCTATGCTTTGTTCTTTGACTTTTATATCAAGCAAAAGGAGAGTATGGAGTCCAATTCTACGGTTTTCAAGCACTTTATCATAAAACGAGGCCGGTTTCCAGGTTTCAGTGAAAAACACAAGCGAAACAGTTTGTCCAAACTGATATAATTGTAATCCACAAGCACCAACTGCGTTCATAACTGAAGCATTGTGGATGGCTTCGACCTTGATTCCAAGCTCTCTAGCACGAATTATAAGATCTGAATGGGTGGTTGCTCCAAAAGGATCACCCACAACCATAAATGCAATGTCCTCGGTATCGGCGTCCTTCAAGATTTCGTCAGAACCACTTTCTACAAGTTCTCTGTCGGCCAAAATCACTTCTCTACCATAGAACTTTTCCAACGATTGTTGATCTGCAGCCATGAGGATGGAAGTGTATGCCTCCAAATATACACGCTTACATTTTCTGACCACCTCGAGGCCACGTACTGTTATATCTGTCTCATAGGAGAGTCCCAAACCCACTAGGTAGAGCATTGTAAAATGTTGAAGAAATGCGATGCGAAAGAGTTGATGAGGACGCGCTGGTGTGCGGGTGTCGATTCATAGGAAAGGTGTTGGTATAAGCTATATGGAATTTCGCAACTTGTCTACTATTTGTACCAAAAACGAGTTTGTGTCTGGACCCACCAACTCTATGATTTTGGCTCCGTAGAGCCGCAATAAATTCTGAGTATACTCTAGTGATTTGGTTTCCACCTTCATGTACTCCACTGCTTCTTCCACGAGCTGAAGATTTTGCTGGCGTTGTTTCATATCCATCTGATAGAGGAGTGTTCTAACCGGAGAGTCCTCTGTCAGGGTGTGTAAACAATGGAGAATTGGCAAGCTCAACTTGCCTTCCACCAAATCTTCACCTTTCATGCCCTTCATATGTGAGTATTTGTCGTCAACTAAGTTCATAAGGTCATCACGGATCTGGAATACAATCCCGAAGAGATTAGCTATGGCCAACACAGTTGGCTCGTCTTGTGGGGTGCTGAAAGCTCCCAAGAGTTTAACGGCAAGCCGAAATAATCCTCCGGTTTTGTTCATGATCATTTCCATGTATTCTTCTATCAGCGGGAGCTTGGTTGTCTTGAGATGATCCCGCCAGTGTATATCGAGGCCCTGACCATGATGCAAATTGAGCAACTCTTCAACGAGAATATTCAGTATGGACAATGCAATATCATTTTTGTTGTCGCTAGGGTGGTATTGAGGGAGTTTCTGTTGAGCTGTTTGAAGAGCTACAAAGTACATCAAATTACCACAATTGAGAGTCAGAGCCACCCCGTACTTTGTATGGGCAGCAGGAAGACCCCGACGAAACTCAGAGCCATCTTCAATGTCGTCAATTAGGAGTGACGAGTTATGGAACACAGTTATAACTTCGCTAATGGTAGCGATAGTATCATGGTTGTCGATGGTAAAGTAGAGATCGTTAAAGCTTTTGATAAACTGGGTTCTGATATCGCCATTAGTGCCTGGAATCGCAGCAAGATAATCGTACGGAAGACGAATGGCGTCAGGAATCATTTGCGGTTGCGAGTAGATAAGTGTATCGATGAGTTCCATGAGAAGCGAAACACGAAGTTGATCAAGGATGACAAATAGTCATTAATTTGTTCTGTGAGTGTGGTTGTTTAGCCTTGAAAGATAGGACTTCAATTGTTGGCTCTAATTGTTGCCTCTAGTGCTTGTCCAATTCCTGTCCAATTCTTGTCCAATTATTGCCCCTGTTTGCCTGTTTGCCTCTATTTCTTGTCAATTCTAAGCAAGCTTAAATAAGGTTTGGTGTCAACAAGTTTGGTAACTAGTGCCGAATTTGCCCCAAATAGCCTATTTGACTTTTAGGATTTTGCCCGCGCAACGCAACTTTGAAGCGTCATTGTTTCGATTTAGCGAAACATTCCTCAGCAAATTCTACGTCATTTTCCACAAATGGACCGCGTTGGCCAATTGGTCACCAGAGTGCCTCCAGTAACCCGATACTGGTTGTTACTGATTATTGCATCTGCTACCCTCACATCTTTAGGATGGTGTAGTTCCAAGCAACTTTTATTTACGCCTCAAAGAACTTTCTGGTCTCAGCCGTGGCGTCTCATCACTGCGTTTTGTCATTTTGAAGGTCTTTCGTTCAGTCTTTTGGTTCGAGTATACTATATGATGGGATCGGCGCTGGATCTAGAGAGCAAATTTACCACTCCGTTATCCATGTTTCCTCCACGCCGAATGGCCCGATTAAGTGAGTCAAAACATGCTACGCTACGGGCAATGGTGGAAGCCTACAAAATCCCAGATTACTTGTACTACATGGCATCAATTGCTGCTCTGATAATTGTCGTCGTCACCATCGGTTACTACAAACTTGGAATCAATGTAAGCGAATTGAGCACAGTTCTCGATTCTGTAATATGGTATATCTGGTGCCGTCAGAACCCTCAGTCTCCGGTGGTGATTTTTGGGCTTTTCAGCATTCCAGGAGCTTATGTTCCTTGGTGCTTAACTGTGATGCACGCTATCACGCAAATTGACTTTGCTCATCAGGTTTACGCTTCACTTCTGCTTGAGGCGTCGGCTGTCCGCCTGGCGGTGTACATGCCGTTCCTCTGGAACGAATTTGTCAACTACACCGTGGGCCATTTTTGGTGGTTCTCCAGAGACTTTTTGCTTGCGAATGTCTACTTTGACAAAAACGAAGAACGCCGAAAAATCGCATGGTCTGAGACCAGACAGACCCAGCGGGAGTACGCGGGCCGCGGACCGCTTACCACCAGCGATTTGCTTCGATTATTCATGCTTCCGCCATGGTACTGGAGTATCTTAAATCGGGTAGAGGCGATGCCGGAAAGCGACGAAAACGACGAAAATGAACAAAACCAAAACGACCAAAACGATCAGAACGACCAGACTGACGAGATCAGTCAGTTTGAGCAGAACGACCAGATCGAACATAATGAGAACGACCGGCATGTGCTTAATGGAAATGAAAATCAAGTACAAGTACAAGTACAAGAATGAGAAAGAGCATGAAATCTCAAAGAACGAGATACGATAAAACAACTACGATCATCTTGCCAATAGACTACATCATATTTGCATACTACCATACTTTCCTTAACCGCAGCAGTTTCTGCACCCAGACACCGCGCCATCCCTGCACATCCCTCTGATCCGCTCTCATTCACACGTTTCCATGCCAGGTGCCCTGAGTAGTACAGTGGCACAAATGAAGTCGGAGGCTTCGATGGCAGAAGAGACAACTTCTGAGGACACTCCTCATTCCAATCCGAATGTCCCGGACTCGGAATCAGCCACCAGACTTGCGCCTTTGCACCCGATTCGGAAAGAAGTTGAAACTACTACCACATTTCATCCCCTGATTTCTGCCTTAACTCAGGGGTTTGTCCGTTATCTTCGAGAACCACGGTTTCAGGCCCCACTTTCCTTGGAAGAGCTTAAAGTTCTTTTCAATAGCTTTTACGATGACCTTAATGGACTTGCAATCAATGTGTATACCCAGTCAAATTCAAGCAAAAAGCGTCTTATCGCCCAACTGGATCATTTCAATGCCCATCCTCATCACTACGATTACCTTTTAGCCATCGCCAACTACTCACTGTCGTCCATCAAGCTTTCAAAGCGAACCGATAACGAATCTCTCATGCAACTCCGAGTGTTCAATTACTATAAATACCTTACTGTGGCTAAGGCACTCGAATGTGCTCACACCGAACTATTTTCTGCATCCACCCTGCCGGATGGCCTGCTGTTACATGAGAAGCTTCAAAGGTTTGATCACCACGATATAGTGTTCCAGGAATTTCTTGACGACAAGTTAGAAGCCATGAAGAATATTCCATTCGAAGCATTTTCAGAAGGTGATCCTTATCCACTCGTGGATAAACAGGAAGAAATACAAATGCTCCTGCGACTACTTGCACTGGTCAAAGAAAAGGTGACTCCACGTGAAAAGTTGAATGTGGTGGTGCACTTGCAACAGCGTCTCATCACACTTCTTTCCGAATGTTCAGCAGGGAAGACAAGTAAAGATGTCTCTGCTGATCATTTGCTTCCCATACTCATCCATTTTCTTGTATGTCATGGATCGGGCTGTGATCTCTACCTCACATTCATGTTCATAAAAAACTTTCTCAATCTTTTGGACCCTACTGGCATTGATCCTCAACATTTCACTACTCACTCTTCATTCTCCAACTATGCACCCGAGACCCGTCTGGTGATCCACAAGAAGCGAGCTCGCAAGCTGCTCTTTGAGTGTTTGAACCTCAACCTCGATGACACAGAACATCCAGTCAAAGACTTTGATTTTTTTGACTCCGACAAAGAAACTTGCAGCACACCTTCAAGCAGAGTACCTTAACAATGGCGAGCTTATGTATTACTTGACGAATTTTCGAGGCAGCCTTGTTCTTCCTCCTGAATGTCACTGGCGATGAGTTGCAATTGCAAAATGGAAGCTGAGATTTTGTCCACCTCTATTATCAAGCTCGTGGAAAAAGATATGCTTACCCAATTCAAATTCCCTGACGAAATCAAGCAAGAAAGTGGTTCAAGCGTCAGCTCTTCACCTGTCCGTTTGCGCAATAACCGCAGCCGTTCTACCTCACTTTTAAATGCCATAAGCAGCCGCTTGAATGCCGGGTCTATAATCACCACACGTCTGCGGTCCAACTCGGGGAACAATTCAGGTCCGACAAGAAGAGAAACTTTTCCATCAATGGAGGTTACCGAAGACGACGGCTCGCTGCTTATGAGGAGTTTGATCACACGATTTAGTCTGGTGTCCGTTCCACAGTTCAGAACCCCTACTAGCGAGGGAGATACAGATAGCATTGATGTTAGACTCGATTCTGAACGAGCAAATCTGGTGGATGATCATGTTGACCCTAAGCGGAACTCCATCACACAAAAGTTTTCCACAGGAGTTACCGAGTTCATGACCCGCATTGGTCAGTCACAGAGCCAAAACCAAAGCTTTACCACCATCGCTAACCATGCAAGCCAGACTTCGCTCGACCTAAAAGGAGCCGAAGGAGCTCGTAGCAGAACCACCAGTATACAGATAATGGATCGGTGGTTTGGGGCGATATCCCAATCAGCTCCAGAGGTGGAGCACAACGATTCGACGGTAGAATCTCAGGAAGAATCTTCTGTGTTCAGTGCTCCGATTAGAGAACTCACAAAGTACCAGGATACAGACTTTGATTCACTCACTATTCAAGATCTTCGAACTCTCAAAGCATACTATGATCAGCTATGTACAGAATTGGGTGTGAGCAAGTCAGAAAGCAAAACCACCGGAGACAGCCACAGTCTTCGGGAAGGGTTATAGGATACGAGTTAGACGAATTATATAGACATGCATATACGAATTTTGCTAGCATAGATACTACTATTATAAATTTGCAGCTCTGCATTTCAGACCGCACCTGCATATAACCCCGGGTCGCAGATCCGCTACTATATAATACTAGAAGCTTCTCTTTAATGGTTCATGCCCAGTAGGAAACGAAGACTTTCAAGCTATGACGACAGTTCCAAACGAATCCGCTTGGACAGCTTGTTTAGCTCGTTGTCTCTTGACGATCAAGAAGAGCTAGAAGTTAATCCAGGTCTAGATCATGCTCCATCCACAGATGATATCAATTCATACATTGTGAAAAAATTAGCATTGCAATACATGGATGCACAAAAAGCACGTATGTCACTTATTAAGTACTATGACTGGCGCATCCTAGTAGTATATAACTTTCAGAGATGGGCTTTACGACTATTCAATCGATTTTGGCGTCGCTACAACCGTGCGCATGGCCGCAAACAATTTAAAACATTCCGATTTTACCACCAAATCATGGACCTATTGAGCCAGACTCGTTCAATAACATTGAACCATCTAGCGTCAATTTTGGACCAAGAAAACCGACTCGAACAACTGCAGCTCAAGAGACGCCAACAAGCACGAACAGATAAAGAAGAGGCAATGTTGCATAAGGATCTAGGCTATAACTACTGGGACACTTTCGAGGGCTTTGATAGTGATGAGGAAATGATGGAGATAGAAATCGACGGTGTCGAAGAAGAAATGGAAGAATAACCACCAAGTACGTTGGTATCTACATCTGTGCACCAGGTGCTATCTGATCCAAAATTCGGCTTGGTTTACAACTATGGTGGATCTCGCCAACTTGCTTCTTCGACTTCCCCCAGAAATTGTTCTCCGCATATTTTCGTTTCTCACTACTGTTGAGATTAATAAACTAGCTTCTGATCTTGAGCACACAGATGATGGGGATCGTTACCATTCACTTATTATCCTTGCGTACAGCCTGCTTTATCTGAAGACACTAGTGATGGACTCTACCGAGACATATATGCCCAAACATGTTGGACAGGAGCGAAACTATATCGACATTTACCTGCTTTCCCTGGTGGTTTCATGCAGCCCAGTATCGTTAAAGCAGAAAGCATTGATCTCTACTTGTCCCAACTCATTGACATTTTGTTTCACCAGAGAGCTTATGGATCCAAAGGTATTTATGGAAGAGCTCAACACCTTTAGTGACATGTTAACTCGTCTTGTGGCTCCTCAGAAAGGCATAGCTGAAAGTACCACTCATCAATATCTCAACATGATCAATGGTTTCTCTCTCGTGATAAGTAGTGGCCGCGACCAGTCATCCATCGAACTCCCAACCGCAGTGGGAGTGCTGATCTTGAGGCTATTGACCCATTTGGCAGATCCTCGTGCCAGCTTGAGTCCCACATTGCTGCTGAAGCTTGTCTCTCTCGATATCCACAACTCGGACTTGGGAAACTTTTTGCATATAGAATGGGGAAGGTTGCTCTGTCGGTTTGAAAACTTGCAGCTGCTCAAATTGAACAACAATCTCATTGGAAACCTCATAGAAGAGTTTGAATGGCCGGCAAAGCTACGTATACTAACCATTGCCAATAACAAGATAACTTCACCTGATTTTATCTCGCGGCTCCCCAAGACACTCGAAGTCCTTTCACTTGGAAGAAACTACTTTGAACGTATTGGATTCGAAAATTCAGACCTTCAATTAGCCTCATTTCCTCGTTTACGATACCTCGATCTCGAACGCAGTTATTTGCTCAAAAAGATCAATCTGCATATATTTCACAATATTGGGTCAAAGGGCAACTTTTCAACCTTAGCTCTTTACAACTGCACACTTACCGATGACTGCTGGCACGATTTGGAATTGGCAGCATCCCAAGAGAATTTCAACATTCTAAGAGGCACTGACGAATTTGGTTAGGGTCCTGTTTCGAACATCCTGCACACATTCCCTTCAGCTAGTCGCGGCTGATTCGTTCCCGCGGTCGCTTTCAACGAAACTGTGTATTTCATGCTTCGAGTATCGGTGCTAGCGCCAACCATACGGTCCTGTTTGGTTCGGCCGGTACGTTCGCGCACGCTCATTCATCACCTAAAACCTTTAGTAGGTCCACAAAGGCTTTACGTTCGCTTCAATTCTTCCAACCAGTCGCCGCCACCTTCGAACGAAGACGTCAAATCGACTAATGAACCACAACCCAAACCAGGCCGCCCAAAAAATCTCTTTAATGACTTGAAACGACTTATCAAACTTGCAAAACCAGAGACAAAAGTACTTGCCGCGGCATTGTTGTGTCTTGTCACCACTTCATCGGTATCCATGTCACTTCCCTTGTTCATAGGAAAGATCATCGATACCACGAAAGCTCCGCTCGAGGACGCAGCAACTGAAATCACTATATTAGGACTTCCAGAATACCAATTTTACACTTCACTTTTAGTACTTTTTGGCATAGGTGCTTCTGCCAACTTTGGTCGGATGTACTTGTTGCGCTCAGCCGGTGAACGGCTCGTGGCTCGACTAAGATCACGCGTCTTCTCAAAGATCCTTAGCCAAGATTCCTATTTCTTTGACTTGGGACCATCTAAAAATGGGATGAAAACTGGTGATTTGATTTCTCGTATATCAAGCGATACCCAAATCATTGCAAGAACCATGAGTGGAAATATATCGGATGGTGCCCGTGCGCTTATCAGTGGCGTTGTGGGACTTTCAATGATGTCATATGTCCTGTGGCAATTGACCTTATGTATGAGCTTGATATTCCCTCCTCTCATCATAATGTCTACATTCTACGGACGGAGAATAAAAAGTTTGTCTCGCCAAATCCAGGAAAATCTTGGAGGAATGACGAAAGTTGCTGAAGAAAAGTTCAATGCGATCAAGACCATCCAAAGTTTCGGTCAACAGAAACGGGTTGTCCACGAATTCAACCAAGAAGTTAGGAAAATTTTTACAACTTCTACGCATGAGGGGTTTCTCAGTGGTATATACTATGGTGGTAATGGATTGCTTGGTAATGTCACTATGGTGGGCCTTTTGGTGGTTGGTACCAAATTGATAGCCTCGGGTGATATTTCCATTGGAGATCTTTCAAGTTTCATGATGTATGCCGTGTATACGGGACTGTCAGTATTTGGACTCGGCAACTTTTATACAGAGTTGATGAAAGGACTAGGTGCGTCCGAACGTGTGTTTGAGCTTATGGATCTGAAACCTAGCATAACTACCAGCTTGGGGCGTAAGATCAAGGATATCCACGGAGATATAGTTTTCCGCGATGTCAAGTTCCATTATCCTTCGAGACCTGATTCACCAATATTTGGTAATAAGCCATTGAATCTTACGATCAAAAAGGGCGAGCACGTTTGCTTTGTTGGTCCATCTGGAAGCGGTAAATCGACGATTTCACAATTGCTTCTTCGATTCTACGATCCTATTGAAGGCAGTGTAATTGTCAACGGATACAACATCAAGGATATGAACCTCACTCACTTTAGACAACAAGTGGGATACGTTCAACAAGATCCTGTCCTTTTCAGTGGCACAATTGAAGAGAATATTCGATTTGGCAAGCTTGACTGTACTGCAGCCGACATCAATGAGGCACTTGAGATTGCCAATGCATATAATTTCATTCAGGCATTTCCCGCCAAGCTCGATACGATTGTGGGACCCTCGAGCAGCGCCCGGTTGAGCGGAGGACAGAAACAGCGGCTCTCGATAGCGAGGACCCTTATTAAGCGGCCCGAGATATTGGTGCTTGACGAGGCCACTTCGGCGTTAGATACAAGTCTGGAAGAGATAGTGATGCGCAACCTCATGGCTGTGGCCGGCGAGAGGCAGTTTACAATGATACTGATTGCCCATCGGCTTTCTACAATCCGCAACAGCGAGCGGGTGATTGTACTTGCAGGCGATGGACAAATAGTTGAAGATGGCTCATTCGACGAGTTGTACAATAATCCCGACAGCGAATTGAACAAGCTTTTAAAGACATATAGAGAGTAGTACATAGAGAATGTGCAGAAAATGTACATAGAGCATTAAGATATTTATAGTGAAGACTGAAATAATAACGCAGCGCTGAAATTACCCAGACCGCATATTTTCAGCCCCGGCCGCTCGGTAAGCTTGGTCGCGGCTTGCGCGGCTCGGGCTCTGGAATCGAAAATTAACCTAAATTCGATACAGTGCGATGTCCGGGTGTGGCTATCGGCGGCATGTGAATATTCAAACACTAACAATCATTTCGGACTTGAGCGGTCTATCTCTCGTGGTACATCTCATTTTATCTTGATTATATTTTTCCGCAATTTATACTTTGCGCTATTAGTGATCTTAAACCTTTGTACACAAATACCACCCTCAGTGCCAATTATCGGCACCTTTTACCATGGCTGATAATGAGCCAGCAATGGCGACGAAACAGCATAACGCCGAACTATTGCCACCGACGCGAACGACATCTGAGCCACCTTTGTACAAGAGGCTTGGGAATATGGTGATTCCTCCTTTACAGTCTTCATTCTCATTCTTGAGTCCCGGTGGTACTTCTGAAGAAGATGAGTTTCCCTTTGAAGATTCAAACAATTCAACTCCGCGAGAAGATGAAGATGACAAGGCCACAGGTTTTGGTGAATTGAAGCCACTCAATCAATTCTTCAACATGCTAACGGCTACACTGGTCCAATCTGGTCATTGTTTTTTGAAGCAATTGCGCAGTGGTGCCGGTCTGCCCGAGCCCGGGTTGCACCGGGCAAGGTCTCCGCTGTTGGCGTATGGAGTATTCGACTATGAGAGTGACGAGGACACTGAAAGCGATACGGCGGATGACTCTCTGGTGAAAGAGAATGGGCCACAAAATGATTCAAAAGTGACAATTGTGAAGGATGCTGACTCAGAACTGAAACCAATGGAAGAACCAGCTCCACGAATATCAACCTCGGACACTCGCTCCTCCTACAATGAAGACTTACATTCTGACACTTCTGCAGACACCTTTCATGACGCAGCACTGCGAAGACTGGGCCTCTTGGATTTCGAGAAGGTTGCTCCCACGGCAGAGTTTGAAACAATCCAGGAAAATAGCTTTGAGTCTAGTGCTCTTGATGACACACTGGACCAAAGAGACAGCAAGTTGTCTGTTTTCCAGCAATCCATACTTGACAACTTAGACCCGCAATTGATACACGAGGGAGTGTTAATTGTTCATAACGAAAAGAAGGACCACCTGACGACAGAAAACAAAGACTCCGAGTTGTACAAGCGCAAAGTTCGGGACCTTCGCCTAAAGATAGCTGACAAGTTGACTTTAGTATTTCAACTCAAAGATAATGAGTACTTTTGTGGTAACTACAATGCTTGGCTCGCCAAAGACGTTTTGCTCCAGGGCCACATTTACTTGACCCATAAGAATCTCCTCTTCTTCTCGTTTCTTCCCAAGAGATATCTGCACGATAATATGACTGACAGCGATGGTTTTCAGCTGGTGGACGATTCTGACGACGTCGTCCAGGCGGGTACGTTGAGCATGCGGAACCCGAACTTTACTGATCAAATTCTTTCTGGACCCATGGCACACCGGTTCTGGGTAATTCTTCGGCTGGAAACCTTGTCGGTTTATAGCTCTGCAGTGGATCTTTACTTTCCCACGGTGGTAATTGATCTCAAAGATTGCATTCATGCCGAAATAGAAGATCTGAAAGCAAACCGAGAAATGGGTATAACCTCCCCTCGTTGTGGCTTTGGGAAATACTCGGAAACAGCGACACCGCGGTCGTACGACTCTACCGTTGATGAAGAGTCAGATATTAGCAGCTTTGTTGCACAGGACCAAAAACCAGAAGAAAATCCTTTGACGGGTGGGGTGTGGATACGTCTACAAACTAAGAAGAGAACTTTTCGATTTTGCGCAGATAATCAATTTTCTGCCAGAAAATGGGTCAATAATATCACTAAAGTGGTATTTCTGTTACAGAACTCGAATGCTCGTAATGAGGTGCTTTTCAAGGTGCCTATACAGCTGATCGATAGGATCGAGAAAAACATCTTGTTTGACGTGGCCAATAACAGCGAAACCGACGAGGAACCAACGATATCAGTCACTATAATCTATACTGTCAATCAAAAACGGCTACTGACTACTAGGATGAAAGAGCGACTTTCGAAACAGTCAAAAGGAGACGACGAACAAACTGTCAACTCCAATCAACGAAAAATCCATTTGTTGTTCTTCCAACACGGTGCAAAGTTCATGGAGGCGATATCTTGCTTCATGCTGGCTGATCAAGATGCCACTAGTGATGTTCAAACTATGTTTTCACGAGGCTCTGATCCCTCGCTGAAAATCTCCATGGAATCAGAAAGTATTATAAACCGTGCTAAAACCCCTAAACGCAAAGTTCTGCGTGTTGACTCTCGATCCGATCAATCAATATCGACTCTTTGCGATAATGATACAAATCAACTACTCGAGCAGCTCTTTGTGGGATCCTATGGGAGCACCCCTACGTTGACGCCTACAGAAACTAATAATGAACTGTCGACAATCAAAAAGATTGGCAAGTCATTGGCTTCTCCTTCAAGGCTCTTTAGTAGGAGTAGGTCTTCATCATTTGCTGACGAGAAAAGACTTGAATTCGTTGAGTCTGGAGGACTTGATGTCGCTTGGCAACTTCCACGAAAGCTATCACTTACGGGTCTTAAGAACATCAACTTCTCCTTTGAAGCATCTCAGAAGCAGGTTAGTGAGGCGGCTGCTCGTTATAATGAATTATCTGATGCTGAAACACCTGATGAATACGTGAAGTCAAAGTCAGAGATACTTTCCTCTCATACAGCTATGCCGACTCCATTGAATTTCGGTGAGGCATCAGAGTACGAGCAAGCGATGCCAAAGAAACTGTTGGGGTTAAAAACATTCAGCAAAAGTATCAAGGCCATATCTGGAATGTCTGGCATTTGGTCGTCTAATCCCACACATTATGAAAAGAAAGACAACGAAGACCCATACTATGAAAAAGACTCATCATTCCGGGAAATCTCCAATAAAAACTTTTTGAATCACTTTTCTTTCAACATGGAGAAAAGGCTTGTTGCCAGCTATACAACTCATTTACAACGTTCACTCCCAGTCTATGGTAAGCTATATTTGGGCGACTCTGATTTATGTTTCCGAAGTTTGCTTCCCGGGGTGTCTACCAAAATGATACTTCCACTCAAAGATTTAGAAAATTGTTATAAAGAAAAGGGAATAAAACTTAAGTACTCTGGGTTGGTGTTGGTTATACGAGGGCAGGATAAGCTTCTTTTGGAGTTCGGTTCTCAAAAAAGTCGTGATGACTGTGAGGCCATGATTTTGAGGCAACTTGAAATTCTTCATGGAAGAGAAAATTGGAGGCCCGAACCACACCAGTGGGGACCTAAGTACATTCCTGATGAGGTACAGGCACCAGGCATTGAGTGGAAAAAGGACATGGAGATGATGCACATACGAGCTAAGCAAGCAAGAAGGCGGCGTATCAATCAAGCGAGAATCCAAATGTTCGAGGAGAAGCTTAATGCGGCTATAGGCATGGATGTCCCATTGCTATTAGAAGATTCACCACTCATCAAGACCGAAGTCAGACCTTCTACTTCTTTTAAATTCACACTTTTGACGATTGGATCGAGAGGTGATGTTCAGCCGTATTTGGCTCTAGCGAAGGGTCTTCAAGAAGAAGGACACGATGTAACAATTGCAACTCACTCAGAATTCAAAGAATGGATTGAGGGACACAATGTGAAATTTCGTGAAATTGCTGGTAATCCGACAGAACTTATGGCTTTAATGGTAAGACACGGTTCTATGTCTGTGACGTTTATCAAAGAGGCTAGTTCCAAGTTTCGCTCTTGGATAACGGAGCTTTTGTCTTCTAGTTGGGACGCTTGTCAAGGAACCGACATCTTGATTGAAAGTCCAAGCGCTATGGGAGGAGTTCATATTGCTGAAGCCCTTGGAATTCCATATATGAGAGCTTTCACAATGCCATGGACAAGAACGAGAGCCTATCCTCACGCATTTATTGTTCCAGACCAAAAGAAGGGTGGCTCTTACAACTACTTGACTCACGTTATGTTCGAAACCCTTTTTTGGAAAGGGATATCTGGTCAAGTGAACAGATGGCGCCAGAATGAGTTGGGATTACCACGCACAAGTTTACTCAAATTACAGCAAACCAAGATCCCGTTCCTATACAATATCTCCCCCTCGATATTTCCTCCATCTGTCGATTTCCCAGATTGGGTCAAAGTGACAGGATATTGGTTCTTGAATGAGGGAGGTAGTAACTTTAATCCTCCTCCAGAGCTTCTAGAGTTTTTGAGTCTCGCCAAGGAAAACGGAAAGAAGGTGGTGTATATTGGATTTGGATCTATTGTGGTGAAGAACGCAAAGAGTTTGACTAAGGCTATTGTGGAAGCGGTTCAAGAGGCTGACATCTACTGTATTTTGAACAAAGGATGGTCTGATCGACTTCTGGATTCTGATGATAAAGCTGAAAAAGAGAAACCTGAGATTGACTTACCCCCAGAAGTATTCAATTCTGGAGCGGTTCCCCATGACTGGCTCTTCCCGCGTATCGATGCGGCCGTCCATCATGGAGGCTCGGGTACCACGGGCGCAACACTTCGAGCTGGGCTTCCCACAATTATCAAGCCGTTCTTTGGAGATCAGTTCTTCTATGCTTCTCGAGTGGAACAAATGGGAGTAGGGCTTTCCTTGAAAAAGCTCAATTCTAAATCACTCACAAAAGCATTGAACACAGTGACTTCTGATTTCAAAATGATCGAAAAGTGTCGAAGTATCAGCGAAAGAATCAACCATGAAGATGGTGTATCTGCGGCCCTTGAAGCTATCTACTCCGAATTGGAGTATGCCAAGCATCTCAGTATCTCAAGAAGAGCTCTGGGCTACGAAGCTTCGGGCCTGCAGACTCCTGTTGTTTACGAGCAGAGTGACGAAAGTGACGAGAGTGGATATGACGATGAAGATGAAAGCGAAGAAACTGAGACGGATGAGGAGAGTACAGATAACGAAGATATTACTGAGATCGAAAATGTTCCACATCTTGACTACGTGCAAAACCATAGAAAAAGTCTGGAGAGTAGTTCAGAGGAAGATGTGGCTATAGCGACAACGACAACTAACGACTAATGAATATGATAACTATATACCTTGTAGACTGTGGCGCGTATTGTATGCAGTACCATCTTCAATGAGTCAAGAAGCTGAACCGGTTCGCAAGTGAGGCTCACTCTAACCAATTTAAATTTTTGTCGCAAGATAGTACACGATGGCCAACCCAGTCTATCGAGATATTACTGGTGAGCAGTGTAAAACTAATTCTTATGCCAAATTGGTACCAGGTCAGACAATTGTTGAAATACCTGAGTACGTTTTAGAATGCGGAGAGACATTGCGGAACTTTCCAGTAGCCTACAAGACTTGGGGTCGCTTAAATAAAGACCAAGACAATGCTTTTGTGATATGTCATGCCTTGACTGGATCCTCTGATGTTCAGGATTGGTGGGGACCATTATTGGGGACTGGGAAAACTTTTGATCCAAGTCGATTTTTCATCATTTGCATTAATTTCTTGGGCTCTCCCTATGGGTCATGCTCACCTGTGTCGATAGACAAGTCTACTGGTAAACCTTATGGGCCATCTTTCCCATTAGTGACGGCCAAAGATGATTTGGGTATCCAGAAAATGATCTTAGACTCGTTAGGCGTTAAGGGAATAGCATGTGTGATTGGAGGATCTATGGGTGGAATGATAGCTCTTGAATACTCAGCAGCTTTCAATGATACCGGCTATGTGAAAACAGTCATTGCTCTTGCGACGGCTGCAAGAGCTTCTGCCTGGTGTATTTCATGGAATGAGACTCAGCGCCAATGCATATTCAGTGATCCTTACTACGACGATGGATACTACTATGAGAGTGAGCTGGGTCATAAACCTGATAGTGGACTCAGTGCAGCAAGAATGGCAGCGCTTCTCACTTATAGATCAAGAAACTCGTTCGAAACAAGATTTGGACGGAAATTGCCCACGAATAAGATTCTGGAAGATGCCCAACAAGATGGTGTCAGGTTTCCTAAAAATAAAGACGAAGAAAAATGGCTCTTGCACAACGAAGGCTCACGGTTCCAAGATGGCTCGCGTGATAGCTCTGCTCTGAATTCCAGTGCAAAACTCCAGACTTATTTCACAGCACAGTCATATTTGCGATACCAAGGAAACAAATTCATCAAACGTTTCGACGCAAATTGCTATATATCAATCACCAGGAAACTCGATACGCACGATATCACCAGAGGAAGAATTCTGGAATCTGATGAAGACCCTTTGCCCCATTATTTGTCCACATTGACAAGTCCTCACTTAATCATTGGAATTGAGTCCGATGGTCTTTTCACGTATGGAGAACAACAACTTTTGGGACAGCATATACCGCAGTCTCAATTGGAAAAATTAGACTCCCCAGAGGGCCATGATGCTTTTTTGCTTGAATTCGAGGTTATCGATAAATATTGCACACAATTTTTACAACTGAAGTTACCCGAGTACTTTGATGCGAACTCTGGTAAAGTTGAGGTGTTCGAAAACTGGAGTGATTATGTGGCATCCACTGACAATGGAGGCAATTCAGTATTTGGAGAGGCGGAGAAAAATATTACGAATTGGTGAAAAAAAATAGTAACGTATTAATTCATATATATATATCATTTCTTTATGTACATTTAGTTGAAATTTCCATACATCTCGCCCATCGGTAAGGAGTCGAAAATGTTGAAATTCACAATCTTATCCTTCTCCGACTTTCCGGCTTGAGATGATATCAAACCGTCAAAACCCAAACTTTCGTAGTTCGCTAGATCGTTATATTCGTTGAATGATCCCATTTCGTCTTCCAAGGGACGTGCGTACTGGCCATTACCACGTTCCCTCGATTGTTCCATATTCTGTAGCCACACATTCTTTTGAGACATCAATTGCAACCACATCTGATCTATTTGCTCACTATCAGGGATGGAATCAGACGAGACGCTTCCTGTAGGGCTATCTCTGCTAAATTGAGAGAATTTGTTTTTCAAATCTTCATTTTCTGGTTTTTTCTTTATGTTAGACAAAGTGGATTCCAAGAGGGATATAAGTGAAACTACCATTTCATGGTCATAAGTAGCTGGTAACGAGCCAGCCGTTCCGTTTCTCATACGATCATGAAATTCCTGGTCCCTAAGAATATCATCCATAAAACCAAAAATCTTGAGCATCTTCCAGGCGTAGATATATCTTGTACTCAAATGTGCAATCAAATTGGTAAATCTCTTGAAACAGTCCTCTAGTAAGTTTTTGAGAATCGACAACTTCTGGTGAAGCCTAATCAAATTAGTCGATTTGTTTTCGTTTTCAGAACTTTGATTGAGCTGTTCGTTAATGGTGATTATACTTGCCAAAGTTCTGATTCTCAATGACAATATAATGGTCACTCCTGAATTGACCAATGAAATAAACCCAGGTGTGATTACAATGTCCGTCGATTTTCTGAAAATTGCTGTGTTGCTTGCAGTAATACTGTGATGCAAAGACAACATGTCATGAACTGTAATAAGACAGGCCTTCTTCATATAATAAAATGATAGCCTGATTTCTCCCTTATTCTCAAAGTAAGATGACAACCGCAAGTGTATAGTCGAAAGGAAATAGGAGCAAGAAAAGTATATCTTCAACTTCATGACTTTTGAAAATACATCGAGGACGCTTGTGTTATCGTCAAGGATCTCCAACAACTTTTGGTAGTTGAACGTGGCGTTTTGCTCAAGTATAGACAATTTGGCTGTAAATTCGTGAAGGTGAAGCGTGCCCTTAATACTCACTATCAGGCCAACGATATCATAAAGTTGCTCCCACATGTAGTCAAAACCATCAAAAGTAGATACAGTCATCTCTTCAATAGCGTCACTCTCGACATTTCGTACTCCTGGGATGTAATATGGAGCTCTCGTATCAAACATGTTTTTACCCACAGTCAAGGGCGCTCCCAGGAAAAGAGCAGTATTCACATCAAGAACCAATAAGTAATACCAAATCTTTCGACGTAAGCTGTTTTCGCGATCATCTACTGGCCCCATTGAAGGATCAGGTTCACGGTTGAGCCCCATCGATTGTGCCATCTGTATGACAGCCGTGGTCAATAAAGTCCGATTTCCGAGGTCACTTCCCTGGTCACCAGTCTCAGGGCCGTAGATCTGATATAAGCGTACAAATATAGCCAATTGAAGTACTGGTATTGATACTGATCCACAGATGTTGAACTGGTTTAAGCAATGATGGGCAATGTTGACGACCTCGGCCTCAACTGGATTTTCTACTAGAATTTGAGCTTCAGGCAGAATCGGATTTGGAAGACCGTTCACTTTCGCAACGTTGGAGAACAAACTGAGATGGGCAAACCGAAGGATAATCAATACTAACCCGATATGAGCAAAGTCAAGTCGGCGCTCAACCCTAATATCATCAATAACCTCTGAATCTTCCGCCTTAGAAGCAAAAATTCTCGTACAATTTTCACGTAAGACAAGTTCGTCCACAAGCGGAAAAAATGGGTAAACATGTTGGAAATAACGAGATATGAGAGCCCAGAATATCTTCTTCTTGGGTAGTAATCCGCGTACCGCTTCGATAATTGCATCTATGTTTGATGTCTCAATGTTACAAAACAGGATTCCTTTTGATACAAGTGCTGGATTCATCTTCTTTGGATTTGTTATCGTTGCGGAGATTGTTGTGTTCGGGTAGTTTTTGAAAGGTTTTTCGTCTCGTATACCTTCGACTTCTTCAACGCGTTCTCTGAACTCTCGCTCCGTATTGTCATATTGTACATTTTCTTCAACCGTGAGAAGTTTCATTTTACGTTGCTGGACGTTTATGAGCTTCATGAACAGCCATATGTGTTTCAAAGGCTGATTGAGTTGTACATGGGCTACCCAGCTCAAGGGACCAAAGGACTTCCTTGCCTCGCCTCGAACAAACACCAGGTTATACCCATCGTAGAAGTTTATGGTATCGGAGTAGCTGCCTATTGGATTCTTTCCAAGAACCGATTGAACGTCTGCCATTTGCGAGCTAGTGTGTCCTCGAGAAAACCGGCTTTCCAAACGAGGGAGTCCTTGAATGGGTGCCAGGCCATTAAATTGAGAAGAGAATGGCCCTGCAAAAGAGTTACCAAATAAGTTTGCACCTCCAGGAGACCCCTGATTGGTAGGTATAGAGCCGTTCATGCACCCATTGGCACTGCCGTTCATGAATCGCTGAGGAGCCAGCTCTCTCATATCAGGGGCTCCATTATGTGGACTTGTTCCAAAAGGCTGAGGTGGTACGGAAGGTATGGAATCAGGTGTTACATTGTTGGAAGAAGATGACCTATGGTGGACATCGCTGTGGGACAGATTGGCCAGTCCAATGGAAGATTCTAGCATTTGTACCTTATGTTTTAAAAATTCAAGCTCCGAAACCGCATCTGGGGCTTCGGACTGCGGAGCTGGATCTCCATAAACACAGTCCTTGTTTCCATACTTGACACAAGTGGAACACGGATTACCCTTATCGCATCTCACCTTTCGCTTTTTACAAAAGGTACATACGATACTGGGTCTGTTTCTCTTGCGCAGCATGGTGGCGATAAACCTAGTTTCAGCCGCTTGATGCGCAAGGCTATGACAAATTGGTGCACCGGTGCGAAAAAGGAGTAACTACAGGAGAAGGTGAAAAGAGGCACAAATTGAAGGAAATGAAGCTTTGAGTGTGCTAGGTGAACCATGGTGTCGATGGAAAGTCGTAGTTGCAATTAGCTCCCAAATAGCTTTTTTCTTCTTCATTGGGTTTAGCCAGTGGTGAATCGTTCCGCATCCGTGCACCAGATTCCTTGCTGCACTCCGCATCAATAACTACGCGATCCTTAATCTGATATTAGACATGAATCTTCAGAGCTGGCATCGGGATGATCATGTCCAGACCGCTTTGTTGGCTCGGTACCTCATGTCTCGTGGGTTTGAGAAACAGGGCAGAGAAATATATGATACAGTGACAAACCACACTTCAGAAACTGCCAATGGAATCTCTCCAGTGTCAAAATGCATCCAAAACGGAGAGTATTCTACAGTCTTACAATGGCTCACGGGCACCGGGAATCAAGAGCCGAACCCATTGGGCCATTTAGTGCCTTCTGATGCTCAAGTAGGATCGTATTTGGTACACAGAGCAATCTTTCTTGAAGCAATTCTTCGTGTCAAACTCCTCAAACAGCACGAAAATCCCTTGGCAATGCTTAACGATGTACTCATTCCACTTAGACACACACTCAACCAATCATCAGTGTTTCCAACACCTCCGGAAGATGAACAGAAACAACTACTTCAATTGGTTTTGAGCACTGCGGACGAGGTGGTTCATGATATGTTCCATTTGCAAAAGGTTCCAGAGCCTGTTTCTGTTGCGTTTGCAAATGAATGTTTCGGCAAGATCAGACAAGCTCTCATCAAAGATTTTAAGCTGGCAACGCAAGCCAATTCGTCGGAAACTTCGTTGACCAAAACTGACCCCTCGAACATAGCTTCGGTGCCTCCGGACTACCTCTTTCGCCTTCTCCAGCATTCATATGCCCACCTTGAGCTCATACATCCATTCAGTCTTCCTCCGCGCTTACCCACTGCATCTCCTCGTGAACTCGAACTTCTTCTGCTTCCCATAACAGCGCCTACTTTCGACCCACCTCCTAAATTTCCAGCTCATCTTCTCCACACCTTGAAACACCATCAAACAAATGAGGTGTGGATCGCCAAGTTCTCTCCTCTGGGCAGATACTTGGTGCTGGGCCTGGCAGATGGAGTACTCGTGATCTATGATGTGCATAATAAGTTTGAGGTTATTGCTCGGTTGCAGTCAGATCCAACGAAAGATCTGGAAGCCATGGTGGGCTTTTCCGACAATGCAAACTCGAAGAAAGCAAAAAGCATTATGTACTGCAGCTGGGATCCTACTGAACAATATCTCGTGAGTTCGTCGGTGGATACTATCATTCGAGTATGGTGGGTAGGTGGTCTTAATCGCAAGCATAAAACCAGATCTCAAGACGATTTCAAGCTTCGGTGCTGCTTCACAATTGGTCTTAATATTAAGGCTTGGACCTGTGAATTCTTACCTGTTCCACATGGTGAAAACCCCACTTTTATTGTCGGATCCATGGATAAAAAACTCAAGGCATATGACATTGACGGCCGAGAGCTTTTCGATTTTTTCGGAGACACCGAAGAGGCTGCAAAGCCAGAGAAAGAGGATGGTCCCATAAACAGCTTTCAACGAGTTACTGACCTCGCTATCACTCCAAACGGCAAAATCCTCATAACGACTAATAACGATAAACGAGTTCATTTCTATAGCATCCCAAGTCTAGTTGATCCTCTAGCGGTGACTAAATGCTTGGCGTCCATAAGTCTCGGTGGTCGCCTAACATCATGTTCAATATCCTCCTCCGGCGACTATTTATTATTCAACATCTGTCCCGACGAGCTTCAAGTTTGGTGCATAGCTCCATTGGCGAAGGGTGAACCTCCGTACTTGGTGAGAAAGTTTTGCGGGTTTTTGCAAGACTCTTTCACAGTCAGGTCTTGCTTTGGATACACTGTGAAGAATTCAGCAGGCGTTGAAGACGAACAGCTCGCATTGACTGGAAGTAAAGATGGTTACGTTTACATCTGGAAACTTTCATCTGGTGGTCTAGTAACACGCATTCGAGCACATGAAGGACTAGTCAGTTCTGTTGAGTGGAACCGCTATCATCAAGCAGTCCCTCATGATCCTCGAGATTATGGCAGTTTGTGGTGTAGCGTCAGCGACGATCACACCGTCAAGATCTGGGGACCACAAGACTTCTACAGTACATAATAATTTCTCATCAATAAACCTATGAAGTTTTTACAACTCGTCGTGGTCGACATCCTTTTCTTCTTGTTCTTCCTTCTTCTCCTCAACCACTTCGTCATCTTCGTCTTCTACAACACCTCCCTTAGCTTCCTTCAAAGCATGGCCATCCACCTTGTGTCCACCGTTCTCTTTGACAAAATCGATCAAGGCTTCAAGGTTACGAGCACCATTGAAAGTAACTGGGACTCTCAATCCGGTCTTCTCGTCAATTTCACCGTTGGCAGGGTACAACAAAATAGTTGGGTAACCTTCGATTGGTACAGGAACATCGACATCATTCTCTGGGTGTTCCAACTTGGCAATGACGACGTTGGCATCTGGCTTGTTCGAGTCGTAGATGCTGGCCAATTCGTCCCAGGTAGGGGCCAATTGTTTACAGTGACCACACCATTCGGCGTAATACTTGACAAAGACATCTTTTGATGTGTCCTTGACGATAGATTCGTAGTTGTGGGCCACCAACTTGACAACAGGCTGGGCAGCAACTTCTTCTTCAGTAGGCAATGGCTGGGATTTGATGATTGGCGACAACTTGCCGGCAACGAAGTCCTCAACAAATTTAGTAATGGCCTTAGCTGAAGGGTTAGGGTTCTTCTTTTGGTCGAGACCGTACTTCTTGTTGGCTTCCACGTCTTGGATAGCGAACAAGGGAATGGTTTCAGGGTCCATGCTCAAGATCTCGGCATGACGACCAAACAAAGTGGCGTCCAATCCAACAAAGTTAAGCTTTCCACGGTACTTCTTACCCAAGTCATTGAAGGTCTTCTCCAAAGCTTCCTTCTGGTCTGGACTGTTGTAGAAATAGTAGGCGAGAGGGATTGGAGACGTCATGTAGGCCAAGTAGGTTTCACGGTTGATTTCACCAAAGTAAGGAACCTTCTCTGTGGTGATGAACTTTTCTAAAGCATCCTTGGAGAACTTCTCAGCCAATGGTACTACGTCGTCTGCACCTGGCTGAATCGCAATGTACACGGGAGACTTACTGGCCTTCAAGCTCTTGAATTTGTCTTGCAAGGCCTTGACAGCGTCGGAGTCCTGAATTGTGAGGAATGTCAACTCCTTTCTGCGAGCCAGAGCCACGTCGAAGTAAGTGGAATTTTCCTTTTGTTTGCCCTCCTTATAGTCTGCTGGCAAAATCTGGATCACAGCAGGTTTCTTGAGGTCGGCGATGGCAGCAACGGCAGCATCAGCAGACTCGATGGTTTGAACTGCGGGCTTGGACTGGGCCACCATGTAGTCTACAATACCAGAGGCCTCTCTTGGACCATCATAGTCGTCTGGCTTGTTTTCAGAGCCACGGATCACCTTCAATGTTGGGTAGCCTCTAATTTCATGTTGCATACACAATTCCTCTTCAACTGTGCAATCCACCTGTGCCAACTTGATATTGGGGTTGGTTTCGTTGAGCGAGTTGGCAGCCTTGGTAAACTCTGGAGCCAACTGTTTACAGTATCCACACCATGGGGCGAAAAATTCCGCCAAAACCAACGGATTGGAATCAATGAAAGATTGGTAATCAGCGGCAGTTAATTTCACCACAGCTGAGTTTGGATCAGCAATGGCATCGCCATCGGATGGGCCAGATGCGGCAGCGGCAGAAACGAGTGCTGCTAACACGTACGAAGATAATTTCCAAAACTTCATTAAATAAGTGGTGAAATATCGGCTACCTATTTATAAGCTGAGGACACGCTGGCGCGCGAACTGCCCCTGCAGTACTGGGGGCACACAAACACCCACCCAAGCAATCATCAGGTGCGCGCCATCCCTCTTCTCTTTAAATGTTGAAGTGGGTTCAGTCGGGTTTATCTGCTGTTGCCGGTACTACTGAGCCAGAGTATGGCCGTGGTGCCATCCATACAGTTACAGACTCCATTAATGAGGGTGCTCCAGTTTACAGAGAGCCTCTGGTGAATGACCTTTCGTGGATAGTTCCTGGGTCCACCAATGTAGAAACTCAAACATTTTACTTTACTTGTCTCAAATCAGGGTACGCTGGATTTGCCCAGGTGATTCACTCCAACTTGATGGGAGTACACACCACTGCTCAATTCACCTTCAGATTAGTTCATCATGACAATCTTAAAGAAATGAACTTGTGGACATCCACCAAACTCGAAAACTTCAAGACCCAAGGGGCCAATTTTTATGCTGATAACTTGTCCATTGAATTGCACGGCGATGAATACGTGTTAAAGTCGTCGGTGACCCCCAAATCGGTGGTTAATTTGACCATGAAACGTCTTGTACCAGGTGTAATTTTTGGCAAGGACGGCACTACTCTCTACGGAGATGACGTAGCTAACCCATGGGGAAGTATGCGCCATTTGTTCTGGCCTCGTTGTAGTGTCACGGGAACCATTGTTACCGATGGAAAGACAATTGACATCGATGGTCTCACCATGTTCGTCATGGCCATGCAGGGAATGAAACCACACCATGCCGCCAAATCATGGAACTTTTTGAATTTTCAATCAGAAGAGTTCTCGGCTGTGCAAATGGAGTTCACCACCCCTCCTTTCCTATGCCACTACCTAAGGTTAATATCGCCATATTGACGTCGCGCGACTCCATATTAACATGCTGCATTGATAATGATATCGTCCATGAAGACCCCAAGATAGACGAGGTGGGATGGCCCGTGCCCAGTGCTATCACGTTTAATTATAACGGCAAGAGTGAATCTGGTGAACCTTTAACTGCCACCGTGAAGGGCCAGCTTAAGACGTTGGTGGAAAGAGTCGACGTGATGGCCGAAATTCCCCAGTTTGTCAAGAATATCGTTAGCGGTGTGTCTGGCGCAAAGCCCTACATCTATCAGTTCTGTAATGAAATGGTTGCTACCGTGGGCGACAAGTCGGAAAAGGGTATTGCGTTCAGTGAGGCCACTTTTATCTCAGAATGATTTTCTGGCACAAATACATAGTTTGAAATTTTCAATAAAATCCTAATAATCTTGCTATGTCCGATGTCTTCATCTCTTCTTTGAACGAGCAGACCTTTGGTTTGGTGTCGCTCCCGCCAACAATATCGAAAATGATATCTCCTGATCTCTTCATCGCACCTCCTTTAGTTACCAGCTTTGGCGGTTCAACTCTGAAAACCGGAGTAAAAAAGGAATGGATCTATTTCTTGTTCAACGGCTCAAAACGTCTTCCTGGAACATTGAGCCTTAAATCAACTGGTGGTTTCAAAATACTCATTCCCAACAAGTCATTTGCGACGGTTAACCATCATGGTAAGCTGAGTAAGATGCTGAGAAAAATCAGAATACGAACCCAACTACGTATTACTGGCTCTAAGTTTAAGTACATAGTGTCATAGTTTTATCATTAGGTCTATCTCTTCTCATAAGCAAAGAAGTGGAGGAACAAGTATCCCAACGTCAAGAATACAAGTATTGATACAATAAGGCTGTAAGTGTCTTTCCAGAAAGCACCGACATCAAAGCCAAACGAGCTCAAGATGACGGCACCAGGAACCTCGATAGAGAGTCCGTATTTTTTTTCTTTCAAAATCAAATCTTTGACTTCATTGATTGATAATGCTTCGTATGCATAATGGAAAACAGAAATCCACTGGAGCCATTGAATAGCAGCTTGAAGTTCCTCTCCATTGATGAACAATCCAGCAAAGAGAAGAGAAAACAAGAGCACCAACACTCCAATCATGGTAGATGTACCAGGGTCCTTAATTAATATTCCCACGATTAATACCTCAATTGCTACCGAGAGGTTGAAAAGAACCAACACCATTATGGTTTTTAAGAATCCGTTATTCTCTGCTGATAACCCAACGAGAGGATAAACAATGCTGGTCAAGATTATTGGTGGGAAAACACGCAAGGGTATAACATCACAAACAATTTTGCTGACATAGTAACTGAACGGATGGTAATAGTTGTTTGCACGCTCACGAATGAAGATGATTCTCTCTGCCGAGAAAGAGTGTAATCCGGTCAAGGCTGAGAAGCCAAAGAGAGCCAAAACAAAGAAGAACAATCCTAGTCTGTTCTGGAAACCACTTATATCATTCTGAACATCGTAATACAAATATCCACAAAAACCACCCACCAAAACGGAAAGAATGTAGTGACTCAACAACAATTTTGGGTTTCTGTACAAATTCTTGAAGGTACGAGAAGATAAAATGCTAATTTGCGTACCGATAGATGCTTTTGGATTGTCGGCGAGATCAAACTGAGATGCAGATCCTTTTAGTTCCTTAATTTCATCTTGAAGATCGCTGGCAAAGACAGATTCAACGAACATTTGATTAAGCTTCGTCGCCATTTCGGCGTTTCCTTTCTGGTTATCACTCGAACCAAAGAATTCATCACGATGCGATGCATAGTGCTCCCACTCTCTACTCAAGTCAAAATTTTCAGTCTCGTCTACCGCATGAACATCTGTGCTACTTGCTTCAGTGGACAAATTCTCCAAGTCTTGTTGTGGCACCGGAGGACTGCTTTCGTTGGCTGTCAAGTCAATGAGATAATCGGCAATATTGTAGCCAACTGGACACTTGAATCCATTCCTAGCAAAGAAACCATTACATTTCATCATATCTCCAGAGTATACCAAGTCACCGTCACTCAAGAGGAGTAATTTGTCAAAGAGAGACACGATATTGCTTCGTGGTTGATGAATAGTGAATACTATCGTTCGGTCGAAATCACGGCAAAGTTTCACGAGACAATCTACCACATTTCTAGCATTGTAGGCATCTAGTCCTGAAGTTGGCTCGTCCAAGAAAAGAATCGATGGAGACGTAACCAACTCACAGGCAATAGATACTCGACGTTTTTCACCGCCAGAGATTCCTCGCTTGAAGTCAGATCCAATCTCACGGTCTTTTATACCCAAAATACGCAACTCGTTAAGAACCTCCACGACTCGAGCTTGCTTAGCTCTTATGCTCATTGAGCGTGGAAGACGAAGTAGAGCACTGTTGAGCACAGTCTCGTAAACCGTCAAAGTTGGAATCAAATGATCCTCTTGGTCAACAAAACCAATAATTTTCTTAAAGTCACGAGGATCAAGATGGGCTCCGTTGACAGTTATGTTTGCCTTTACTGAACCATCCTTGTTCTTGCCAGCTAAAATATCAAGCAAGGTAGTCTTACCGGCTCCTGAACCTCCCATGATAGCAAGGCACTCGCGAGGGCGAACCAAACCAAATACGTTCTTCAAGACGGTTTGTCCGCTGGGAACAGTGTAGCTCACGTTCTCAAACGCAAGGGAAGTTGGGGTAAAGTTTTCACTCAATGCGGTGGAATCAGCACCAACATCACTTTGTGGAACAGCCAGGAACAACGGAGTTTTTCTGATATTGTGTACAGAAGCCAAAAGGACCAAGAAACATACAAAAGTAACACCCACTATCACCACAGCGTTACCTAAAGTTAAGCGACTTTTGTCAGGGCTGTCGAATCCGGGGATCTCACTCTTGTGTACGCACTCACCTGACTTACATTTGAGTGTAATGAAAGGGTCTCCGAATACAGACTGTATCAAATCGTTCATGCTTGGCTCGGAAAAGCGACATGAACGCTCAGCAACATCACATGAAAAGTCACCTGGGCCCTTAATTGTCTCTGTGAGAAAATCCGATATATCAATGGAACCAGCTTCACCACAGAGCATACGATCAGGTATACACTTACATGCAACGTTTTTGCATTGGTATCTTGTTGAATTTTTGGCGATATCGTAATTATACTCGCACTCGGTCAAATCGCAGTAGAAAGATTCCTTTTGGTCAATCCAAAACTGAAAGTCACACTCTCCAGCAGTCTTGTTACAGCTAAACGTAGCCTGTGGTTTCTGTCCCTTAAGAATTGAAATGATTTTCTTGTTGGTTACATCACACATCTGGTGAAAGTTGTTGATAAGTACTCCAGTCTTATAGCAGGTGCCCTTCAAACCTTCAGGCATAAACGTGTCGCAGACATCATCTTGAGTACACAAATTGCAATTAATTCCCAGCCATCCTGGACGACATTCACATGTTTCATTGAGTTTTTTCTTTGGTCTATGACTGTTCCCGTCACTCAATGCTCCACATAATGCCTCCGAACAATCTAATCCACCATATCCATCTCGACAAACACACATTCCCGTGAACGTATTACACTGTGAAAACTGACTACACTCGAAATTGGGAAGGTTGCAATTGAAACAAGGAGGACATTCATCATCCTGGTCAACAGGTTTTAATGAAAGACGGTCCTGGAATGCAAATCGGCCCTTTATTTTCTCAAATCGTTCCATCACATCCTGCTCCGTCTCTAGAGTGATGGAAGAGACAACAGAAGCCGCAGAAACTACCACGGCCACTATTAATTTTGATAGCTTCATGGTGGAGAGCAAGCCTTGTGCGGCCGCATACAGAGATAATAGAAACGAGGGGACTACTGTGCAGGAGGGTCAAATTTCAAGTCTCTATAAAAGTACTATTCAATGATTCGCTTCAATGGCTCCACGTAGTCTTTTTCCAAAGAGTCCTTTACATAGACAATGTAGTATGGCGTGGCAGTGTTTTCTTTGACAAAGTTGAACACTTCGGACGACGGAACCTCGGTTACAATTTCATCATTGTACTTTCTGAATATGTTTTTGTGAGGGTCCTTAATGTACACCCAGTAATGGCCATAGCTTGCCTCGCCTCGGTGAATGAATATGGCAAAGATGGAGTACCCGACCTTGGTGTAGTCAGTGAATTGAGCCGATATCTTTGAAGTGAGCTCTTCAAGCTTAGCATCGAGAGCTTCAATCTTTCCTTTCAATTCATCGATATGGACCTGAAGATTCAGAATCGTGGTAGGATTAACTGCCACTGAGCTACTAGGCACCACCTTCGTTTCTAGGTACTTCTTGGTTGTCACCAAGGCATCGATAATGCATAGTTTGCTGTTGGGATCAGGTGTTAGTATCTTGTTACGAAGCTCATGGATTTGACGAACCTCAGATCGCCATTGAAACACTTCGTCTCGTTTCTTCAAGATTTCCAGATCTTGCGTCTCCAAATACCGATCTAGATATATCCTTTCGCTAAAGGGAATGTGCTCGATAGACTTATATGCCATCAACTTTTCTCGGTCGAACAAGACTCTCTGTACATGGAACTGCAACACCTCAGGTAGTTGAGCAACCGTCAATGACTTCTTCACCTGTCCATCTTCAAGATTGACAATGTCTTCACTAAAATAGTTATCCAACGAATCGTAAATGTCTTTTGGATGATCACTGACATTGATAATCAAGCTAAAGAATCTTTCAGTGGATATTCTTTGTTCCCCTGCTTTGTGCATAGGAGTCAAGGTCTGTTGGGTCTTGCCATAGAAAAGCTTCTTGATCAAATCAAATTGTTCTCCATCTTCTTCTAAAGATTCTGGTTCCAATGCCGTTTCCAACTGAAAAGTGACATTCTCGATACACTCGGTAACATCTTGCTGGCGGCCAACTTCGATTGTGCTGTCGATTTCGTCAAGAATAGGAAGAATTGTACGGGTTTCTTTATCACCTGACATCAGATCATCACTATGATTTGGGGTAGGCAAAAATGGAGGAGAAGGAGATCGTGAGTCGATCATGATTGGTTCCAGCTCATCTCCTTGCGCCAACCCTGCACTTTCATCAAGCTTGACTAGAGCCTTGCTTTCGTGAGTTCCAAATCCAACTGGTTGTGAAAGCGGCAAAAAGGCAAGATAAGCCAATTCTTTACTAGGTGCAACACACCGTTTGTTTGTATGTATCATATCAAAAAATAGCTTTTGAAGATGATAAACAAACTGGTGTGAACGATGAACTTCCAGCAATTCTACCTTTCGGCCCCCAATTTTCCTTTCTGATGCTTCTTCAAGTCCAGTAGCATTGTTAGGGAAATTTAGTACCATTTGTCTCAAAGGCTTGATGCAGAAATAGTACTGTAGTAATGAGTTGAGGTAACATGTGTTTCCGATGTTATCAAGTCCAGAGGGCCAATTTTCTGCAGGCAAGAGCAGTACATCCACCTTTCCCGAATGCAAAAAGCTCTGTAGGATAGCCAGATCCCTAGACTCAGCCAATGCCCTCAATGCTGCTCGCAACTTTCGAATGTCTTCAACGTCAGTTGCTTTGGCGATCCTGTTTTGAAACGACGTTATTATCTCGACATCACCATACTTTACGTCTTCAAGGTTGAACAAAACCAAGGCATCATGAACACTGACACCTGGTTTACTGGTATCTATCTTGCGCTCGTAGTATGACATTAACTGATAGCTTTTCCTGTTCACTGCAACGGAAAGAAGTGATCTGTTGAGCAATAAAATTTCTGATGCCGTTGAATTGAAGCCATTCGACTGTAAAATATCGTCAAGCTTGAACTCATAAGCTGTGATCACCACTTCGTCCTCGGTGATTTCTTCAATCCCCAAATCATCCATAGCAATATTCAAAGGCAACACTTCGTTCTTGATATAGTTGTGGAGAATCGCACTCTCTCTGGCATTAGCAATGACTTTAAGATGCTTGTTAAAGTACGAGTAGTTTCGAGGATCTTCTTGATACTGAGCTTTGTACACAGCAATGATATCATCATCTGTGAGGTTTTCATTTGGTCTGTCGATTCCAATAACTCTTAATGCATTTGAATAGTCCTCGTAGCCTATAAATTGGCCGCTCTGTGTGAGATGATTGAAATAGCTTTGAAGCTTTTGATTGCTTTGACCTGACTGACCACGTTTGAAGTTTATGATACTTCGGAGTGAGTCGGCGTAATGAAGCTTATTCTTGCTGTCTGATTTCAACGTGTTTTCGTAGCATCGAATTACCAATTCGTCTTGAAAGTATGTTGTAGCACTGAGGTTGGTGAAGAAGGGAAGTTGATTGGATATATGCGACGATGCAAACGTAACGTTTACATGTCTATCAGATTCGTTTATGGCTCGATACACCACGGACAAATTGTCACTAAACGAATACTGTTGGTTGACAGAGTTAGGCTCCTGCTTGATATTAGCCCCAACGTAGATGAGCTCAATGCTCTTACGAATGTAAGATTCTCTCAATTCTAGGTTATCGGCCAAATTTGGCGGTACAACATCCTCTCCAGCTGTCACGAATCCCAAACGAGAGGTGAGGAGGTCAACATCCAATTGGGTGTCGAGAGATGTTTTGGTCAAGCTAATAGTCTTGATGGGGTCTCCTGGTGGTAGAAGAATTGGTCCTCTGAGCACCTTGAGAAGCGTGTGGATGCAATGTACCGAAGTGGGGACAGCATTAGGTGACAAATTGAGGTCTGGGTGACGCTTTGCACCTTCTTCATATCGCTTGGCAATGACCTCGTCGTTGAGAAGCGGCCATAAATCGTCGTTAGTGAACTCGCTTTTGAATATCGTGGCTCTGAGAACATGACGAGTGGATGCGTTGGCGGACCGGAACATGGCATCGTCTATAAAAGAAGTAGTGCTGTGAATGTCTAGTACTTTGGCTTCTGTGCGAGAAATATCGCTAGGTTTGACCAAATGGTACTCGTGTTTGTCGATAGTCGTTGCGAAGGGATTGGTAGCAGAATCGATGGTGGAGAGTCGGAAATGATGGATATCGGTGCCACAAACCACCAATCCTCGAATGATGGTGAGTGTGAATGGAGCCACTGTCTCTTGATCCTGCGACGATTGAGGGACCATATTACCTTCGGAGTCGACCCCAACCGTCTCGATGGTAGGGGCATACGCCACGTCGTTGTTGATGGTGATAGTAGCACATTTAGGCTTTTTGGCAGCAATTCGAGATAGGTTTACAGAGTATTCAATGGGCCGTGATCTGAGGAGCGAGGAGCCAGGATGGGCGTTTTGATACGGCACGGTGTACTTGAGGTCGTCGAGGATACGATTGAGTGTTTTATAGGGAGAATGAATATCTGGAGGAGGAAAAAGGGTTGGTAGTTTTGACTGAAACGTGGCCGATTCGGAGATTTGTTGGGTTCTGAAGGGGTTTGAAGACTTTGGAGTTGTATATTCCAGTTTTTCGACTTCTGGGGGTGCTGTGACCGGGGCAGAAGGCCCAGGAGCTTCTTCTAATGTCATTGCACTAACACACAAGTTACGTGATCCTGTTGCTGCGAGTGAGGTGCCAAGCTCCGGTGTGCATAGAAAGCGCGAAAGAGAGCTGAGGTGAACTGGAAAACGATCTGAGGACAAGAAACTGTTTAGGTGAGATTGTTTCGGACAAAAAACTGTTTGGGTGAAACTGTTTCGCTATAAAGATACTGCATTACACTATTGTTTGTCCTATAGAGCCGGTTTGATTTGACTGACAATCACCGTCTTTTTTCACCTATTCGGTACATTTCGCATTTCCTTCAACTTCCATAATACCTAATCATGTCAACGCTAGACCTTAAAAAAATCCATGAAAACTCCGACGGGACCATTACTGGACTCACGGAGCTGGCTTTTAAAGAAGTAGTGCTCAATAACCCATATTTTGCTGCTGGTGGAGGACTCATGGTTCTCGGTGCTGGACTAGCAATGGCTCGTCTGGGCATTACTAGAGGCTCGGGGTTCTTGTATCGTCAATTGCTTGTGGATCTTGAGATCCCTTCCAAGGACAAATCTTACTTGTGGTTTCTCGAATGGATGTCTCAATACAAACATAGAAGTTCACGGCACTTGTCGGTAGAAACCAATTTTGTTCAGCACGATAACGGTGCCGTTACCACCAAGTTTTCATTGGTGCCTGGTCCAGGAAAGCACCTCATTCGCTACCAGGGTGCGTTCATGTTGGTCAATCGAGAAAGACTGGGAAGGCTTTTGGATATGACTCTGGGAACACCATTTGAAACTGTTACATTAACCACTTTGTATCGTGATAGAGCGCTTTTTGGTAACCTTTTGGCAGAAGCCAAGAGCATGGCATTGAAAGCTCGTGAAGGAAAGACTGTCTTGTTCACTTCGTGGGGCCCAGACTGGCGTCCTTTTGGCCAGCCTCGTAAGAAGAGAATGCTTGGTCTGGTCATCTTGGACAAAGGTGTAGCCGAGCATATTGTGTCAGATGTTCGGGACTTTTTGTCTTCTGGAGATTGGTACCACCAGCGAGGCATACCTTATAGAAGAGGGTACTTATTATACGGGCCACCTGGAAGTGGTAAAACCTCATTTATCCAAGCGTTGGCTGGTGAACTTGATTACAACATTTGCATACTCAATCTTTCTGAAAACAACTTGACTGACGATCGTTTGAACCACCTCATGAACCATATTCCAGAAAGGTCGGTGTTATTACTTGAAGATATCGATGCTGCTTTCAACAAACGTGAACAAAGTGACGAGAGCGGCTTCACTTCTGGAGTGACATTTTCCGGTCTTTTGAATGCATTAGATGGTGTCGCTTCTGCTGAAGAATGTATCACATTTATGACTACAAACCACCCTGAAAAGTTGGACCCGGCACTCTTGCGTCCTGGACGTGTTGATTATAAAGTACTTATTGGTAACGCAAGTGAACACCAAGTGCGCGAAATGTTCCTTCGGTTCTACGAAGGAGAGGACCAATTGTGCGATGAATTCATGGAAAAATACAACGAATTGGCTCTTGAAAACGTTAGTACTGCTCAATTGCAAGGACTTTTCGTCTATAATAAAAGGGACCCTCACAATGCCATTTCCATGATCGACACGTTGAAAAATCCCAATACGGTCTTTTGACCCTGTACATATGCTTGTAAATAAACAACCTCACCCTCGATACCTTCGCATTAACTTTTTATGGGCTTCATCGACGTCTCGGACACTCAAATCGGCGGCTCCAGCTTGAACCTGACTTTCATGTACAAGTTTGTTCAAGTAGTCCATATATATCAAGTACATGAGCACGTCTGACTCATCTCTCTTGAGAGGTGCCTCACATCGCGCCTTAGCTACCTTGTTGAAGGTTGCTCTTGGAAACGAAGGCATAGTGTTTATCAAGTTCAACTTGATTTTGTGTTTATCAACTTGATTTTGTGGTGTACTGGGTGTGTCACCAGTAAGTTGGTATTAGCTATATAAGTACAGTATTCTTAAGGACGGAACCGCTTATCGGCTCCTTCATGGTCATCGCCAACCCTCCGCTTGTTGTTGTAGCTCGGGGAAGCTAGAAGGTTCATTAACAGGTACGAGCCACCCGATTTGAGTGACTTGTCGAGCTCGGAAACCGAAGGTAGCAAGAGTGATTTTTGTTGTGGATTATTGTGGTGGTGTTGTGGAAGCTCTGACGGTGTAGTGTTGGCAGTGCTGACTGTGGGAAGCAGAGTTTGGGAATATGTGGGTAATGAGCGTGGAGGATCATCGGAAACGACACCAGAGTCTGTCAATGATCGGCGTGGAAAATAGCTGGTATGAACATCTGGTGTCGGAGGGTCTATAGTGGGCATGGATGAGGTTCTTCTCACGGGAAGATGGGCGGAGGGGTTTGGGGTCATGATAGGAAATGGATATTGTTGGTAATTCTTGGGCACTTGAGCGGGGGAGACAGAGCGGTTCCGGTCGATTCTTTCCAGAAGCGACGTTCTTCCAGATGACATTCCATGCAGAGGTTGAGGACTTGATGCTATGATTTGCTGTTTTGGCTGCGGTAAGCGGGAGGAAGACGGCAGGGTGGTGTGGACGGCTGGAGGTCCCGAGGCTGATAATGGACTATTGCTTTTGGACTCGACTCTTAGCCTTGGATCGAGCTCTTGCGGACGTTGCAATGGGTCCATGAAGCTCATGTTACGTTCGTGTGGCTGCTCGGTGGCGCTGTTGAAACGGAAGACTCTGTCTTGAGAGTAGATGGAAAAGTATGGGTTGAGTGGGTACTGTTGAGGAACGATATTTGGGTTGGATGAGTTTCGCGACTGGGGAGCTGCTGGAGCCATAGGTTGTAAAAGTGGCTGTTGAAGACGGTTATGGAGTCTGGTACGAAGATCTGCCAATGCCGCGGCGGTGGCTGCTGCGGTAGCTGCTTCTGGAGATGTAACGGGCGAAACCACCTTTTTATCTGTTTTTTCCGCCAGTTTTTCCTTCACCAAGAAATCTTGGGTCGATACAAGTCTCTGCAACAATTCTACAACTTGAAGCATTTCCATGTGCGACTCACGGGAATCGGTCACCACGGCGTCTACACGTGCCGCGAGAGCAAAGCAGTCCGATCTCAAGCTATTGAGGTTGTTGTTAAGCTCTACCACCATATTGGCTGACGCCGAGCCTTGCGGTTGAGCTTGGGTGTGTGGAGCTGGCGGAGCCAATGTGGGGCCACCAGTTGTAGTTCTAGCACTTTCTACTACTTGTGGGAGCTGTTTCAGAGCCAGCGGAGTCGAGGGCAGCTGTGGAAAATCGTCGTGGTCTCGGTCTTGGGTTATGGAGGCTGGAACCGAGGTAGGAATGGATTTAATGTTGACGACTTCTTTAGGAGAGTTGACATTTCTCAGTGATCTACGTTTGATGAGACGCAACGAGTCGACGTCTCCCTTGCGGAAATGGCCAGCAGAGTGCTTAAACTCCCATCTGGAGGATTCTTGTGGCAGGTTGTGAGTGGTGTTGGTTGAGTTGGAATTGGAGTCGGTTGAAGTATCGTCGTTCTGAAATGCATCATTCACCTTGTGGAACCCATACATGTTGAGCTGTCGTATGAAAGAGGCAATGTTGGTGTGTTTAAAGTACAACGCCAACACTTTGGAGAATTCTTCTGTTGGTAAAAGGTAGAATGATTCGTTCGAAGGAGCCCACCAAATTAAATGGCTCAAATCTGGATCTGAAAGCATATCGTAAAGCTTGTGGATAAACACCGTCTGGGTCTTCCCTGCGGTAGTACTTGGAGTCAGGTTATTACCCTCTCGAGGGGTGATCACCAGCGATGAGCCGGAGCCAAAGGAGTGTGACATAGCCACTATAAGGAAAAGGGAAAAATATTTCGCAAAGAGTGGCAGGTCTTAACCAATATAAAGTACAAGAAGCGTTTCACCGAGCTTCAGGTTGCTATGACACAGTTATGGATGTTTGAATATGGGTAGAAATAAAAAAAAACTTGGAGATTCGGACTATTTAGTTTCGCACACCCAAAGTACAGGATGCGTTTTTTGCATGAAAGATGAACGGCGGCGGCATGCCGAGGAATACGATGGTTCTACGCGGTATAGTGAGCTGGTTTTCAAACCATGAAATGGATGAAATAAGCCAATAACCTTTCGGTTACAAAGATGCAAAAAGATAAGCTGAAAAACCAAAGATGAGATTTTTATGAGCCTAAATGATGATCACTGTAGACTACAATTTCGCTACGTTGGGAACACAGACCGCCGTACGCGGGTTTGTATACTAGATGCGGATGACCCAGATCTTCGTTAACCGCATCTGGAACTTGCGTAGTTTCTCTATGCACCTTGTGCAGCAACCTGCATCGGGGCATTGTTGCAAGAACTGTTCGGTTCGAGTTTGCAGCGTTGCTAAATGCAACGTCGCGTAGACGAACAATAGTCACTTCCCCTGAGAGACTGCACACTCTACTGGGGGATGTTTCAGAAACAATCATGCATACCCTCAAGTTCTACCGTTTTACCATGATACCATATTAATGACTGATTCTTCATTTCTTCATAACCCGCAAATGCCGCGGCTCAGATGGAATTCGGCGAAAGCTTAGTCATCCCTCAAACCTTAATTTCATTATATTCTATTGTGCATTACAAGAGTTGCCCGATGCATTGAAACTGCGGATAAGAATCTCAGCATTTCAAAGTCATGTGAGGGAAGAAGCAGTGGGGCTATTTTTTAGGGTGTTTATATTTTATTTTTGCACATGGTTCGGATGCGTGCGCCCAATGTGGCAAGTGGCCGAGGTTGAGTTAATGCGAAACATTTCCAACGGCTTTGGTTCCGTCATCCCCGTCCGGTGCGCGCACCATAACTCCGCCTTCGCCTACCAAGCAGGAACATGGAGAAAAAAAAAATTTAATATCGACCAGTACGGAAAAATGCAACGTGCGGGATGCACATGAAACAAAAATTCACTCAGAGGAAGCTAATTGCGCCGAATCCGGCACGTCGGCAACTTCCGCGGCGTCCACTGTATGCAAGCCTCCCAACTTGAAGGGCCAGTGGTGCATACTCCTGCTTGCATTTGCAGCAGATACGATGACATCGACATCTGGTACCAAGCATTTCACTAACCTTTACATATACGAATTGATGACGACCTTCTCAATACTTGGCATTCAATGCAAACTTTTCCGTGCGCTCATCATACGAGGCTCCGTAATGCGGCTTGACAAAAAATTACTAACAATGCACCCCCAAACACCCCGCCTATTGGCGACGATTTCATATGAAACGTTACGTCCATTACACCACCATATGCGTCAGGTATTATATGAGGTTTCCACCAGTGGTTTGCTACATTTAGTCATACTATACGCTTCTGAGCCTCCTACGCGCCTCTCTGAACGGTCTGTAAACAACTTTGCCAATCATCAAAAAGTATCCTTATAAATGAATTCAAGTCTCATCTCTATCGTCTACAGTCGTCGTCTAGCTCTTGGTGCCGTGCCATGGCTCTATACAGTCATTCCCTTTCGCACTTTGTCGGTGTCCTCCAGTAGTCGCGCACCCCTTCATCATTTCTTTTTCGGCAATTGTTCGCATTTTTTTTTCTTTTTCTTTTTTGGCCACTCACTCACTGGCAATTTCCCCCGTGATCATCATCTCTTTGGTTTTAAACAATCCGTCGCATTAACTTCATTTCATTTTTAAATTTTTAAATTTTCATTTTTGTTGGGGGTTTTTCCATCATAAGCATCTTTCGATTTTTATCGCCTTCAACTATCCCAATCGTCGCCCTCATATATCCTTCATACTACTCAAATAATCCCATCTGCGACTGATCCTATTGCCACATTTAAAATCCCCTTCCTATATCATATCATCATGAATTCACAGGTCAATAACCAAAACGAAAAGCAAGAAATGCTCCAGGAGGACCAGTTTCGCAACGTGTTCTTTGACTCATCGAAACGCACTTTTTCCACCCTGTCGCCTTCCGATACGAAACGGGCTCGTCTAGAAGCCCCTGCTCCGTCGCTGAAGGCACCACCGGCTGTGGATGTTGCTGCCGCGTCATCTCCATCAACAGTGCTGTCGCCAACCACCGCCACCGGTCCCCGCAAGCGCCCTCATTCCCGTAATCCTTCGCAGCACGACTTACCCATTTTGCGCAAGTCGTCCGGAAAACTCCCCACTGCATCTTCGACCGCCAAGTCCAAGGCTCCCAAATTCATAAGGAGATTCCGCTCGCGGTCGCTCCCCATCATCGCTTATAACGGTTCGGCCTCCACTGGTGTGACCTCAGATGGCGCGCCACCGGCACTTTCTCGTGGCATTTTCAACACTCGATTCATTACGAATGGTGTACCTTCCGCCGGCACGGCAGCAGCTGCATCCATTGGCTCTGCCCGCGCTGCTGCCGCGGTCTCCTCGTCATCTTCAGCATCTGTTTCGGTTGTCCCTCCACTTCCACCAATCAACCTTCAAAGTCTTAAGGAGATAGATCTTCATGAAATTCTTAAAAATCCGCAACTCCGTCACGACATATTATTTGATCCCCAACTCCAGTTCCGCCCCAACTTGGATGGTGAGCGTGGAAAGAGAAAGAAGACCATCATCGACAAATACTGGAATGAAATCCAAAAGGAATGCAGCCAGTTTTTTGTTCCTTCAGACTCCAAGTCCGCATCGCCCCGCTCTATTTCGCGTCTCCCACTTCTTTTTGCTACCCTCAGAGACATTCTTCTCCTGCTTTTGCCTTACAAGGACCGCCAGTCTGTCAATGACGTGATGGATATCGACCTCTTAATCCAACAATTGTCGCATGGGTCGTTTGACTTCGTTTCCATGGCAAGATGGCTTGGTGAAGTATTCAAGTCTCACTGTGCTCCAATGAGAGATGTATGGGTTGCCGAGATGATCAACCGTTTTGTCACTTCATCTGAAACAGGAAGTGTTGACAAATTGGTACAGGGCTTGCGTATGATTTTCCAAATCTTAGAAGCCATGAAGTTGGACGTTGCTAATCATCAGATAAGAATATTGCGTCCTATCTTGATCGAGACCGCAGTTGATTTCGAAAAGGACTATTTCAGTCAGCTTATTCAGCATGCAAAGATCGATATTAACGACTCATTGCGTTGGTTTTACAAGTCGTATCTCAAAAACAAGGCAAATTTGGGACCATATTTCGATTCCGCGGTGTCCAAGACTGATGACAAAAACTTAAAGTTGGTTGCTGTCGCGGGACTCATCAATTTACTTTCGTGCCGTAACATGGCTACCGACTTCCCCTCCACCTTGGCATTCGACCACACTAGGTTGATTCTTCTTAGAGCGGATATTAGGCAACTTGTTTGTGTTCAGTTGTGCGTAATATTATACAAACAACTTGTTTTCAACAATTACCAGAATGTTAGCGAGAGAAATCAATACTTGCAACCCAACGTGATTCAAAAGATTCAGGAAGAAGTGTTAGCAATTGTTACTGACGATAATGGCAATGTTAAATGGACAAGAAATGTCAACGCTATTGCTATTCAGTTAACTAAGAATGTTGTTACACCAATCAACCCAACTTCCACTCAGAACACGGGTCCATTGCCTCAATCTATGATTGAGTTTGGTTGTGGTTGGTTGATGAAACAAATTCAACCTGGGTCTGATGTCTACGGCTTAATGGAGGAGAAGATTTTCAAAGAGGTTTTGACTGACGTTAACAGCACGTTAAAGAAATTCGACATGGATTCAAAGGTATCATTGAACGACAGCAAAAATGACAACTTTACTAACAAGGCTAAGAATGCAGGTACCGAAATGCTGAATATTGCACATCGAATCGCCACATTGGTCAGGTTCCATTGGAGTGTGTTTGGCTCCCACTATCGCGAGTATCTTAATGGCATAGAAGCCAATTGATTCATATTACGACATATCATCACATACATATTCATGAACATCAAAGATGAGAAATTGATGACAATAGACGAAGTAAAATTCTGAGTTTCATGGCGGCACAATACTCAAGCCTCCTAAATAATGGTCTGATTTTGTAGTTTATTTTGCGACCATTTGCATATCAACGTCCAGACTCCGCCACTTTTAACCCAAAAGTAGAAATATTTAAGCGTTTTGCATAATTCTGAAATTTCGTGCGACTCGTGTTCAACTGCCCAAAACTTCTTTTTTTTTAGAAATCACACTGATCGGAAACGACTTCTTTACTGCGAAAGTAACTTAAGCTGAAGTGCGTCTTAGGTATATTATTGTTGCAATAGTTGATCCTTGGTTCAACAAAAAGCCAAGAAATTCGATTCGCGCAATTATGATGTAATATGCAACGGTTTGTTGGTTACATGTTTCATATTTCATTTGCAGGTTACATATATTTGTTTCAACATTATGACGTAAATGTGTGCCCCACACATGCGAGAGAAAGATAAGGAGATCCATACACCTAAATGTGGGGTAAGTTCAGAAATCCAACCCCAAGTCATTTATGGATCCATTGATATAGCATAAACGTAATGTGTCGAATTTGGCTTGGAACACAACGTTGTATGGGCGTGTGATCTTTCCCGTTGTGATCAACTCTTCAAGGTAATCTGCAAGCTCTTCGCTGGTAATGAAAGGAGAAGAGAACTTTGGCTCGCGAACGAACGCCATGGCAATTACCACATTAAACGGCATTTTACCTTGTTTCACATAAAGACGGAGAGTACATTCGAACGCGCAAGAACGAGGTTTCCGACGGAGACCTGCGGTTTCTTGAAGCGAGCCTGACCGTACAAAATGCAATTGCTCGAGATAGCCAATGAGAAGACGTCCCAAATGGGTTTCTGGGGACCCATCTTCATAAGCACCCGCGGGTTCTTCGTAAGGGGGCCATGAAATAGATGCAGGTTTTCCTTCGGTGTTAACAAACGAGTATTTTTTTCTTATGACCCCTAAAACAGCGTTGTAGAAGTTGCGTACAGTGGGGTACAAAATCTGTGTTTTTCTCGTTAGCATGGTTTGACTGAGTATTGTGCTGAGGAAAAAGTGCGATAACAATGGTGGGAGGTCGCATTGATGTTTCAGGTTTTGGATTAAAAGTGACGTATCACCACCACATCGCATCCATACATTTTTCATGGCTTATCATCGACTGTTTCATTAGTGGAATCCAGAACCTTTCTTTTTCTCATAGAGAACACATCGTCGTCTTTTTTGCTCTTGTCGCTACGGTGGGTGCTGGAGGAAGAAACATTATCACTTTCGACCATGGGTTCAATTTCGTGCTTCACTTCTTCTTCTTCTTCTTCCTCTTCCTCTTCCTTGATGGAGGGCTCTGTGACAATTGAAGCTCTTCGCAGTTCTCTGCTACTTCGTATTTCCTGAATAACATCGTCCTCTCGCGATATCGAAGGTGATGGTAGTGAAGAGTAATTGTACCCATCGTCGTCTTCGTAAGTATACTCTTGGCCCAATGTCATATCATTGGCGCGTCCGCCGCGTACCGACGATGCTATGTTGTTGACGATGGTTTGAAAGGTTAGACTGTTGTTCAATGCTTGGGAAAGTTGTTTTGATTCTGGTTCTTGCTTGGCAACCGGTTCGTTTATCTTCTTTAAATACTCTTCAACAAAAGGCATAGCTTTGTTCTTATTTGAAGACTTGATGGATTCAGTTACCAGCTGCAACCTCACATTATTTTCCACATCATCCACTGTCAACACGGACTGGATCACCTTCAAATACAGCCCTGTCATTACTCCTACCACGATTCCAAAGAACGCACTGACCATAAGATAATGAACCATGTTTATGATAAAGAACCGGAAGTGAGGGAAGGTTTGTACCAATGTCAGCACCGATGGATCCCCGAGTTCCATCCAGTAAAATACTGGCTTGAAGGGAAGATATATGAAAGTATAGTTGAGCACTTTCAATACTTGGAATGCTGGAATGAGCCAAATATGTAGAACAAGGCTATAGAAAAAGTATGCTATGGGAAACACGATATGTGTGATGGGAATTGCAGCCACCCAAAGGGCTGACGTAGCCCACTCTGTTATCAGCATATGTAAACAATTGGGGTAGTTTGTTTTGTACGATTGCGGTGAACTTATATGCGCCCATCTGCAGGAACAGGGTCCAGAGCATACCAACACTCCATTTATAGGGGTGGTTGGTATCAAACCTACAACTTGAACTAAAGGTTACTTTTCATAAAATTTTAGTTTGAATTCTCAATTTTCAAGAATTGGTGTGACCGGGACTGGGTGGCACATCTCCTGTTTCCCATACAATTGGCTGCGAATCGAGCTCAAATGTGATGGTTCCGCCATTTTCAAATAAGTCCTCGTGACTGAACCAATTCTTATTCCAGTCTTCACCATTGATTTGAACACTTTGGACATAGAAATTGGTGTCACTCAAATTGTTAGCAACAATTTCAACAGTATTTCCATTTTCCAAGTTGAACGTCGTTTTAGGAACAAATGGTGAAGATAAGAGATAAGTTGTGGTACCTGCCACAGGATAGAACCCAAACAAACCGAAAAGAAGCCACGCCTGCATTGCTCCCGCATCAGAATTCCCAGGAAGTCCAGAAGCACCAGGTGAATATTTCGTATTGACCAAATACCGAATAAGCTCCACCGTCTTATGTTGAGCATTGACATAATTGTACAAGTAAGGAGTGAGAAAACTGGGTTCATTGCCGATATCTGCGAATCCTTGTCCGTGAAGTGCAAACATATCGTCAAGTCGTTGGGAGAAACTATCGTTCCCACCCATGAGATCCACCAAAGATGAAATATCATGAGGAACTGCCCAAACATATTCCACCGGTTTTCCTTCATACTCATCGTCGGTCCAGTAACAATTGTTGCACGAAAGAGGGTCATAGTTTGTGCCATTGAAGGTTCCATCTGCATTTTTGGGCTGAACAAATCCTTTGTATGATACCGAAGAATTAGTGGCTTCAGGATTCCAAATATTCTTCCAGTTGGTAGATCTTTTCAAATACTTGGCAGCATCACTTGTGTATCCAAGACCTTTGGCAACAACAGACAAAGCAAAGTCATCGTAGGCGTATTCCATAGTTCTTGTGACAGACCTGGTATATGCCCTTGTAACATAGCCATATTTGAGCCAATCAGGAAGTGCCCCTCTTCCTTCTTTGTTGGAGGCATCGGGAGCTTTGGGGTCATAAACATATTCTGGTGTCACTTCGGCATTCTTTTTCATGGCTGAGAAACCGTCTTCCCAATTTATACCATCATTAATGTTCTTCGCATAGGCATCTGCCATGACAATGTCTGAGTTGCTTCCTCCCTGAGTTCTGCCATTCTGATTAGCAGATCGGGCATCGGGCGTATACCCATCGTTTCTCCAAGTGTCAATCAAGCTTCTCACAATGTCTGCACCACGACTTGGACTCAAAATATTGAAGAGTGGATTGAGACACCGAAAGGTATCCCAGATGGTAAAAAAGTCGTCATAGTAAGGCTCAGTAGAACTCCAGTATGGATTCTCGCCCGTTCTATTCGAAGGTAAAAGATGGGCTCCGTATAAGGCAGTGTAGATGTATTCGAGTAAGGTGCTGTTATCGGTTTCAATGTCAACCTTACCAAACACCTGAGTGTTCCATTTTTTGACGGTTTCAGCAACAGTGTCTTCTATTTGGTATCCTGAAAGTTCGTTCTCAATGTTTCGGCATGCTTGGTCTGTGGAAATAAACGATATTCCAACTCTTGAGCTGATGCTCGTTGTTCCCTCGGGAAATGTGAACAAAAATCCAAAAGATCCGTCTTGGATTGAAGACGAAACTGTGGACGAATTGAACCTCTGGGAGCCACTGAAAGCATTGATTGAACTTGGTGCCGTCTCAAAATCTCCGCAATAGTATATGGTCCAAGGCAGTTGTTCACCCCAGCCGCCTTTGATGGTGGTTGAACCAGTGTACTTACCTTCACTCAGTGTCGACAAAGAACCATTGACGAAATATTGGGTCCACCACGGCCTTGTGGGTGCCGAGAGATGGTGTGAGCCATTGACTAGAACCAGCGGGGTGGTACCTGAAGGAAATGTATACTTGTAAATTCCGGCTCTATCGGCGGCTGCAAATTCTGCTGTAACTCCGTTAGTTGCATTTACAAGATAGTGCCCTACCGACCCAGAATCAGGACTCAGTCTTTCAATTGTCTGCTGTGAACCTAAATCCACATCACCAACCAATGGAAGCTGAGCTACTACTCCGTACTGAGGAGCACCTCCGGTACCACTTTCATGCATCATTGAGATGCCATTGATTCTTCCATCGGGAGAGTAACCCGAATAAGCACTACCACCTTTGGCATCAAGAACATCGACACCCATCTTGACCATCCCATAAGGTCTGGCAGGACCGGGGAACACATTACCTCCATTTTCAGTGCCGAAAAAAACGTCCACTTGATCATTTATGGCACTGTTGGCGAGAACAATCTGGCCATTGACAATCGAGAGAAGAACAGCAAGGACGGGCCACATCTATATCGGCGAAAGTTGAAGGTGTTCCATATCTTTTATGGTTTCACCAACCACGTTGCAATACTCCCACATGGCTATAGACATTTGTGCGGCGGAACATTTTCAATCTTTCACAAGAAATCTCCATGCATCTTAACGCAGCGATAACGCAAGGTGTGTCGTTAAAACAACCTTTTGACTATGCAACGCTACCACGTTCTTTATGGAGACGTGCCCATGTGGCTACGGTATTACGAGCCCGCGGGGAATCACAATGGAGAGATTGGATTGATATCTCGATAAGTACGGCCCGCTGAGCCGGTACCACCGTTCTAGGTAGTATAGCCGTAGTTGTGGATTCCAGAGATATTAATTACTTGCATAAACAGTCATTGAGCACATGTGCAGCAGCTCGATCTCAGTTGACAGGTGTGACGTGCAGGACGAGAGCCACAGTGGTTTTGAAGACTAACTAGATACGGCCAAAATCGCCCAAATCACCGGAAATGGTCAGAACAACCAATTGCTTTAAATTTAACTTGATGAAAACCGGATTTAATCACATCACCTTGGTGGCTGCAACTGGAGTGGTTCCCCATATTATTTCTCCTGAACCACACCCCAACACCGGATCAGACACCGGTTCTATTATTGGCAGGTGAATAATCGCGCACCCTTACCTGGTAGTGTCCAGTGCCAGGATCACACTGGATTTTCTCAATTTCTCAGCCTGGTCAAAACTTTCACGAGCAACCCCCAAATATCTTTTAGCGCAAAACCCCAAGCAAAAGACACATTTGCCGTCGGCAACCCACACCCAAGTCTTTGAGTGCGCCTTCAGGTTTCGCATCCACATTTTTTTCCTGTGAAATCATAGCTTGGCAGTGGCAGTGAAGGTCATCGCACCTGATAAATCCGGTCATCGTTATCTTACGGATAAGAAATCTAGAGTAGAAAAGTAGATACAGGAAGCGTGTGGCGGTTACTACCCTTCAGCATCCCTTATAATATTCCATTCTTCTTTTGATTATGGAGAACAAGAAAAAGAAAATGGGGGTTCTTGGCAAGCTTTTTGGTTCGCTGTCGACAAATCTTGTTGAAACCCCAGCGTCCCCAGATCAGTCTTCACAGGATAACTCACCAGTGCATACTCCTGTTCGGTCACTTTCCCCTAATTTGGAATCAGAACATCTCAGAATAACTTCTCCCAAGCTGCCCCTGCCTTCGTCCATCAGTCTGGCAGTTTCTGAAACGCAAAACGTCTCTCATACATCTCCGCGACAATCTGTTCAACCACCAACACCTACTAATCAGAGTCGAGAAAACCATTCCCAGCATGAAATTCTTCAGATGCCTACCCCCCATTATACAACTCAAAACAAATCTCCCGCAGTTTCCCGTGCATCTTCAGTTGTGGGCAAGCGCAGTAATCCTTCAAGCAGTGCTGTTTCAAGAGCCTCCTCCGTAGCCGGGAAGAAAACAAAGCCTCTTTCACCAGTAGACGGAAAGCTCGACAAAGAAAAAGATAAGGATAAAGATTCTCAAAAACCTAATACTTCAGCTAATGTTAGTGCTACAAAGCCCAGATTTCGTATGCTTGAAAACGGTAATCATGAGCACAACTTGCGTTCAGCTAAACGTCAAGAGAAGCTTACCAATATGCTTAAGGATCTTTTAGGAGCTAAAAAGCTTCGAGATGAAGCCAAAAGTGCCGTACCAGATATCTTGAACCTGGACCTCTCGTCTCAAGCCAACTCACAGGATGGACGACAAAAACCTCCCACATTATTTGCAGGTTTGGTGAGCCAAGTGAAAAACAACTCACTGCCTTATCACGGACCTGCTATCGCTCCTTCTGAAGATTGTCGTTCTTTTGTGGAGAAATACGGGCGGTGTCAAGAAGTCATTGGAAGGGGTTCTTTCGGAGTCGTGAGAGTATCGCACAAACGAACAGATACCACAGAGGAGGTTTTATATGCGGTGAAGGAATTTAAAAGGCGCCCGAACGAACTGGAGAAAAAGTATAATAGGCGTTTGACACTGGAGTTTTGCATTTCACTGTCATTAAAGCACCTCAATATAATAGACACCCTTGATTTGCTCAAGGATGCCAAAGGTGAATACTGTGAGGTGATGGAGTTTTGTCTGGGTGGTGATTTGTTCACACTTATCATTGCACTGGGAAAACTTGAATATGCCGAGGCCGACTGTTTTTTCAAACAGCTTATAAGAGGTGTGAATTACATGCATGAAATGGGAGTGAGCCATCGAGATTTAAAACCAGAAAACGTATTGTTAACTAAAAATGGAGTTATCAAGATTACTGACTTTGGTAATGGTGAATGTTTCAAAATGGCATGGGAACAAGAAATTCAACTCAGTGAGGGTATATGTGGCCTGTCACCATATATAGCTCCCGAGGAGTTTACCCAGCAATCTTTTGATCCTCGTTGTGTGGATATATGGGCTTGTGGTGTGATTTACATGGCCATGCGAACTGGTAGGCAATTGTGGCAGCTAGCTGATCCCAAGAAGGATAGTTTCTTCGAGGAATATTTGCTAAAGAGGAAAGATGCTACAGGATACGAACCCATAGAATCGCTTAAAAGGGCAAGATGCCGCAACGTCATTTACCTGATACTCGATCCAAAACCTGAACGGCGTATTACCGGAAAACAAATCCTCAATAGTGAATGGGGACGAGAGATTAAGCTCTGTCAGGCAGCTGAAATTGGCTAGTTATTTATATAGGCTCTACACCTATGAGCCCTGTTTGGGGCACCCTTGGGTACATCTTGTATGTAGGGTCCATCACTGCACCTGGTGCCTCGTCTCCAACGCGGTAAACAACGCGATGGTTAGACAGATTCTCGTTTTCAATGGTTGAGTTATCCGATTACCAGCGTCAGGAAAAGCTTGGAGAAGGTATGTATATATAGGTGGTGGACCAAGGATCATGAATATGTCAAATAACACATGGGTGAATTTCCCCCAAAATGAGCATTTTGATTTTATGATAATGACAGTGAAGAGCCCTACGGAACCACATTCTCTAACCATGCCCTCAGTGGTTACCTTGTGGACTCTACCGAAGCTTTGAATACAAAATTCATGCCTTGTGTTCTTTTTTTATTGAGTACTTTTTATACTAATACAGGTACCTATGGAGTGGTGTATAAGGCTATTGATACAAAGCACAACAACAGACCAGTGGCGCTTAAGAAGATCCGTCTCGAGTCCGAAGATGAAGGAGTTCCTCTGACTGCAATTCGGGAAATATCTCTTCTTAAAGAGATGCGTGACGAAAATATTGTTCGTCTTTATGACATCATTCACTCAGATTCACATAAACTCTACCTTGTGTTCGAGTTTCTTGATCTTGATCTTAAAAAGTATATGGAACTGATTCCTCAAGGAGTGGGATTGGGTCTCGATATGGTGAAGCTGTTTATGCACCAACTCCTCAAGGGCATTAAGCATTGCCATGCACATAGAGTGTTGCATCGTGACTTGAAGCCGCAAAACCTTCTTATTGACAAGGAGGGAAATCTCAAGTTGGCGGATTTCGGTTTGGCAAGAGCATTTGGAGTACCACTTCGTGCTTATACCCACGAAGTAGTAACTTTGTGGTACCGAGCTCCGGAAATCTTGCTTGGAGGTAAGCAATATTCCACTGGCGTTGATATGTGGTCAGTAGGGTGCATTTTTGCTGAAATGTGTAACCGGAAACCTTTATTCCCTGGGGATTCAGAGATCGATGAAATCTTTCGCATATTTCGAGTATTGGGAACACCAACGGAAGAAACTTGGCCTGATGTGTCATACCTTCCGGACTTTAAGCCTACGTTTCCTAAATGGCAGCGGAAGGAATTGGCCGAGTTTGTCCCTAGTCTAGACCAGGATGGAATTGATTTGTTGTCACAAATGTTGGTTTACGATCCATCCGGACGCATCAGCGCCAAACGGGCTTTGGTGCACCCTTATTTCCTGGATGATTCACAAGATAATCACCCACGGTCGGTGAACATGGGTTAGGGACTTTTCGGTTTAAATAGCAATGCAACATAAAATGCAATGAGGACAAGGGCACACGTCGTAGTGTATGATAGGCGTATTTCCAGCGAATGGTGAGATTTTGTACCTAGTAATTTGACAAATTCATTACTGTAAATTGGAGTCCATGCATTTGGACTTGCAGCCAAAGTGATTTTTGTTTCGTCATTTTTTTGGTGGTTCAAGTGGGATGTGATATCTAGTAATCTGGCTCCTCTTGTCTCCAAAGAAGTATAGCTAGTTTCCAATTGCTTCAAGGTACTATTTTGTGCGATTGCTTTGAAATCTATTGCTTGGATTGATGCTGAAAAAGTATCAAATTTAGCCTGAATTGCTTCATGGACTTGTTCAATATCTTCCAATAACTTGGAAATCTTGAATCTCTCGGTTGGAAGTGAGTCAGAACATAACGTAGTCGCAAGACTCGGATACGACTCTAGGGACAAGTCCGAAACCGAAGAAGTGTCTGAACAAAAACTGGTCGTTGATGCAGCATCTCCGTAGGTTGCTGGAGGACGAAGCCTTGAAGATTCAACAGAGTCCATTAAACTACCGATATTTCAAGAATTCTGTGCCGTTCAATCTTTCGTATATGCCTACTAAAGAAACTAGATGACTATGGTTCCATGTTTGCAATTTGGTGGTTACACTAAGTGTTCCCAATTGGGAAAAGTAATTGCAAAACAAATACGCACATCACTTCAGCAGCCTTCAGTTTTGCACCTGAACACCAGGAGCATTTTTCGCGCTGCGAAACTTTATAAACTACAATGAGCGACAGTCACTACGGCGAATCTGCAGGTTCAGGCTACGGCAGCTACGGAAACCGTGGGTATTATAGAGGCCGCGGACGCGGGTCGTCCAGGGGCAGAGGTCGTGGACAAGGATATGATAGCTACCAAGGTGCTGGATACCGCAATTACGACGGGCGAAGCGACAACTACACCTCGGAAAGAAGTTATGGTGGCGAAGATCATGGCGAAGGGGGGCGATACGGGAGCGAAAGGTACTATGGAGGCGATGGACATCACGCAGAACGCCGATATGGTTCTGAAGAACGATATATGAATGGCAGAGACGGTTATCGTCCAGACCGTGAAAATCGAGATCGGGGAGAACGAGGTCAAAGAGGTGATCACTACGAGGAACGTTATGGCTCTGGTGATCGCGGACGTGGCTTTAGAGGTCGTTCAGGTGGACGACATGGCCATATTTATCCTCGTGCGAATCATGGAAGACCTATAGTAGGACACGAAAGAGAAGATTCTGCTCCTGGTTCAGAAAGAAGCTCGAAGAGCCCTTCCACCAGCTACGTGGCACAAACGACACATATATCATCTGCGCGTGCGTCTGCGCATGCATCCCAAGATCATCCTGCCACAGAATACAACAGCCCATGGATTTCCATATTGCAAATCAAAGATGGGCCAACGAGAAAGAAGCTTGAAGAAAGATATAATGAACTTGATCAGGTAGACCGAGAACTCGCATCTGCTCTGAGAGAATGCTGGCAACTTCAGCGTGCGTTGCAAACGCTCGAACATCACGCTGCTCGCGAGGCATTGCAGGTTCAGCAGACAAGTGAAAAGCTCGATGAGCTTAGCTACCTTTAAAACTCATGATCATGATGGAATTTTAGATCAGAAGAGCATCATTGCGAAACGTTTCAAATGCTAAGGGAAGATATTGATTCGGTGAAGTGGCTATCTATCTGCGAATTCGGGTTTTCTACTCATATAATGGCTACTATAAGAGATGAAGACGATATTAAGAGTCTCCAAATTACCAAAAATACTATTTTCAACACGAGTCTATAAGAGGTTTGAGCTCATTCTTAGCGTTCAATCTATTCGAAGCTTGGCCACGAACAAGCGATTAAGTAATTAAGATTGCCAAGCAAGACGCTACAATCGTTTGTCTCGTGTTCCAAGGTATAGTCCTAGCATACGGTAAAGATAAAATATTGTGCTATTTGCTAATCTAATAATTAGAGGTTACACAATTCTGCACCTTCAATTTCGCGTAGTTGAAATTTAATCGAGCGCGAACACCTTGTCACCTATTGCAATGCTTCGCCTCATCGATTCGATCAGCGATAATTGTACTGTAAAGACTGCTCTTTACGGTGCACTTCTCTTGGGTGTCTACAAACTCACAACTTTTGCTCTTAGCTTGGTCTCGTTAGTCTTGGATTTATGGGTACTTCCACCAGTGAATTTTGCCAAGTATGGTGCTAAAAAGGGAAAATGGGCTGTGATTACAGGAGCTTCCGACGGTATTGGAAAGGAGTACGCCACTCAATTGGCCGCCAAGGGTTTGAATGTGGTCTTGGTTTCGAGAACTGAATCCAAATTGGTTGCTCTTGCCGAAGAAATCGAGTCCAAGTATAAGGTCAGTACCAAGGTTCTTGCATTTGATGTATCGTTAGATGCTGAGTCAAGCTATGAGGATTTAGCAGCTACCATCGCTGACCTTCCTGTGACGGTGCTTGTGAATAACGTGGGGCAATCTCATTCGATTCCTGTTCCTTTCCTTGAAACCGACGAAAAGGAATTGCGTAATATTATTACCATCAACAATACCGCTACCTTGAAGATTACTCAGGTGGTGGCTCCAAAGATTGTGCACACTGTGGCCAGTGAAAAGAAGAAAACTAGGGGTCTTATTTTGACAATGGGTTCATTCGGTGGCTTGTTACCAACACCATACTTGGCTACCTATTCAGGCTCCAAGGCATTCTTACAATCATGGTCCAACGCTTTAAGTGGAGAGTTGCAACCTCAAGGTGTGGATGTGGAGTTGGTAATTTCTTATTTGGTCACCTCTGCAATGTCAAAGATTAGACGCTCTTCTGCCTCGATCCCCAACCCAAAGGCATTTGTCAAATCTGTCTTGCGCAACGTTGGGCGCCGTGTTGGTGCCCAGGAACGTTTTGGAACCACCACCCCTTACTGGGCTCATGCTTTTATGCACTTTGGCATTGTGAACTCTGTTGGTGTTTACTCCAAAATTGCAAACTCGTTGAACTTGGGAATGCACAAAAGTATTCGTAGCCGTGCGTTGAAAAAGGCTGCGAGACAAAAGAAGGATTAGGCTTACAGTTGTTAGGAACATATACTTGATGAAATTTCACATACTGAATAATACTAGTTCGTAACTACATCGGCAATAGCCTGAGATAACTTGCCCAAAATTGTCTAGGGCTGCCCACCCAACTCCTTGCGGAGACGGGCAAACTCTTCATCCTCAATCTCTTCCATTGTTGGCAGATGGCGATGATTCAGGCCATTACGCTCGGCAACGTAATCTGACTTTGAGTCCATTGAATCAGTTCTCGACTCAGCGATTGATTCATTAGTATAATCAGAAGTTTCTCCTTCACTGGGAGTTTCTGCTTCTGATTCTGATTTGGTTGCATGTTCGTTTCTGGAATTTGAATTTCTTCCCCTATGTCTGTGTCTTGACTTCTTGTGGTGACGATGACGACGCTCTGTTTTTGGGCGGGTAAGGATCTTTGGGACATGTAAAGTTAATATGTTGTGTTTCTTATTCAAATTCCACTCAATCAGCTCCAAATTAATTCCAGTGACATCAATTTCATAGCGACGTAAAAAGTGATCGTGATCAGAAAATACCTTTAAAAATGCAGTTCCATTGCGATCCCGCACAACAGTCACCTCGTAGTCCTCAAAACCTCCATAAGGTTTGTGTATTTGTAATTGGAATTCGCCATCCGAATCGTATTCTCTAGTATATATTTGTCTTGGTTGGCGGAACATCTCGTACTGTCGCCTATGAAGACGTTCCACAGGAGAAAGACTAAAGATACCATGTAATGGAGAGCATCTGCGATTACCGTAATAAGAAAGCATGTTTCTTTAAAAAAAAAATAGATCAGGGCATTATTCAACTAAATAGAAAATTCTATTCTTCTAGAAGGCTCTACTGTCTTTCTAGAAATTTCGCAGCCAGTGATAAGCTTTGAGGAAATTTTTCATTCTGATAAAGTTGATGAGACTGTTTATTGGGGGTTGGTAAAGGGGTCGATGAGTGCCGAATCGTGATGATTTGTATGGTATTGTCCGTTTTCAATAGTCTTTTCTCTTCAAAGTGTTTCTCAGTAGCTATGTGTTTGGGGTCTCACGTGCCGTGTCACGTGCATGGAACCTTCTAGAAATCCATGCGGTGGGTTCTTGCGCTATAAAGTTAGAAAATGATTCTTTTCCTCCAATTTACATGCCTAAGGATACAGAATTATACGACTTGCTAGGCGTTCTGCCCTCAGCTTCTGAGACAGAAATCAAGAAGGGGTACCGTAAGGCTGCCCTCAAATATCATCCTGATAAACCTACGGGTAATACCGAGAAGTTTAAAGAAATTTCAGAGGCTTTTGACATTTTGTCGAATGCAGATAAGAGACAGATCTACGATGATTATGGCTTAGAAGCCGCCAGGGGTAATGCTCCCGCTGGTAACCCATTCGAAAGTGCAGGTGGTGCTGGAATGGGCGGTATGGGTGGGGGACATCCATTCAGTAGTTTTGGTGGTGGTGGTCGTGGAGGATTCTCTCAAGCTGACGCTTTCAACATTTTCTCTCAAATGGGAGGTTTCGGCATGGGAGGAGATGATGGCTTCGCTAGCTTTGGAGGAGGAAGTGGTGGATTCGATGGTATGCCTGGTGGATTTGGAGGTGGATTTGGAGGAGGAAGTCGGAGAGCTGCTCGTCCCGAGCCAGATACCGTTACTATGACTATGCCCGTATCATTGGAAGACCTTTACAATGGTGCAACCAAGAAAATGAAATTGTCCAGAAAGGGAATGGACGGAAGTAAGGAAAGTAAAGTTCTTGAAATTAATATCAAACCAGGCTGGAAAGCAGGAACAAAACTCAACTTTGCCAATGAGGGTGACTACCAGCCTGAATGTCATGCCCGCCAAACCATCCAATTTGTGTTGGAAGAAAAGCCACATCCTCTCTTGAAGCGTGATAACAACGATTTGATTATGACCGTACCACTTTCATTTAAAGAATCATTATGCGGATTCACCAAAGAAGTCAATACCATCGACGGCCGCAAGATCCCATTGTCCAGACTGAGTCCAGTTCAGCCTGGAAGTACCGCTCGTTACCCTGGTCTCGGTATGCCTATCAGTAAGCTGCCTGGTACTCGTGGTGACTTGGTCATCTCCTACAAGGTTGATTATCCATTGAGTTTGACTCCAGAACAAAAACAAGCAATCAATCAGTACTTCTAATCATAAATGCAGGCATGATGATACATAGACATAGAAAACTACATTCAATCAATCGACAATTATAATCGATACTCGTAGTGAATTCTCCTGCACACACATAGAGTGATATGCGCACCGATTCTTCTTCTCACCAAGTACCTAATGTCTGTTATTCTTGCATCCGCTGGTTACGACCATACTATCAGGTTCTGGGACGCCCTCACTGGAGTATGCTCTCGTACCATACAACACACAGACTCTCAGGTCAATAGGCTAGACATAACCAGTGATAAAAAATACTTGGCGGCAGCTGGAAATCTCTACGTCCGCCTTTACGATATACGCCAAACCGGGTCTGCTGGTGGCTCTGCAGTTGGCAATTCTAGTACAAGTAACCAGGCTAATAACTCCAATCCCGTATTGACATTTGAAGGGCACACGGGTAATGTAACATCTTTGGCATTTCAAATTGAAAATAAATGGATGGTTTCGTCTCTGGAAGATGGAATGGTTAAGGTGTGGGATGTCCGCTCTCCGTCCGTACAGAGAAACTATAAGCATCATAGCCCTGTAAATGAGGTTGTTATACATCCTAATCAGGGAGAATTGATCAGTTGTGATCAAGATGGAAATATTAGAGTATGGGATCTTGGAGAAAACCAATGCACTCATCACCTAATTCCCGAAGATGATGTGCCCATCAACTCTCTTTCGGTAGGAAGTGATGGGTCAATGCTCGTCGCTGGGAATAACAAGGGTAATTGTTATGTGTGGAAGCTCCTGAGCCAACGAGACGTCACGTCGTTGACTCCAGTAACGAAATTCCGTTCCCATCTGAAATACATTACCAGAGTCGTTCTTTCGACAGATATGAAACATTTGGCAACTTGTTCAGCTGATCACACGGCGAGAATATGGTCAACTGAACAGAATTTTAATTTAGAGACTACACTTCAAGGTCATCAACGATGGGTGTGGGATTGTGCTTTCAGCGCTGATAGTGCATATTTGGTGACTGCATGCTCCGACCACTATGTTCGTTTATGGGACTTGTCAAACAGCGAGACGGTACGTCAATACAATGGCCACCATAAGGGTGCTGTGTGCGTTGCGCTTAATGACGTTTAGTCAAACTGCTTTATTACATTCCAAAGCTATCTACTCCATTCAACTCCACAAACAACGGATGATTGTTACGGTCTGCGAATTGCAACCAGAAGTTGCCTTTTCTGTGCTTCAATGGCAAGCTCGTAATCTCAAAGAGCTTCTTCAAATATGGTACAAACATACTCATAGTCAAATGATTTCCTGGTCCGAATTCCTTGAGCTTGTACCGTGGCGCACCCAGACGTATAGACTCCACGATGACTTCTTGTCGTTTGCTCATTGCTGGTGATAGAGCCACTCCGCGGTCTTGATGGATAGCCACTAATTGCAAACAGAAGAACAAAGAACACGCGGCAATACATTGCTTAAGATCAGATGCCATAATCCGTTTATCCACAAACTTTGTCGAATCTGCCTTGTCCGAGCTCTTGCCGTTACTCTGATTTGTCTGCTTGATGGTCACTGTTATTCCTTTTGATATGGTACCCAAGTAGTTATACAAATCTGTGCCCAATTCTCGAAAATGGCTGACTTGCGAAACCCTAAACTGTGATAGGTCGGTCGCCAACCCAGCAAAACACTTTTGCACTTTGGCAATCATCGATTCATGGTGTCCCAACTTGTGTTCGATTTCTGTCAAAATGGTATAAATTGGATAACAGTAAATGGGACATATGTCACTGTGGATAAGCGCTTGCAGCATTTGGTATAGCTTGATCACTTCTCTTTGATTGGCCCTGAGCTCGTGTGGAGTAGCCAAATCGTCAACAATATCGATAGTGGGGGTGGGTAATAAGGATTCCTTCAAGAAATTGTTGATTGCAGGGCCAAGTTCAATGTTATCCGGAATTTTATCTCTGTGGATATTGTACAAAAGGCACCCTAAAAGTAACTTGTGCAATGTCCATACCCGCTCGACCTGTTTCAAAGCAACTGCCAGACCACAACTACTGCAGACACTTGGTGTACCGTTTGTTGGACTGATTGCTTGATACATTTTTTCTCTTCCAAATTTGAAAAACGAACTCAAGGCAATGCTGAACATCATAATACCACAATTTGGACAATTGTACGAGAAGAAAAAGTTTTTCTTATTCCGACAGATCGAACATTTGCAAGTAAAATAAAACCTGGTCTCAAGTGTACGTCGTCTAACTTCGGTAGGGTAGCCGTTGAAGCAATAACTCGTGAATACTTCTGTTCCAGCCTTGATGGGTGAAGTAGCCACGAAACTAATCACAGTCAAGCTAATGGGAATGGAGTAAAGGTTGGGTACACACGAGTGGTTAATAAGTGAGAAAGTAGGATCAAATGCCATTCCCACTTGCTCGAAATTTTCATTCATCATAGTTGAGGAATTGATAGCTGCCAAACATAAAATCTTTAACACTGTTTGCTGTGAAGCTTTGATCTTTTCTGGCAATAAAGGTGCAATTTTCTCACTGAGGCGTACCAATGTTGCATTTTTTTCCACTTCTTCACGGTGAGTTGTCAAGCGTTCCAAGTTCTTTCGGTAAGAAGGAATGGAGTATAACGTGCATAAGCGGAGTGCTAATCGTACAAACTCTTGGTATCCGAATGATGATTTCAATTGCTCAAATACTGGACATTCGTACTGGTGAACCTTTTCCCAGCTGAGGTCATAACAGCGTTGGTTGCAATAAGTGTACAATTTGCAACCGTTGCAAGTATATTGTGACTTGTGTGCTGGAAGGCGTCGAGTACAGTGCTGGCAAACTGTTTTGCAACTGTCGGTTGAGGAATCCAGAGGCTCTGGCTGGTATATAGTAATAGCAGTTTTAATCTTCAACACTTCGCAGCCAGGCTTGGAAGCGGCTTCGGTTGTACTAACACCTCGTTTTGCTGGACCTTCTTCTGGATTCATTACAGATATCCTTGAATCGGAGAGAGAGGGTTCTTTTATACGCTCTGGTTCATCTTGTGTCATTTTGATATGCTATATGTATATGTTCGGCTCCGTTAGTACCTTTTTTGTGAGACCGTCACAAATAGTGAGACCGTCACAAATGGGATCCGCTACTCATTTTCGCAGCCGAACAGAATGCTAAATATAAGCTGCCACCAATCTTGATGAGCTTTATTGCAAAACACTATCGTGCAAGATATCTTGTACGTTGTAGAACATCTCTTCGAAATTCTGGTCTCTTTCGGTTCCGTAAGACCTATCCAAGAGATCAACGGTTTGCACGTTTTCTGACACATTAGATTCATATCTTTCTGTGTCTTCATTGTCATCGTTGTCATCGTTCGTATCTTCGGTATAGAGATGTTTTGAAGTAGCTGATGATCCCAACTCATTGCGAAAATAGCCTCCGAGCTCTAGACAAAAGTTCATGAACTCGTCGATCCAGCAAATGACAGCATACCATGCTTCCTTCGCAATACCTCCATACAGCCCTATTTCTATTAGACAAGCGGTCAATAAGCTGCCTGCCGTTACAAGATAGAGTCTTGGGTTGGGGCCAGGAAACCGAGATGGAAGTTCAGAGACGAGCTCTGCACAGTCACCAACAACGTCCGAAGATCTAGATAAAATATGCTGCACTTCATCAACCAAAACATGAGATAAGAAATCCGTTCTATCCTGGCAGGGAACAAGATGCTCAACCATATCAGGAATGCTGACATTGAGCCAACTCTCGAGCATTGCACTCCGAGCCTCTTGGTTTTTAAGGTATCTTGACGCTATGTCTTTGGTTTGAATAACAGCTATCATGCGGGTCAATAGCGAAACAAACTTCAGTGCTGATTTGATTTTACAATCAACAAACTCCTTGTGCATTTTGTTACGCAATGAGTCTGCAAGATGCTTTGTTAAATTTTCAGCAACCTCTTTAAGTCTTTGTAATACCATTGGAGGAACCAGTTGAAGGTACACTCTAGTCAACATTTTCGCCATTTTATTGTAGACCAAAGTATCACATTTGTGAATCCATGGAACTACGCTCTCACTGCTGTACAATGTTTTAACAGGAGCAGTTAAAATGGTGTTGAGAGCGGAAAATGACAGAAACAATTTTTTTGTGTGTAGGTACCTCATACACTCTAGTACGGTGGTACAATGAATAGTGTAAAGTGCATACAACGTGTCTGCAATGTCACTATCAGTATCTGGTGGGAGATAAGGATATATCGATGGCAAGGTGACAGGCGTAGACATATCCTCAACTTCTAGTAATTGATCCACTTGATGGAAAACGTTGGGTACGTAACATAATTCAAGGATATCAAGCAGTTCTGCAGCAGCAGACACCAAAGAAGTTGGGGTACGAGCTTGGCCCACGTCAAGTCCTTCAGCCGGACTGTTCAATGAATATGCAGAATTTGGAGACTCTGGAGGAGAGAGTTGAGATGAAGGTGACATTTTGTGAGATTCGTCCGGATCTTCAATCAAGCGGATTCCATTATAGTGATATTTTGATCTACCACGGACTCCCAATCGACGAATTCTCAAGCCTGGGAACATCAACTTGACCAATTTTCCCATATTGGTAGGAGTGATGGGCACCAAGCCAAAATTGGCGCAAGATTGAACGTATCTAGCGTACACACGATTACGTGGAACCACGGCAGTAGACGATACCTCACATACTCCAAGAAGCCATGCAGTAGCAAATATATCACGATGCTTGTCTCTTAATGTAATTGAATGCAGATTTTTTGACGACTCCGAGTCATCATTATCGATCATTTTAACTCGGGCAGCCAATTCCGCTAGTGGTAGCTTGGCGGCTTCCGATGCAAGTCTCTTGAGTTCGAGCTCTGAGCTAAAGAGAACTGGGCCCCCCGAACCGTGAGCCGGATGGACAGGAAGCTCGGAGGGTGAAGGGTCCATTTTTTGTGACTGAGCATAGTTAGCACTTTTCAGTGTATTTCTGCTGTGTCCTCGCATATGATGAATATGTTCTGGAGAATGGGAGAGTCTTTGTGATTCCATCCCTCCATGCAAAACTTGGCCCCCATACATTCCAGGGTTCACTTGGGGAACGGAACCTTGGTAATTACGACCAATAGAAGCATGAGAAGAATGAGATCGCCCATGTGTAACTTGTACACTATGGGGTCCTTGAGGTCCGTTATATTCCTGGTAATGAAGAGTGTTGTTTCGGGCTTCCTCCATGTTGTAAGGAAACTCAAAATGCATCGGATAACTCATCATGTTCTCTGTGCCCACATAATGGGGAGTAACATGCATTGGATGTGACGAAGGATGCATTTCGCTGGATTCCTGTTTTATACCAATTGGCAGACCCTGTCCATCCTTATGAGCAATTGTGGTGCCCTGTGGAGCATCAATGAGTTCTTGAGCATCCGGCGGAAGATAATATTTGTCGAAGTTCTCTCCCATTAATCACACTTTGAGTTTGATTGGGATACTCTTTTTTCGGTGAGATAGGTATAAAACAGAGTAGTTCCAATGACACGGAAAGATGTGGCAGTGTCTTGATGATACCAAATATGCACCCAGAAGTGAGCTGACCCCTAAATGTGTGGAAGGTCTTCTTCTGTGGTACCTTACTCAGCCTGCACAAAAAAAAAGTTTGATTCAAGCCGCAACAAAACATCTCGGCCTTCCTGTATATAAACGGTAAACTCAAACTCCCCTGTATATGGGGCCAATTTTTTTTGGCTCATCGCATCCATTCTTCGCATCTCCCAAATACAATGGTGGTACTTAATTCTAATCCGGAGATCCTCTTGCGCAAGCGTAAAGATCGTGATAGAAAGCGTCTTGAAAAGCAGGAACAGGCAATTCAAAGACAGCTTCAACAAAAGAAGAAAAATGCAAGAAAACTCAAAAAGTTTGTAAGAGTGGAGACGCTCATTTCGAACTATAAGTCCAATGAGCTTGAAAAGAAGAGAATACAGCATATAACCAAGCACCAACAGCGTGAACAAGAAAATTCGGATGAAGATGATGGTTCTGAGAACCTTCTTTTTGTCATTAGAGTCCCTGATCATGTGAAAGGATTATCCATCCCCAGAAAGGCAAAAACTGTGTTGCGTTTATTACGGTTGGATGTGCCCAATACTGGTGTTTTCGTGAAAGAAAACGCTGCCACTGCTCCATTATTGAAGTTGATCCTGCCCTATATCGTTGCAGGAAATCCTTCATTAGCATCGGTGCGTCAATTGTTTCAAAAAAGAGCATGTATATCCGTGATTGATGATGAAACTGAGAAGCCTAAAGTGATCAAGTTAGATAACAATGTTGCAGTGGAGGAGAAGTTTGGAGATGACTTGGGTCTCATCTGTATCGAGGATCTAATTCATGAGATCGTAACTTTAGGTGACAATTTCAAGCCTGTGACATTCTGGCTTAGACCATTCAAACTCAATGCCCCTGTCAGTGGCTGGGGTCCCCAGGCAAAGCTTGCTAAATTGCAATATGAACAAGAAAACCAACGCAAAGTCAGTTTAGCCGGCAATGCAACACTTTCACTCATTGACATTGACAAATTTATCGAGGAACAAAATTAGGAATGGATATATAATGCATGTACACTATTAGCACGCAAAATTGTAGCTCCACACTTCTACTAGCATCTACATAGTGGGACAACTTTTATCTTTTGTTGATCCAATTTTTTAAATTTTTGCGATATCTCCTACTGTTCTCTATGCAGAATGTTAACCATCTGCTGCGACGCGTAGACTCACAGCATACTTTCATTAATGGGCAAGATTACATACCATGCTTTCAATCAGCTAAGCTCTGAAAGCGGTCACACATACAAACTAATACAGCTACCTCCAGATGTCCTTAGTCATATAGAACATGGCTCGGAGCCGTTACAACTTAAATCATCTCCTGGTGAACTGACAGACTTGACACTTTGCACTAACAACAAATCATGGAGGATAAGACAAATGAACCACTCCAATACTGTTTTTCTTCTTAATGACCTCAATATCAACTGCATGGGCCAAAAAATTCAGCATGACAGTAATAAAGAAAATGAGCCTAATAAGACAATCGAAACTCTGAATATGTTGATGGGGTTTGCAAGCAATTCCTTTGAATACGAACTTACGTCTACTCCTGGCAGCATCAACGCAGACAGGTTACCCATTTACGATGGAAATGAATTCAAACCCACAGGATATAGCGAGAAAGATCTCTTGTTAGATTCTCCAGTATCAAAGAATCAATTTTACAAAATATGGTACGACCTATGTGGCTGCGAAGTACATGGAAGTGCAGTTATACTATCCCGAAAATTCGTTACTGACTTTTTGTCTGTGCTCATTCCTGTCATAATTAGCATTGATGGAGCATATTCTAGTGAAGATTACAACCTTGAAGTAAAACAAATTCTGGAACTTTTGGCAAAGGAAAATGAGTTGTATACTCCAGAAATATGCTGGAGTATCTTTCATAAATTTGGCGACGTGCATGAAGGTAAGTTTAAACTCAAAAACATTGTTATCACTCGATGGTTTGGCATTCAAGCTTTATCACGTCAGACTCAGCCTATGGACTGCAAGCAATTTCTTCTTCTTTGGAAAGGCAGTCTTCCTCATTTTTACAACGTGCCCTTGGATTTGGAACAACTCAAGGGTTATTACTTCAAACCGACAAGCACCCTGGTTCAGTACTTAGAACCCAGCTCCCTCTCTCACGCTAACGCTGGTTCGCGAATAAAGGAACTTTTCCTGGTGTCCAAAGAATGGGACCTTGATGATTTTATTCCATTTATACAGGAATTCATACCAACTGGCAAGAAGCCAGACAGCATCATCTTGAAATATGCAAAGAAGAAGCGAATGGGAAAGAACCGCTTCGTCGTCTGTCCCCGGTGAAGATTTAACATCCATACACCCGTAATGTGAAAGATTTCGCCGGATGCGGACTCGGACTCACAATGGATGGGTCAAAGTTTTTTGGTGTCCCTCATCGTATGTACACTCGGCAACTAGAAATATGCGTACTTTCGGCGTCAATTAGAGTGGGTAACTAACTCAGAGTGGGGGCTGCGCCGGTACCGCGACAGATTTGGCATTTTTTCCAATTGATACATTAAAAACACGATTACAAGCCAAAGGTGGGTTCTTCCTCAATGGGGGCTGGCATGGTATATATCGAGGATTGGGATCGTGTGTTGTGGCATCTGCCCCTTCAGCAGCCTTGTTCTTCGTTACCTATGATACAATGAAAGCATACACAAAGGACAAGTTACCTCTGGCATCGATCAGTCATATGGTCCTGGCCTCAATGGGTGAGATAGCAGCTTGTTTAGTGAGAGTTCCCGCCGAAGTCATCAAACAAAGAACTCAAGCGGGCATTCTCGGCGCTGGGAATGTGTCGACTTCTTGGTCAAATTTACTTTACTTGTTACAGAATCAGTCAGGTGAAGGAGTACTTCGAGGTCTCTACAGAGGATGGAATACAACTATACTTCGGGAAATCCCTTTCACCATGATTCAATTCCCGTTGTATGAATACCTCAAGAAGTTATGGGGTAGTCATGAACAAGTAGAGCAATTATCACTTCTCAAAGGAGCTATATGTGGGTCTGTCGCGGGAGGTGTTGCTGCCGCGTTAACGACACCACTTGATGTGATCAAGACAAGAATAATGTTGAGCCACGAGAGAGTCTCCGTGCTGCATTTGATAACGACAATGATCAGGGATGAGGGATACCGTGTATTTTTGAATGGGGTCGGACCCCGGACTTGTTGGATCAGTGCAGGAGGAGCAATTTTCCTAGGATGTTACGAGTTATGTCTGAGCCATCTCTCGTCGATGTCGCTATTCATAAAACAATAGAATGTGGTATATAGAAACTTCAAATAGGCATGCACATACTTAAAAATGAGAGGTACTTGAGTATCGTTTTCCGTTATGACACAATGCGGCACCTGGGGATTCACATTTGTCATATTGTAGCCTTAAAGGTATACAAATAGGAGTTGGAGGCTGAGAAGAGTTTGACTTCACCATCTCAATTGCACAGCAAGGTGATGTGAAGCGCCATGGCATTGACACATTCTTTTACCCCTGCATACATGTTGACAGGTTTTTACGAGCTACCATGAAACATTAATACTTACGATCGATGCACCTATATATTACTATTTCTTGGCTTTTCTCTTCTTTCTTTTCAGAGCTATGATCCTTTGCTCCTTTTCGGAATGAGTTGAGGCATTTTGGCCATTTTGGGACGCCGTCTTGTTAATGTTGGTTTCAGACGACTTCGCACCTTTAGGACCCTTATTCATATTGCCCTTCTTTTGTGGCTTTGACTTTTTCCTTTTACGAGATTCATTTGTGTCATCGGTGGCTTCTTCCTCGGCCTTTCTTTTGTTATTTTGCCGGGCATGCATGACTTTTTCCTTTCTTCTTTTCACAACCTGAGCATTCTCCACGGCAAACTCTACAATCAACCTTCTCTTTCCACTCTCCTTTGATCTAACATTTTTCTTTTCCTCATCGGTCAAACCTTCAACAGCCTCTTCTGGAGTCACCTCGTGAGCATTCAACCAACGAAGACCCATTAAAGCTGTCTTATGATCACGATACTCAATGAAACCATAACCTCGACTACGTCCCACATCTCCAGTTCCTTTCACCTCCATGACAACTTTGGCTTGCTTAACTACTCCAGCATGCTTGGATTTCTTCATCTCTTGAATTTCGTCCTCATGTTTCAACTTGATACTTCGGTTAACCTCTTCCTTGGAGAGAGGTTGTCTCTGTTCTGCTTTGACTTCGGTAGCAAATTGAACCACAGCTTTTCTTCCTAAAGCTTTCAAAGACTTGGCATTCATTGATCTTGGAATGTTCCTTATGGCCAATCTTGTTAATGATAAATGCAACGTTGGATTTTTGTTGAGTTGTTGTACACGCAACTTGTAGGACTTTTCTCGTAATTCGAGATCGGTCTTGGAGATGAACTGCGCTAATTTAGAATTCTCGGTGATTCTTCCTTCGTTAAGCAAGTACAAGTTTCTCTTATCTTTGTCTGCTGGTGATTTTCCGAGTGCCTCTTTCTTACGCTCCATATTTTTTTCAGCGAGTCTCAGGGCAGAGGTTCTATCGACAGCCGAAGTAATGGATAAAATTCGTCCCTCATAAACGTATTCTTTGGAAACATCATCTGGGATTAATACAGATGTGGAATCAATAGTGGGAGCATTCTCCAAGCATGTAGTGTATGGTTTTTCGGAAACAAATGCAACAAACGCAGAACCTCTTGCAAGACCAGTTTCCTTGTCAATGACAGGAAGAGCATACTTGACGTCACCAAACTGGCTGAAATGCTCTTTCAACGAATCCTGGTCGGCATCATAAGGTATATTTCTCACGAACACTGCGTATGGTTCTTGCTTGTTCCTGGGTTTATATTCTTCTTCTGGTTCTTCTTCAGGTTCACCTTTAAGATCATTAAGTTCCTCGAAGGAGTCGTTATCGGATTCTTCATCAGAGCCGCTTTCGTCGTCTTTTATGTCTTCGTCTCCTTCATCGTCTGAATCTTTCTGTTCTGGATCGTCCTCTTTCTCTGGCTTGGGTTCTTCTTCCTTGATAGCTTCCCATTTACTTTTTTCAACCGCAAGATCTACAGCCACTTCTCTACCGTCGATCTTCAAACCCACGCTCTCCTTGACCGCTTTGTCGGCTGCAGCTTGTTTCTTCATTGTGATGAAAGCGAACCCACTCATTTGACCACCTTTCTTACGAGGAATGTAGGCATCGAATACGGCACCGAATCTCAGAAATGTCTTTTTCAAGGTTTCAGGATCCTTGCAAGACCATGGGAGGTTTCTCACAATGAGCCTTGCTCTTCTTTTCTCGACAGTCTTACCAGAATGGGGTTGTTCGGTGGGATCCCTGGTAGCTCGTTCACCTTTTCTGTCTCTTCTCTTGGCTATATCGACCCGCAAAAGACGTCCTTTAAACTTGACTTTTTTCGATTCCACAAGTGCTGTGAGGGTATCATCATCCATTGTGAAGGATACAAATCCAAAACCTCGTCCCTCACCCTTTTCATCAGTCACAACAACGGCATGCTTAACCGGAACGAATTGTGAGAAATGCTCCGAGAGCTCTTCATTGGTTGTACCAGCAGGAACAGAACGCACAAAAAGAGTTTTCCTATCCAATCCGTCGTCTACGGTTGCCAGGTCGCTTTTGGGAGCTTCCAGGGCCGAAGGTGGTGGCACAGTATCAGACATTGGTACTTGAGTGTGTGCGCGAAAGGTTGGCTCGATGCTCATCGCAGCCAGAAATTTTTCGAGGCAGACTGCAGGTGATGTGAGACGCTATCGATAAAAATACGGGGAAACGTAAACAAGTGCGCTCTTCCAATGGCACGTAATAACCGCCGCAATGTGCTTCCCAACACCTATGTGCCTGTTTTATCGAAGAAAGCACTCACAACAGTTCTTATGAGACTGCCAAAACGTTCCCTTTTGGAGTTGGTCCAGCGATGGCCGCAACTTGCGAATACTCAGCCAAACATAGATGGAGCTAAACCTCGAGAAATTCGTCGAATTGGTAAGGAAATATTGGAGACTGTGCGCCAGTGGCGTGCTTCGTCCGCTGGAGTATCCAAGAGAACAATAGTGGACACTATAGTTCATGAATGGTGGAGTGGAGGACTCAATTTGCTCCAGTTGTCGCAGATAGATTGCCAGCTTATTGTAGATCGGCCCAATGCATACTCATGGGTTTATTCTACCGTGAGAGATTTCAAGGGTGCAGAGGTCGCGGTGTCTTTGGACCCGGCAAAGTTCTTGGATCGCCTTTCTATGGATCTTAGCACGTTGTACCTCTCCTACATTTATATCTGTCGTCATCCTCAACTTCCACTCGTACTCATCCGCATCCAGGTTTTCGACATCCAACCAATGAGTACAGTCAAGCGTTCTAATCGACCCCACATATCTTCGAATAGGCCGTTTCTTGCTGCAATCCCCATGAATTCAAGCCACATTATTCACAGCCCCGGTGATGATGTGGTATCGAGCATTGTCCATCAGGCCATCGAACGAAGCCTCCCACAGTCGCGTGGTAGACCACTTACATTGGAGGCTGCTACAAATCAAGCTCCCGTTCGATCGCTCGAATCCATGCATATTTTGCATGGAAGTTCGAGGTTCGCAAAGAGCATGGGAGCTTGGGCTCCATATGCCGATAATAGCGTCGATATTTCTCCACTTGGAGACACCATAAACCATGCGCTAGCGTCGGAAAATGTAAGGGTGCCACCAGTGGTTTCACCTTTGCAAGAATTAAAGACAATTGCAAACCTACGATTCAAAGGAACAAAGGACGGTAAATACAAATCTGAGAAATTGTATGACGATGACGAGGGCTCGAAGCCTAAAAGATGGCATGGTGATCACGAAGACGAAGCAGAAGAGAATTTAACTACCAGTGAATTCACATCCATCGCTCCCATACAGCATGTTTCTTTTTTACTAAAAGAACCCGTCGAGAAGTTGGGAGACGAAGCGGCCATTAAAATAACATTAGCAGGTTCTGATGTCTACGCTGGACTCCATGAATTATCGGTTTCTACGACTGATGAGAGTGAAATGGTTCTCGATCCCAGATCTATTCCTAATTGGCTAACAGGTTCCTAGAGTTTATCTCGTTTCCCTCATAAATCTCTTCACAGCATTTTCTAGTGCCTCGTTACCCTCGGCACGCTCATATATGTGCTTCAAATACTCGGTGTCTCGGTTCTTGGATGCTTCCTGAGCAGCTAGAACTATGTCATCATTCTTAAGATATAATTCGACCTTTCGAGTGTAGTGCACATTTTGAAGATTGTTGATGAGAACGGAAGTATATTGCTTTGGTGCAGAATATGCCAAGCAGGTTTCAATTATGGCGCCAAATCCAATTGGTGACTTCAATCCAGTGTCTGTAGTGGTGTCACTATGGGCTCTAATGAATTTCATCAACTTGTCAAAATCTCTAGATTTGCAACAAGAGTCAACAGTAATGTACCAAAGCTTCTCGATATCAACATTGAACTCCTTGCACACTCTGTTGGCTTGTTTTAGCTGGTTCATTTGTATCAATTTCACCACCACGTCAACGAGGGTTTTTGTCGTGAAAAAGTCGGTTTGGTAAATTTCGGTGAGTTTTCGACGAAGATCAAGTATATCAAGTTCTTTTTCAAAAATCTTTCGCAGCCGATTATCTATAGTTCTATGCATCGCTTTGGTCAATTTCAGCTTGTAGCTTTCGTAATATTCATGGTCAACATTGGCCCCGGCTATGAATTGGCGAAGTCGATGAATACAGAGCTCAAATCTTTTATCTTCTTGCTTGTGATACTGCTCGAATAATGTCAGATTATCCTTACCAATAGTCTGTGTCCAGAAGTTGCCTATTAAGTCACCATTAATATTCAAGATACCGGCTCGATCTTTCAGAGGACGTTTTGTCCATGAATTTTGTTCATTTTGATCGAGTATCTTGAAGAATTGAGACAAAGATAAGGTGTCAAATAGGTGTAGAAGGATCAACTTGCACAAATCCGAATCGCATGTTTCAAAAGCTTTCATTAAGGCAACTTCAGGTTCTCCAATGGCTAGAAATTGTTTAACTCGATTATACGGAGAAGGGTCTTTTTCAATTATCCACTTGCTCAAGTTATTACGGCCCTCCTCCAACGCAACTTTTGATATTTGCTCTATAGGAACAACGTTTCCATCCGCTCCCTTTGAACTTGTGCTCAATTTGTTCTCAATTAATGTTAACAAGTTTTCGTCAGACATGTTGAGCTCTTTCTTAATTTTGGAACAACACCAGTGTATATACACTAGGTTATCCAAGTCCTTCTTGTTCACCAACTCCGTAATGCGTAGAGCCATTGCATGTTGATCTCTCCGTAGTAACATGTCGATTAATTTCTTCCAGCCAATAAACTCTACCTCAGAAAATGTGAGAAAGAGGCCCAATTCCGGAGCACGAAGCTGGTTTAAAACTTTCAAGGTATTCACAACTTGCACATATCTGTCAGAATCAAAGATATAGCCCTCGAAATATGCCTTTCCGAAACTGACAGCTTTCAATATTCGCTTCTGCCATATAGGATCGAACTCTCGTAAGGCGGCATCTAGGCATGTTTCTATTGCCGGTTCGAGTACATCCTCGCCTTTAAGCATGGATATATTTGAATCTGCTTTGGAAGGATGAGCGGAAAGTTTCTCGAAACAATCAACGAGTATACTTCCAGGATCTGACGCACCGATCTCAAATAGTTTTACTGAGCTGTCGGCTACCCTTCCCAAGAATTCTACTCGATCCGAGGATATTATAGTAACTCCATCCGGCTGAGTTTTCAAAATGGGAATGGATACCGACTTACCGTAGTCGACATAGTCGTCGCCTATATCGTCCATGATATCGTAGAAGAAAGAAACGGAGCGTTGGGCAGGGCCAATGAGCTTTATTTCGTCTCTCAAAGAGAGAATTATGGCATCATTACCACACCACTCGACTTGAAATGGAGTACCAGACTCGTTCGAGGTGTCGTATTCTAAAAGTACCTGGTCAAACAGATTGTTGATGACGAATATTTTGGAAACTTCCTTATTATGCAAAGCGATAAGCTGGCGGCTGGGCGAGGCACTCACCACGGAAAACGGGCCGTCTGTGAGACTCTGGTCAATCAATTCGAAGCTGTTAGAGGTGAAGTCAACGTTGAGTACGTATACGGTTTTGTCGTAACTGATGAACAATGCGAGCAGATTTTCGTCTGAACTAGCGTCTGTCAAGCAGTGTATTTTTTCAAGGCTCCAGTTTGGGACCGAGATTTCGTAGTTCTTGAAAGTTTCGAGATTGGTCACAAGTAAGCGATCATCTAGTAATAGTACTAGAAAATTACCCATTATTTTCAGCTGTAGCACCCTGAAAACTTGTTCTTGTTGCAAGTTTTCCAAGTTGGTGATAAAATGACCGGAGGGAGAATCGGTTTTGGTGGTGGAAGAAGAAGACATATTGATCAACTCGGTGCGTTTGTCGATATATGAGTATTCGTTGAAAGTGCCCTTGAAATCCAGGTAATAGCGGAACTTGTTATTGCTTAGTACCACACACAAGTCCTCGTTACGAAATGCAAAGTCAACAATGTGATCACTTGCATGGCTATTATAAACCACCGACCACAACTTGGTTCCGCTTAATGAATATACATCAATTATGTTTGGATATGTGGCTAGTTTGGTAGCAAGTGCCATGACTGTGCTGTGTGTCGATACCGCTACTCTGAACTGGGAATAGAGGTTGGATATGTCCCAATTCATATCCAGATAGCATGCTATTAGATGGTAGTAGACATCCTGGAGTTTCTGCCAGCCGATACTAGGAGTCTGCATTGATACAATGGAGGAAGCAATCTTATTAGGTGTTCTATTCTGTGCCAATTCTGTGCCAATATGTGCCAATTATGAAACTTTACAAATAGAATAAGTAGTCTCAGGTGTATGAATTGAAATCGATTTTGGCGCGAATTGAATTCACCATCAACTGACACTTTTACCATGAGCGAATCAGGATACGTTACACTTGTGTCCGCCGATGGTCACAGATTCGTGGTGCTACGTGACGTGGCACTGATATCCTCGGTCCTCAGAAACACACAAGGTTTCGAAGAGGGACGAACAGGAAAGATCAAACTCGACATGGATGGAGATATTCTAGAATGCATTGTCGAGTATTTGTACTACCATTACAAGTACAGAGAACAGGCCGAGAGCGGCAACATTCCCGAGTTCAATATTCCCACGCATTTGGCGTTGGAGTTGTTGGTGAAAGCAGATTACTTGGATATATGAGGACTAAGGAGAGAAGAGAGAATGGAAGAGATGAGAGAATGAAAGAGAAGTGAGATGACGAGGGAGAATTGAAGTGAGGTGGGGTGGAGAACGAGAATTGTTGTGAAGATTCGATTCAATGCTGATTATGGTGAACTTTGGTGAGGATGACTTGGGTAAGTCAGACAGAGTCTTTGGTTGTCCTGTGGTTTTTTGTCGTCTTATGGTTTATCTGTTAGGTGTGTGAAACTGCAAAGTACCTTAATGTTCTGGTCGAGTTCTGAGCGAAAATTGCTTCACTTTTATGTATATTAATTGACGAAATGATTCGATATCGACAAATACTGATAATCAAAAAGATAAATTTCAAGTAGATTGTTGATGCTTAAGTTCAAAAAAGTGAGTTTAGGCTTCATTACTTGTCTCTTAACCCGTTCTTATCATTCACTACTTCTTTTTATTCCATTTACTCTCTCCACATTCCTGCAGATATGGCCGATACCATTTCGATCCTCATTCTACTTTTACCCCATGACAAGCCTACTCTCCACCTTGGAGTCTGAGGTACATGGTTTCTCTGATTCCAGCAAAAAGTGCCTCTCAGGAATACTAGAAGAATCTCATAACTGCCTTAATGATCTTCGTTTACTTGAAGCAGAATTAGAAGTCGAAGTTGCAAACGATCAGAATCCACCTAATGACTTTGATATAGATAGTTTGGCCAAATCGACTGATTCGTGGTACAAGAACTCGATAACTCATTTGAAGGGGTACAACTCAGGCATCAATAAGTTTCTGAAAAACATTTTTAATAACCCCCAGTATCGCATGGAGTTGGATGAGGCATATACCTATCCATTAAATCTCAGCAACTATCCAATAACGACCCAGGGCGATAAGAGTAAGCTAGGATTCATTCAGAGAGAGAACCATGAGGAGCTTTTGAAGGCAATTATATTGCATCTTCTCAAAATCGGCCAGTGCAATTTGTTGAATGAGCTTGTCAAAGAGATTCCATCTGATAAACCAATAACTATCGACCAGACCCTTTTGAACCAGTTCAATCTTTTGAATGATATTGTAAATGACATAACGACAAAGCACGACCTAACAAAGGCACTCAATTGGTTCAAAGAGAAAAGAAAACTGAAACCTTCGTCTGGAGAACTGGCCCTCGATATCATAGAGTTCAAGTTCCACATGCTCCAATTCACGTTGTTGCTCTATAGCCCGAACACAGTCAACGACATTGACAACTCGGCTCTTTCCGCCTACATGTACTCGAAAGAGAACTTTTCGTCGTCCATGAAGTCTCACCTAGACGAGGTATCTGCATTAATGACATTGCTTGTGTTGCGAAGAGATAGAAATGGCACCCAACAGTTGGATACGATGAAAAACCTATCTTCCAGAATTCTGGCATCCTTACGTGACAGAGAAAAAGTGGGTCAAACAGGTAGTATTTCATTTGCATCAGAAATACTTCTCGCTTCAAGCAGCATTCACAGTAAGGAAGCCGTGTTCACCAATTTATCCAACGAGTTCATATCAGAATACTGCAAGGATTTGAACCTATCCAACGATTCATCGCTATTCCAGTGCATGCTAGCAGGATTTGTGAATCTACCCAGCTTCTACAAGTACAACAAAATTCAAATGAAACTAGGCAAGGGCCTAAAGACTGCAAACGACCCCACTGTTGCTAGTAACCTTCCTAACACCAACACAGAAACTATGGTTGACTATGTATCAACTTTTAGAAATGATCTTCCCTTTCAACTTCTGGGTGCAAGTTCGTTTTTATTTCTGTATCATCCAATTTTCATTTGTCCTGTTTCGAAAGAACAGTTGATCCCGCTTACTGATGACGATCGCAACAGTGAGGGTATGCATGAACCAAATCCTGTCGTTGTATTGAAATTCTGTCATCATCTTGCACTCCGAGAGAGTGTATGGCAATTATCGAAGCGAGGTAAGGATTATTTCAAGTGCCATTATTGTTACAAGAGGCACAAGTTTAGCGACGTCAAGGAGGCGTATTTTATTGATTTATGAGAGCATGTGAGTATATAGGTACCAATTTATGAGAAACGTTAATAAAAGGTTCAAAGTAGTTGGTTGGTGGAACTAAGAAATGGCACAATGAAAAAAGTGTAAGAATATAGAATTTTGTAAAAGACAAAAAATTGCTAAAAACACATAAGCCTTGAATATCATAAGAATAGGACTCAAGTTTGTCTCCATTATCGCCATTTAGAGTAATATGGTCAAGAAATGGTTGAATGAAGAGGTACAATTATCTATATGGGTATTGCACCAAATTTGCAATTTTTTTATTTTCTCCAGATGCCTCAAAGGAACAGAGATCAGTAGCAGAAGGAGAGTAATATACCAGTGATTCTACCTTTCCCATTTCTCGCAGCACTATTTTTCGTTACTAGCCATCAAGTATTACATATTGCAACCATTTGAATTTCGCGATGAGCAGATTTCATCTTTCATATGGCTCGAAAGAACCACAATAGAGGAGCCAACCAGCCCGAGTTGAGCACACTTCTTTCCACAGAATCCATCCTCGGGCCGTCATGGGTGCCCGTCTATAAGAAGGATGTAGATTTCTCAGCGGAACACTTCGAAGCAGCAATGTCAAATTTGATCCGAGAGCCCAATATCAACTCCACGGTAATAATGAGAGCTGATATACTTCTGGACTCGTCTGTGAATGAACCAGATAAAAAGATCAACATAAGCAAATTGGAAGATATTCCCAGAGCGCTGGACTCGGACGGGGAAGTGTTGCATCGAGATCTCCAAGATGTCAAACTTCGAACTATTCCTCTCGAAAATGGACTTCTGCTCAAACCTCGAATTGACATAGTGAGACGTATCATACCACGAAACCCATACAAGGACCATATTATCATCCAGACATGCCTTGTACTTGCCAATGACGAGTCAAAGACCATTCTTGTTGTGTATGTTCCTCACATCAAAAACGTTGACGAAACACCATTTTATCTTCCCAAAGTCTACGGCATTGGACTATTGTACCACAATTCAAGCGTCTCTATCCACTATCTTCCTTTTGACTACGAAAATGTCGACACTATCAAAATGTTGAAACAGCTAGATCCATCTGATCGAGATGTGCGAATTGCATTGAGGCTCTTGAACACCAGTTGCAAACACTCCCAGGGAGCCAAAGATGGGTATGAAAAGAGAGTGAACCACGATTTGGTTGTGCCCAAGATAGCGTTCCAGAACCGCTATATCAGCTTGAAGAAAAAGTATGCAGCAGATTTGGTGAGCCGTTGGCAAGAGAGCACCAATCCAACCAAGCATGTTTTTGAAGACTTGGCTATCGCAGCCTTTTTAATTGAATTCTGGCTCAAGCACTATGGCGAAGACAAAACAAAGTTTCAGTTTCGAGACTTGGGATGCGGAAATGGTTTGCTAGTGTATATTCTCATCATGGAAGGATACACGGGAAAGGGTATCGATGCTCGCAAGCGAAAATCATGGAAAATATACCCAGAAAAAGTGCAAGAGAATCTATTGGAACAAATTATCATCCCTAACGTGCTACTCAGGCCACATCCAGCTTACGCCGAAATTGCACCAGGAATGATTGATAATGGCAGATTATTTCAAGTTCCTGATCCTGCTACTCCAAAAAATTCAGTTCCCCTTGTGAGCTATTACACAGCTGGAAATCTTCTCGCTTCGTCACTCGTGAGTACCACCGAAGAGTTTCCACCCAACACATTCATAATTGGAAACCATTCAGACGAATTGACCTGCTGGATTCCATTATTCAACTTTCCTTTCATGGTTATTCCGTGCTGCTCTCATGCACTCAACGGAGCCAAGGTAAGGTTCAATCCTCGAAAAGGTAGTAAGAACAACGCAACGTCTACGTATGGCTCGCTAGTAGACCACGTTCAAGATTTGGCTACTCTAATGAAGTGGAAGGTGGAAAAAGAGATGCTCCGGATTCCTAGCACCCGCAATGCTGCGATTATCGGAGTGACAAAAACCGAACCCGAGGATCTCGAAATGACAAACAAACGTATATATGACCTAGTTGCTATGGAAGGCGGAGCCGAAGGATGGGTGGAAAACTCAATGGCATTGATGAAAAAGCCACCCAGAGGCCATTAATGAATTTCGCAACCATTTAAATTTGTAGCTCAGCCTGCATAGATAAGTCCAAGCCTTAATTTTCCATTTTGGGCGAATTACCACTGAGTTTAGAAACGTTGGGATGACTGGTTCGTCTTCACAGTATGTAATTCAGCCATTTTTGCTAACAGGAGTACTTTCAGCTGTATATTCTCTTCCATAATTTGTGCTAACCCAGATTTCAGCAGCTCGAAAAGCTCGGAGAAGGAACTTATGCTACCGTGTATAAGGGACGAAACCGGAACACGGGGGCTCTTGTGGCTTTAAAAGAGATCAATCTCGACTCGGAAGAAGGCACGCCGTCCACCGCCATCAGAGAAATATCATTGATGAAGGAATTGGACTACGAAAACATCGTGACCCTTTATGACGTGATCCACACTGAAAATAAATTGACACTTGTATTTGAGTATATGGATAAGGACTTGAAAAGATATATGGAGACCAATGGTAACAACGGAGCACTTGAGTTGCACGTTGTCAAGTCATTTATGTTTCAACTTTTGAAGGGCATCATGTTTTGTCATGACAACCGAGTACTTCACCGGGACTTGAAACCACAGAATTTGTTGATCAATGGCAAGGGAGAACTCAAGTTGGGTGATTTTGGACTTGCTCGTGCATTTGGTATACCATTCAACACATTCTCCAACGAAGTGGTTACGTTATGGTATCGTGCTCCAGATGTTCTTTTGGGCTCTCGTGCTTATACAACTTCAATTGATATCTGGTCTGCCGGGTGTATTTTCGCTGAAATGTGTACTGGTAAGCCTCTCTTTCCAGGTACTACCAACGAGGACCAACTCATCAAAATTTTTAGGCTAATGGGAACCCCCAATGAGAGAACATGGCCAGGAATCTCATCGTACGCCAACTATAAGAGCAATTGGCAGATATTTGTTCCCCAAGACTTGAGGTCGTTGATTCCAAACCTTGATTCCATGGGTCTCAACCTTCTCTCGAGTCTTTTGCAAATGAGACCAGACGCCAGAATCACTGCCAGACAAGCGTTGCATCACCCGTGGTTCCACGAAGTATCAAATCCTAACCCGTTGTTGCAGCACATGTCAGACCCATACCAACGGGAGTACCGTCCTGAGCAACAGCAATAGGAATACACAGCCTGAGCTCTTATAAAACTATATTTACATAGACGTAATTACTTGTGCACTTGGAGTGCCAGAATGTTCAACAACAGTATTATAGAGATCTATGTTTTTCAGTTGGATCACCTCTTGCCATATAAAGCTCTCTAATTGCGTTGAAGGTTGCGAGTAATAATGCTTGAGAATTAACTGAACTATTGCAGTTGTATCCTCTGACTTTTGATCCTGATGAGCCCTTAGAAGCTCTGCTACTGAAAACCCCGTGATAGCAGCAGATTTTCCCATGGCCAATACTCGTTCAACGAGTTGAGGTTTGGGTTCCACATCGATGGATTTTGCTATCAGCAGTATAAATGGATCGAGATTGTTCAACGAGTATCCCTGGGTGGTATGAAGTAAGAGCAATAGCTCAAGAGCAGCTGAATTAAGCTTCCTTTCAAAAAACTCCTGAGGAATAAAAGGAGTTTTTTGCAACTCTAATGCCTTATCAGCTTTAGATATAGCAGAAGCCGTGTCTGAATTTGTACTGGAAATCATAGATTCCAAAGCATCGTTGATCAGATCGAGTAGTTCGACCCGACTTGTATGATTGGAATCTTTTGTGTAAGCGGCAAAGTCTCCTATTCGCAACCTTTTCGCAACACTATAATTGAAGAACTTGTAGTGAAGCACTGCCACGTCCAAGCCCAATTTTTTCGCTTCAAATTCTTTAAGAAACTCTTCCAAAGCATCTGCTAGGTCGTTTCTTTGGGCATCGTGGTTCTCAAGTCGTCGAAACCTTTTAATGGTGTTTCTATACTTTTTGAAGTCAATCATCGAATTCATATCGCGAAGAAAGTTTTGCTCAATGACTTTTTTGGCAAGGCCGTGGTTAGGCACGTACTCAGAATCATCATTTCGATCTCTGTGATATAATCGCAAGTCATAGTTGATCCTTTTGTTGACCAATGGAAGGTTATTTTGATCCAATCCGGCAAAGACGAATACTCGATGAAGTAGTTCTTTTGGAAGCCTTTCTATTATTGACAAGGATCGATGTCCAGCACCTTTTGTTTCCTTGCGAACTTTTTTCTTGAGACTGTCTGGGAGTGGGGCAGCCTTTCGTTTTTTGATGGCTTTTCCGGGGCGGATGAAACCCATTCCTGAAGGCTGCGAAATTGAAGAGAAGATGAGGTTGCGAAAATGCGAATGGCTGCGAAATGCGATGGGACAGTAGCAATAAACCCAAGAGAGATGAGATAGAAAGAGAGAGCGAGAAAAAGATACAGAAAATGATAACGTACTTGCGTGTTATTGAATAAATACTACAACTTGCCAGCGGCCTTCTCCTTGAATTGGTCTTCAGTGACACCAGCACCCATGGCAGCGGTAGAAGACACACCACCAGTAACCATCTTCAACAAACCGTCAATGTACTCAGCTCCAGACCATTTCTGGTGCTTCACCACCTCGACACCTTGGTCGATTTCGTGTTGTTGGACGTCTCTACCATAAGCCTTCATACCAATCTCAGCATAGTTCTTGGAGAAGTTGTCAACAGCCAAGGCAGTGGTATGCAAACCAGCCAAGGTGATAAATTGCCAAACGTATCCCAATTCACCCAATCTCTTGATATAGGTTTCTTGTTCATCAGAAGGCATAGCCTTGTTCCAGTTGAAAGACGGAGACAAGTTGTAAGCCAACCATTGGTCGGGCCATTGACCCTTGACACCGTCAGCAAATTCCTTAGCTTGAGCGTAATCAGGCAAAGCAGATTCCATCCAAATCATGTCAGCGTATGGTGCGTAGGCTCTGCCTCTCATTACGGCACATTGGGTACCACCTCTGTATCTGTAGTAACCCTCTCTGACTCTAGAAACGTCCCAGTTGAAGTAAATGTCCTTACCCAAAATTTCTCTAGCAATTTGTCTGGCTTCCTTGTTGGAAGTAAGAGACAAGGGGTTCACCTTGGAAGTGAATTTCTTGATCAATTCCTCCTTGTTCGAGAAAGAGCCAGCCTTAATCTCATCAATCACCGCCTCATGGAACAATTTCAATCCAGCCTTTTTGGTCCATTCGGCCTCAATGGCTCCCAATGCTTCACCGTAGATACCATTAGCCTCAGCCTCAGACATCAAAGTGGCCAAATCTGGGCTATCGGGGTTGGTGGCTCCAACAACAAAGTAGTGGTCACGATGGTCAATGGTGGAGGTGATCAAAGTAGCAGCCTCAGAATCAGTTCTGGCAACCGCCAACAAGTCAGAACCCAAGATATCGGCAGAGGCACGAATGGCAACCAAACGGTTGATGTGCTCCTGAACTGGAACCAAAACTTTACCAGCCATATGTCCACACTTTTTGGTACCAGGAGCTTGGTCTTCAATATGAATACCAGCAGCACCTCTCTCTACAAACATCTTGGTCAATTTGATGATGGCAGTAATACCACCATGACCAGTGTCGGCATCGGCAATGATAGGTCTCAAAAAGTCAATGTATGGAGTCTTAGCTCTCTCCTCCTTGGAAAGGTTCAAACGCTCTTCTCTTTGCTTTCTGTCATGGAAAAGTTGAGCAAACCACAAGTGTTCCACCTTGTTAGGAACGGTGTCCATGGGGTAATCAGCGAGATCTGGCGATGGCTCGTTAGAGGTGGAAGCGGTGGAAGAACATTGCCATCCTGAAACGTAAATGGAGTCCAAGTACTTGGCCATTTGAGCGACATGGATTGGGTCAAGAGCACCAAAAGTGAATGAAGCAGTCTTGTTTTTCTCGTGCTCTTGCAACAACTTGAACATTTTCTTGGCTTGGTTGGACGAAGGGTAGTCAATTTTAAGAGTACCTCTCTTTTTAGCAATGGCTTCAGCGGTATAGATTCTCTTAGTTTTTGACCATCTTGGTTGTTTCCACCATTGTTCGATTTCTTGCACTTGTTGCTTGAAGAACTGGTCTTCGGCCTCAGTATCAATTTTAGTGTAAGGCATGTTTGATAACTAAAAAAATTTCACTGGATGTGCCCGGTTTAAATAGACTACCCCAGACTTCCGCTTCCGCTTGCCCTTGTCGTGTGCTGCCCGCATACTCCACGGATCCTCGGATAAAGGGAAGTGAAAAGTTATGGCAGGCCATTTTGCTCACGAATAAGAGTCCTTTACAAGCTGTAAATGTACGAGCTCATCCAATCCCATGCTACATACTACCCTACACAATTACTGGCCTCGAGCGTTTCCCCATCCCGTTAATGTCCAACGATCACCCCCACAATTGACATGTGCTCGGGGCGCAATTGCGACTCGGCTCCGGCAACTAAGTCCGAGGTCCGGTGGCAGTTTGTGCCGAGTTGAGCACTTAGCGCCGTGAAACCCCGGAAAAATGTGCAGGTGGTCGCATACTGCAACCAATGACACACCGGGATTGTTGTCGATAGCCGGTGACTCAAATAGTGGCTCAAAACGATGACTCAATGCACCCAGACACCGACCCCGGTTTTTGAGATGAGAAACACCCAGACATCAGATCCGATGGGTCGTGCTTGTGAATCCATCTCGCGACTTGCCAATTTTTTTGACAGGGGCAGTTCCTGCACACGCTACTACCAAGCTCCGAGCTGCGGTTCGCCTAAAAACATATCCACTTGTTTGCAACCATTAGTGGCGTGTTTTGAATCTGGCCCAGCTCAACCGGTTCTGTTAGTCCCAACCACCGAAGGAGATCCTAGTTTTTTGGTGGGTAGTTACTTTATGCTGATTGGTTGTTTTACACTGTTGATTTTAAGGTTTTTTCGGCACACGCCGTTTTTTCAATGTCAACTTACTGGGATTATCTCCCAGATTTGAACAGGGTGTCGTCCATATTTATCACCTTCACCCCTTTGTTTTCCTATGGTACAACGTGTCTAGGAATCTACAAGCAGCGATCGTCGGTGGGATTTTCCATTGATATTTGCGCCACAATGCTCATGTCACTGATACTACGAATTCTTTACTACTTTATATCGCCATACGAAATAGCGTTATTCCGGCAACTGTTGGTGATGGTGGCAATCCAATGCGTTCTCTTGAAGGTATCGTTGGCATACAGACCTCATGATTACGACCCAGATATTCTCGAAGTTATGCCTCATTTTAAGAATGAACTCAATGCTAATATGCCCAGAAGACTTTCTGCGTCTTATAACATCGTCAACCACGATCTCTACAATCCTTCGAGCTCATCTCTGTCAACTGTGGCTCTGCCAACTGTGGAAGTTAGTACCGATTACTTGGAATACACCTTTGCTTATATCACTCTGGTGTTCAATTATGCCCTCAAATTCTTCGATGTTCATTATAGACGCCCATACTGTTTCTGGCAATGGGTAGAAGAGGCCAAGTACTGGCAATACGTCGGATTTTTTACTGCAATTTTCTCCATTTTGACCATGATTTTCTCGCACAGCCTTCGGTATGCTACCGGCATCGGAATCTTGGGATTGTTTATCGAATCATTACTTCCCTTGCCCCAAATTCTTCTTTTACAACGTCTTAGATCAATTCGCAATTTCAAGGTTGTTTTGCTTCTCAGCTGGCTCGGAGGTGACGTTACTAAAATCACCTATCTCGTATATGGAGCTCGCAACACATCGATCATTTTTGTGTTGGCGGGACTCTTTCAAATGGGTCTCGACTTAATCATCGCATATCAATATTTGCATTATAAAAAGCAAGACCAACAAGGTCTAGTCGAATTAGAATTATCAAACGTATAATCAACCATGTCATAAGTTCTATTTATCTGCCATCATATATATACATTGCTAGGTTCTGACAAACTCCACGTTCATCTTTGCCTCGTTGATCAAATCAACCGCTTCCTTTCCTCCCAATCCATGCTTCACCTTGATATGTCGAGACAACGCATCTCCCCTAGAGAACGTCTTTTCCCGGCCGTTACCAGCACCGCCATTAGCACGGCCCTCGCAAATCACACATCTAAAAATCTTCTTCTTCGATGCATGTATGGTTTCCTGGTGTCGTATCAAGTCGTACAGTCTAGAGAAATGCTTGTCACATGGGCGACCGGTTGATGGATTTATCAATGTGCAAGTGTTACCAACATCCACTGCACGAGGTTTGCTATCCGCCTTTTCGCTAGCAGGCTCGTCGTCAGAATAATCTGGAGATGGAAGGTGTGATGATTTATCTGGGGTTTCGAATAATGACGGAGATGTGGTGCTAGGAGCAGACTCCATGTCATCAGTCATTAACGTATCTTCTTGATCGACTGGAGCGGAGAGTGTGTTGTCCAAAAAGCCACCCATCAACGTGTCGTCTCTGAACTGGTCTCCTTGAGCTTGTTTAAAGTAGTTATCCACATCCATATCCATTTCGAATTCATCTTCTTGATCATGAAAGTAGCTGTCATCTTCATCGTCAGAAACGTCGTCTTCCACTTCTTCATCGAACTCAACGATATAGTCGTTCTCGAACCCAGGTATACGTTGATTATTAATTTCGGTTGATTGTGGAACGAACAAGGACGAGTCGGAATACAAGTAGTCATCACCAGTAGCGTTGATGAGAGAAGGTTCTATGCTGGTATTGAATAAGAAGTCATCCTTCATCTTCTGGCTTGAATCTCCTCCTTGGGACTCTAATGTGGTTATGCGGGAGCTCCGGGTAGGAAATCTGGAGAGTTGCTGTGGTTGGACGAAGCGTTGGTTGGTCAAGGAATCGGGGTCAGCATAGTCAGTGAAAGGGTTAACCAGACCGAATTCGGAGAAGGATGCAGGGTTTGAGGTATATGGGGAATTTATGTTGATGTTCGAGACTCCACCGACCAAATTTACTTGTGACGTCGTGGCATTTGGCTTGACCATGCGGGTATATTGCTCAAGAAATGAGTCAGGAATGTTGAGTAAACTGGACAAGTTTTGTTGAGGAGATCCAGGAGTTGGGCCAGGCGATTCAGCACGAACAGAACCAGGGCTAGAAGGCGCTTGGTAAAATTCCTCATCCATAAGATCCGTGAGGGTTCTCTTTAATGGAGGTAATATTGCCACCGACGACATATTGGAATTTGTTTGATTATTGTCAGAAGGTATGTGATTGGAAGGCGGCAAAATATCAATAGCAATAAAAATTAAAACGATTTGAGTATGAAAACCGTCAAAAAAAACTGAGTAAATTAAGACGGTGGCAATGACTGCTGCTTATAAACTAAAAGTGGCTATGGTGTATGGGTCCGCGATGTAATGAGTATGACGATCGGAATTGAGTCGGAGGAGACGGAATAGCGAATGGATGGAAACCCGATGAGAACCTACATAAGGTCGTTAACGTTTGGTCATTCTGTTTTAATTCCGATCTATAAACTGCTATTACCAATTATCCGCAACGCTTTTCCGTGTTTCGAGTCACAGGCGTATCTCCGTGTTACGTCCGCCGCCGTCTGTTTGTAAGCATATCGAAGTTTCTGGACGTGCGTCGTAAACATGAATCAAACCGGCACGTGACACGCTTCGATGCCTCATTTGGCGTCATTCGGCGCCATGCGGCACTACTTCCTCTATTATGCCTGTCCCTCATTCTTCACCTTTTCTATACCCTTTTTCGCCAATTCCGGGTCCAAGTAGTAATAGTCTTTCGTTAGATTTCCATCATTGTCTAATTCAAATACCAATGGAACTCCTGTAGGAACATTGATTTTGGAGATATCATCGTCACTCACATTGCTCAAATATTTGATCAAACTGCGCACAATTGAGCCATGTGTGACTATAAGAACCGTTCGGTCGTGTTCTAGAAGCTCGTGGTGAATGATCTCGCGGTCGAAATATGGGATGAGTCTTTTCATCACCAACTCGAGAGACTCGCCGCGCGGAAGTGTATGTTTGTCGATGTCTATATTATCATACCTTTCGTCCAAGGCGCCGTCATTTGGTGAGTCTTTGGGGGCCAAAGGAGGAATTGCCTTAAAATTTCGACGAACATATTGGTACTTTTCTGGTCCCAATTGCTTGTAAATTTCAGATTTGTCTTCTCCTTGATAAGCACCATAATGCCTTTCATTAAGACGCCACGTTTTGATAGTGTCGACCCATAACCGGTCCAATTCCTCCAAGATGATATGGCCAGATTTGATCAGCCGACTCAACTTTGAAGTGTACATTATGGTTGGTTTTATTCCTTCTTTCTTGATCAATTGCCCTGCAAATCGTGCTTCTTGTTCACCTTTCTGCGACAATGGGATATCGATCCAGCCACAGAACTTGTTCTCGTGGTTCCATTGCGACTCGCCATGTCTCAATATCACCAATTTGTGAACCATAAGAAGACGGTGCGAAGGATTCCGATATCAGCTATATAGTGTATGCAGGAAACAGGTTTACCTACTTAATGACAAGACTGAAGTATTTAGATTGAAGTGTTGAGGTAGACCTGAGATATCAAGGCTTATCCAATTCAGCGACTGACTGCGTTCAGTTACTTGTCCATGTTCGGTTTCATCTTTGGTTGTTCCTCTTCTCTTTTTTGTTGTTCTCTTTATCTGGCTTATCAATTACTAAGCCATTACATAACCAATGTAACCGTATGTTACATCGATGCTTTGGGGTATACTAGTACCCGATGGGTATTTGCATGATGATTCCGTGCATTAATATAATGCACCCGAATCCTCCAAGTTCTTTTTATTCTCCACTTCATCTTTCCTTCCTTATTCTTCTTTCTGACTTTGGTGAAAATTTCCCACGTGCAGTATGATCGCTACAAAATCCAATCTTTCATTCTCACTCAAAGTGGTGCAATCTCCAGGAATGCCTCCTTCAAAAATCAAGGATGAACCATATACTTGGGAAGAGATCGTGGAAATTGTGAGACACAACCGTCTTGAAAAGTTTGCTAGATCGGCAGCGCAAACTGAATCTTATCACAGTTTTAAGGCGGCATTGAAAGATGCAAAGACATCAGTATTTAAGTTTTTATTAGTCAACCAACTCCATTGGTACGACCCGAAACAAAACAACTCCATCCCAATTGACCAAATAAACCAACTTGAAGACCATGAAATCAATATTGTTGCTGCTAGTGACAAATTATTCGGAGACGAATCTGATGTGAAAATATTACCCAATCATTTCCCCTATTATTTTCCTCCAGATGTAAGCCATTTATGTGTTTGGCTGAAGACTCGAATCCAAAACGACCCTCATTCTCCATACGGTGATATTTCTCCAAAAACTAGAAAAGAAATTGATGCATATGTCAGGAGAACATTTGTTGAAAATCTCGGCATCGACCCAAGTAATATCTGTTGGTTTCGCAATTGGGAAGCATTGCAATCGGTTAAACTGATCAGCCATATCCATGTGATTGTCAAGGGCTTGACAAAGGAGCAAGAAGCCAAGGTTCTATATGGACCAGGAAGCATAGAGTAAGAGATACAAAATAGAAGGATACCAAACTAAACAAGAAAGAATAATGAATAGAATATAATAGAACCAATAGAAGCCATTATTGCCACTTGATCTACACCGACTCATTCATTATGTATTAAATACAATCATAACCCATAACTAACCACCGAAACCGTACAAGGTTCTACCTTGTCTCTTCAAAGCGTAAACAACATCCAAAGAAGTAACAGTCTTTCTCTTGGCGTGTTCAGTGTAAGTAACAGCATCTCTGATGACGTTTTCCAAGAAAGTCTTAAGAACTCCTCTAACTTCTTCATAAATCAAAGCAGAAATACGCTTAACACCACCTCTTCTAGCCAATCTTCTAATAGCTGGCTTGGTGATACCTTGAATGTTATCTCTTAAGATCTTTCTGTGACGCTTAGCGCCTCCCTTTCCTAATCCTTTTCCGCCTTTTCCTCTACCAGACATAGTTGTAAAATGTGTATAAAATTTTAGGTGCGAATTCCCCCCGTTTTAATACCGCAACATTTTTGCCCCCTCGAAACTGCCCTAACTTTTTGCTGCGAATAACCCGCGCACTCTCTGGCCTCAGATTACCGCGCAGTCGCAGTACCGCTATTGTGCAGCTTTTTGAGTACTGCCGCGCACGATTGGTAGCGGTGGTGTTGGGATGTTGTCTGTTTCCACTGCGGGAAGTCGCCAGTTGCGGTGCTGCGATGTGCCACGAAGGTGCGTAAAATACAGCATCACACCCACGCGCTTCCCGCTGCTATAACTTCCAGCCTCGTGACCGGCCGCACCGTGCGGCGCATCGTTCTGCAACAACACAAACCGCAGTATAAAACAAGTGTGGATCCGCATTTGGTTTTCACTATCAAACCAAGTTTTATCATGGCTAGAACCAAACAAACAGCAAGAAAGTCCACTGGTGGTAAGGCCCCAAGAAAGCAATTGGCTTCTAAGGCTGCCAGAAAATCCGCTCCTTCTACTGGAGGTGTTAAGAAGCCTCACAGATATAAGCCTGGTACTGTCGCTTTGAGAGAAATTAGAAGATTCCAAAAGTCTACTGAACTTTTGATCAGAAAGTTGCCATTCCAAAGATTGGTTAGAGAAATTGCTCAAGACTTTAAGACCGATTTGAGATTCCAATCTTCTGCTATCGGTGCTTTGCAAGAATCCGTTGAAGCTTACTTGGTTTCTTTGTTTGAAGACACCAACTTGTGTGCTATCCACGCCAAGAGAGTGACTATCCAAAAGAAGGATATCCAGTTGGCTAGAAGATTGAGAGGTGAGAGATCATAGTTATGTATATTAGGCGCAGAGCGCAATTCATGATAATAATGAGTGTGAGTGTAGAAAAAAAAAAAAAGATACTGGATTGACCAACTAGAAGAGTCTAATTCTTACATTCATTCTTTCCTTCATCAGTCCTTCTTTCTTTGTTTTCTACTAGTATGGATATACTTCTGGCTCCGTCTCTACAGTATAGCCCTTGGCCTCCTGCTCATCTGCCATTTTCTCCAAGTATGGCTCCACCACATCCTTGAATTTGGTGTATCCCCTATAATCCTGGACTTCAGGAACCCAGCTTCTGATGCCATTCAAGAGTCTTCTGGGAACGTATGGTTCTTGTGCAAGTTCGGTAATTGGCAAAAAATAAGTTCTGATGGTGAAAATTGTCGCACCAGTTTTTGGCAATCTTCTCAAACTTTGTCTCTCACTACGAAAGTACAATTGATTGATATCCTTTGCAGGCTCAGCGGTGTACCAACCAACCACGTCTTTATCTTCGTCACCAATCGACTTGGACCATGGCAAATTTCCATCGGTTTGAATAAAATAATTGTTGCGAACCACCGGCTTATCGCAGGTTTGTCGAATAAAGAACTTTTCCATTCCAGTTTGCAATTTTTCCTTATACTTTGGAACATCTCCCGAGGTATGAATGGCACTCAATGGGAGATTGAACTTGTCTTTGAGTCTCCAGAACCCAGCCAACATAATGGCTCCTCCTTTCAACACATATTGACCATCTTCCTGCTCGATCATAATGGCTATATCGTCTTGTAGAAGCATGGCCGCTATATACATAGGATCCTCCTTGGTGCCGTTTTTGAAGCTCCATGACTCTCCCGTAACCAAATTACTCAAACCATCTGGAGTTTGTTGGAATAAACTAGGATATCTATGGGGAAGATAGTTCCACAATTCATCCAACAACTCAAATGCAGCGTCCCGAGCTTCAGGACTGGTAACACACAACTCTTGCTTCTTCTCCCGCGTTCTCTCCAACTTGTGGTTGTGGAACTTGAGCCATTCGTTATCTAGCTCGATCCATTGATGGAAATCCATGTTGCGAATGGCCATGGTGATACTATACTTGTGTCTAAAAGCCCGATACGGCTGAGGTCTGGTTGTGTTTATGTCCCAGTTTGGATACGGTGGCGGCGTAGGGGTCTTGAAATTGTAGTCGGGAGTCCAATGTCCGTATTTTCTGTTGGCATTTATGTCTCTTTTCACCACCGATTTTTTCGGCTTTTTTTGTGAGTATTTGATTGCAAATATCACCATGATAAAAATCAAGCCACACACAGTGCGCGACCATTTGCTCAGGTCAAGGTCGTAGAACACACTTCGGAGCACCCCTGAATTGGTTTGGTTCATTGTGGATCAATTTTGGTGATTGGGGCCACTTTATATCTAACCTTAGAGGAAACCATGTCCCGATTAGGAAAACGGTTGCGACAATCACAGTGCCTAAGCTGGAGGAAGAAACCCAGCGAAAAGGCCGGTTTGGAGAAATATCCACAGCAAGGAAAACACAGCAATGTATTTGGCCCATGAGTTTTGAATTTGGGATGGTGACGTTGCCAAACACCCAATGTACATGTATGGGAGTGGTAACACCGATCCGATTCGGGTAATGATTTGAACATGCCAGAATAGAATTGCTCCCATACAAAGTGCTAGTGTAGTGGCTATGTGCGGAAGGAGCCGGTTTGAGGGATAGTCGAGCAAAAAGTATCTCGAAGCCCAAAATGCAATGATTATTGTAGGTGCTGCGAATGCAAAATTCGGTATATTGTTTGGGGTCCAATACGCAAGGAAGCCTGTTCCCCAGTACCTTGACTGGGCATAGGAGAAGAGCAGGGGAAACCAGGAGTTGCACCATTCTCCACGATTGGGACAGAAAACGGAATATGGGTACCAAGTGGACACCACTATAGCCACAGCGAGCTGTCCACCAGCAGCAATTGTCAATGTACAATCGGTGAAGAGACTGTTTTTCCAAGCGTTTTGTAGATCATAGAGGTAGAACAAGCCAAAGAGCACACTATTGGCTCGAACTCCAAAGGAAATTGCAATAAGCAGGCCGGAAACAAGGTATAAGATAACTGAAGTTAAATTGTTGAATGATGACAAAACCGGGTTTTTACCGAGACCAGCCTCTCTAAACCACAACCCGGTGATCACTAGCACGTTACAAAAGCTTTCTGAGTAAGGTGCCGTCAAAAATATGCCTGCTGGTGAAATGACATACGCCAATGAAGATGCCAATGCTATGGATTTTGCACGCAGACGAAACATACTAATTTTGCCAAATGTTGTTTCAGCCAAGTAGTACATGGAAATACAAGAAACCAAGTGGAAACCATTGGCATAAATAACAGAAGCAAATAGCTTTGTGTAGAAATTATTTGAAGCTGGTGGCATATACTTGACCCATCTCCACCAAAGAGGACAGAACACAAACAAGTGTTCAAACTCGATGTCGTGGACAAATAGGTCCGAGAAGTACACTATATCCCAAGCAACAAGTTTTTTTAGCACAGAATTGACGAAACAATTGACAAGTGGTCGCACCGGAGATGGCCATCCACTCACAAATTCTGCTTGATCCAGCACATATTTGGCTAACACAAGGTCAGATGAAGTGTCGAACCGTACGGGACACAACCACATGATGGTCAATTGGATCCATTTTACCACAATAAATGGTAGTATGGGTCCCCACATGAGTGATGAGATCGCGAAAATAAAAACAGATAAGACAGAAAGAGACGGAAACAGGAACAGAAGAAGCAAAAAAGAATAACCGAGAAAAAAAAGAACAAGAAAAATAGAAATACTTTTATGCTAAGATCTGTATTCTACTTTTTTCCAAACTGCAACGAAAACTCCTTGATGATTCCCTCAACCGATTGTGGGTTGGCCAAGGTGGTGATGTCTCCCAATTGATCTGCTTCATTACTCGAAATTTTTCTCAAAATACGTCTCATGATCTTACCAGAACGGGTCTTAGGGAGGTCTGCAACGATAATGACAGACTTGGGAGCAGCAAATGGACCAATTTCTTTACGGACTTGGAGCACAAGTGCCTTTCTCAATTCATCACCATTGGCACCAGCCGCTTCATCCTTGAGTGCAACGTAAGCCACCACTGCCTGACCGGTCAAATCATCGTTGATACCCACCACAGCAGCCTCAGAGACTCCGTGGTGCTCAATGAGAGCTGCTTCAATTTCAGCGGTCGACAATCTGTGTCCAGAGACATTGACCACATCGTCTACACGACCACGAATCCAGTAGTAACCATCGTGGTCACGAGCTGCTCCGTCACCAGTAAAGTAGTAACCTGGGTAGGGTTTGAGGTAAGTATCCATGTACTTGGTGTGGTTTTTCCACACCGAACGAGCCATCGATGGCCAGGTATCTTTGATAGCCAAGACACCTTCAACGTCATTTCCAGATATTTCATGGCCTGAAACTGGGTCGATAAGACAGGCTTGTACGCCAAAGAAGGGAAGTGAAGCGGATCCAGGCTTGTTACGGGTGATTCCAGCAAATGGTGCAATGAAGTGAGAACCACTCTCGGTCTGCCAATAAGTATCGGTAATATGACACTTTCCACGGCCCACTTTTTCATGGTACCATTCCCAGATATCAGGAGAAATAGGCTCTCCTACAGAACCCAAAGTTCTCAAAGTTGACAAGTCGTACTTGGCAAGTTCTTCTTCACCGGCTTTTCTCAATAATCTCAACGCAGTTGGTGCAACATAGAAATGAGTAGCCTTGTACTTGTCGACAATTTGCCATAATCTGCCATAATCTGGGTATGCTGGAGTACCTTCAAACACAATTGTAGACACTCCCAAAGCGAGAGGTCCATATAACGCATAAGTGTGGCCGGTAATCCATCCCACATCTCCCGCGGTGAACAAGATGTCTTCAGGATGAATGTCAAAAACGTACTTTGTGGTCAACGCAGCACCAAGCAAGTAACCTCCGGTGGTGTGCAACACACCTTTGGGGGTTCCCGTGGATCCAGAAGTGTACAACAAGAAAAGTGGGTCCTCAGAATTGACAGGGACTGGAGGTGTGTAACCTGGAAAATTTGCGGTTTCTTCATCCCAGTAAAAATCACGACCTTTCTTCATAGCAACATCAGCTCCAGTACGTTTGAACACCAACACCTTCTCGACGGTTGGACATTGTTCGAGAGCATCGTCACACAATTTTTTGATGTTCACAGGACGTCCTCCTCTTCTACCCTCATCGCAGGTGAGAAGGGCCTTACAAGCAGCATCATTTACACGGTCTTTAATACTTCCCAGCGAGAAACCAGCAAAGATAACCGAGTGGATGGCTCCAATACGAGCAACCGCCAACATGGCAATGATAGCTTGTGGGTTCATTGGGAGGTATATGGCTACAGTATCACCTTTTCTTGATACCCCAAGAAGTCAATACTCCAGCAACTTTGGAAACTTCTCTCAAAAGCTCAGCATAAGTGAGGGTATAACTGTCCTTTTCCTCATCGGCTTCGTACATAATGGCAATTTTGTCGGGAGTAGCCAACGCATGTCTATCAACACAGTTGTACGATGCGTTCAATTGACCATTCAAAAACCAAGCAGCATCACCATGCTGAAGAGATCCCGACTTGACATGGGTGAACTCACGGTCCCATGAAAGTAAGTCCTTAGCTAAGGGTCCGAAAAACCCCTGGGGGTCCTCAATTGAATTCTTGTACAATTCATGGTATTGTTCAAGTGATTCGACATGGCCCTTTCTTGGCTGTTTTGCGAAAAATTCTTCGGGAATGGGACGCAACAGCGAAGTGTTGGCCTCGTGGACTACCGAATGTTGCTGGGTCATGGCAAAATGAGTCGATTAACAACGGATTTTGGAAAGTCTGGGGTTGAAATTTTTCACCAAATTCGCACTGTTGGGTAAAGCCCAAAACTAGGTGCCAACAGATAAGACGGTGTTTTGATGCTTTTTGAAAGCTGGGGGTGTTGCCAATGGGTTAATTAAGACCAATTGACTATTTTAGTTGAGTCACCGAACTGGGTTGTCTCTCAACTTTTTCTGTAATTGTATGTGAATAAATATGACTCACTCGTACGCTCGTATAGATCAAGTTATATGAGCTACCAGTTAATAAATAATGACCAATTACGTTCAAAGAAATAGATCCAACCCCAGATTCTTCCTCGCTTTTATACTTGGCCCGGCGTTATGCCCAAACCTTATCCACTCACACTCCGGCCATCCGCCGGAACTCACTCGACAACTTCATTTCCGGTTAATTGGGAGTTCAATTTTAAAAATACTTTAACCTCATAAATTTTCACTCTACATCGCTAAATTCAACTACTACGTTCTTCAATTGTATTTATATACCTTTCCCCACCCTTCTACACTCTCCTCTTTGACTCGCAGTTCCCCAGGTTTCGGTCTTAAGTGCGCCCAACTCCGGGAAGACAGGACGGACGAATGGACGCATACGACCAATCACGGAACCGATAAAGACCCAAAACACACAGGGGTGCATTGTTCACAGTGGTAAGTTGCATATAGGGGATACATAGGGGCGGATTATTTTTTGTTTGTTGCTTCTGCTTGCTTTTCACTACACTTCACTAATCTTAACTTTATTCTTAATACATTACTCTATTATTTAGTCAACCTCCTCCACAGTTGGTCCGTCATTGGATGGACCTGGGGCACCGCCTGGAGCAGCACCTGGGAAGCCACCTGGAGCAGCACCAGCTGGAGCAGCACCGGCTTGGTAAGCCTTAGACATGATTGGGTTGGCCTTGCCCTCCAATTCCTTTTGCTTGTCAGTGAACTCCTCCTCAGTGGCAGTTTGGTTGTCGTCCAACCAGGTGATGGTCTCCTCAGCAGCCTTGGTGACCTCTTCAATCTCAGAAGCATCCAACTTCTCCTTGAATTGATCCTCGCCCAAGGTGGACTTCAAGGAGTAAGCGTAAGATTCCAAACCGTTCTTGGCTTGCACTCTAGCAGCTTCCTTTTCATCCTCTTCCTTGTACTTTTCGGCTTCGTTGACCATTCTCTCGATATCCTCCTTGGACAATCTACCCTTGTCGTTGGTGATGGTAATCTTTTGAGTCTTACCGGTACCCTTCTCCAAGGCACTGACGTTCAAGATACCATTGGCATCGATATCGAAGGTAACCTCGATTTGAGGAACACCTCTTGGTGCTGGTGGAATACCAGACAATTCGAACTTACCCAACAAGTTGTTGTCCTTAGTCTTGGCTCTCTCACCTTCGTAAACTTGAATCAACACACCTGGTTGGTTGTCGGCGTAAGTAGAGAAAGTCTCAGACTTCTTAGTAGGGATGGTGGAGTTTCTTGGAATCAACTTGGTCATGATACCACCAGCGGTCTCAATACCCATAGACAATGGAGCAACATCCAACAACAACAAGTCTTGAGTCTTAGATGAAGTGTCACCAGACAAGATGGCGGCTTGCACAGCAGCACCGTAAGCAACAGCCTCATCGGGGTTGATGGACTTATTTGGCTCCTTACCGTTGAAGAAGTCAGAAACCAACTTTTGAACCTTTGGAATTCTGGTGGATCCACCAACGAGGACAATCTCGTGGACTTGAGACTTGTCAACCTTGGCATCACGCAACACCTTTTCGACTGGGTCCAAAGTAGATCTGAACAAGTCTTGACACAACTCTTCGAATCTAGCTCTAGTAAGAGAAGTGTAGAAGTCGATACCTTCGAACAAAGAGTCAATCTCGACAGAGGTTTGAGCAGAAGAAGACAAGGTTCTCTTGGCTCTTTCACAAGCAGTTCTCAATCTTCTCAATGCTCTTTGGTTGGTGGACAAGTCCTTCTTGTTCTTTCTCTTGAACTCGTTAACAAAGTGGTTCACCAATCTGTTGTCGAAATCTTCACCACCCAAGTGAGTGTCACCGGCAGTAGACTTGACTTCAAAGATACCATCTTCGATAGACAACAAGGAAACATCGAAAGTACCTCCACCCAAGTCGAAAATCAATACATTCTTTTCTTGGGCATCCTTCTTGTCCAAACCATAAGCGATAGCAGCAGCAGTTGGTTCGTTAATGATTCTCATCACATTCAAACCAGCAATCAAACCGGCATCCTTGGTGGCTTGTCTTTGAGAGTCGTTGAAGTAAGCTGGGACGGTAACGACGGCATCGCTAACCTTGGTACCCAAAAATCCTTCAGCGGTCTCCTTCATCTTGGTCAAGATCATAGAAGAGATTTCTTCTGGGGTGAACACCTTGGTCTCACCCTTGAACTCAACTTGAATGTTTGGCTTTCCGTTCTTGTCAATGACCTTGAAAGGAAAGTGTTTAGCATCACCTTGAACTTCAGAGTCGTTGAACTTTCTACCAATCAAACGCTTAGCATCGAACACAGTGTTAGCTGGGTTCATGGCAGCTTGATTCTTGGCAGCATCACCAATCAATCTTTCAGAATCGGTGAAAGCAACGAACGAAGGAGTAGTTCTGTTACCTTGATCATTGGCAATAATTTCAACACGATCGTTAGCAAAGTGGGCTACACAAGAGTAGGTAGTACCCAAATCAATACCAACAGCTTTAGACATTATTAATGGAAATTTGGTAGATGAAAAATTGTATGCGGGGCGGTGGTGTCCATTTATAGCGGGATAAGTCGTCGATGCATGGGGCAATATTCCATCGGGTTCGATGGATTTCCAGGCATTTTTGCAACTAAATATGGTGCATAGAACCGGATAGAAGCCGATGGAATTACGCCCGGTGATGTCATGGTCACGTGACCACCCAGCCACGACTTACATCATATGGCAGGAATACAGTGGGTCGCTATATACCGTCTACAATCTTCAATAAAACATCGTATATTCTAAGTCAGCTTTTCCTTTGAATAGTCGTTGACAAGGTAGATGGAACCAAGCTTTCTCGCCACGTCCTTGAATTGAACCCAAATGTTCTTGACGGTGGGATTGTTGGCGTTGTTCACAGCAGAATCGATGCGGAGTTCCAAGCGCTTAAAGTGATTTCTGGTGAATACAGACTTCTCAAATCTGAGCTTAAGGAACAACGAGTACACGAGGAAAGGAGTCAATGATCTCTTTCTGATGGTAATCACGCGTACAAAGAGCCATAACCAAGAGATAATCTCAAGAAGACTGGCAACTTGAATTGACTTGGTATTGTTGTTACTAACAAAGTGGCCAACATGTGCAGCAATTGGGCTTTCACCCATGCCAAACACAGGAAGCAAGTGACCCTTTGTGTATGCCAACACATGGAAGGCGGAAAACAATCCAAAGGGGAGAAGAGGCAACATAATGTGGGGTCTGAGAAGAAGGAAGAAACATCCCAACAAAAAGTATTGGGTGTTGTCATCCTTCAATAAGCCAGACACTTGAAGACTCTTCTTCGATACCAATTGGAAGATAAGAATGCCAAATGATTCGATGATACCCAAAGTGGCCAAGTAGAACCAGAAAAACTGGGTGCGATGACCAATACGAATGAACGTAAGAGAGTAAAAAATCACCGAGATAAGTGTGATAAGGTGTCCCACGAACCAGGCAAACTGAAGAGTCTATGTTAGTATACGGTAAACCTAAAAAAGTCCAATTTTTTTTCAAAATTACATCTTCGAAAAAATCAGGGGTCTCGACTAATATTGTCAAAAAGCGCCATTGAAGGCCCAGAAAACTTCTGATATACTCACCTGCACTGTCTCCATCAAATCTTGTTGTTTGACAGGTTTCTTTTCGCTTGGTTTGGGGGTAACGGGTTCAGACATTTTGGTCCTAGTTTAGGGTGACTTGTGATTTTCGCTGGCGAAAAATCGTGTGCGAAATTGGAATCTTCGGTTGCGTTGCTGTCACGAGCCAGGGAACGCAACTCGAAGGCCAAGTAGAGGCTTAGAATTGCAATTGAACGCAGAACGGGTAATTTAGGTTAATGTAGAGTACAATGAGGTAGAGAATTGAGGCCACTTGTTCGGCTGAAGGTGGTATATTCTACGGTAGAGATGTATCGAGTGCTCTCTAATGCACCGAAGGTTTGCGCGGCACCTGAAACGAGAAACAATGTAGAAAATACCACGGTGTTTTTCAAAGGTATATTTCATCAATTCTAACGCAAAAAGCCCTTACGACTCTTTTGTGGGGCTGGGGCGGGAGGATCTTGTGGCAACAGTTTTTGCTTCTCCAACTGTGCCTTCTTATCTTCCAATAACTTTATTTGTTTGCTCAACTTGTCCTTCATTTCCTTATGACGTGAGAACAAATCGGCTTCAGACCTCTGTAATTTCTTTTCCTTTTCGCTGACCTTTTGTTGGAACACTGCTTTCATCTCTTGCTCCATCTTGGCAAGTTTGGCTTCATGAAGTGCCTTTTCTTCCTCCTGCTTGGCCAATGGGTCAAACTCCTTGAACACGGACTCATCCTGCTCAATGCCCATACGTAACAACTTGGCACTACGATAGTTTTCGTAGAGGACATTGTTGGTGTTTTCCTTCAACTCTTCCATGTAATTACGGATCAACAACTCCCGCAATCTCACAAAGTCGTTGTGGTTTTCGTTTTCAACTTCAATTATTCCCCACGGATAGCTTCTCCCACGCACGGAACGACCATCGGCTGACTGTACGTAGTTTGTAGACCCCACCACAGCGAAGGGGAGTTTTGAGAGCACGTTATTGTTTAACACCGCGGCATCGTCGTCATCGGTCTCGTGAACCAGCGGTTTAAACACACTGATACCCTGGTACTTGATATCGTCCAAGATTCTTCTCTTGAACTCAACAATTTCGTCGTCGGTAAGAGTGTCGGCCTTGGCGATCACAGGGATCAAATTGACCTTGTCGTGCACCTGCTTCATAAATGCAATATCCAAAGCCCTCAATGAATGACCACTAGGTTCAATGAAGTAAAGAAGAGCGTGAATCCGAGGATCCTCGATGGTAGTCCGGCTGAGCCTGCTCTCTGATTCCAAGTAGGTGTCGAATCGCGTGTTAATTTCATCGGCAATAGGTTTCCACGATTCGGCGTTGTTAGTAAGAGCCCCAAATCCTGGAGCCGTCACCACATTTAAACGCAACTTGATGCCATCTTCTTCAATCTCTGACGCCGTCAGTTGCACCGTCACAGCAGGAAATTCTTCTCTTTCCTCGTCGACATTTTTCGTCAAAACTGGTTTGTTGAAGAGGGTGTTAATCAAGGTAGTTTTTCCCAATCCAGGTTCTCCAACCACCATCACGTTCAAGTTGAACCCACGACGCACAGATTTTCTATGCCACTGCTTGGGAAGGTTGGCGAATCCAACGTACCCATTGAGCTTTTTTCTTATGATCTTTAAATCCTCTAATGGAGCCACTGAAGTTAGTAGATGAACAAAAAAGTTACAATCGCAAGTTGAAAGTGAGTATGGTTGTTTATAGCACCCTATAGAAGGGTCTGGGACGATCTGGTGCCTCCAAAATACCAGAAGACTTACCTGTAGTCATAACTGAGAGTAGTGTTGTTTGCGTCTCGTGTAGAGATCACAAACATTCGACGTGTTGCGGTGTGTGCAGGAACGGGACCAGAGAGGGCAGGACAGGGAAAAGCAGATGTAGATTTACAATTGTGTTTAGAAATGGCTTCTAATGTTTGTTTTGTTTCTTTGCTTGTTGATGAAATTTCTATCTTACATGGAGGGAGTTGTATCAGGGAGTAGCTGGTTCAGTTAGGCTCTAATTGAATTGGATTTGTTAAGCCATCAATTCTGTCGTGGTTCATTAGTCAATGGGTGGAAAAGTGAAGATTAGAGTGAAAAGTAAATTGAAAAGTAGAGTGAAAAGTAGAGTGAAAAGTGAATAAAAAAAGTGAAAATCGAAAGGACTTAATACACTTTTCACTCAATTTCACTCAATTTCACTCAATTTCACTCATTTTTCACTCACTTTTACTTCTCCATTTCACTCTTTTCCTCGGTTCTCTTCCTCTTTTCTCTCCTCCCCCTCCAACTGCTCGAGCAAAAACTCAAGCCCGTGTCGTGCAAACTCAATCATATTGCTCGATCGGTCATTCTTGCCAGTGCGACAAACGGTGCTGATTTCGCCATTGGGCCCACTCACTCCCAAAAAAACGGTGCCTACGGCATCAGCTCCCGCTGGAGCACCTAAATGAAGATCCGTAGATGGTCCAGCGTAGCCAGTCTCAGACAAAACATAAGTCAGACCCAACTCATAGCGGGTGGTACGAGCCAACTTCAACGCCACCAGCTCAGAAGGGCCCACATACGACTGTATTTCTTGGTCCAGCCACCCGCTGAGTCTCAATCGTTGTTTAAGCGAATACAACAGTTTACCACCAATATAAAAATCAGAGGCTCCTGGAACCGACACCAAGTAGGCCGACAAAAGACCACCACAGGCAGCTTCTGAGACAGCCAAAGTGTGGTTGCGGGCCCGCAAGAGGGTTGCTATGCGGTGTACAACGTCAGAAACGTCGCGAGGGGGGAATTCCATGGAATATGGTGGGTACCACTTTAGTTGGTGGTGGATTGATTGGTGCAGGAATCACCAAAGAAAGTTCGCGGCAAATTTAAATTTGTGCAGTTTACTAAGGAACCATGGCCCTTGTCAAATTCAACGCTGGCAAGGTCCAGTATGACGAAACCACCCACAAGTGCACGCCGTTGCCCCACAAGGGCGTGATCTCCATCAAGGTCAACTCTGATGAAGAAGGCTTTTATGATTTCACTTGGACGCCCAAATCCAGCAATGGCGAACGAGACGAGTTACTAATAATTCCCGGCGATGTCAGCTTCAAACCCGTCAAATCGTGTACTACGGGGCGGGTAGTGGCACTCACGTTTCTCAGTTCTGGTGCGAAGAACTTGTACTGGTTCCAGGACGTGGGAGACGACGAGCAATTGAACTCGTTCACCACCAAAGATGACGAAATAATCCGCAAGATCAACGAGTTGATAGCGGTTGGAGACGACGACGACGACGAAGAACAGGCGACCGCCGAGCCGCCAGCAGAAACCCATACCGAAAATGCCCCATTGGCTCAGGAATCGTAAGTATATACATAGACCATGAAATCCTCATCTACTGACTTAGCACCTCTAGCTTTTCAGGGCACATCTCGCAACTTGGCGACGTGCTTCTGCCGGAAAACATATCGCAACTCGTACACAAGATGAGTCCTGAAGCAATTGAGCAGGTATTTGGTCCTCATCTTCCAGAGGGAACCGCACCCACAGCTGATAATGTCATGGAAGTAGTTACTTCTTCATTTTTCCGTCAATCATTGACCAAGTTTAGCGACCAGCTCGACCAGAACGACGGCACAGGAATGCTTCTAGCACAGGCATTTGGCATTGAGTACAAGGGCGAGGGGTTGACCAATTGGCTTCAGGCAATGAGAGAGAAGAAGGAGGAGGAAAAGAAAAGGTGAACAAAAATTCTGGTTTGCCTAACATACAGCCTTGACCGCGATACCTACGATCCCGTCTCCTATCCCTTTGCTAAGATCCCTTTGCTAAGATTTCTTTGCTAATTCTTAAGATCTCTTTGCTAAGTACCACTCTAACTGCAACTAGAGGAGCTCAGCAGAACATCACTAGATCTACACTAAATAGATGTCGTTCAGACCACGACCTATATACACTAGGGCACTATGCATCACTCTATTAGCTTTTCTTCCCTTGTTCTTTTTTTTCTCTTCTTTCATCTCTTTTCATTTCTTTCTTTGTTCCTCTTTCTTGTTCCCTTTTTCTCTTCCCCACCTTCCGCAGAACACCGCTACACCAACGCAATAAAGATTTCCTCACCACACCACTCCATCTTTCATGACGAATAAAGATCCAGGCGGCACCTCCCAAGCGGGCTTAGCGCCTTCCCTTGGAATAGGGGTCAGTACTGGACCTGCAAATCCCATATGTGGCGTTGAAACCATAAAAAATGTCAAAGAAGACGAACATGAACCTTATGACGAACGGGGCTCAAGGTACAATCTCTTGGGAAAAGTAGCTGGACTTCTCCAGCGGTCCCTTTCTAGGTCCCGTGAAGGCTCTGCTACCGATATCGGGTCGACAAATGACTCGTACTCTTCTTCTCGTGCTCCTTCCAGACATGCCAGTCGCAAAGATCTGCGTCCCTCGTCGACATTGCCGTCTCCTCCTAAAGAAACAAAACAGGTTTTTCTCGAATATGACCCTATAACCAAGCGTCGGGTACTTAACACATACGAGATCCTCAATGATATCGGAAAAGGTGAACACGGCAAGGTGAAACTTGCGCGAGATCTAGTGCACAATGAATTGGTTGCGATCAAAATCGTCAATCGGAATTCCAAAGATAGGCCCCAGCTTCATATGAGAAGGTTCTCAAGACCTCAGGTGCACCCCAATGAATATAGCACCAAAATAAGAAGGGAAATAGCCATCATGAAGCGGTGCAACCATCGCCATATCGTCAGTCTCAGAGAGGTACTCGATGATATGAATTCCAAGAAAATATATTTGGTGCTCGAGTACCTAGAAAAGGGAGAAATCAAGTGGAAACGTAAACTCGACACCCCAAGTCCTTCTGAGCCCTCCGACGAGATTCCTTGCTGTGGTTCTAAGGGCCATCTTCTGAGTTATACCATCAATGACGAAGATCTGGATCTTCTCTCCAACACATTTTCTCCAAACCTCACCTTCAAGCAGTCCCGAAAGATCTTTCGTGATGTTCTCTTGGGGCTCGAATACCTCCACATGCTTGGCATTGTACATCGTGATGTCAAACCTGCTAATTTACTCGTGTCTTCCGATAATGTGGTTAAGATTTCTGATTTCGGCGTCTCTTTTGCCCTGTTTTTAAGTGGGCCCGGCGACCCTCCCAATGAACTTGAATTGGCTAAAACGGCAGGAACTCCAGCTTTCTTTGCACCGGAATTGTGCCAGACCAATTTTCTGTCGGCGAACAGCTCCAAATCAGTGTCAGCTTCATCGTTGGAAATTTTGAGAAATGAAGACATAATGTCGAAAGTTCTTCCTCGTATCGATCACAAGATTGACATTTGGGCGCTTGGAGTTACTCTCTACTGTCTTCTCTTTGGAAAAGTTCCGTTCAATGCCGATTCCGAGTATGAACTTTTCCTGGTTATTGTAAACCAGCCACTCGAATTTCCTCCTGATCGGTGCTCGTTCAATTCCAGGGTAGAAGTCAGCGAACTAGAGTTCGATTTGGCGAAAGACCTTTTGTCCAAATTGCTAGACAAGAACAAAGACTCGAGAATTGATATACCTGAGATCAAGCAGCATCCATTTGTCTTAATGGATTTGGCCAATGATATGGACCTGCTCAATGAATTGCTATACTTGAATGCCAGTCCCGATTCAAATGATCCCGAAAAGTACATTGCAGGCTTGGAGCAAAATTTAGACATTCTGAAGGACGATGTTGATAATGCAGTGGTAGGGTTGGGTTCACGTATCAGAAGAAGTGTGGCTGCTACTATCAAAGCTGGCACTCTCAATGGTGAGTTAATGTTCCGAACAGAAAGTTCCAGCGACGAGTCTCCTTCTCAACTTGCTTCTCAATACGGCTCACTGGTAGGTTTGCGATCTTCTTCGAATGATTATTCGGTGATTCTTTCTGAAGCTTTCAATGTTTCTACTCCTCCACCGCAAGAAATGGGCAGAACCATTTCCAATGCAGACTATACTTCGGCGCCTCATTTTCCATCTGGTCTATCAAAGGAGGTGAATGGTATAGCAGATATCATGTCGTCTTCTTCTAGTGGTTTCAATTCAAATGGGAACTTGCCGAGAAAGGGAAGTAACCATATTGTTCACGATATCATCGATTCTGACACCCGTTCCAGGAGAGACAGTGCTACCGGAACGGAAGCATCTCAGATAGAAACCAAGAGAAATGCTGTGGGTGACGTCTACCTCAAAAACCAGTCTGCCATGGATGCTTTTAAGGACATCAAACTTCAGGATGACAAGAGACGGCGCTCGAGTGCCTACTTGAGTTCGTCTCAGTCTGGAAGTCGTCAAGGATCCACAATCTCCAGACCAACAAAAGACAAGTCTTCTATTTCTAGCCCAATTCCTGTTCCCTCACTGAAGCGAACTACTGCCCTGCTCTTGACTGTGGATCCATATATCATCAACGATCGAGACCCATCCTCGGTGATCTCTCTTCCTTTGAGCGACAGCTTGGCCTCGTTGGACAGTTTAAATGATGACTATGTCTCGAGAAAGTACAAGGAACTTACCGAGAAACATTCTGGACGACGTAAATCCGTTAGTGGTCGCGGTAACGACGCAATCTTTTCCGATTCAGATATCTTGAGCAGAGACGTTGACGGTATAAATGAAAAGTTTCTGAGGTTCAATTTGGACACACTGATGTCCGACAGTTCCAAAGTCGCCAAGATCAACGACGATGCCATAGCTCCCAAGACACTTCCAAGAACCCTTTTCGCTTCGCATACTTCGTCGTCTAGTTGCTGCAGCTCTTCAAGCTCCTCGAGCGGCAGTTCCAGCGGCTCTGATAGCGATGAGGATGGAGACTTGACCTTGGCTTTTTCGTCCAAGGTGGCTTCGTCAGTTAGACCTCCTTTTCTTTCCTTGTCCCATAGAGCCAAATCTTATGATTCCAAATTACCTGCCTATGGTCAATCTGGTGGAAATCATCAGGAAACTCCCGTGATTTTTCAAACTGATTTACCAGAGTTTGAAGACTTACCAGCTGGACTTATGACCAATGTTCCCAGACCCAGTATTTCAGGTGCTGGACTGCTGCAAATGGCACCCACTATCTCAGTAATGTCTAATACCAGTGGTAAGACTTTGAATCCAACCCGAGAGCCTCCAGTGAGTACTCCTGTCTTGCCTCAAAAGGCACAAACTCTTGATGTATCTACCATACGAGATTCAAAGCCGGCTGGATCCGCAGGATTGAGAGAGAATATCTTCCACAATCAGTATAATAATCATTACAAGAAAGATCCCATAAGCTTCCCATTCCCAAATGCTGTGCACTATGAGAATGATAGAGAAACCGAAAGCAAGACTTCGACTAAGAAGAGCGGAGCCCTCCGACCTAATCATTATAGATCGAATTCGGTTGCGGTGGGTTTATTACAACATCAACTTCGACAGGCGGAAAGTAATCAAGAGTAAGGTGGTGCATGTACATATCTGTAAAAGAACGTAAAAATGTGTATATAAAACACTAGCTCGATTCTATGAAAAAGAATGCAAGTTCCGTAACCCAAAAACCAAAACCCATAATAAATTGAGAGCAAATATTCTGCTATGATATGGCCCTGCCATAGTGAAACAATTCATGTTTCTGTCGACTCCAACTTTCTCTTCAATACCCCCAATCTGTTGCCGATGCTGACGATAAACTTCTCAACCATTCCTCTATCGTCATCATCTAGAACATCGTTTCCATCATCATCTAACAATGCCTCCAACATCCATATCGCCGTACTGTAGGCTAGTTCACATCCTTTCAAGTCTTCCTTGACTAGCTCACTAACTGCCGCATTCCTGGACATCTCTAACGCCCGGTCAAAGATCAACTTTTCTGCCACAACCTTGGTGCCTTCTAAGCTCTTGGATACAGTCTGAGTGTCGTCGACATTCGAAGCCTGACTCACCAGATATTCTTTCTGGATCTGGGAGTCAGCCTCTTGTAACCTAAGTTTGATGAATTCAGCTTTCTCCAAACTTTCATTGAATTTCTCTCGAATCCATTGAACTAGTTCGTTCACTCGTACACTGATGGCGACGTCAGTGCTTTGCCTACTCCCATCGTCTGTAGGCGCTTGATCTCCTATATGATTTTTGGAGTACCACCATTCACTCGCAAGTGTCATACCTTTAGCCAAGAGTGAAAGAGTCTTGACGTATAACACTACCCCTTCTTCACTGATCGCCTTTACGATTCTGGGCGGGAGCAGGTCGTTCTGGTGGAATACGTCGTCCTCTACACCTTCAGAGGAGGGTGGTGAAGGAATCAATTGACTGAATTTCACATCGGCGAATAAATTTACAGCATGAGCCTTCGTCACTAAACCCTCGAGTTTAATAACCATTGCCTCGTCCTCATTCTTGGGAGAAGCCTCAGCCTCTAGTGAAGCAATGACCAGAGACGTTGGCAAATTCAACTTCTGTAGCAAAAGGTGGTTGGCAAAGTTTGGATTTGATATGACGGTTGAAAACGTGTTATTCAACGTCATAGCACCTGAAAATTCGTTTGATAACTCCTTGGCTGTCTCCTCGGTGATCTGTTGAGTGGCTGAAGAGCCAAAGAGCCTGTTCGAGGCCAAACCAATAGCTTTGCTTAAGGCGGTCGTTGGAGATATAGAGACCGATATACGACGGTCTGTAAAACTTGGTCGCCTTTGACTTCCACTTGAATTCGATCTCAAGGAGCCACGGCGGAACATCTTATTAGAATCAGGACTCGATGTTGAGTCTTGCAGCGAGCGACGGGCTCTGATAGCAACTGCAGCAGTGCCCGCGGCCGCAAGCTCGTCAGCAATTGCGTTCACTTCGACTGCTCTTTTCTCGACTACGACGTAATCACGCTCCAAGACTATATCGTCACGACCCTTACCGGGCCGTTCACGAGTGACAATCGATTGGGATGTCACTTCTGGTCCCGGACTATTTTTGTTAATAAGTTGCTTGATCTCTTCGTCGCGGCTCTCACTACCTGACAGTGGTTGTGGGGAGTGTCTAGGCAGTCTATCGATAGCGCTGTTTCTCGATGATACGGGTCGTAATGGCTGTATAACTTGAGAGCGTTTAATGGGCGAGATGTATTCACTGATGAACAAGTTTTCGTCCATGTGGGAAGTTTCTAGTGGCTCATCATTTCCGTCAAGAGCACAAGTGATTAGCTGGTCGTTGAAGAATTCGTTAAAGGAAACTCTCTCTGTAGGATTGTATTTCAAAAGCGCACGTATCAAACGTTTGATAGATTCGGGTACCTGTGCAGATGAAGGAAACTTGATCTTGTCATTCGACTTTTCAATGTTCTTGAGCAACTCGATATGATTTGCAGCTTTAAATGGAGGTTTGCCTACCACCATCTCATAAAGCACAGCACCCACAGACCACAAATCGGCCTTTGCATTATACTTTTCGTACCGAAGAATTTCGGGAGCCATGTAAAGAGGAGAGCCACACAAGGTCTCTGCCATCGAAGTGGAGGGGAGAAACCGGGCGAATCCAAAATCTGCAATCTTAAGAATTGGCAACTCCCAAAGGCCAACGTAGCCTCCCTTTTCGAAATCTGACTTGGAGTGGGCCGGAGGGCACAAAAGCAAGTTTTGAGGTTTGATGTCTCTATGAACCAAGCTTTTCTCGCGCAAGAAACTCAAGGCAGAAGATAACTGCTTGAGAAAGTGGATCACCAAGGTCTCATTTAGCCCATGAGAGCCCTCTGGAGAAGGGTAGCGTTCTAATAGGGATGATATCACCGGGTGGTTTTTCACCAACTGGTTGCGCTTTCTGATAAAGTAGGAGAGATCACCCATCGAACAGTAGTCCATCACCAAATGGAAATGGGTGGAGGTCTGTGTGTAATCTATAAGACCCACTATGTGCGGGTGCTTCATGTTTTTGAGGATGGATATTTCTATTTCCAAGTTCTCCACAAGTTTCTTTGATTTGAGTTTGGATCGAACCACAGATTTGACCGCCACGGCAGCATGAGTCTTGCTGTGATGACACTTGTATACGGTAGCAAAGGAGCCCTTCCCGATTTCGGGACCAAGGGTATAGTCGCCTATGGTCGTCATGGGATCTATCACAACAGAACGAATAAGTGTATTACGTGAGTCACTCGGCAATCCGGAAAGGTTCAAGTTTCGAGTTTTAGGAAATTGGTTTCGGATTTATAAGTCCAGAGCCCCAACAGGCGAGGTCGTCTTTGTAACCCCAGTAGGTAATAATCAGCCTAAACCGATGGTGGGTACACAATCAACGCCACCGCAACGCGATGATGAATCACGGTGATTGGAACGTATTTGGTGGGGAAAAAGTACCGTATAACGAAAGCAAACGGGTTGAATAGATGCGATTATAATAAGAAACACACACTCAGTAGAAAAACCGGGGCTGAATGCTGTTTACAAAAATGAGTATATGTGGGTGTAAACAGTGGTTATCCCTACAATCATGCGTACGATAAGATAGCGTATGACACGCTTATGCAAGCGCGCTGGGGGAAGTTAGGTAAGAGCGCCACAGATAAGAGGAGGGGCAGTTGTGGGTCGCGCGAAGGATGACGCTACGAGGAGAAATCCGCCAGGCCAGCTGAAGTAAGCAACTGTATCGCTTATGTAAGCACAAACCGCAAACCTGTCTTCCTGCGGCTGCGAATTGGGAGGGTTTGCTTTTTAGGTTTACGTTTTGAGACATTATCGAAATTCAAGTTGACTTTTGGGACTTGAGCAAAGGCAAACTTCACCAATTGGTTCTCTACACTTCACGTATTATATCCCTTGGTTAAAAAGTGTAGCATTGAAAGAGATCGGTCATGTTTGAATCGCTAGTGGCCAATCTTCTTAACCGGTTTCTCGGTGCCTATATCGAGAATTTCGACCCCAAGCAACTCAATATCGGTATTTGGGGCGGTGACGTCAAGCTTCGTAACCTTCGCTTAAAAAGAGATTCGTTGGACAAGTTTAAACTTCCTGTCGATGTCAAGTTTGGCCATGTGGGCGAACTCACCCTTCAGATTCCCTGGTCCAATCTCAAGGGGAAACCCGTGAAGGTCATTATTGATGATGTTTACGTGTTAGCTTCTCCTAAAATATTGGAGGATTTTGATTTGGAGGAAGAAAAAAACCGTGAACAGCAACTTAAGCGTGAAAAATTGAACAATTGGGAAGCATTAGAACAAGCAACGGTTCAGAATCAAAATCTCACCAATGACCTTGAAAACAATGAGTCGTTCACAGAGTCCTTGGTCACCAAAATCATTGACAATCTTCAGGTGACCATAAAGAATATTCATGTCAGATACGAAGACGACTCAATTCTCACTGAGAACCCATATGCTTTGGGTTTCACCTTGAGTGAGCTTTCTGCTGTGTCCACCGACCTGTCGTGGACCCCTAGTTTCATCACTATCACTCAGGCCTTGACCCACAAGTTACTTGTGTTGAAAAGCTTCAGTTGCTATATGTCTACAGATTCTGATCTGATCGACGGAGAAGCACAGGAAATGCTTGAACGGTTCAAGAGCATTTTGAATATCACCAGTGATGTGACCGCCAAGGATAATCAGTATTTACTTCGACCCATCTCTGGTCAAGGTAAACTTACCATCAATAAGAGAGGTGCTACAGAAGAGAATCCTCAGTTCAAGACGGAGTTTTTCTTTGACGAATTCGGCGTGGTTCTTGACCATAACCAGTATCAAAACCTCTTGTGGACAGCTTCCAAGTTCCACTACTACATGAAGACCCAAAGATTCAGAAAGTTGCGCCCCAAGGTGACCGTTAAAGAAGACCCGCTCGAATGGTTCCGATTTGCAGCACAGACAATCTTGAACGAAATCCATGACAAACACTACAAGTGGACCTGGGAGCATTTTGCCAAGCGCCGTGATCAACGTAAAGCGTATATCAGACTTTGGAAGCTTCACCTTTTGAAGAAGAATCTAAGCAAAGAAGACAAAGAGGAACTCGAACAATTAGAGTACGATTTGCCGTATGAGGATATCAAGTTGTATCGCTCTCTCACCAGATCAGAAATCAAAAAAGAGAACAAGGGCATTTCGCTCAGTGCTTTATTACCGAAGACTGAGAACAAAGGCTGGTTTTCAGGCTGGTGGGGCGGTCAACAACAGCCCAGCAAATCTGATCCATCTGCTCCCGAATCTGATCCTTCTAAAATGGACCTTCAGCTCAGCGAAGAACAAAGAAAGGCACTTTACGATGTAATAGAATACGACGAAAACAGGTTGACAGAAGCTGTCGATGTGCCTAGAGAGAGGACGGTGATGGAGGTAATCGCAACTTTGAGGAAAGGCGGAATTGCCGTCAAGAGAGACAAATCGTCGTCTAATTTGGGTGAGATTGTGTTTGAACATTGCAAAGCTCATGTATTTAAACGTCCTGATTCGTTGCTCACGAACTTCCAGTTGCAAGAGTTTCGTGTTGAGGACGGCACTGAAGGCGCTTTGTACAAACACATGGTTAGTGTAAAGCATTTGCATTCTCATGAGTCTCGACTGGAGCGTTCTTCTGAGCCACCATCATCCCTGGCTAGCGTCGATGATGTTTCAAAGGTGGGATGGAATGAGCCATTTTTCAAGATTTCTTTCGAGAATAATCCACTAGATGGTTCTGCTGATTCTGCTCTCAAGGGCCATCTCAGATCCATGACTATATTCTACAATCCTCATTTCATTGAAGAGATTATAAGATTTTTCAAACCGCCAAAAATGCACTTAGATACTGTGGGTGCAATCATGAATGCTGCTGAGGCCACAGTAGAGGGAATAACCTCGCAGACCAGAATAGGACTTCAATATGCTTTGGAGGAGCACAAGACTATAAACGTGAAGCTCGACTTACAAGCACCATTGATTATAGTGCCTCTAGATCCTACCTCATTCAAGACACCAGTGGCTATTTTGGATGCGGGCCATCTAAGTGTCAAAAGTGCTTTGGTAGACAAATCGAATATTGAAGAGATAAAGTCAAAAGCTACCTATGACTCCAAAGATTGGGAAAAACTCAAGACTTTAATGTATGATGAGTTCGAGCTCCATTTGGAAGACAGTCAGTTTTTGATTGGACCAAGGTTCAAGTCAGCATTACTGAGCTTGCACGATGATGACAACAGCATGTCCATCTTAAGCCAGTTCGATATGCGCTTTACCCTCGGTATTTCGATCATGCCGAGTGCCACAAGTATACCTCGTTTCAAGATTCTGGCTAAGGTCCCTGCAATAAAGTTGAGTATGAATGACTTTCAGTACAAAACTATGATGAAGATTATCGATGCTGCAATTCCCAATATCGACAGTTCAGATATCAGTGAAACCGGGGAATTTGAGACGTTTGGAAATGTCGAGCAAGATGATGGGTTGGTGGTTGATTTTGGGTCTGATTCCGATAGTGATTCGAAATCTCCTACTCCTACAAAGAATGCTAATTCAAGCTCAGATAGATCGTTGGAACAGCATCTCTTTGACTTTGATTTTAAAGTTGATAGGGTACTGCTTTCTTTGCACCGTTGTGTTGACGCTTCAGCATTGCAGACTGATCCATTGGTCGATCTTATTGGGGAAAATTTGCACATGTTTTTCGTGAAAACAGAAAGAGACATGGACCTCTCGCTTACATTGGATAACATCAATCTTTTGGACTACATTGAAAATTCAGGTGTTAGAGAGTTTGACCATTTGATAACATCGAATAGACTAGATGGCACTGATGTCTCGTCAAAGGCTGACATGAAACAGCTTTTCAAGTTGAACTACAAGCGTATGCAAAGAATAGTTGAGTTCAAAGGCAAAGAGATTGAAGTTTTCGACCAGGATATTGATTTGGACGTAGCGACAGTCAAGTTTGTGGTCCTGAGAAAGTCATTGTTGAGTCTTTTAAACTTCACATTGAATACTTTCACGGACCCTAATGCAGAAGAGACTCCAGCAGATGAGCTCAAGCACAATGATGCAACGGACGAGTCAATTGCTCCCGAGCGAATTAATGTCAAGGTCAATCTTGATAGCATCATCATGGTCCTCAATGAAGACGGAATTAAGCTTGCGACCTTGAAGCTTAGTACTGCAGAAGTAAGTGTTCTTGTACTTCCTGAAGCTCTTGATGTTCGTGGAAAATTGGGAGCTTTGACGCTCCATGATGAAATCAACCATGGTTCGTCGAGAGACTCGGTTCTTCGAAATCTCTTCAGTATTGAAGGTGACAATCTCGCGGAGTTCAAGTACATCACCTACGATCCAACTACCAACAACGAACCTTACAGCTCCTATGTGGAGTTCAGTTCTGGTGCGCCAAACATCAACTTTATTGAGGATGCCTTTGGAAGAATATTCAACTTTTTGTCTCAGTTCCAACAAATGAAGAGTATCTACGACTCTGCTAGGGAAGCAGCTATAGAACAGGCAAGTACCATAGAAGGAGCAAACCAAATGAAGTTTAATGTTGTTGTTAGAGCCCCTACTATCTTGTTTCCTAGGATTGTTCCCGATGGAAACAGAGGTTACGATAGGGTAACAGCACGTCTAGGCGAATTGTACGCATTTAATGAGTTCAAAGAGGGCGAAAATGGTATATTGAGGAACGTCATTGATGCTGGAATCCGCAATATCAAGTTGGACTCCTTGTTTCATTTCGATAATGGAGTTCAACAGTTGACAAAGATCGTTGACGATTTGGATCTTTCTATGAAGATAGATTATGCTGACAATTTGCAACTCCGAGAAGGTGAGAGGCCGACGATTATTGTCGGTGGAAGTTTGCCTGAGCTTGATTTAAAGCTTACAGAACTTCAACTTCAATACTTGACAAATTTGTCTGACTCAATTACCAAGGTATTTACTCCAGAAGCAGCAGATGATATATTGCAAGAAGTAGAGGAAGAAGCTGATACAGCGAATGCTGCAGTGAGGGAGGCGGCTAAGGCTTTGAAGCCACCCTCAACGGAAGCGGCTGAGAAGAAAATGGATACCAAAACTGAAAACGTATCGAAAGTCGACGACTCTCATCTTCAAGTAAAATTTGACTTTGAAGTTCCTCGCGTGAGCCTTACTATTTATAATAGAACTTCGGGCATTTCGGATATCAGTGGGCTTGAATTATCCACTTTCTCGTTGAACAAATCGAGAATTTCTTTCGAGTCTCGTGAAGACACTCACTTCACGGCAAATGTCAACGTCAAATCGTTTGTGGTTGAGGATGTTCGAAGCGAAGGTCAGAATAAATTCCGTGAAATTATTCCTCCTTCTTCAGGAGAATCGGACCAATTCGAATTGACCGCCACTTCAGAAGGAACCAAAGAGAAGAAAAATGTTACTGTGATACTCGGAGTCGACAATCCGAAAACAATACTTGCCCTTGACTACATCTTTGAATTGCAACGATTTGCTACTATTGGCATGGAGAAAAACGTCTCCATAGGTGACATGGAAGACGCTTATGAGAGCAGTGAGGAGGATGTTCAACTCGATCGACGTCTCAGTGTGAGCAAAAAAACTGTTACAAGCACTCAGAAACCAGAAGTGAAGCATGAGAAGGACCTGCCCGACGAAGACACGGGCATGAAGATTGGTTACTCTGTGAATGTCACCAACCCTTCGATTATACTTTTGGCTGACCCTACTTCTTCAGAGTCGGAAGCTATTGTATTCAAGGTAGGTCAAGTGCTCATTACCAGCCAGAATGTGATTTCTTTAGCAGCCAACAATATTGGCATGTTTTTCTGCCATATGAATGATTTTGAAAAGAGACTTCGAATCATTGATGACTTTTCGATTTCATTTGCACTCGATGCAAGAGGCTCCTCTGGTAACAAATTCTTGACGAACATCGAAGCATCTATAGAACCAATGTTGCTCCGTTTGTCTCTCAGGGATATTCGGTTAGCGATTCAAATCTTCAACAGAGCCGTCGAGCTTTCTCAGCAAGCTCACTCAGGTCAAGAAAGTGAGACAGACGAAAGTGGATACAATTTTTCAGATAATTTCAAACGGCGATTGTCTTCAATATGCGCCAACTATAATGTCGGGATTGCCTTTCGACACCTAAAAACTCTCTCAAGTGAATAAAGAAGAAGGGTGTTGTTGTGAAAGGTGAGGAATTGAATGCCAGTTTCGGCGGTTTACGTTTTGTTCTCATTGGTGATGTTCATGAATTGTCTGTGCTCGATATGAACGTAGAACCCTTTCGAAATAAGAGCTCACAATTGGTTCAACTGACTTGAATGGCGAGGCTCATATTGAGTCGTTTGTAAACATTTACAACTACTCAGGATCATCATGGGAACCTTTGGTTGAGCCTTGGCCGATATCTGTATATGCAACGAAAGTCATGGACCCTAAACCAAGCATGACAATTGATGTTGTGCTGAGACAATTAGCTGAAATTACAGTATCCTCAAGATCAGTTGCTCTCCTATCTCAGATGTTATCCTTGATAACAGATGAAGGTCAAATGAAATCTCGAGAGAATGACGACCCCTACAGAATTAGAAACGGCACGGGGTTCGATATCGAAGTGTGGTCCTCTCATGAGCCGGAAACTAAAAAGGTTCTTAAGAACAATGATACTACATCTTGGTCATTTGAGGATTGGAGAGCAATCAGAGAGAATTTGGACTCTGACAACTCAAGAGGACAATTGGCCGTCAAGCTTCTTGGGTCCGACTATGGTACAATCGACACAATTCCAGTCACCGGTGAGGGTGAAGAACTTTATGTTTTGACACCAAGCAAGGTAGGCTATCATAATCGTTTATGTGCTGATGTCTCTCTTGGAGACGACAATATTAAGACTATATGGTTGCGATCCACTTTGAAGGTTCAGAACGACACAGACATCGCAATAGTGATATTGCTTTCTGGAAAAGCTCCTGGAAGTGGTGATTCGTATGTTGTTCAAGCGAATGAAGTGCAAGCGCTTCCCATTGATAAAATCTACGAGTCTGAAATACAGATCCGTCCTCAAGTTGACGTAACTTATAACTGGTCCGACAAAAAAATCAGCTGGTCGCAGCTTCTTGAACGCTCTGCCTCACTCAAATGTTCTGCGGCCCAAAAGCAAGATGTGTCAACATTCAACTTTGAAATCAACGCAAAGTATGACCAAAGTGAACCTTTGGCAAAGATTTATCCTCATCTCACCATGGTAGTTTCGGCTCCAGTGGAAATCGAAAACTTGCTACCATATGACTTCACTTACAGGATCTATGATAAGAAAACCAAGAGTGATTGGAGTGGTTTGATTCAAAAAGGTGTTAAGAGCTATGTTCACATTGTTAGCCTTGCTAACTTGTTGATGCTTAGTGTTGAACCGATCGATTGTGGGTTTGAAAAATCTGAATTTGCTATCATTAATACTCCCGCTAAAAGTGAGTTCAATCGTGAACATACTATTTCCTTGAGGCACAAAATCACAGGGCAGCATCTCAAATTAAGAATTCATTACCCAAGAAAAGACGGAAAAGCGGGTATCAAACTACAGGTGTTTTCGCCTTATGTCATTCTCAATAAGACCAATCAAAGCATCAGAGTCTCTGAGAGGAATAACATAATGCATTCTAACAATTCGACTTTGGAAACCTCGCAACCTTGTATGTTTTCATATGACAAGTTCGGCGACAGGCAGAACAGAGCACTTTTGAAGATTGGAGATTCGAACTGGACATCTCCATTGAGTTTGGATGCTATTGGTCAAAATAATGCAGTGACTGCTCAAATTCCAAATAAGCAGATGGGAATGGATGTGGCTGTTAGCATCGAAGAGGGTACCGGACGATACATTTTGACCAAGGTAGTAACAATCGCCCCAAGGTTCATTTTGAAAAACTTGCTTGATGAGGATCTTACGTTTGTTGAAACTGGTTCCACCAAACAATTTACGTTGAAGAAGGGCGAAATGCAACCTCTTTATGGTTTGCGAAATGTGGAAGAAAAGAGCTTGTCTGTCAAGTTCACCCATAATGCCAAAGGATGGTCGTCAGCATTTGCTATATCTGATATAGGTCAGATGTTCCTTAAGGTCGGCAAAGAAGGTGTGGGTCAAATTCTTTTGAAGGTCAATATCTTGACGGAAAATGGAACTGTGTTCATTCAAGTTGAGAACTCCAATAACCATTGGCCATTTTCTATTCGTAACTTCAGTGACTGCGACTTCTATATCTATCAAGCGGATCCTAATGTCAATGATAGAGGAGAGGTTGTAAAGAGGGACACACCTTACAAACCAATCTATTATAAGGTACCTGCTAAGAGCGTTATGCCTTATGCATACGATTATCCTAATGCTGTGATCAAGGAACTTATCATAAGATGCCGTGGAATGGAGAGAAACGTGAACTTGGCAGAAATTGGTAATTTGAAACCTTTCAGATTACCAGCGTCTCAAGACCAAGAACACGTCATTGTCGACTTGAATGTGGTTGCGGATGGACCAACGCAATCGTTGATTTTATCCAACTACGATCCACTGGTGAGTTTGTACAAACTCAAGGGAGGTACTTCTTCCACAGTCAATGTCTCGCAAAATTTTGAAGCCAATGAGGTTGATGAGAATTATCACACCAGAATTGTTACTAGATTTGAAGGCTTTGGGATCTCGTTGATCAATACCAGATTGCAAGAACTCTGCTATGTTACTTTGCGTGGTCTTGAAGTTCGCTATAATGAGTCAGACTTATATCAGAACTTGAGTTTAAAACTCAAATGGATTCAAGTTGACAATCAGTTGTATGGAGGTATCTTTCCAATCGTGATATATCCTACGGTTGTACCCAAATCTGGTAAGGAGATGAACAACCATCCATCTTTCTCAGCTTCAGTTTGCAAAGTTAAAGACGATTCTCATGGAGTGTTATTCATCAAGTATGCAACTACCTTGCTACAGGAAATGACAATTGAAATTGACGAGGATTTCTTGTTTGCTCTTTTGGACTTTGCTAAGTTCCCCGGCGCCTCATGGAATAAGAAGATAGAAGACAAGTTATGCGACGATAAGCTTGACCTTCCCGAACCAGCAAGCTTGTCTGAGAGTAGTGATGTCTACTTCGAGGCATTGCACTTACAGCCCGCTTTGACCAACCTTTCTTTCATGCGTACTGAGAGAGTCAATGCTGAGGAAAAGGCGCCTTCCCAAAACACTTTGATGTTTTTCTTCAACGTGCTCACCATGGCTATAGGAAACATCAATGATGCTCCTATCAAACTCAATGCCTTGTTCATTGAAAACATCAGAGTTCCACTTCCAATTTTAATTGAGTCTATTGAGACGCATTATGGACAGGCATTCCTCTACCAAGTGCATAAAATATTGGGCTCTGCAGATTTCCTTGGTAACCCAGTCGGGCTCTTCAAGAATATCTCTTCAGGTGTGTTGGATATCTTCTATGAGCCATATCAAGGTGTGGTGATCAACGACAGGCCACAAGAACTTGGTATTGGAATTGCCAAAGGTGGTTTGAGTTTTGTGAAGAAGACTGTGTTTGGCTTTTCAGATTCGTTTGCAAAGGTGACGGGATCGTTGGCGAAGGGACTCTCTGTGGTGACTCTTGACAGACAATTTCAAGAGAGACGCCGGCTTAATCAACGAAGAAATAGACCCAAGCATGCGCTCTATGGATTCGCTTCTGGCGCTAATTCCTTTTTCGAGTCAGTATCGTCTGGAGTTACAGGCTTCGCTACTGCTCCAATGGAGGGTGCAGCTAATAGTGGAGCAAGTGGATTTTTCAAAGGTTTAGGAAAAGGTGTTGTTGGCTTACCAACCAAGACTGCCATTGGGTTCTTTGATTTAGCCTCAAATGTGAGTGAGGGAATTCGTAACACAACTACAGTGTTTGATACAGATGCATTAGACAAGGTGAGGTTGCCTCGTTACATATCTGTTGACCATGTTATCCGTCCATATTCTCAGCGAGAAGCTCAAGGTCAATTTTGGTTAAAATCAATTGACGGCGGAAGTTGCATGAATGAGCAATACTTGGCACATTTAGTGTTGCCAGGTGAGGAGAAGTGTATTCTTGTCACTTTCCGGTTCATTGTGTTATTTGCTATAAATACTCTCAAGACGAACTGGATGGTTCACTTTGAAGATATTAGTGCGATTACAGTTGAAGCCACAGGAATAAGTATTGGTTTGAAGAAGAGAAACGGACCTTTCATACCAATTCCTGAGAAGGCTAACAAGTCTTTCTTGTATAACAAGATAGGGTTGGCGGTTGAAAAGTTTAACAAGAAGTGTCAAGTTGAGTTATAGAGAAAATGTGAAGAAATGTAAAATTTCACAATTACAAAAATATATGTACACTCTATTAAGGCGACTGAAAAAATCCATTTGTTCCCCTTCTATTGCAATATGATTGCGCCGTTTCTTCGTTATGGTACTGTTGCTTGATTTTATTTACAGAGAGCGTCCCATCAGCAGTCTTGATGTACAAGCGATCGTCTCGAAATACGTAATTGCCTGGTTCTGTCAAGCCATAGTTATCTCTATGGTCACGAATGTCGTCAAGGATGACACGGTGCAATTCAGATACGGGTTCCTTCAGATTTTTCTTCTTAACTTCAACCCATTTCCAGGTATAGACTTTACCCAAAGCATCGTATTTTCGTTTGATTTGGCGAGCGGTGTTTGACCATTTGATTTCTGCATCCTTGGGGGTGATCTTTCGGGCGTAAGAGTAGGGATACAGCGAATTTAAGGGTTTAGGATCCAGGTACCGTTTTTCTCGAAGGGTTTGAACCAATAAAGAGCCTCCAAGCTCACCTAGTTTTTTTTCCAACGAGGTATAGTTGTCTTCCTGATCGATCAGGATCTTGTCAGACTGAAGGAGAATGTCACCGCCATCGAATTTGGTCGGGTGGAGAGTTTGGACGGTGACACCGGTATACTTGTCGTCGTTCATGAGAGCATACTGGATTGGAGATGCACCAGAATATTTGGGAAGCAACGATGGATGGACGTTTAAACCACCGAATTGCAAGCTTTCAAGAAAATGACGGGGTATCAACTTGCCGAAAGAAACCGCAATGGCCATATTAAAATTGTAGGATTGCAACCCATGGAAATGTGGGGAAGTGTCGACACGATGGACTGGAATGTTCAACTTGGAGGCCTCAATTGCTACGGGATATTCAATGAATTGCTTGAGTTTACGTCCGGTTGGTTTTATCGACCTCGTAACAAGGTGAAGGGATTCCACTTGGTTTGTTTGAACCAGAAACTGATGCAATCTTTTAAGAGATTCACAGCTAAAATGGTCACTTCCAAAAAACGCTATTCGTAAGGGAACAGTATTAGTAGGTGGTGGCATAGCGATGGAAATGAGCCCACTCCGAAGTCCCAAAATGGATCGTTTTACTTTTTTGTGGCTATATTACCAAGGCTGTGGGGAAGGTTTTTTTTTTTCTCAAAGAAAAAATAAACTTAGATCTCCGAAATTTCGCACTGAGCGCCGCTTGCAATTGTATTCATTCGTTAAGCACCAACAAAAGGGTTCCAGGGCAAATGCTTTCGCCTCCACTCCGCAAGGTGTTCGTGCTACTCTCGTGTACGTTTTTGGGTCTTATATGTGGAACACTATACTTGTACTCGTCATATTCGCCGCAGCTCGCCGACAGATTAAAGTATTCTGTCAGTGATTCTTCGTCCATTGCGCTTCTGGGAACGCTAGGAGTCGCTATTTCTGGGCCACTTGCTGGAAAAGTGGTCGACAAACGCGGGTATACCGTGGCTTTGGTTATCGGAGGACTTTCAATTGTCACTGGATATTTGGGCCTCAAAAAACAGTATGATCTCCACCATTCAAACGTGTCACTCCTGGCATTTCTCTTTATTTTGGTGGGTCTGGGGTCCACGTTCATAAACCTGACGTGTCTCAAGTGCTGTGCTGTCAGTTTCCCCAGTATTCGTGGGGTAGCTACTTCGCTTCCATTAGCTCTCTATGGGTTAAGTGCCCTATTTTACTCCGTGGTGGCATCCATGTTCTTCCCAGGAGACACGTCGCTGTTCTTGGGGTTCTTGGCGTACTCGTCGGGTATCATATTTATGGTATGTGCTCCAAGCGTAATCTCGTGTGATCGTGAACATATGAAACGGCGACAGGTGCACGAGACAATTGAGTTGACTACCGTGGGTTCTGCCACCTCACGCTCAGTCACACCAATGCCACTGATCCTGCTGGTACCACTGGTACCTTCATCTCCTGCAATATCCAATATCGCAGCGACTTTGCCCAGTCGTCAACTCCACAATCAGTCGCTCGTTACTTCGTTTCCTTTCTGGCTCTTGTTCGTTACCACTGGTGCTCTCGCTGCCCTTGGCCAAATGTACATATACTCAGTGGGCTATATGGTCAAAGCGTTGCTTGCAAATCATTCCGATGCCTCCATGATTCAGAGAGACCAACAGCTCCAGGTGGGACTTCTCTCTGTAGCCAACTGCTTTGGTCGTATCATGGGTGGTGTTCTTGGTGATATCATCACCCAGTCATTTGGACGATCCCGGTCGTGGCTCCTCTATCTTCCAACATTTGGGTTCCTCATTACCCAGGCTATGGGTCTTACTACCTCTGCATACGAAGCGCTCTCATTAGTCTCGCTTCTTACAGGATTCTTTTATGGATTCACCTTTTGCATCATGCCCTTGATTGTGGGAGACATCTTCGGTATGGCCAACTTCTCCTACAATTGGGGCATTGTGGGGCTTGCTCCAATACTTCCATCATTCTATTTCACCAGTCTCTTTGGGCTGATATACGATTCACACACGGTAGCCAAAGCGGGCGAGCCTGCCGTGTGTATGCTAGGAAAAGCATGCTACAACTCAATCTTTGAGCTTACGATTGTGGTTTCAATATTGACATTGGTGTTGGTGACGGTGTTTAACTTTGGTCCTCTCGAGGAAAAGGAAAGAGTGCCGCATGTTGCATAGGCTAATACTAAAGGTCTGGAAACAGTACAACTAGAGTACTAGAACTAGGGTACTAGAATAGAAGTACAGAATACTAGAAAATGTAAAGTATTAACGTACTAGCATTTTAGAGGTTAGTCTAGAGTAGCTTCCTCTATACAGGCACTGCCTCATTTAATTTTGGCTGCGGAACTTCTTTATGAGCTCCAACTCCACAAAGTACACTTTTCGTAGTAAACAGAAGCCCGCAAACCAAAACAAAGAAGCTCTAGCAGTCAATGTGGATGCAAAGAACAACCATATAAACTCAAACGTGTCGGAAGAAGCATTACAGAGGCGTAAGCTTCGGTTCCAGGCACAACCACAAACGAAAGATTATGGATTTGTCAGTCGAGGGGAGACAAGACTCAAAGAAAGCGAGTCGGAGCGCCGCAAGTACTTTGACACGATTGTTCTGTCGTTCTTTAAGCTTTGTGACGAAGCTACAAGAATTGAGGTGCGAGAAAGAATTGACGTGGACTCCATACATTCCAGTGACGGAGACATGACGATGGATGGTGTTTTGACGTCGCTTCGCAAGCTACGAGAGGCAATCTTGGGCACGAAACCTTCATCTTTTTCGAAAAAAGTGCTTCTTTTCTCTGTTCGAGTAGCAGTTCCTCTCGGCCATTATCAAACGTATGTTCCCAGTATCACTCAATTACTTGCCCCGGGGGTCGATCTTCGCCCAGACGAGCGCCAGGAGCTAGTGGTGCTCCTTCTGCTCCATTGGTCTCATTTCAGCAACGAGAACTCGAGGGCACTTCTGCTTCTCATCCGAGGGTGCCCAGAAGATACTCGCACTCGACCACTTCTCCAAAGCTGGATAGGAAACGATTATCATCGGTGGTTGAATTTGTACAAGGTGGAAGAGGACAACCTGCGGGCCAGGATCATGAAATTCGGCCTCCCGAAAGTTTTGCAGCACATGGTGAATGCCGTCAATGTTTCCTACTTTAATCTTTCGCTCTCGTTTCTACAAGATTACTTACCTCAGGATATCCTGCTCCAAGATTTAGAAGTGTATGGAGCTCGATGGCTGGTGGAAGGCGACAACGTAGTGATAAGAGCTCGAAAAGTTGCAAAGGCAGCCTGAACACTAGATTTTGGTTTTTTCGGTTACTCGACTAATTTGATTTACTCGGTCCGATGCGGCTGATTTTCCGATCTGAAAAATCCGCGATAACAACTTTTACTGGCTTGGTAAAAAGCACTTCTACTTTGCTTATCTGTCACAGGGCTGAATTGGTAATATTATCTGGCTTAGTCAACGAGAGCATTAGCATTGACAAACCTAAATTTCGGTGTCATTCTTGACTAATGTTCCATAATCTCCGCAGGCGGTGCGGCTTCGAATTTTCAGCCCCCGCCTCCGATTAGTACTTAAAAGAGCATTGGATCAGCAAATACCCGGAAATGCAAGTCAAGGCAGCAGTTGCATCAGGAGGAAATCCTCCAGTTTACAAAAATATTGAAATCGAAGCACCTAAACCGGGAGAGGTTGCAATTGAAGTAATCGCGGTAGGATACAGCAACCTTGTCAAAGCAAGAGCAGAAGGAAGACATTATTCGTCTGGGTCTATGGATAAGGAATCGCTTGTGGGAGTGGATGGCGTGGGAAAGGTCCAAGGAACCGACGATTTGGTTTATTTCGTCAATTTGGGACCTGGCAAAGGCACCTACCTGGAAGTGGTGAATGTCTCAAAAAATTTCGTTTACCCATTCCCTAAGGAAACCGATGAAAAGGCACCCGCAAGAGTTGCGGCATTGGCCAATGGCGGCATGGCGTCGTATATGGCTCTCTTTGATAGAGTAGGAGATGTTCCTGCCGATGCCAAAATCGTCGTTTTAGGAGCTACTGGAACGGCTGGACAGCTTGCGATTCAGCTGACAAAGAAGATTTTTGGAGCCAAAACCGTGGTGGGAGTGGGCCGCTCTGCCGAAAAACTTGCAAAGTTGAAGCAATCGCAGCCATTGTTGGACGGAGTAATCGCGCTCGATGAAGACGAAGATAAGATCATTGCCAGTGAATTGTTGAATGATGTAGACATTGTCCTTGATTTCTTGTGGGGGAAACCAGCAACAAAGATCTTAGCGGCTGCTGTCAAGTCCAAAACGGAAAAAAGTAAGCGTTTGGCTTGGGTGCAAATTGGACTGCTTGCAGGCGAAGACTTTTCTGTTCCAGCAGCGTTTCTCAGAAGTTGCAACCTTGTGATCTTGGGTAGTGGTATTGGTCCACTGAGTGCTGAACAGAACAAAAAGGTGCTTCAAGGTGTCACCGAAGCTTTGGCGCTGGGAAAGCTTGAAATAAATTACAGAGAAGCGGCTCTAGCAGACATCGCTGAAGAATGGGCTAAACCCATGGGCGATGTGCGCACGTTCTTTAAGGTCAAATAGCGAATAAAGGATTAAGCGGAGTCAAGAGTACTATATATAGATACAAACAGATACAAACAGCTACAGGCCACTTTATTGCAATTCACTAGTTTAGACTTCGCAGCGCTCTCTTGCAGTTTCGCACCTTTTGCTTTTTGCAGCTCAGCTTTTCGCAGCTTTCACTTTCGCATCTTAACTCATCCAGTCATGTCTAACCTACCAGACCTAATTAAAATAGACGACATAGCCTCTGGAAAAATAGATCCCGAGGATATATACGCTGAGCTCGACCGTCTAAAAGCAGAAATCAACATTCTTCGTAACGATATGGCGCAATTTGTGCGTGCTTTGGCGTTCATTCCTGACGATGCCAACCAACAACAGTACTATGCAACGGTCTCCAACCGTCTTAAAACGGTCCAGAGGGCCATCAAGGACTACTGTGCTCAATACAACCGTCTTCTACCGATTATAAACTTGTCTCAGATTAGATTGGGTCACGAGGTGGAACAGATTCTGTCCAATGATCGCAGGCAAAGTAGTAACGGAAACTTGCTTGCTACAGCGAGTAACAACAGCGCATTGGGAGATACAAACTCAACCACAACTGACCTCTCACACCCCATATCCCCTCCAAATACCGCCCCAGCTCCATCCCAGGGCCCCATATCCGTGCACCCAAACACCACTTCATCGGCATCTGGTTCTGGAGCAAATGCTCGCACGCCCATCGTGTTACCCTGAACTGACTCATTGACGATTCCTATAAAAGTTGAGCCAGCGTGAGTACTGAATTATCCCCAAAATGTCTGCTGCTATCAAAGAGACGTTTGCACGCTGCAAGAAAGAAGGCAGAAATGCCCTCGTAAATTTCATTACTGCCGGTTTTCCAACCATTCCCGACACCGTTCCTATCATGTTGGCCATGCAAAAGGGTGGAGTGGACATCATCGAGTTGGGAATTCCATTTTCGGACCCAATTGCCGACGGACCCACGATTCAAATCGCTAACACTAAAGCTTTGGAGAATGGAATCACCGTCCCCAAGTGTCTCGAACTTGTCAAAGAAGCAAGAGCAGCTGGTGTAACGGTCCCCATCATTCTTATGGGCTACTACAACCCCATTCTCAAATATGGCGAGCAAAAAATGATCAAGGACTCGGCCGCAGCTGGTGCCAATGGTTACATTGTCGTAGACCTTCCTCCAGAAGATGCTGTTCAATTCCGTGCTTCTTGTGCTACTCATGGCTTATCTTATGTGCCGCTTGTAGCACCTGCCACCACCGACAAGCGCTTGAAAGTATTGGGAAGCATCGCCGATTCGTTTATCTATGTCGTTTCCCGTATGGGAACAACCGGCGCATTGAAAAGCGTAGCCAAAGGCATCGATGAACTTTGTCAGCGAGTACGGAAATTCGCTGGTGATACCCCATTGGCGGTTGGTTTTGGAGTTTCCACCAGAGACCATTTTTTGACCGTGGGAGAGGCCGCAGATGGTGTGGTTATTGGCTCTAAAATTATCACCCTTATTTCTGAAGCAGCTCCTGAAGATAGAGCGGATACAGCGTACCGCTTTGTTCGTCTGATTTTGGGCGACGACTACGAGTCCAAGACCCATGAGTTTATTGCTGCGACCCCTCTGGAAACCAAACAGGCCCAATTGCCAGAAGAGGAACACAAGTACAACCCTAGATTTGGAGACTTTGGAGGTCAATACGTACCCGAAGCTTTGCACGCTTGCTTAGCCGAACTCGAGCGTGGTTTCGAAGATGCGGTAGCAGACCCTAAATTTTGGGAGGAATTCAGGTCGTTGTACTCCTACATTGGCCGCCCTTCGTCGCTCCACCGTGCTGATAGATTGACCGAATATGCTGGCGGTGCTCAGATCTGGCTCAAGCGTGAGGATCTCAACCACACCGGTTCCCACAAGATCAATAATGCTTTGGCCCAGGTTCTTATTGCCAAAAGACTAGGCAAGAAAAAAATCATCGCAGAGACCGGTGCCGGACAGCATGGTGTTGCTACTGCTACCGCCTGTGCTAAATTTGGTTTGGAGTGTCAGGTGTTCATGGGAGCTGAAGATGTCAGGAGACAAGCGCTTAATGTCTTTAGGATGAGAATCTTGGGAGCAAAGGTCAATGCTGTTAGAAATGGTACTCAGACTCTTCGTGATGCCACTTCGGAAGCATTCAGATACTGGGTGTCCAACTTGGAGACCACGA